CCTCCCCCCCCCTCGCAGACTTGACGGTGGCAATCGTCCTTTCTCTTCTGCGTTGGCGCACGCGAGTTTCCACAGCTTCTTTTTTCTGTGTGTTGTCACAGACATCAGCACTCTTTCTCTTGTAAATGAAATTAAACGTGTAATTGCAAACAACAGCCAAAAAAAAAACAGTGTCACGCAAAGAAGCCTTTTCTTTCGATTCCTTAGTAACAATAAAAAGACAAAGTTCTCATTCAGAAGTTACGCGGCAAAGCGTGGTAGACCATCCGCGGGTTGGTTAACGAAGCAATCTTTTGAACCACACGGCATTGCTTTGAATAGTGATCCCGTTAAATGACACCGAGGTGAGGTGTGTGGGTGCCCGCGCATTGCTGCCTCTCCCCGTTTCTTTTCTGTATCACTCGCATCTCTCCTTCTCTCTCGCTTCGCGGCCTCCTGCGTTGTTCTTGATATCCATTTCACATCGCCGCATGACGTGTGCACGCACACGCACGCGCATACACACCAAAAAATCTTACTTCTATGTGAACTATATTGTTTTGTTCTGCACCTCAACACCGCATTACCTTCTCGTATCGGATCTCATCTACGCGTTTAACGTGCCCCTTCAATGAAAAGAATAGCATGCGCAGATCAACGCTAGAGGTACAACAGTACATTTCTCCCCTTTTTTCTGTAGGAGCTACGCTCCGTGCATATCTATCTGTCATTGTAAATCATAGTCGCCTTTTTCATTGCTTTTCCCCCTCTTTCTCCCCTCTTTTTCTTTTTATTCTTTTTCTTCTTGTGTATTCTTATTCTTCGGATAGTTATCTTCCACTTATTGATTTACTTGGTGCTGCTTTCATTTACAGTAACAAGTCTTTTCAGATCAGTCAGGTGCTGACGTAAACCGAAACTGTTTTTATTTTTTCTCTGTCACTCATCAGCTGCGTGCCTCCACGACGCAGAGCCCGATCGCTATTTCTTTGTTCTCTCTAAAGCAATTCTTTTTCTTCTTCTACTCCATTTCTGCGTGTTTGGCTGTGACGTGTGTGAATTTACTCTGTGTGTCAAAGAAGCTCTCACACAGGTAAGGTAGCGCGTCAACACGGTCCCCTCCACACATACACACCCACACACACTGCGTGGTTTACTGCCTGGGAAGACTCTGTTTGATCTTCTCCAGGCTGCGTCTCCGAGCAGAAGCCTGGTAAGACTTCGCAACTGAAGCGTTGCGCGTGTCGGACGTCTTGGTGGGATTATTTTTGCCTTATTGATATTCTTTGCAAGCCTTGCGGCTGTCTCACGCTCAGGGAAAGGGTCACTTCGAAGGAGCGAAGAGCATTTAGTTCTTTTCCGTGTTTTGGAAACGGCGAGGGCGAGAAGGTGCAAGCGAGGTGGGAGCTAACGAAAACACCGACTTCTGTTTTGTACTTTTATCACAGCCGTTCCGAAACGGGGAGAGGCTGCGTTTGTGTGGGACACGCGATTGAGCCACAAAAAGAAAGAAAGAAAGAAGGGATCCGTTGCTTGTCTTTTTGCTCCACTCGTCATTGTGAGGTTTCTTTCCTTCGTTATTAGCAGCGTCCCGGCTTGCCTGTTTCTTTTCTTTGCAGAGCGCGTGCTTGTTTTTTCCTTTTCATTTTTTGGCTATTTTTTTTTTTAATTCTGTTTCTGTAATACATCTTTTTATAACCGATTTGTTTTCTTGAAGTATTATTTCCGTTTGCCTCTTCTCTTTCTTTTCTTCCTGTCGTTGCTTTTATTTATCTGTTTTTGCTTTCCGCCCGACTTCGAAGCGTGCGGTGGCGATCGAGGCCCCTCACGGCTGCGCGTCGAGACAACGTTGACTAGAAACGTCAACTACTATCTTTTTTCGGGGGTTCATCTTGTGCGGGGCTCCTTCTCGAGCTCGTTTCGTCCGGTGAAGCAAGCAAGCAGCAGAGGGTTATAAAAAAAGAAAGAGAAAGGCCCTTTACCTCGGTATATTTATAACCACTAACCACACCTTTTTTTTCCTCTTTCTCTCGCTTCACATCAAGGAGCCGTAACTACTTTCTTTGATAACTGTGCCCTTTTACTATTATTTTTCTTCTTCCCGGTTTCGTCTTCCTGGTAAAGGGAACTGCTGATACAACTCGTACAGTGTTGCAGACTTCGGTAGGACTCCGTCTTTTCGTCCCCCACTCGCGAAGTCGGACGAAAGGCGACGTGCACGCCAGCAAGCGCCACCTCTGCCGAGTACTTTTACGGGTTGACAAAAAAAGGAAGAAGAAGTGATTGAGCAGTCAAGTCGCGCTTGCACGCTGGACAGATCCGTTGCTTGTTAACATCCCCGCGAGACTCTTCAAACGAAACGTTCACGCATCTTTCGTTTCTTTGAAGGCTCCCTCTAAGGAGAACATCACAATACAGTTTTTTATATGTTTCTTGTGCTTTCATTGGGTGCCCTGGACCAGCTACATTGCGGTTTCTTTCTATGTCAATTCGTAGAATCACTGTTTTCATTACTCTTTTCACATCCACACAAACATCTACACGCACCAACGCCTTCGATACCGCCCGCAGGCATCACGTTTTCTAGTCGGTGAAACCGTATTATTTCCTTTTCTCTTGACGCTCTTCTTTTGCTCTTTTCCGTTATCAATTATTTTTCTCTATTAATTCTGCTTTTCTAAACAACCAGGAAAGCCTGCATTCCCCCCCCCTCCCTCCCTCCTCTTTTCTCTGGTGCTCTAAAAGTAATCAACTGGTCGTGTAAAGCTTGTCTGTTTCCTCCTTTTAATTTTGTCTCTTGAGCATACCACTACGTGTTTCCCGATTCCACGTCATTTCTCTTTTCAGCCGCTGTTATCACCCCCTCCTCCTTTTGTGTTTTCTTCGGTGCGACACCAGCCTTTTTTTTTTGTTCTGCCTGCTTTCCCCCATTTTCCGTTGTCATTTTTACTGCTACATTGTTCTTGCCTCGACACCGCTTTCCTTTCTCTCGACGTTGGTGGCGCGGTCTGTCGTGTGTGATCTGCGCGCGTTCTCGTGTCGTATCGTCGCTTTACTGCAGCTCTTACTGTCAACAGCGGCATTGTGGTGTTCATCCCACCGGAATTGGGGTCTTCTGCTCCTATTTCTTGCGTTTGCGCCTGCTCTTTCCGTGAGAGGGCAGTTGCAGCTGAGGGCATGGGCCGTCACACGCGAAGCGGACGCATTGCCACCAACGCCCCGAGCAACATCGACGCTCTCCAGCAGCCATTGCAGCAGCAGCATCAGAAGACGACGTCGAGTTGTCGCGACGGGGAAACCACCCTCCCCAAATTTGTACCTCTGTACCGCGTGGACCGCGTGGGCACCTCCACCGATTCTCTTTCCGAGGGCACCCCTGCCAACGCCTCCACGACCGTCTCACGAGGCCCATCCTTCAACGATCTGCACGACTCCGACAACTTCCAGCACCGCGCCAGCACTCGCCGCGGCTCGCACTTACACATCATTCGCGACAGCTGTGGTGGTGGAGGTGGTGTGAGTGGTGTCCGTAGAATGCAGCCCAAGCTCCCCAGTCGTCGCGGGTCTCTGGAGCACATGGCGAACCTCGACGCCGTCGCCCGCTGCGTCTCAAAGGTGCCCACCGCCGCAAACCCCTTCAACACGGCGCCGCCGCCACGCCTGTCGCGACGAGCATCAGCGTCGGAGTCCACCGTGCCTTGTTCGGTCAACCTCGCAGTGGGTGGGGGGAGCCAAACATCCTCCTCGCGGTGCCTCTCCACGCCTCTGCAAATGGTGCCCGCAGCGGGCTTCCTGCGGCGGTTGGAAAGAGAGAGCAGCTTCGACAGCAGCCGCAGCCGCAGCCAAGACCACGTGCCGCCCTTCAAGGAGCCGCCCTGCAGATCCGTTCGCACCTCCGTCGCTTTTCTAACCGCCGTCGTGCCGCCGGAGGACTGCCGGCGTGCCGGTGCGCCGTCTTTGCTGACGGCAGCGGGCAGCAACGGCACCGCGACCCTTCCCTTAGCCGGCGACGGCTCCTTCACTAATCCGGTCACCTTGATGGTGAGCACAGCCGGGGCCCCAGCAAACGGCCCGGCGTCGTCCCTTGCCCACGTCTTGCCTGGTGAGGAAGCGCTGCCCTCCGCTTTGGCAGGGCGGGAGGAAGGCCCGGCAGCCCACCGTCGTGCGAGCGCTCCGCCGGCCGTGCGGAGCTGCCCTATTGAACCGGACCGGGTAGACGCGTATCCGCCCCTCTCACTGCCGCAGGCGCCGTCGCGGCTGCGCAACTCCGTTTCCCCGCTGCCGTCTCTACAGCCGCGGCGCCGTCGCAACGGATCGATCCGGGACGCCTCGACCTCCCCGTCCGTCGACTCAGCCGCCGCAGACGAGAATGAGGCGGTGGCCCGCGGACGCAAACGGGCCTCCTCCCTCACCATCTCCGCAGAGGCGAACAGCACATCTCCTGCTACGGGGCCGCGGCGGGTGCACTTCAACCTGCAAGACCCGTTAAATGACTCCGTCCTCCTCGGCAGCCCGATCCATCTTGGCGCGGGAGAAGAGAGGCGGAGCGCGCATTGCCCTCTCCCTGCAACGGCCCCCGTCGCGCTCAACACGAGCCCGCCGATGACGAACCTTTCCATTAATTCACTGGACTGCAGTGCCCGCCAAAGCCCGGGTACCGATCTTCACGGCAGCCTCAACAACAGCAGCAGCAACAGCTGGGCGGTTCCGCCGACGAAGCTGAGCGCGTCGTCGCTAGTGGCTGTTCCCCCTGCCGCTCCCGCAGCGCCGACTGCTGCATCGACCGTCCCCACCTTGTCGCTGCGGCTCAATTTGAAAGACGGCCGCATCGAAGCGCTGCCCACCACCATCGCCACCGTCACCAGCGCCGGCGGGCGCTCCTCCTTCTCCAACTCGTCCTCCATCAACGAGAATCTCAGCGGGGCGACCTACAAACCGCAGGTGCCGCTGCCAAAGCCGGCGCTGAAGTCGTACTCCCGCTACAACGGCGACGCCGCCGGGGGGTGCGTCGACGCGGCGTCGGCCAGCGGTGTCAAGACGACCCTGTTCAACCAGGAAGCCAAAAGTTCCTCGATGGTGCGCGGGGTAGTGCATTCGCTGCAGCGCATCGCCGTGCGTTATCAGCGACGGCGTGGCTCGGCGGGCACGTTGAGCGAGGGCCCCATGCTGTCGCCTCTGTCCGCGTCGCCGCAGCGCTACCGGTCATCCGAGGTGGTTGTGAAGTGGTCTCTGCTGGGGATGGCCGCGCTGCTTTCGATTTTGCTGATTTTGCTTGCCACCGCGGTCGATTAAGCGGTCGACGGGAGAGGTGGGATGGGAAGCGAGGGAGACACACATTCGCACACAGAAAGAGGTGCGTAGTGCCGATGGCTCCCTGCAGAGAAAATACACTCACACACACTTCTCATTTGTAAGTGGCGTGTACTCTGCACAGGCTCAGGCAGAGGAGTTTGTGCTGCCGCCGTTCCCATTGAAGCTTGACGGGAGTACCTGCATTTGTATCCCTCGTCATTTCTTTGTTCTGCTTTTACGCATTTGTGCTTGGTGCTTCGCTTTTGTTTTCGTTTTCGCTGCTTTCACGGAATCATTTTTCTCCCCACTTGCTGAGCGGAAGTGCGTTGAACAGAGCACGTGTGCAGCGCACTGAGTGTGGAGTATTCTCCTGTGTTGTTCTTCTTGTCGCTGTATAGAATTTTTTTTTCTTCTGTTTTGTTATTGCATGCTGTCTTGTTTCTCTTCCCTTTCACTTCATGTGCTTTTCTGTTGGCGGCTCCGTATGTGATGTGCGGGTGTGCGGCGTGCACCTCTCCTCCTTTATTAATGCGCAAAGTCAATGTGGGTGCAAGGCTTCTGAAAGAAACCCTTTTCGAAAGGAACTAACGCGCAGCCTCCACTCACTCAGAACAGGAGAAGAGGTACCAAAGCACAGAGTTTTTGTTTTGTTCTGGGAGGCGAGGGGAGGGTTGGTGTGTTCGAGCGCGACAGCCGCACCGCCAGATGGAACATCACCCCCCTGCACTCCACTGCTTCCTCCTTTTCAAAAGAAGAAGAAAAATAAAGGCGGATTGCCTTCGTGGAGGACACGCGGCCGGAACAGGCAGAGGCACAGCGGCGAACAACCGGTGCTCACTGGTCAAAACGTGTTGTTCTTGGGCAGAGTACCCATCGAAACGTTCTACGTGAAGGGAAGGGCGATTGGGGAGGACATGCGCATGCTTTGGCTTTTGCTGTTCACTGGAAGTAAAAGGCTTTTTGGTTTAATGAGTGAACCAACCTCAGCTATTTTCCTTCTCCCGTTTGTAAGCAGTGAAGACGTGCACTCGTTGAGACGCTTCTGTTATTGAAAAAGGAAGGCTTTCACCCGAGTTTAACTGTGCAGCGGTGGACACGCACAACACAACACACACGCCAAGAGGAGATGAAAATGAATATTTGAAAAGAAGCAGACTAACAAACAAACGGAGGAAGCTAGCTGAAGAGCGCGCGCACGGGAGTGCACACATACGGCAAGACAACACTCCCATCATAAAGAGTGCGGATTGACTGCTGAGCGGCGTGTGTGTGCCGATTTCATTTCCTTTTACCTACGTGCGTGTCGGTGTGCGCCTTACACCGCAAAGACACTCTCTGTAGGGCATTGGGTTCTCTTACGTTGGAACGTAGAGCGCCACAAGCAATTCGCTTTCGAATGAAGACCCTTTTTATTTACTTATTCAAAAAATAATGATAATAAAACAGGAAGGAGGTAACGTAAAGCGTGAAACCGGTTTCTTTTTTTCTTCTGCTGATCGAAGGAATAAAGGTTAGGAAACTTGAAGAACCTTCCTTTTCGTCCTTTTCCTTTTTGTATTTTTTTTTCCTCATGGTCCTCTCCCGCACCCACGTCATATATTTATTAAGCTTTCATTTCGTGGGAAGAGTTTTTCATGCGCGGCAAAATCCTCTCCGTCATTTATGTGGATAACAACTCTCCGTTGATTCTCATTTTGTTTCACACCTCCTCATTCCTTTTCCTGTTCCTTTTCCTGTTCCTTTCCCTTCATTATTGTGCTGCTCTTTGACGTAATTTTTTTCTCTGCGTGTGTGTCTTTGCGTGTTCTTTTTCCCTTGCATGTTTGTACTTTTTGTTTTTTGTCTGCTGCTTGTTTAGGCGAATACATGGCGCAGTTCTTCATCACATCTCGACTTCTTTCTTCTATTATTCTTTAGATCCTGCTTTCGTTGCTCTCGATTTTTTATTGGAGAAGGATGAAGTCGGTAAGGCCAAGAAAGGTTGATGCAAAACAGTGGTAGTTATCTCTTCGCAGAAGTCCCCTGTCGAAGGTTTTTTTGTTTTAAATATAACTGGGTTGTGAACGCAGGTTTGTGGGTTGATGGGTTTCAGTGGCCTGTGTTTGCGTACTCTTTTTCTTACAAAAAGTGACGTCGCGCGACGAACAATAATAATAGCACTGCAAGCTTCTTTCTGCTTTTTCTTTTCTCCTTCTTGTCTTTCATTTTTTATTTCTCACTGCGCCCCTCCACGTTTCTTGCATCGTCAACCAGGACAATACCCATCGATATACACGACAGGACTTGAAATGCTGTCGTTTAAAGCAAAGTGTCAAACATCTGTCTGTTTCACTCTCCCCCTCCCCCTCTATTGGAAAACGAGTGCATTTCAACAGTCCGCCCTCGATACACTCTCCCAAAAGCCGTTTTCTCCCACTGTCGGATTTGTCTTTTTCTTTTAAAAAGAGAATATACGCTCTCTTCGGAACACTGAACACGCATTCGCGTATGTGTTCTTGTTGCCGGCTATTCCTCCTTTGGTTTCCTTTATTTGAAATGTTCTCATTCATTCTATTAGCACACAAAGATATACTTTTCTGCATTCCTGTCAACACAGGCTGGGAACTGCGATTCTTTCGGACTCTTGCGGTCGAGAAATACGGTGTCGGCTCATTTTTGTTGTTCCCGTCTTCGTTTATTCTTTCTGATTCAACGGTGATTTATAGCCGCAGCGGCGAGTTGTCTCCCGGAAGTTCATTTTGTTTTTGTGTTTTTGGTGGTCTTTCCTTTGATGACCGTTCGCTATCGCGTGTGCATTGCTGTGTCCCCCTCTCAAGCGAATGCTCTTCCTCCATACCGCCTGTCTTCTCTTCCGTTAGCTGCAGTATTTTGCTTTCTACCGAAAGAAAAAGGAAGTCTGGCAAAAGAATAAAGACGGTATCACCGTGACATGGTTGGAAATCGAGAACACTAGCGCGTGCCTGTGCACGTTGTTGTGTAGGTGTGAAAGACGCACCTCACCCCAAACCAGGGAAATTGTAGGTTTATATGCGTGATGGTTCATGCGCGCGTCGAGGGCTCATCGTAAGTGCGGCTCGTCCAGCAAAGGAGCAAACCACAAAAGAAAAAAGAGGGGAAAACGCACCGAAGAGCCCTTCTCCACCCTCTCAACGGTGTATCGGTTGTGTACGGGTTCATTTGAACTCTTCCACCTCTCGAATTCGCTGTATCGATCATCCTCTTCATATCCCGCGTTGCCCCACCTTTTCTTTTTTTCTTCTCAATAAAAAACTACTGTCTCTCCGTTCACACGCGTACACACACACACACACATGCCATCCCATCTGTTCATCTCTCTCTTCGTCAACACATCTCGTACACGACAGCATTCTTCTTCAGGAATTTGTTTCGTGTTCTTGTCATCACTTAATTGGCCTCGTAGCGTCTCGCTGCCGCACTGAGCGCTCTCTCGCCGTGTCCGCCTTCACACCTTCCTTTTGGTGTTCTTTGCTTCCCTCGTCTCGTCACAGAGCCGCGGCTCCTACAAACTCGCACACGTCTTACGGGGACACACACGCATTCGTGCACGGCAAAAGGAAAGGAAAGATCAGAGGAAAAACAAAAAAATCGCGAACCCCAATGGACTTCGCCTTCGACCTTTACACGTCCGTCCTGCCGGTGGACAAGGATAAGCTGACGCACCAGATGTTCATCTTTTGGCTGATCCTTGCCACGGGCGGCACCTTCATGTATCTCGCCTTCGCCTCGATGTCGTACAACTTCTACTTCCGCCGCCTGAGGCGCCAGTTCTTCCCGAAGACCATCGACCCGGAGGACGAGGCGGAACTGTGGCGGCAGGTGAAGCACGAGATCTGGATCGCGACGTGCTCCATCCCGTTCATGGCGATCCTGATGATGCCGGCGGCCACGTTCGCGCACCGCGGCTACAGCCAGCTGTACCACAACGTCTCCGACTACGGGTGGGGATACTTCCTCGTGTCGCCCCTGCTGTTCTTCTCGTTCACGGACTTCATGGTGTACTGCTTCCACCGCGGCCTGCACCACCCCATCATCTACAAGCGCGTCCACAAGCTGCACCACACGTACAAGTTCACTACTCCCTTCTCGTCGCACGCCTTCAACCCCGTGGACGGCTTCGGGCAGGGCGTGCCGTACTACATCTTCGTGTACCTCTTCCCCCTGCACAGCACCCTCTTCATCTGTCTCTTCGTGATGGTGAACTTCTGGACCATCTCGATCCACGACCAAGTGGACTTCGGCGGCCACTTCATGAACACGACGGGCCACCACACCATCCACCACGAGCTGTTCAACTACGACTACGGCCAGTACACGACGGTGTGGGACCGCCTCGGTGGGTCGTACCGTCCCGCAGAGCAGACGCACCAGCTGACGACGCTGCTGCACGCGTGCGACCAGGACTACGTGGACCCGGTGTACGCGACGTACCACGACGAGAAGGGTTTCCTGGCCGGCCGCTTCAAGGAGGAGGCTGCTGCGCGCCACAAGAAGTCCTCGTAAGCTTCTGCGGTTGTACGCAACGGAAGAGAGGTGGCTGGAGGTGTGTCGGAGTGGAACGTCGTTATGGCAAGAGAGGACCTCTGACTCCTCTTTGTCTCCTGCGCAGCCGGCAGTGCTGCTTTTCACCTCCCCGAGAACGTTGGCACGTGCTGCCCCCGTCGACTCGAAGACACACACGTGGGGGCGGCAGTCTTTCTTGGATCGGCGAAAGATCAACGAAGCTTCTTTTTCTGCTCTCACGTCCGCCATGGAGGAGAGCAATGCATGAAAGAAGGACACACAAAGGTAAAGCTGCAGCTGTCGATGCGGAAGAATCACTCGTGACTCGTTTGTTTCTCTCTTCGCACCTTTTCCTTTCCTTTCCCTTCTAGGGAAGCGGTCTGAAAGTGATCCAAAATAATTAATGCTACTTTAACCCTTTTTTCTTGGTTTCGCATGTGAGGTGACCGCGGAATCTGAAAAAAAAAACAAGAAATAATGTGTTCTCTGCTTCTTTGTTGTCGTTCTTCACGCCGCACGACGATGGGCTCGGAGCAGTTCTCACTCTATCTTTTGCTTCGCGTTGCCGCTCCGTATGCGGCACCCGTCCATCAAGGCCGACGCCGCGACGAAAACGTATTGTTGTGCGTACCTGCGGTGCACCACGCTTGGCTGCCATCTTTGACGTCCACTAAAAGGAAAAGAAGAAAATAAAGAAGAAGCCGAATCTTTTTCTCTGTACCTGCGTCGTCTTTTCGCTTTGTGCTTTTTGCCGTTGGTGTCTTTGTTGTGTCTCCGTGTGCGTGTACGTGACAATGGAGTGGCCACCACCCTCGCAGGACTACGGTCAGCGGAAGGGAAAGGCTATTGAGTTCGATGTGGTGAGGTACATCCGATGCAGCAGCTGAGAGCTGTCTTTTACAACTTCCCAGTAGAACGCGAGGCGTTACGCGGGCTCAATTTCTCTCCCCCGGAACAGGTATCTACTAGAGGAAGCGGCGCCGCGAAACAGCGTTTTACGCCGGTTTGAAGAACGGCATGTACAGCTCTACATTCTATAATAGAAAAAAAGGACTTGTTCTTTGATGTCAGATCGAGAGAAGCCGGTAAGGGAGACGTCACCCTAGTTTTTTCTTACGTCGTTGCTGGCTCTAAGTGCTGCTTTATATGGTTGGTCTCCGCATACATTCAGCAGATAGAGACAACTTTCCGCGTCTGCACGAGACTTCTGCTGTGTGCCTCGTCGCGGCACCGCGCACACATACGCCAACGTTCAGCAAGCAGGGAAGAAGGAAAAGGGGATCTACCTCTTTCCTGAGTGTTTCGTACGCAACTCTTGCTGTATATATAAACAAAAATAACTTACCTTTTCTCTCGTAGTCGAAATGCGTGAGAACATCTCAAAACAATAATAATAAAAAGGGCGTGTGCTCGTGCGTTGTTTATACACCAGAAAGCTTATCTTTGTTTCTTTCGTCATCTTGCTTCTTTGTCTTCTGTGTTTGGTTTGTCCAGTTAGCCGAGAAGAAAGCGAGGCAGCGAGACTGGCCATGCTCAAGGCAGCTGCGCACGCCTGCAAAGAACAGCACACCAAAATATATAAAAAATAAACAAAAGATAGCAGTTTTCGTGCGCTTAGAGTTGAGCGAGAAAGCACTCTTCGCGTGCACGAGCTGCAGCCGTCACACTGCGGTGCCCTGTTGGTCTTTGGTGGGACGGAGGGTACACATGGATGTGACCTCTCTTTTTGCAAGAGAGTAAACACGTGCTTTGGTTATCTTCCCTTCCCTTTTTCTTCTTCCCTCATCCGTCATTCAAGCGTGATGAAACCCATGATAGAGCAAGCGCCACTCATCTGCCTTCTCTCACCCTCTTACTCCCTTCTCTTTTCTTTTTCTTCTCTTCTGTCTTTTTCCTATTTACACAACAACGATAACAACATAAAACGCGTATGCCGATGCACCGACGTGAAGTTATACCTCCATCTGTTCCTCAAAAAAAATAAAGTCCTTCTCACATTTGTTACATCATTTCTTTCCTTTATTTTTTCCCTCGTACATCTATTACGCCATCCCCAATGGACTTCGCCTTCGACCTTTACACGTCCGTCCTGCCGGTGGACAAGGATAAGCTGACGCACCAGATGTTCATCTTTTGGCTGATCCTTGCCACGGGCGGCACCTTCATGTATCTCGCCTTCGCCTCGATGTCGTACAACTTCTACTTCCGCCGCCTGAGGCGCCAGTTCTTCCCGAAGACCATCGACCCGGAGGACGAGGCGGAACTGTGGCGGCAGGTGAAGCACGAGATCTGGATCGCGACGTGCTCCATCCCGTTCATGGCGATCCTGATGATGCCGGCGGCCACGTTCGCGCACCGCGGCTACAGCCAGCTGTACCACAACGTCTCCGACTACGGGTGGGGATACTTCCTCGTGTCGCCCCTGCTGTTCTTCTCGTTCACGGACTTCATGGTGTACTGCTTCCACCGCGGCCTGCACCACCCCATCATCTACAAGCGCGTCCACAAGCTGCACCACACGTACAAGTTCACTACTCCCTTCTCGTCGCACGCCTTCAACCCCGTGGACGGCTTCGGGCAGGGCGTGCCGTACTACATCTTCGTGTACCTCTTCCCCCTGCACAGCACCCTCTTCATCTGTCTCTTCGTGATGGTGAACTTCTGGACCATCTCGATCCACGACCAAGTGGACTTCGGCGGCCACTTCATGAACACGACGGGCCACCACACCATCCACCACGAGCTGTTCAACTACGACTACGGCCAGTACACGACGGTGTGGGACCGCCTCGGTGGGTCGTACCGTCCCGCAGAGCAGACGCACCAGCTGACGACGCTGCTGCACGCGTGCGACCAGGACTACGTGGACCCGGTGTACGCGACGTACCACGACGAGAAGGGTTTCCTGGCCGGCCGCTTCAAGGAGGAGGCTGCTGCGCGCCACAAGAAAACCGTGTAAGCGGTTGAAGTTGAAGATGGATAGGATTGGATAGAGTCTCTGTACACGTGTAAAGAGTAGCGACGTGCGCCGGCGTTTATTTCTCATTCTACATTGATGCCTTTGCCTTCTGGGTTAAATCGCCTTTCCCGATGCGCAACTTGAAGGAATGAAGAAGGGAAGAAATGCGCTTTGACCGTTTGTTTCTCTCTTCCATGGAGAGAAGAATGGCGGCATTTCTTTTTGTGTGTGTTTTTCCCCTTCTTTCGTTGCGTGACAGCACGAGGTGAAGGACAAAGAAAACGAAGGGAGGAGAGCAGCACAAAGCGCTTTTTTCCTCTCGCTGTATTTTGGATGATTTTACACGGATAGGCTCTCCAGCACGCATTTTCAGCTATCCGACAACGTGACGGAGTCCTCCTGCACCATCGTGTCCGTTTTTGAATTCCTTTCAGGTTTTTTTATGTTTTACTTGTGAAATTTAGAAGTATTCCAATATCTGTCTTTTAAATGTTTTGGTTTTGGATATAGGAATACTCAAATACGCATTAAGAAGGAAAAGTGAGCCATAGAAAAAAGGCAAAGAAAAGAAGGAGACGAGGCAACGGCGAAGGATCAGCGGGGCGGCACAAGTGGTTGTGTTCGGCGCAGAGACCAGAGGGGAGGAACAAAGCACCCACCCTCCTTCGGTGGGGTGAAGAAAGGGTTTGTGCGCTCACCACTGCTGTGCTCCCTACGTGTGTATCCATCGTATTTATGTTTCGGTGTTGTTTCAGTCGTTGCTGCACTCTTCTTCTTTTTTTAGATTCGGCTTTGCCCACTTGCGCTGATTTTTGTTTTATCATCGTCTTCTTTTTTGGTTAGTGGGTTTGTGGTGTCTGCGGAGGAGTGTCTTTGCTGCATCCTCGCGGAAGGCGTGACTCCCTCCACCACCTCTCTCCCTCCCCACTCACGAGAAGCCGATGTGCCGAAGTTCAGCTGCCGGAGGCGCTAGAAGCCCACCTGCGCCTTTTTTTTTCTGCTGTTGTTAATATCGTTCCTGATGTTCCGTTTTTATGACTTACACTTTTGATTCTTATTATGTTGTTTTGCCTTCTTTTTTTTTCACTCTTCTAACTCTTAGTTCTTTTTCTCTTGTTTCTTTTTTACTATTGTAGGCAAAAAAGGAACGTCGAGGGATTGTGTCCACCGCCGCGTTTATCGTCTCTCCCACCCTCCCGTTCGCTTCTCTGCCGGTGTTCTTCTTCTCCTGCCTAAACGCGTGTCAGATGGATGAACGGCGTGGCCATTTGCACCATGCTGAACGCACCCGCAGCAACAACAAAGCCCCCAACAAAGGCGAGAAAATGGAGAACGTTAAGGACAATTTTTTTAAATCAAAATCATCAAAATTTCATAATCTCTTCTTTTTCTTTTGTGTTTCAATTCCCCGGTTTTGATGAGCAGAGAAGAAGAAAAAATGCGTTTTAATATTTGCATTGGCGGTTCAATTTGATCGACGCGCACGGAGACAAACGTGATAAAGGCGATCTCCTTCTTGTGATAGGTAGTGCAACAGAGAACTGAAGCGGCTTGTGCGCTCTTCCAGCGACCCCTTTCAGTTGTTCTTCAAGGAGAAGCTCGAAACACTTAAAGCACCCGCTGAAGTCTTGACTTTTGCTTGCTGTAGTCGTTTCTCCCCCCTGGCACCTTTTCCATATTGACTGTCACTCTCACCTTCTCAACCCAACCTCCGTCTTCTCTGCCTTTCAATGGTTCCAATTGTCACCCCAAAAAGCACTGAGTTAAACACGAGCAAGGGCTTGCGACCAGAGTAAATAAAAATACAAAGCTCACGGCAGTGAATCTGATACCACTCACCAGAGCTTACTTCTCACTCTGAGAGCCCTGCCTGTGCGGATCAGCTTTGTAGGGTTTTTTATTTATTTTAAAGTGGGAGCGCGCCGTTGCTTCTGATAAGTGCGTTGTTTCTTTCCCGTTTGCCGCAACCTCCGTGACACGCCTCGCCCCACAAGAGCTTTCAAGAAAGGGAGGCTGGGCAGAGACACACCGACCTACACGCGCTCGGCCCGAAGAAGACCGACCGTTTCTCAAGAGAAAGGCTCTCATCTTCTCTTCTTTCCGTTTTTTTTTCTTCTTGTGCGCGTATTGCCGTCCGCGCAGAAAGCAAAGGAAAATATTACGCGAGAGAGTCGACACGGGCGTAAAACGCGAAAACAAGAAACCCTGTCGGTGAGACAAAAGTGCATCATCGCAGCAGCTCGTACTTTCTTTTCTTCTCTTCTTCGCTGCCGCTGCCGCTGCCGCTGCCGTGATCATTCTTGTTTTTTTTGGTACTCCGGTTTGCTCGATAAAGTGTTCTGAGGACATCCCTTTTCTTCTCCAGTTTAAGACTCCCGCCTCCGCCGAATCAGCACACGAGCATTTGTTTTCCTTTTATTTCATGGTTCAACTTGTCACCTTTGTCTGTTAAAAACTGTTATTATTATTATTATTTTATCTTTCAACGATCCTGCCTTTGCCCTCCTTGCTCACCAACGCCACCTCTGCACTCTTCTTTCTTCTCTGTCTCTGAACGCGTGACGACACGATGACGTCAGCAGAGGCGAGTGCGGAGTGCCTGCAGTGGGTGGAGGATCGTCTGCAGGACACCCTACGATGTAACATAGAAGATGAACTCACCGCACAGCAGCACTTCGTGATCAACGAGATGCTCATGGGCGAGGACGCACGGTACCGCGTCCTCTTCGCTTACTACGCAGAGCCCGTGGTGACCCCAGCGAAGGCGAAGAAGACCGTCTCAACCTCCGGACCATGCACCTCGATGGAAAACAACAGCGGTAACTTCAATGGAGCGGCGAATGGACAGAGCGCCTTACACGTTCCATCGCGTCGCACCACCGTAGGAGCGAAGGATGCGGTGAGCGGGCTCAACCGCAGCCACCCCGCCAGCGACAACGATGACGACCCCGCCGCTGCCGCCGGTGGTGCAGCCGCCACCCCGCAAGTCAGAGGCAGGAACTCGGTCACGTCGTTTCAGGCCTTTGCTGCGGACGCGGGCGGTGCCGCTGCTCCACCTCCGCCGCCTCAGCTGCAAGTCATCGCCGGCTTTCCGGAGCTGGCGACGCGTGGCGGCTTACCGGGGGTGTGCAGTGACGTCGTTTTCTTTGCCCGCCTCGAAGCGGATAAACCGCTGCTGCGTGAGACACTGGAGAATTACGTGATGTGGGGCACCCTACGCGGCACGCACCTGCTCGACAGTTTCCTGCGCACCGTCCAGCACATCATCATGCCCACCTTCCTACACAACTCGTGGCCTACCAGCATTCAAAAAGACGTGCACACCGCGCTGCACCGCTTCATGGCGACAGTGGTCGAGGACGTGAATGGACTGAAGGGGAGGACGGTGTTGTACGTGCCGAGTGACCTAGCCGGCATCGCCTCCTCCCAGGCGCACACCGATCATGAGCTCGTTCAGCGCTACGAGGCGACAGTGATCCACTGGACCCGGCAGATTAGAACGGTGGTCAGCGAGCGCGACACGACGGCCGGCGACGAGGACAGCGCGGGGCCGCTGGAGGAGCTGCAGTACTGGCGGGCACGCGCGCGCGACTTGGGCAACATCCGCACGCAGCTCAACCGCGAAGAGGTCGCCTCCGTCGTGCGCGTGCTGAAGGAGGCGAAGTCGCTGTACTATCTCGAGCCCTTTCTCAGCCTTCGCAGCGACATCGAGCGTGGCACCGAGGAGGCCTACGACAACCTGCGCTACCTCTCCACCCTCAACGAGCCGTGTGAGCGTCTCGCCAAAGCGAAGCTGAACGAGATCCCGCGAGTGGTCCAGGACGTGCTGAAGCGAATTCAGCTCATCTTCATCTTCTCCAAGTTCTACAAGAAGGAACGCATTATCCGCCTGCTGCGCATGGTGTCGAGTGAGATTATCAGCCGCTGCAGCAGCAAGATCAATGTGCGGGCCGTCTTCGCCGGCGACGTGAAGGACAGCATGAAGGCACTGGAGGACAGTATGGTTGCGGGGGAGGCGTGGCTGACGGAGTGCCGTCGCATGTTGGCTGCCACCCGCCGTCGTCTGCGCGTGGAGCGGGGGGAGAAGGTGGAGTTTGATGAGTCCTTCTTGAACGAGATGGACGGCTTCGTTCGGCACCGCTGCCAAAACTTGAAAGAAATCTGCCTGAGTCAGCTGCAGTTTGGCTTCAGCGCCGGCGCGGACGGCGAGGCGGTGCGGTCGTCCTCCGTCGCACGCGCGGACACGAACACCACGTCGCTCCGCCACATCAGTCGGCGCACAAAGACGTCGGGCTTCGGCCGCGAGCTAATCGCCGCCGGGGCCCCTCTCAGCGTACCGGAGCTGGATGTCGTGATTCGGTCCCCGGCAGAGCTGTTCGAAGGCCGGCTGCCCATCTTCCGCGGCAACAAAGGCCCGGAGCTGGAGTCGCAGTTGATGGACATCCAGCGCGCCTTCAAAGCAAAGATGGAGGTGCTGCAGCACTTCACGTACAACGTGCTCGACGTGAAGTCGACGCAGTGGGTGGACGACTACCGCGCCCTCAAGGCGGATGTCGAGAACCTGAGCGTGATGATGCGCCAAATCATCACCGCCGCCTTCGACGCGGTGGCGACGGTCTCGATGGGCGCCGAGGTGATTGAGGCCTTCACCCTCATCAGCAAGAGCGAGGAGCTGCTGATGCAGCTGGACCGCAACACCGACCGCGTCTTCCGCCTCTTTGGGCAGCACCTCAAGGCGGTGCAGGGGGACATGCAGCGCTTCTTTGGGCGCTCCCCACCTCTTTTCTACCGCCACCCTCCGCTCGCCGGACAGGCGGCGTGGGCGTTGTTTCGCCTGGCGTTTCTCTCCAGTGAGCAGGCGTCTCTTCACCGCTGCTACGCACTGCCGAACTCGCCAGATAAGGACGAGGCCCTGCAACAGTACGATCGACTCGACCGCATCTTCCGCGAGTACGTGCGGAAGGCCTACAACGAGTGGATTGCCGCGATCCCTGCCAAGCCGGCGGAGATGCTGGACGACTGCCTTCTGCTGCAGCGGCCTGGCACCGGCACCGACGTCGAGCACCCGCCGCTGTACGACGTGAACTTCCCAATGGACCTTCTGCTGCTCTTTGCGGAGGCCCGCTGCTGGCAACGCATGGGCGAGCCGGTGCCGGCAGAGGTTGTGGAGATCAGCACGCGCGAGGAGCGCCTTCGCCTCTTCCGCGAGAATGTCTCCATCGCGGTGCGTCTGCACAACGCGGCGGTCTACTCCTTATCGAAGGAGGAGCTGCGACTCTTTGCCCTGCGCATTGAGACGATGGACTCGAAGTTTCAGCCGGGGCTGGGCAAGCTGCTGTGGAACTCACAGGGCATTGTGGAGTACTTTGTGCGTGAGTGTCGCCTGCAGGCCGATCAGGTGCAGACCGTCATCGACGACTTCAAGTTCTGTGGCACCTTCATCGTCTACCACTGCAACCTCATCGCGGATACGCTGGCGGTGCTGGTGGAGAAGAAAGTCATCTACACCCCCGCGGCCTTCGCGGCGAAGCAGAAGTCGTACCGCGCCGCGGTCATCCAAAAGGTGAGCAAGATATACAAACTAATGGTGCAGAAGCTCTACAACGTCTTCCAGCACTTCCGCGAGGACTACAGTGTGAGCCACACGGTGCGCGCGGAGTGGCACGACTACGTTGAGCGGGTGGAGCTGAAGCTAGAGGAGGCGCTGCGCACGATGGTGAAGCGCTCCCTGCTAACCGTGGAGCGGGTGCTGCCGCAGGAGAGCAGCATGGACCGCCTGGACGAGAAGGTGTTCCGCCTCAATGTGATGATCAGCGTCGCGGCGGACCACAAGCCCGTCATTCACGCCTCCCCCTCGGTCGCGGAGCTTTCGCAGGAGGTGAATGATGTCTGCAAGGCCATCATCGGCGTCGTGCGAGATCTGCCGCGGCTGGAGGACTCGCTCGAGCAGCGCATCCGAGAGGAGACGGAGGAGTACCTGACGGAGCACAATGCCACCGCCGTGCACTACGCCCATCCGAAGAGTGGGTCGCCCATGACGCTCCGCGGCTCCTATTATGAATACATGACAGGGGACCAGGACACCATCCTCACCCTGGGCCGCATCCAGGACTCCTTCATCAGCATCGCGGAAAAGGTACGCGACAAGCTGAACCAGACCTGGCAGCTGCATCAGTCCTCATCGACCGACAACTTATGGACGACGCAGCGGCAGGACCGCCGTATTAAGCAGGGCTGGAAGCTGGAGGACTACCGCATCAACATGGACCACGTTGCCCAGCGCCGCGAGGGCATCGAGAAGCAGGAGGTTTTTGCGGAGGTGCTCTTCCTACAGCTCGACTTCACCAAAATGAAGGAGACGTTCCGCGCGCAGTGCCAGTTTGTCATTCAGCACTACCACAGCCTGCTCTACGCCGAGGCCCGACAGGAGCTGGACAACACCTACGACTCTTTCAAGTTCACGACGGAGACGCTGTCGCGCGAGCCGAAGACGCTCGATCAGCTCGGCGAGCAGGTGCGGCAGTGCACCATCGCCCTGGACGCGTTGCCCTCCGTGGAGGGTCAGTTCGACATGCTCGCCCAGAAGTTTGCCCTCATCACGAGCGAGGCGTACAACTTCGGTGGGGTCGACCCGGCGGATGTGGCGCGCTGCGAGGCACTGCCGGAGGCGTTCGAGGCCTACGCCGTGCAGTTGAAGGCGATCCGCAAGCAGCTCGACGTGTACAAGGAGCAATTCCGTGTAGAGGTAGAGGCGGATCTGCGCGCCCTCGCATCCAAAAGCTTCACACTGTACCAGCAGGTGCGTGATGAGGCGCCGACGATGTGGAGTCTCAAGACGGCGGAGGCACTGGCGCAGCTCGACGCACTGCAGCGCAAGGCGGTCGCGCTGCGCAACCTAGAGAAGAGTCTGCAGCAGGGCATCGACATTTTCGGCCTCGAGCACCCCCCGTTGGACGACCTTGTCAAGGCCGAGACGCGGCTGCGGCTGCTGCGCCGGGTATGGATGCTCGTGCGGGACTGGCGCACCCACACGCACTCGTGGAAGCACACGTACTTCATGAAGCTGAGCAGCGAGCGCATGCTGGAGGATATTGAGTCGACACGGAGGGAAGTGATGCAGCTGCGCAAGGACATGGAGCAGCTGGATGTGTGGCAGCAGTTGAAGGAAGACATCGAGCTCATCAAACGCATTCTGCCGATCATCGACGACCTCCGCACACCGGCGATCCGGCCGCGGCATTGGGAACAACTGAAGGTGCAGCTCGACACGGAGTTTGACCTCGACGACGAGAAGTCCTTCTGCTTGCAGCGCCTGATGGACGCCCACGTGGAGTCGCAGGCGGAGTTCATCAGCAACATGGCCGTCGCCGCCCGCGAGGAGCTGAAGATCGAGACGGACCTGGAAAAGATCTCGCTCTTCTGGGAGGAGGCGGTGCTGATCATCGAACCCTACCTCGGCTACCACAAAATCGCCGCCGTCGAGGACATCAACACGGCGCTGGCGGAGCACCTGATGATGCTCAGCTCGATGAAGATGTCGCGCTTCGTGGACAACTTCCGGCCGCGAGTGGTGCAGTGGGAGCAGCTGCTGTCGCAGGTCGCGGACACGATAGAGGGGCTGCTCGGGGTGCAAACGAAGTGGATGTACCTGGAGAGCATCTTTGTGGGCAGCGAGGATATTAAGCGGAAGCTCGTGGCGGAGTCGAAGAAGTTTGACTCGATTCATGGGCAGTGGCTCGCCATCATTGCCCGCCTCATCACCGACCCGAACGTGGTGCGCAGCACCCGCCGCGACAGCCTGCTGGAGCAGCTGAACAGCATGAACGGTGACCTGGAGCTCATCCAGCGCAGTTTGGAGGGCTTTCTCGAGGATCGCCGCCGCTGCTTCCCGCGCTTCTACTTTCTCTCGAACGACGACCTGCTCGAGATACTGGGGCACGCCAAGGAGCCGGAGAAGGTGCAGCCGCATCTGCGCAAGTGCTTTGAAGGGCTTTACCGACTGGCGCTGCGCACCAACCGCAACAACCGCGTGTTTGCAGAAGGCATGTCTGCTGCGGACGGCGAGGAGGTCTCGTTTGACCCCCCGCTTCAGATCGACGGCATCCCGGTCGAGACGTGGTTGCGCCGGGTGGAGGGGAAGATGCGGGAGACGGTGCAGTCCTGCCTGAACACCACCCTGGCGGACCTGCAGGCCAGCGTCTACATCCCGCGCCGGCCCATCAACCGCGACAAGCTGCGGCAGTGGGTGGAGAAGCACGAGGGCCAGGCCCTCATCACGGCGGCCTGCATGAACTGGACCCACCAAACCGAAGCCGCCATCGTGGAGTACGGCGACTTGCACCACAACGGACTCAGCCTGGTACGCCGCAAGACCTCTCCGCTATACAAGGTGTACAAGAAGTGGAAGAGTTTGATTCGCAAGTACTGCCAGATGGTGCGCGAGCCGCAGTCGCGGCTGCAGCGCAACAAGCTCGTCTCCTTGGTCACCATCGAGGTGCACTCCCGCGACATTTTGCGCCATCTGCTGGCCCACCGCGTCTACCAGCTGGACGACTTTGAGTGGTCGAGGCAGCTCCGTTTCTACCCGGAATTGCCGAGCAACACTGACAACAGTACCACAACGGCAGCGAGCGCTGCGGCTGCGGCTGCTGCTGGTGCGACGGAGGACCACCGAGCAGGAGATCAAGGAGGGCTGCCGGGCAGCGCCGCCTCCCATGCGGGGGGCGCAGGTGGCAGCGGCGATGCGGCGTCTGCGGCGACGGCTGCGTGTTTGGTGCGGCAGGCGAGTGCGCAGGTGCGATACGACTACGAGTACCTGGGCAACAGCGGCCGGCTGGTCGTGACGGGCTTGACGGATCGTGCGTACATGACGCTGACGACGGCGCTGCAGCTGTGCCGCGGTGGACTCCCACAGGGCCCCGCCGGCACGGGCAAGACGGAGACGGTGAAGGACCTGGGCAAGGCGATTGGCAAGTACGTGATGGTGTTCAACTGCTCTGACGGCCTGGACTACCGCTCCGTCGGCCGCATGCTGAGCGGTATCGCGCAGACGGGTGCGTGGTCGTGCTTTGACGAGTTCAACCGTATCGAGGTGGAGGTGCTCTCGGTCGTGGCGCAGCAGATCCTGTCCATCTTGAACGCCGTGTCAGAGAGTAAGGAGCACTTCTTGTTCGAGGGGACGGAGATCCCGCTGAACGTGAACTGCGGCCTCTTTGTGACGATGAACCCCGGCTACGCGGGCCGCTCGGAGCTCCCGGACAACCTGAAGGCCCTTCTGCGGCCCATCTCGATGATGGTGCCGGACTTCACCCTGATTTGCGAGATCACCCTCCTCTCGGAAGGCTTCGAGGAGTCGGAGTCGCTGTCAAAGAAGGTGTCCATCCTTTACGAGCTCATGGAGAAGCAGCTGTCCAAGCAGGACCACTACGACTTCTCCTTGCGCAACATCAAAGCCGTCCTCGTACAAGCCGGCAACCTCAAGCGGGAGAACTTCCCCGGCACGGAGCAGCAGCTGTGCCTGAAGGCGATGAAGGATATGAACCTGCCGAAGTTCGTGAAGGAGGACGTCCCGCTGTTCCTGAGCATGCTGGGGGATCTGTTCCCTGGCGTGACCCCGCAAAGCGCCGGCCTCGAGGAGCTGCGGGCCGCGACCGTCGACGAGCTGCAGACGGGGATGCTGCAGGTCAACGAGCACATCATCACCAAGTGCCTGCATCTCTGGGACACGCTGCACACCCGTCACGGTGTGATGGTGGTGGGCCGCGCCGCGTCCGGCAAAACGGTCACCTGGCGTACGCTGGCCGGTTCACTGAAGCGGCTGAAGGAGGCCGGCGTGGAGGGCCCTTACGAGGTTGTGAAGGAGTCGTTGCTGAACCCCAAGTCGGTCACGATGGACGAGCTCTATGGCAGCTACAACCAAGCCACGCGGGAGTGGAAGGACGGCATTCTGTCCGACTTGATGCGGCAAATCTGCCGCGACGCGACGGACCCGAGCTACAAGTGGCTCGTCTTCGACGGCCCGGTGGACACGCTGTGGATTGAGAGCATGAACACCGTGCTGGACGACAACAAGATGCTGACCCTCAACTCCGGCGAGCGTATCAACATGAACCCGACGGTGCGGATGCTGTTCGAGGTGCAGGATTTATCACAGGCCTCCCCTGCCACGGTCTCCCGCTGCGGCATGGTGTACTTCAGCGTGGAGGATCTCACGTGGCGGCCTTTCATCAGCACCTGGCTGCAGTCGCGCCGTGTGTTTGAGGTGGCGATGAACGCCCCAAAGCCGGACGCCACGCTGGGCGAGCTGCAGAGCTTCATCGACAACGCGCTGGCACGCGCGCTGGAGTTCAAGCGGGCGGAGTGCGCCGACCTTATCACGACGACGGAGTTCAACACCGTGCGCTCCTTCACAACGATGCTGGACGCGCTGGCGAACACGGAGGCGGCGGCGGTGCTGCCCGGCGGTGCGCGCTACCAAGCCGCGCAGGCGGGCGAGAATTACCTAGCCCAGCTGAGGATGATGGCTACCTTCTCGCTCGTCTGGTCCGTCGGCGGCAGCCTCACGGCCGACTCGCGGCGCAAGCTGGACGCCTTCGTGCGAGAGATGGACTCCTCGTTCCCCTCCACGGAGACCGTCTTTGAGTACTTCCCCGACTTGTCGACGCTGCGGTGGGTGGGCTGGGCCGAGCATCCGGAGGTGCTGAAGCCGTTTGCGCCACCCGAGGGCACACCTTACTACGCGCAGATTGTGCCCACCGTCGACACGGTGCGGTACGCCTACATGGTCTCCCAGCTCGTCCGCAGCCGGGTGCAGCTGGTGCTTGTGGGCACCACCGGTACGGGTAAATCGCTCGTTGCGCACAAGGTGATGCACGACCTCCCGCAGGACGCCTTCGTCACGACCCACCTCCACTTCTCCGCGCAGACGACAGCGAGGAATGTGCAAGAGATCATTGAGGGCCGCATGGAGCACACGTCGAAGAAGGTGTGCAACCCACCTGGCGGGCGGCGTATGGTGTGCCTGATTGAGGACCTGAACATGCCGGCCAAGGAAATCTTCGGTGCGCAGCCCCCGCTGGAGTTGCTGCGGCAGTGGATGGACAACGGGTACTGGTACGACCGCACCTCGCGGTCTAAGCGGCTGGTCAACGACATGCAGCTGCTGTGCTGCATGACCTACGGCCGCCCGGACATCACGGAGCGTCTGCTGAGCAAGCTGAACGTGTTTAACATCGCCTTCCCGGCGGAGACGGTGCTCGTCAGTATCTTCTCCTCCATTCTGGGACACCGCTTCGCACCGTACGCGGATCTGAAGGGCTACGTCGACGCCATCGTGCGCGCAACGATCGAGGTGTACATGAAGGTCTCCACCGACCTGCTACCAATTCCGAGCAAGTCCCATTACCTCTTCAGCTTACGCGACCTCAGCAAGGTCTTCCAGGGCATCTACGGCTGCTACCTCGAGGCCCTCACGAGCAAGGAGCAGCTGGTGGCACTGTGGGTACACGAGTCTCAGCGCGTCTTTGCGGATCGCATGAACGACCCCGCGGACAAGGTGTGGTTCAAGCAGCTCCTGAACGAGCGGCTGAACAACTCCTTCCAGACGAAGTGGGCCAACATGCTCAAGGCCCGCTCCAGCCATTTGAAGAACCAGACCGTGTCGGAGAACGAAAATCCCATCTTTGTGGACTTCCTGGACGGGGAGCAGGACGAGATGGCGAAGTACAAGCTGGTCCCCTCGCTGGAGCAGCTCCGGCAGATTGTGGAGGAGGGCCTGGCGAACTACAACGCAGAGCCGGGCGCGCGGCCGATGAACATCGTCTTCTTCGCGGATGCGCTGGAGCACCTGTGCCGCATTCACCGCGTGCTGCGGCAGCCGCAGGGCAACGCGCTGCTCGTGGGTCTCGGCGGCAGCGGACGCAACTCGTTGAGCCGGCTGGCCACCTACCTCGCCGGCTACACCATGTTCACGATTGAGATCCACAAGAAGTACGACCAGGATCGCTTCCACGACGACCTGCGCACCCTCTACCGTGCCTGCGGTGTCAAGCGTCAGCAGAAGGTGTTCTACATTGCCGACACCCAACTCGTGGAGACGTCCTTTTTGGAAGACCTGAACAACATGCTGTCCGCCGGCGAGGTACCGAACCTGTTTGTGAAGGACGACGTGCAGCAGATCAACGACGATGTGCGCAAGCTGGCTCTGCTGAACGGCTGCCGCGACACCTCCGATGAGCTCTACAACTTCTTTATCCGGCAAGCACGTCAGCACCTGCACCTCGTGATCGCCATGTCGCCGGCCCACCGCCTCTTCTACGTGCGGCTGCGGCAGTTCCCTGCCCTGGTCTCGTGCACCTCCATTGACTGGTACTACGCGTGGCCGAATGAGGCGCTGAAGGAGGTCGGTCTGCGGCACCTGCGCGACTCGCGGAGGGAGGAGGAGTCGGATGCGCTGCTCGAGACGATCAGCGACCTTTTCGTCTACCTGCACGACACAACAAACCAACGGGCGGAGCAGATGCGGGAGCAGATCCACCGCCACACATACGTCACGCCGTCGTCCTTCATCGACCTGGTCCGCGGCTTCCGCACGATGCTGCAGAGTAAGAAGGTCAGCATCACGGAGCAGCGCGACAAGCTCGCCAACGGTATGTCGAAGCTGGAGGAGACGAAGGTGACGGTGAGTGAGATGCGGGAGGAACTGAAGGTGCAAGACGCGCGCTTGCAGGAGAAGTCCGCCGAGGTCAGCAAGGCAACGGAGAGCATCCAGGCCCGCCAGCACATCGCCGAGGAGCAGCAGACCCTCGTGGCGTCGGAGAAGGTGAAGATTGAGCAGACGAAGCGCGCCGCCTTGGTTGATCTGGCGGAGGCGCAGAACGACCTGGACCGCGCCATGCCCACCTTGTTGGAGGCTCAGGCGGCGCTGGATAAGCTGGACAAGAGCGACATCAACGAAGTTAAGTCGTACAAGACGCCCGCGGCGATGATTCGAACGGTGATGGAGGCCGTGCAGACGGCGCTGCACCGCAAGCTCGACTGGGACGAGGCGAAGAAGTCGCTGAGCGAGCCGAAGTTCATCGACATGCTCAAGACCTACCACGAGTCGCACGACATGACGGATCAGAAGCTGCTCAACGCGTTGGAGAAGTACGTGAAGCGCAACGACTTCACGCCGGCCGCCGCGAGTGCGGTGTCGAAGGCGGCCGGCGGCCTCTGTCAGTGGGTGATTGCGATTTACAAGTACGGCAACATCTACAAGGAGGTGCACCCCAAAATTGTGAAGAACGAAAACGCGCAGCAGAAGGTGCGGGCGCAGGAGGAGATGCTTCGCCAGAAGGAGGAGAAGCTGCAGAAGATTATGGACGAGGTGAAGCAGCTGGAGACGGATCTGCAGGCGAACATCGCGGAGAAGAACCGGCTTATGGCCGAGGCACGCGCCACCCAGGATAAGCTCAACAAGGCCGAGATCATCGTCGACGGTCTGGAGGGCGAGCGTGGCCGCTGGACGCAGTCGATCGCCCGCTTCGATGCCGCACTAGAGAATATAAACGGCGACACACTGCTCGCGTGCGCATTCATGTGCTACTGCGGTGCCTTTACGGCGGATTATCGCCAGATGCTGTGGCTGAGCTGGCTGAAGGAGGTGAAGCGGGTGCAGCTGCCCCTGAACCGCGACTACGACTTTGTGGACTTCTTGGCGGACCCGACGGAGGTGCGCGACTGGCAGCAGGCCGGGCTGCCCGGCGATGAGTTCAGCAAAGAGAATGGCGCGATGGTGGTGTACGGCCCCCGCTACCCCCTCATGATCGACCCGCAGCAGCAGGCCATCAAGTGGGTGAAGCGAATGGAGCGGGACAACGGACTGAAGGTGATTGATCCGAAGCAGCCGGACTTCCAGAAGACGGTCGAGTACGCGATTCAGTTTGGCTGCCCGCTGCTGCTGCAGGATGTGCTGGAAGAGATCGACCCCCTGCTCGATCCAATCATGTCCCGATCCTTCATCATGAAGGGCACCCGCAAGCTCGTGAAGGTCGGCGACAACTTCGTGGAGTTCAAGGAGGGCTTCAAGCTGTACATCACCACTCGACTGCCGAACCCGCACTACACGCCGGAGACGTGCACGAAGGTGTGCCTGTTGAACTTCGCGGTGAAGGAGCAGGGATTAGAGGAGCAGCTGCTGAAGATCGTTGTAGAGAAGGAGAAGCCCGAGCTGGAGCACGAAAACGAGCAGCTCATTCTGCACACGGCCGCCGCGAAGAAGGACATGAAGCAGCTGGAGGAGGACATTCTCGATCTGCTGTCCATCTCGCAGGTGTCACTGCTCGAAAATCAGCGTCTCATTGAGACGCTGCAGACTGCTAAGGTGACCGCGGCGAATATTCAGACGCAGCTGCAGGAGGCGGAGATCACCTCCGTGAAGATCCGCGAGGCCCGCGAGGAGTACCGCGAGTGCGCGCGGCGGGCGTCCATTCTCTTCTTCGTCCTCGCCGACCTAGGCGCCATTGACAGCATGTATCAGTTTGCGCTGGACTCCTACATTCAGCTCTTCCAGACCAGCATCCGTCGCTCGTCGGAGAAGATCGTGTCACACACCATGGACGAGCGCATCAAGACGCTGAATGAGTGGCACACAGCTGCGGTGTACAACAACACCTGCCGCGGCCTCTTCGAGCAACACAAGCTGCTCTTCGCCTTCCATATGACGATGCGCATCCTGCAAGCGCAGGGGCACGTGAACTTGGAGGAGTACGTCTTTATGATGCGTGGCGGGCAGATCGTGGACAAGCAGAGCCGCGTGCCGAACCCGGCGACGGGGTGGCTGTCCGAGCGTGCGTGGGACCACATCTTGGAGCTCGACCGCCTCAGTGCGTTCCACGGCATCGCCGCGCACTTTGAGCAGCACGCCGAGGAGTGGAAGAAATGGTACCTGCTGGAGCGTCCCGAGGAGTCGACGCTGCCAGAGGAGTGGGAGGCCCGCTGCGGGAAGAACGCGCTGCAGCGCATGATCTTCACCCGCTGCCTCCGCCCCGACCGGCTGGTCTTTATGGTCTACGAGTTTATCGAGGAGAAGCTGGGCAGCCAGTTCGTTGACCCGCCAGCCTTCAACCTCAAGGACACCTACGACGAGAGCACCAACACGATCCCGCTCATCTTCGTGCTGTCCACCGGCGTCGACCCCACGACGCAGCTGCAGGTGCTCGCGCAGCGGGAGAGCCGTCAGCTGAAGGTGCTCGCGCTAGGACAAGGGCAGGGCGACAACGCGAAGCGGGCCCTGCAGGAGTACAGCCAGACGGGCGGGTGGGTGTTCCTGGCCAACTGCCACCTAATGGTGTCGTGGCTGGTCGAGCTGGAGAAGATCATCGACGTGATTTGCGAGCAGAACCCGCACCGCGACTTCCGGCTGTGGCTGAGCTCGGTGCCAACGCCGCAGTTCCCGATTGGGGTGCTGCAGCGATCCATCAAGATGACGACGGAGCCGCCGAAGGGCATTAAGGCGAATATGCAGCGGCTGTATAACACCTTCTCGGAGGACGATCTGGCAAACCGCAGCGCCGAGCACCCCCTCATCTACCGCAATCTGCTCTTCAGCCTGTGCTTCTTCCACAGCGTGCTGCTGGAGCGGCGCAAGTACGGCACCCTCGGCTACAACGTCCTCTATGACTTCACCTCGTCAGACTTTGAGGTGTCGGAGAACATCATTCAGCTCTACATTGACCACATGCACTCCGACGCCGTCGAAGACGTGCCGTTTGTGACGATACGCTACCTCATCGCGGAAGCCTCGTACGGCGGGCGCGTGACGGACGACTGGGACCGTCGGGTGCTGAACACGTACATGGCCCAGTACATGTGCCCGGAGGTGATCTCGCAGGACCGCTACCCCCTCGCGTCGGCCGAGGAGTACTACATCCCGGATGACTGCAACACGCTGCAGGCGTACAAGAACCACTGCGCCCAGCTGCCCATCACTGACCCACCGGAGGCGTTCGGTCAGCACGCAAACGCAGATATTGCTAGTCGCATTGCGGAGTCCACCGCGCTGCTCGATTCGCTCATCAACGTCAACACGACGCTCGTGCGGGATGGCGGCGGTGGCGGCGGCGGTGGCGGTGCGACGCAGGTGGTGACGCAGGAACAACGGTGCCTGGAGATTCTGGCGTCGATTGAGGAGCCGAGCAAGGCGGCCACACCGGGTCTGTTGGACTACGCCGCCATTTACGAGTACACCGAGGGCGATCGCGAGAACGCGTTGAATACGTGCCTCTTACAAGAAGTGCAGCGGTACAACGTGTTGCTGCAGAAGATCCACCGTCAAAAGGCGGAGCTGCGCCGTGCGGTGAAGGGCGAGATTGTCATGTCAGAGGAGTTGGAGACCATCTTTAACGCGCTGCTGCTGGGTCGTGTGCCACCGCCGTGGATGAGCGCCTACCCGAGCCTCAAACCCCTCGCCAGCTGGGCGGTGGACTTGGTGGAGCGCATCGATCAGATGCGGCTGTGGAGTCAGCGCACGCCGACAGTCTTTTGGCTCTCCGGCTTCACGTACCCGACCGGCTTCCTCAAGTCGCTGCAGCAGCAACAGGCGCGGCGCGACCAGATCTCGATTGATCAGTACGACTGGGAGTACGCCATCCTGCCCAGCGAGGAACGCGCCATCGCACACCGACCCAAGAAGGGCGCCTACGTGCGCGGAATCTTCCTCGAGGGGGCGGGCTGGAGTGCCGACGCGAACACGCTTTGTGAGCCGCGGCCGATGGAGCTGATTGTGGCGATGCCGGTGATTCACTTCAAGCCGAAGCTGCGTACCGGGAAGCCGAAGCCGGTGAGCGTGTATGAGTGCCCGCTGTACATGTACCCCGTGCGTACAGGCATGCGTGAACGTCCCTCTTACGTGGTGGCGGTGGACTTGGATTCTGGTGACGCGGTGCCGGAGACGTACACGAAGCGCGGGACGGCGTTGTTGCTCTCCACCGATGAGTAACATACGTGAGCCTGCTTGGGGAGTTGGTCTGCTGAACTGATGCTTTCTTTCTTTCTTTTTTTTGATTTTCTCAGCTTCGTTTGGTTGTTTGGAGTACACACATCTATTCATGTGGCTCCCACGGAGGTGCAAAGTGCCGTGCCGATCAGCGTTTTTCTCTGTTGGTGTTTTTTTTTGTTAAGGTTGTTTTTGGAATTTAGAGGACGTCCTTTGTCTGTGTGTGTATTTAGATGGTTCCGAAGCGTGAGAGATGTGTGTGTCTGTGTGTGTGTGTGTGTGTTGCGCGGTGCAGGTTGCGAGTGCGACGCCTAGACGGCAAATCTATTTGGTGAAGCACTTGCGCTGCACGAAGAGCGAAACGCGCACCACGACAAGAGTAGCACATCCCCCCTCCCCTCCCATGCTGTTGGGAGCGCATCTAACTTAGAAGGCAACGTTGATGTATCCCCTCCTTCTTTGTTGTTGTGTGGGCGTGCCACATTCAAATGTACAAAGTCATTGTATATATACATATATATATATATCGGACGGGGCCGTTGAAAAGAGGCCCTTTGAGCCTCTTTCCCTCTGTGGTGGTTTCGACCTGAGATGTATAGCCTATTTTAACGTTCTTCTTTCGTGTTGTAAAGATCCTGGCTTCTCTTTTGTTATGTAAAGGAAGTGCGTAACACACTCTCGGAGAAGCGAACAAAAAATATATATTTATATACACCCACACACACGTAGGGAACAACGGCGACGTTGCAGAAACGGTGGGACTAAGCTGCGATCGTTTTGTGCCTCACAGGAAATGTTGTAAGGGGCATGTGTGTGTGTGTGCATGCGGCACTCCCCTCTCTAACGCGGCGGCAAACTTCCTTGTATTATGGACTGCGTGAACGCTACTGTGACCTCGTATGCGTGAATGGAGTCCGTCGCAAGAGCAGGGCACGCCCCAACGAAAAGTGGGTGGCGAGGATCGCCGTTCCTTTTCTACTTTGTGTTGTTTTCGCCGAGTTCAATCCGGACGGCCACACCGGCAATGAACTCCAATCGCACTCCTGCTCCTTCTCCTCTGTCTATTACTCCGTCGACTACACTCGTAAATCTATTGAAGATACCTTATCGTCGCACAGCACCCCCTCCCGATGCTCAACTGGTCGGAGAAGCGTATGTCGAGCAGCAATGAGCTGAGAGACGTCGACATGTACGTTTACGTGCTGCCCGCTGGACTGCTGGGCCGCTACTTGGGCCGGCCTCTCCGCTTCAGAGTGGATCGCTTCTCCTTCCTTGTCAATCGCCGTGAGCGACAGCTGCAGCAGGTGGTGGTGGAGGCGGACTCGTTGATGCCGCAGTGTGAGGTGCACATGCCTTCCCGGTTTGAGCGACTGCCGCTGACCTTCTCGGAGGTGGAGCGGCTGATCCGGCGGACGCGGAGCTACGTGCTGAACGTTTCTCGGTACCCCTTAATCACCTTCGATGTGGCAGCGAACACGGAGGACAGTGTGCAGGGGGCGCTTCACTTGCACGGCGAGAGCCACCCGATTCAGTGCACCAAGGCGGTTGAGGGGGCCGAGCTGGTGGTGCGCTGCCCAGTGAAGATGAGCGAGTTCCACGTTCCGCCGTTTAAGCTTTGGATGGGGCTGTTCTCGGAGGCGGACACGGTGGAGGTGGAGACGCGTATGCCGGCCAAGGTTCTGAAGCTGTAGAGTCGACTGTAGGAGGACCGAAGTGTGGCATGTGTGTGGCAGGAATGGGTCAGCGTGCAGCGAGCGGAGCGCGCTCCTGTGCGGGGTGTCGGTGACAATTGTAAGATGACGTACATTGTGCTGACGTGGTGTGTGAAAAAACGCAAAGGAACGCATCAAATCCGCACGAGAGGGGGGGGGGGGAACTGTGGCGTTACCGTCGGAAGGAAAAAAGGAACGGTCACCGAAGCGATGTATTTGAATAAAGAGAAGCCTTGTGTTGCATTCACCGATGTGCGTAAAGCGGCGGCTAACAAATTTGCTCGTCGCTTTCGCCTAAACTCCTGCGATTTGCACCGCCGTGATATATCTAGAAAACGTTAAACCTCTTTCTTTTCTCTTCTCTTTTACTGCTGATATCTTTGCCCCGTTTTCTTGTCAATTCGCACCATTCTCTGTGCCTTGAACGAAGCTCTTTGCGTTGCTCTCAACGGTGGTGCCGCGCGTATTGCGAGCCTTTTACCTGCGTTGCCCGCAATCACACGAGGGCGAAGGAGCGTGGGTCGATGTTGAAGATGCGCTGATGGACGCACTCCTCAGCTAAAAAAAAAAACTCCCAACGTGTGGTACATTCTTCTGTTGCTCACACTCAAGTCGTGCATGACGGCATTGCCGATCATAAAGGAACGCTGACGCGCATACATGGGTCAGCTGTAATTCATCGGCTCGGTTCATGAGCTTTCTTTTTTTGTTTCTCGAGAAGATCGAATACGCCTCCCTTTTATTATTATTATTATTATTAATATCTGTAGAACACGTCACCAACATCGATCTACGCACGTAGTGTGGCGCACCCTGCTTCTGTTCGCGTATTACGTTTCATTGACCGGAGTGTTGCGGTCCATCGTTTAGAGTTTTTCCACTTTTCCACGGATATCATTTGCAGCTCCTGGAAAGCCGATTTCGTTGCGCGTTCATTGGCACCTCTCGCATGGATCCCTCTTCCTACCCCCTCGAGGCGCAAGAATCAAATAAAAAGAGGAAGCTGACGAATAGTGACGCACAGCAGCAGCACTTCCATAAGCATTCATGTACTTCCAGGTGGTGTCCATCGCACACTCTCTCGAGAAGCCACAAGAGGAGCTGGGTGACGTGACGCTCTCCCCCGTCTTTCGCCGCGTATCCGCACGCTGCCCGGTGCTGCACCTCTTCGGCTACGTTCACATTCCCTCTGCGCATGTCGCCTCACCAGAAGCCCCCTCACCGTGCTCGGCAGCAGCGAGCTCTCTAGACAGAAAAAATAGTGTCGGCCGTCACTGGCACAATGAGCCGGTGCCGCTCGCCACTCTGCTGGAGCCTGCTGCCGACGGCACCACACCAAGCGCACCACCACCGCCGGCGCCTTCCTTTGTCAACGTGCAGGCGCACACACGCCCTGCTTTCACTTCGCCCTCGCCGAAGCTGGCTGTTGGCTCTGTACGTGTGGCGGAGCCGTCCGAGGAAAGCGACCAGACGTCGGCGAGTCTCCACCGACAGGAGGTGGTCCATCCTGCACTCGCACACACCCGCAGCAAGTCGAAAGAGGCCTTTCGAAGCTCGGCTCTGCTGCGGCTGCGGTACACCCAACGCCGCGCCTGCCTGCACGTCCACGGTTTCTATCCCTCTCTGCTGTTGCCTCAGTACAACCGCAGCGTATCGGCGGATCAGCTGGCCGCACAGCTGGAGACGGTGGTACTGCGCGTGTTGAGCAAACAGGGCGTCTTCGTACCTGGTCAGCAACTGGTACACGATGTTCGCGTTGTGCACCGCTACAACGTCTACGGCTACCGTCCCCACGCCTACGCGTTTTACCTGGTGGAGCTGGTGGACCCGAACGTGCAGCAAAAAGTGATGGAGGTTCTGCAGAGCACCCGCGAGGTCGGCGGGCGTCAGTGGCAGCTGTACGACGCTCACATGAAGTACCACACGCAGTTTATGGTGCACTGGCGCATCAACGGCATCGCACCGTTTCCGCTGCCGGTGCCGAGGTGTCACGTGCGTCTGCCCACCGCGGCAGAGTTGCGGCACCGCTTTAACCCCCCTTCTTCTTCCTCGTCTGACGAGGACAGCGGCGGAAGCGAAGACGCGCCATACAAGTCCGAGTGGAAGAGACGAAACGCGAGCTCCAGTCAGGGCGTTCATGGCAGTGGGGTGGCGGAGGGCTTCCCCTACGCCGGACTGCCCTTTCAGCGCTTTTGGCGGCCAGACGAGTTAGACCGACTCACGACGGCGGAGGTGGAGATGGACGTGTGCGCGCGTGACCTGGGTGAGCCTGGCGAGGGCGACGCGGCAGCCGCCGAAGGTGGCGCACCAAGCTCTCCATCACACAGGACGGAAACGGCCGACGTAACTGGAAATGGTGTCGTCCGTCGAGGCGGCGTCTCCGCAGGCGATAATTTGAGCTACACACGTCGGAGCATTCGACGGTACTTTAAAGAGCACGGGGTGGCCGATGCGCTGCGGGTGGCGGACACCATCGCGGTGGAGCGCCATCGGCACGCCGCAGCGTTGTCGGCTTCCGTGCCGGCCAGAGAGGACGCCTCTGCCTCAGCGGCTGTGCTGCGCTATGGAAATGTGGTGCAGATCCAACGGGCAGACCCGACGGTGCAGTGGATGCGGCACCGCATGCTGGAGTACTTGGAGCAGCGTCGTGCGAGTGCTGCCGCTGCCGCTGCTGCCGCAAATCCATCAAAGTGGAAGGCAGAGGGCGGCGATGATGATGATGCGGCAGAAAGCGGGCTGAAGGGCGTGTCAGTAAAGCTTTCTCCTGCTCCTCCGTTATCTGTGGCTCTTGTGGACTCTTCAACGGTGCCGTTTGCCGGTCTCGCACCGGCCATGACGGCCGCACAGCAGCAGGAGCAGCGTGCCATTCGCGCGCAGATGGTGGCCGAGTACAGCAAACCCGGCGGCGGGCACCGTCGCCACACCACGGTGCAAACCTACTCTGAGCGCCGTGTGCTGGTCCCGGCGTTGCAGCCGACCTTTGCGGAGATGGGCGCTGATGCCGTCACGGCGACGGGGCGCGGCAGCAGGCCGAGTTGCTCTGCGTACGGCACAGCCGATAACAAGGCGGAGCAGACAACCGGGAATGCACGCTACATCGGCTTCAGCGCCGACAGCCTCCAACTGTCACCCTCTCAGGACACCGCGACGCCCTCCGCGGTGGCAGCAATTACAGCGGAGCAGACGGCGGGGTTTGGCGTTGTGTTGCAGCCGTGGCTGCGTGGGATGTCCGCACCAGATGTGAAGGAGGTGGAGATGGCTGCTACGCAGGACCTCATGGCGGCGTTGGTTGCACGTTCCTCTGTATCGCTGGGTACGGCGGAGGCAGAACATCGAGCGTCGTCTCCGCACCCACCGGTGGCGCAGGGGGCAGAGAAGAAGGGCGAGGAAGGGGAGGCGGCCCACCACACGTGTAGCAGCTCCTCCGCGTTCTTCTCCGAGCCGCACAGGAGGTCTCAACTATCCGCCGCGGAAGAAGTGGATGCGCAGCTTCAGCTTAAGAGGTCGGCAGTTGACGCAGGCACTCCACCTGTGGATGCGGCGTCCGACGCGGTGGATCACAAGGGAGTCGCCTCTCAGCAATCCTCGTGGTTCTCGCAGTTGTCCTGGTCGTCGGACTCCTCATTTTCAAGCAGCGGAAGAGAAGCTACGGCGGCCGCTGCGGATGTCGTTGCTGCCGCGAAGAGGGAGAAGGACCGTGATGCGACGGCGAAGAGCGATCTTAAAGTTTCTCTGGGTTCTGTCGCACAGAAGTCACAGCCGCCGCTAGAAGCTGCGGAGCTGGCGAAGGCTGAGCTTCTCTTCGGACAAGCGGATCGACAGCGGCAGCGTCCACGGAAAGTGGAAGATGAAGAAGATGTGAAGTCGCCGCGAGACCTTCCGACGCAGAACCTGGGACGCCTGTCTGCGTGTTTATGTGATCCAATTTCAGGTAGCGATCGGGCAGAGAGACACGGCGATGCCCGCCTTTCTCCGCTATGTTTTCCACGCGATGTTGACGCAACGACAGGTTCTACACCGCCGCTCTCCTCCAGCGGTGCGTCAGAGCACCAGAGCTGCAAGCGAGAGGCGGGTGTCACTCGCCAAGCGCGGTGCTGTTCATCGCCAAGGACGAGTGAGAGCGCCACCACACGCCACACTGTGGGCGACTGCGTGGCCTTTGTCCGAGTGCATCCTCCCCACCAACACGAACAATTCAGCTCTCACGCGTTCAGTGCGCGAGGCGTTGACGACACGACGGTGTGCGAAGTGCTGGCCGCAGCGCGGATTGCGCAAGTAGCAGCAGACACCGTTGCCCTTCGGTGGTTTCTGCAGTTGAGCGAAACACATCTGGCAGAGGACGAGGCGGCGCTGGTGCGGCGAGGGGCGTGGATTCGTCGCACACGGTGTATGCATGTGCCACGGACGCCCAACAACGAACGTCCAAACCCCACCGAGAATCCTGTGCAACTGGGCGAGATGCTGTTAGGCGATGCGGTGGATGTGGTGCCGGCATCGGTGCTGGAGGAGGATGCTCTGCCGTCTGCCCTCGCCTACGCGGCGGCGCGCTCTGCACCCACTCAGCGACTTCTCGTCGATCACGACGTGCCGCACAAGTCCATGAGCGTTGACCACCGTGTACAGTCACTCCACGGCGCGCCTCACGAAGGGCGTAACGAGGAGAGTGAGGAAGGAACGGTGCATGTGTGGCCCGTGCACTGCTGCATCGATGCTCACTCGTACAGGAGCTGCAACAGCAAATGGCAGCGCCGGCGCAGCCAGTTTCCTCCCTTGCGTATCTTGTGCCGGTACCAGTACGTAATCCACGCCCGTGTCCTCACAGCCGTGACGTCCGACCTGTTCACCTCCTCTAGCGTTGTGCCGAACCCTCGCCGCCTAACCACACAGGATCGATCCTTTGCTGGGATGGCTGCCCGAAGACTCCACAGTTCAAAGACGCACTCGGGGACAGTAAACACCTCCACACACCCATCAACGGAGGTGGCAGGTGCCCTGCTGCGTTCTCCTGCCTCTCGACCATCGCAGCGCTCCTCCACGCATCCGCGGACATCACGCGTTCTTTTCACCCAGCCAGAACGGCTTACGTTGTCCGACGACGGGGATGCGGATGTAAGAGACGGTGGTAAGGAAGGCTTTCCTGTGTCGGCGACCTCTCGACCCCCTCTAGAAGGAGATGTGGATTTAGAGCTGGGCACTAGTAGAAAAGATGAAGGCGCTGAAGAAGAGGACGATGCCCAGCGAGTGTCGACGTGTGGCAGCGGTGATGGCGCAGAAGGCGAAGGTGAAGACACTCTTCTATTTCCGAGCAGCGCGTCGAGCAGCAGCAGCAGCAGCGGCGGTGGCGGCCCACCTCAGCGGATGTCGAGCCACAAGAAGCGAGATAGGAAAAGGGCACGTTTTGAGGGCGTGGGCTCGTTGGCCAGTTCCAGCGCGCAGACGGCGCTGCACCACACACGGCCCTCGCAGCTGCTGCGAAGTGCCGAAGGGAGTTCCTTTGCCGCCAACCCTTCACGTAAGCGCCGTAGCCGTGGGCACTATCGCGTGTCGACGCTCCGCATGCCAGCGCACAGCTTCATGGTGGGTGCGGTTCGCATTCAACGCAGCGTGCACGCTGACACTCGCCACGCAGCCGATGTGCTCCAAAGTCAGGAGCAGCTGCGATGGCGGCGCTACTCCGCAGCCATGGAGGACGAAGACGCACGCAGGGGGAGGGAGTCAAGTGGTGTGATTGGACCGGCGGTGTCGTTCTCGAATGCGAGCCTTGTGGACGAGGAAGAAAGTATCGCCGGCGACGCAAGGCTACCAAGTGACGGCCTCGCTAGCGTCTCTCACCCGGCCCAACCCAATCGCGACAGCACGCGTGCGAATGAAGAGGCCCAAAGGGAGGTGTTGATTAACTCCTCTTCCGCGTCGTCGTCTCCCCTCCAACACACGGTGAGGGACACCGCCGATGTGGCGCGAGACGCAGTGTCATCGTTCTCGTCCGTGGCGTCTGCCGACTCCGCTGCGGCTTCTGAAGCGTCGTCAGTGGAGGCGGTGGGCGTGGTGACCGCCTCCCAGCGCACCTTCCTTCAGCTTTTTCGACAGCCGGCTCCCTCCGACGCGAAGATGCGGATGGGCGGCACAGTGCTTCAGACCGGTGGCTCTCTCGGCCCCGCAGTGGACGGCGTCCCCCGCTGGTTCCGTGTCACGGCGAGCGCATGTGGTGAGGAGGAGGAGGGAGAAGAGAAGCAGCGGAGAGGTGGGGTAGCACACAAAGTGGCGGCGCTGCCTGCTCGTAATCTACCGCCTACATTGGCGAGTGATGGTGTGCGCATGCGGGTGTCTGCCGTGACCTGGCCGTATATGGCACCAACACCTCCACCGAGAGAGGGAAATCCATCACATCATGCTCTTTATGAGCCTGTGGAGGGCCCCCAACTCGTAGCGTGCACCTCGGAAGGGGAACCGGCTGCCACCGCACCCCCGCGTTCCACGGCACCCGCTCCCCGCGAAACGAAGTCTGCGAGCCACGTCCCTGCTCTCTCCCTCTCCCTCACACAGCAGCCTCAGCATCACCTGCAATGCCTCCTGCGGGTGCAGTATCTCGAGGTACTGCTCAACCGACGACCCGGCGAAGCGCTGGTGTCGACGAGTAACGTGCTGGCCGTCGCACTCGGCCAGGCGAGCACGGCAGCGGACGGCTCCATCGGTATACGTGTTTTCCGTGTAGCTCCTACGCCCAGAGAGGAGGAGAAAGAGGTCGGAAGGAGCAGTGGTGCCACTAAGGCCACCCCGATATCGCCGCCTGAGCTGCCGCTTTTCGGCCTGTGCTCTCCGGTCCAAGTGGTGACGGTGTCGGATGAGGCGGCGCTGTTGACGTGCGTGCGAGACGAAATCCTCGCCTACGACCCCGACGTGCTCCTATCTTGGGAGGGCTACAAGTACGGCTTGGGTTATCTGGCGCTGCGCTATCGAACCGTGCTGAAGCGCAGTCTGGCCGCGGACCTCTCTCGTATACGACAGCACCATGGCTATCCGCCGCGGCCGGCCACGACTGCACGTACGGAGGGACATCAACCAACGAAGGCGCGTGACGTTGACGGCAGCGAAGGCGGAAGGGGAGTTTTACGTCCCGCCGCCGCTTCCGTCTTGTCAGACCCACGGCACCTCCACACACTGCAGGAAGCGCGCAGAGTAGCGACGGGAGACGCAAGGGCAACGAACGTGATGACCGGCGACGTTTTGCGCGAGGCGGAAGGGGCGTCAGCAGCGAGAGTACAGTTTCCCACGGCACCACCCCCGATCGTGCCGCCGGCGCCCTCCCCGTCCACTTCCTCTTCCTCGTCCGCCTCCTCTACGGTGTTGAGCGATGACGTGGAGCAGGACGGGGATGAGGTAGACGAGGACGATGCGCAGGACGGAGGCGCGACACCATCGGGTTTCCGAGCACCCAACAACATCAACAGCGGCGGCGGCACCACGCGCATCGGTGGATGGCGTCCGGGAGGGGGATGGGGTAACCACCACCAGCAGCAGCAGCAGCAGTCTCACCAGCCCTATGGAGCGGGGAGTTCAGGCACCACCGCGAGGTCGACACGGTCATCAGCGAGTGAGTCCGCTGACGCTGCCGCCGCCTACTCGAGGCGTTTTGGTGCCAATGTGCACATCACGGGCCGCATCTGCACCAGCTTCGGCAAGGACCTACGGAAGGATGTGAAGATGCCGAGTTACGCGCTGCCTATGGTGCACGCCGAGCTGTTTGGGCAGCCGCTGCCGTACTTCACGGACACCTACTTGGCCGCTCTTTTTCACTCTACCGCAGACCCAGGTGAGCATCAGGCGGCGCTGCGCTATCTTGCGACGCGCGTTGCCGCCCCCCATCGCATCGCGTGTAAGCTGCACTGGTTCACGAAGCTGCTCGAGTTTTCGCGCATGTATGGGATACTGACGGAGGAGGTGCTGACACGCGGTAGTCAGTTCCGCGTGGAGGCCACCCTCCTGCGTTTAGCCCACCCATTGCGGTACGCCATGCTCTCGCCCAGCCTCATGCAGGTACATCGACAGCCCCGTATTGAATGTATTCCGCTCGTCATGCAGCCCAAGGCGGACCTCTATCGCAGAGACGACCCGATTGTGGTGTTAGACTTCCGCAGCCTCTACCCCAGCATCATCATCGCCTACAACCTGTGCTACACGACGTGCCTCGGCATGGTGCAACCCACTGCACACGGCCGCCTAGGCGTGCTGGCGGACTTTACCCAACCCGACTCGTTGTTGGCGGAGCTGCTGCCCGATGACGGTGCCCAGCACGACGGCGTTGTCTTCACGCCGAACGGCGCGATGTTCGTGGCGACCAGCACACGCGTGGGTTTGCTGCCGCAGATGGTGCAGGCCGTGCTGGACACCCGGTTTGAGGTGCAGGCCTCCTTCAAGCACATCGCCGTACCGATGCAGGACACGGCGATGCAGCAGCGACTGCAGGAGCAGCAGCTCGCCTTGAAGATGCTCGCCAACGTCACCTACGGCTACACCGCCGCGTCTTTCACCGGTCGGATGCCCTGTGTGGACCTCGCGGAGGCGATCGTCTCGCTGGGCCGGCAGACGCTGGAGCGGGCGGTGGCGCTGATCCACAGCACCGCGGCGTGGCGGGCGGAGGTGGTGTACGGCGATACCGACAGCTTATTTGTTCGCTTGCATGGTCGCACCTTATCGGAGGCCTTCATCGTCGGGCAGCAGATGGCCGACGCTGTCACGCAGTCCAACCCCTCCCCGATTCGGCTGCAATTCGAGAAGGTGCTGTCGCCGTGTCTCCTGCTGGTGAAGAAGCGCTACGCAGGCTACATGTGGACCTCGCCTACGCAGACAAGCCCCACATTCTTAGCGAAAGGGATTGAGGTGGTGCGACGCGATCAGTGCCCGGCGACTGCGCAGCTGGTGCACCGCATGCTTCGTCTGCTCTTTGACGGCTGCACGGCGGCCACGCTGAAGCACGTGTACTACACTGCAATGGAGAAGGTGCAGGCCGGCGCGGTGAACCCGCTCCAGTGTATTTTCCGCCGCGCGGTGAAGCTGGGTCGCTACGGGCGCGCGGGGGACGGGCACCTGCCACTCGCCGCCCGCCTCGCCCTGGCGCAAATGGAGACGGACGTGACGGAGACACCGTACTGGGGCGAGCGGCTACCCTATGTGGTGGTGCGGTCTACGCACTCCATTGGCCATCTCACCGATCAGGTGCTACACCCCGCCCACTTGCTGTACCTGCAGGACAAGCACAGCCTGGATGCATCGTACTATATCACGCGGAACATCAACTCCTCGCTGGACCGCATGTTTTATCTCGTCGGGATCAGCTTTGCGCAGTGGTACCAGACAATGCCGCGGCGCCGCACGGCTCACGCTGCATTGCTGAACCTACCCACTTTTATGAAGGCACAGGAGCAGCAGGTGAAAACACCAGAGGGCAGTCGTCCCCCTTCCGCCCCTCCTCCTCCGCCACCGCCGCACCTCCGCAGTCGCACGAGTGGAAGTGATCCGCAAGGTGCGCGGCTGCATCTGGCTTCGCAGCTCGCACTTCACATGCAGCAGCTACTGCGTGAGACCATTGATCCCTTGTTTCTGCTACGCCGCGAGACGCATCTTTGCACCGTGTCGACAGCGGTGATCAGCGACGATGACGACAACGGCGAGGCTGATGCGGAAGGCGATCGACGTAACGGTTCTGCTCGGTCCTCACCGCCGCCTCCGCCGGTGGAGGTGGAGGACTTGACTCGGCCCACAGTGCATGAGTTTGTCGACGTAGAGCAGCTCATGGCGACGCAGCGCGCAGGTCTGCCCTCTGCGGCCGCAGCTGTCGCTGCCGGTGGAGACAGCCGGTTAAAACCGCCGAGGCGCGCGGAGCATTCGCACTCTCGACGACGGCGATGCCGCGATGCCAAGGCAGACGGGAGCGGCGTTACGTTGGACACCTTCTACCCCCGCACTTTATGCATCGTGTGCGAGAAGGAGGCGGTGAGTCTCGATGACGTGCGACGCCAGCGCGAGGTGCTTCAGCGCGTTGTCAACACCCTGGGACACGGTGCAGGAGGCGCGGAGGCGGACGGTGGCGGGGTTGGCGAGCAGGTAACGCGCAGTCATGATCGTGCACACGCTGCGGCCGACGGAGAAACAGAAGCAGGTCATGCCTTCGCTGCCACGACGCCTCTCCAACTCCCTCCCATTTGCACCCGCTGCTGGAGCGACCCCTGCGCCCTCTACCTGCACGTCCAGGCGCGGTGTTGCACCGTTGGCCGGCAGCTCGACACACTCCACCACATCTGCGCTAACTGCATCGGCAGTGGTGGGGACTGGGGTGCACCGGCCCACGCGTTGTTTACGGCGGCGATGCCGGACATGGAGGACATGGACGCGTTTTCACCTGTGCGGGTGAGGGGCGGCACGGAGGGCAGCGCAGCAGCGACCACGTACTCTGTCGGGAGTGTTTCCCGGCACCTTCTGTTCGCCGCGCAGCTTTCTGCCCGCGGGGTGCCGCACGGGTGTGTCTCGATTGACTGCGCCGTCGGCTTCGAGAAGAAGTGGGTGACGGAGCAGTGGCAGCAGTGGCAGGCGGTGCAGAGGTTTTTAAGGGGCGTCATGTGAGGGGATTGCGGTGCCTCGGAGGACACGCATCAAGGGAGGAGCTTTTATTAACTCCCTCTTAGGATGTTCTGCTACTTAAATGAAACGTAAGGGTCAACCGTACACGATGCCTCGACGAACCACTGCGACACGTCGACGGCTGATAGTCAAGCGGCGCTGATAAGGAGATCACACGTGTCTCTGGGCTTTCATGTGAATCCGTGTTGCGCCGCACAACCGTTGGCAGGACAAGCACGAAGAAATGGCGGCTCTTCAGCTCATCTGCAGTACTTCACTTCATTTGCTTCTTTTCGTTCTCTTACGTCTCTGCGCGACGCTGTGCGGACGTGCGTGTGCGTGTGCGTGCGCGCGCGCCCCTTCACTGTTGTTTGTGCGGATGCGCAGCACCGCGAGAGCGTCATTTCTTTTTTCTCCCTTTGCTGTGCTTTTCATTTCGTTGAGTCCCACACGCTTTACGTGACGGTGTTCACGCCGCCGTCTGCAACCCTCTTCTTCTGTTTTGTCGTGCCAAGAGGATAATAAGCAAGTCATCTGTACCAAGGTGGAGGTCCCCGAGCACATATCCCCCCCTCCCCCACCAGAGCACGTTGTTTCCCCCGCTCAAACCGCCGCTGCTGCGTTACCCTTCCTTATGCCTCCATCAAGCGCGCAGCGTGGGTGGCGCCTCCAGCACCTTTGCGCGTCAGCTGCCACCTCTACATCTGCTCTCGCACGTTACACGTCCATTCGATCGCGGTGCAGCATGCGACTGCCTCTTCACCGAGCATCTACGTGCGGTTTCCAAAGAGTACCAGAGAAAGCGTTGTGGGCGCCGTGGCGTTCATGTCACTCCGCCAACACATCTCTAAGTACTGCAGCGACAGCCCTCAGCACCACGTCTGCGTCCCCGTCGTTTCTCTCTGCACTCCTCGAGCCAGAAGAGACGATTCCGCTAGAGGACACCACGCGGACCTACACTACAATGGACGTCGTGGAGCGCTGCGAGGTGTACAACCCCCGCGAACCCAACGTGACCAGCCACGACGACGCATCGGCAGCAGATTCCCTCGACGGGGCCACGGTGGGACCGCTGCAAAGAGCGCATGCGGAGGGAAAGCTGTGGAGCCACTTCGTTGGCGCGCAGTCCTCGTCGGCTTCTTCCTCCTCCGCTGAACCACCAGGGTGGTTTGTGCAGCTCTGCAAGGACCTCTACTACCGCACCGACAGCAGCACGCCAAACGCGCACAACGTGGACTCGTTAGATGAGACGGCGCGCGAGAGTGACCCGCTGGCACAGCGCCACGTCGAAGCGGCTCAGCGGGCAAGCAACTGGCGAGGCATGCCATCTGTAGAGAGGTCCTCCCGGCACGACGATCTTCCTCAACAGCAGGAGTCTTCCGTGGCCCCCCACCGTGCGGACGACGCCATCGAGGTCGATCCTTATACCTGGCTGCCCTTCGATCTTTTAGATGTGAAGGACTACCTCGTAGGCCCCTACGTCTTCCCTCCCACCTCGACCTACACCACCGAACAGAAGGTGAAGCTGTGTCTGGGGCAGCGGCAAAAGGAGTACGTGTGCTTCTGCCGCACCTACTGCTTCCCTGAGCGGTGGCAGATCCCCACCTCGATGGGCACGCAGCCGGCACGCTTGTGGGTCGACCCAAGCTGTCCAACGCCCGTTGTTTTCCTTCAGCTCTCGCCGGATTTCCCGCCGGCCATGTGGCTCCCAATTCGGGCTACCGTCGCCGCTGTTCGCGGCGTGCTGAGCAGCTTTGCGGCACAGGCCTTCTTCCACCGCGAGGAGCAGCACGCCGTGTTTGAGCAGCGCTACGAGACGGCGAAGCGCGTGATGGAGCTGCAGCGGCTCCCCACCTCCCATGAGGGCGACGTCCTACGCTTTATGGCTTACGAGGCCCGCAACACCCCCTACCTCGACGCCCCTCTGCGCGAGTACGCGAATCAGCAGGAGTTTTTCCTGGGCGAGTACGACGACCCGGAGAGGCTGCTGGAGCACGTGGACTTGTGCCCGTTTTTCTTCGCGATGCCGCAGCTGCGCACGGTGACCGACCCGCACGCGGAGCGGATGGTGCCGACGGTGGAAGGGGCCGGCGTGGTGCCGTCCCTGTACCGCTGCATCTTCTCCAAGGCCCTTATCCAAATCTCGGTGCACCTCTCCGCCGAGGTGAAGCTGCCGCCGCAGGACCCGGAGAGCTTTTACTTTCTGTGGAAGGACTCGCAGGTGGTGCCGAAGATGAAGATACCGGTCTTCGCGCGCGTCAGCTGGCCAGACAATAACAACCTGAGCGGGGGCGGCCTGCTCGGGCGGCGCTTCAACCGACTCTTTCAGACCGAGTTCGCCTCAGACGTGCCGGTCGACGCTATTATCGGCGTCTTCTACGTGATGCAGTGGGCGCAGCGAGTGCACGATCTCCTCGGCGTCGTCGGCATGCGGCAGCGCGTCGCGGAGTTGGAGGCGGCCACACAGCTGCCGGAGGCCGCGAAGCTGTACCCCGGCACGCGTGAGATCCCCAACCCCGAGTACACCGCGCAAGAGCGGCTGGGCATGCACATTCAGTACCTGAGCCACCTCGGCGATCCGCAGATCCTCGATACAATTGCGGCGGTGCTGCCGGCTGCCGCGGCGCCGGTGCGGATGGGGTGCGCGAAGGCGGCGCTGATCGCCGGCGACCGGGAGCTGTTTCGGCGGATTGTGTCGAGTGAGCCGCCGGGCCGCATGCAGCATTACATGACGAAGTTGGTGGTAAAGCGCAAGACGCGGGACCTGGTGGACCCGGAGCCGCGTCTGCTGGAGGATCAGTACGAGTTTGCAGCTCCGCTGTGGACGAAGCGGGGCACGCGCATCGACCGCAACACCTTGGAGGGCGCCGTGGATGCCGCGCGGCTGCTGCGCTGAGATGGGTGACGCAGGCAAACAGAAGATGCGGGAGAGGGCGGTACAAGCTTGACAGCTATTGCCTTGCTATAGTTTCATCTTGGGATATGCGACGGTGTGCACGTTGTTGGGTTGGTTTCACAGATAATATAAAGAAAGTACAAAAAGGGAAAAACAGTCAAGCAGAGGGAATGCGAGATCCTTTATATCACAATGTCGCTGTCGCCGCATTCTAAAGAAAAAAGAAAAACAGCAGGTGAGAAGTATCCGCAGCTGATGCAGCGTGGGACGACTTGCAGGTGCCTTTGAGGTCTCTTCCTTTCTCCTTTGCCACTTTCCCTCCTCCTCTTGCGAATACTCGGTTGTTTTTGTGCACGTCGTTTCTGCTTGGTTTTCATGGCGGAATGCGGCCTTACCCTTCTCAAACGCGCCTATCCAACCAGGTCCTTTGAGAAGAGATTCTCTCACTGCCCATTTGAAAGATATCTGCTCTGCAAGCTCTTTCAAGTACACTTACTACTCTGGGAAGTGTCAATTCATTAGAAGCGGTAACTAGGACGAAGACAACCATGTCCACCCCAGCATCTGAGGCAGCCAACACGGCTGCGCCGTTGCGCTCCAGTGAAGAGGCCGAGCTCAAGCGACCGCGTGTGGAGGGAACTTCTGCGGTGACTTCCGCATCGCCTCCCCCCACCGCCCTTTCGACCCTTCACATCAGCGCCAAGGAGTCCCGCTTCGAGGGCCGCCACATGCCCTCCTCCTTCCACACCCTACTTGGCACCTACGCCGTTCCCACCGAAGCGAAGGATGTGGAGGACCTTGTGGGCGGTCACGAGGACTTCAGCGACCTGCCGGAGGACCGTCGACAGGCGCTGATGCAGTCCGTCCGCACTCTCATCTCGAAGATCGCCGGGGCGAAGTCAGCGAATCAGCTGGAACACCTTCGCGTGAAGGCGTCACGGCTGCCGGGCTTTAAGGACACGGCACGGAAGTCGGAGCTGACGGCGGCGTACCGCCAGCTCGTCCGCGAGGGAGCCATCCGCGAAAGCCCCGTGGTGGAGGAGTTGCTGATCCGCAAGAAGGGGAAGTCCCACAGTGGTGTGTTAGTGGTGACGGTCTTTATGGGCCCTGGGGAGTTCAGCTGTCCGAAGGACTGCTACTACTGCCCGAACCAGCCGGGCATTGCGCGGAGCTACCTGCTGAAGGAGCCCGGCGTGCTGCGGGGCTTCCGCAACGGCTGGGACCCCATCAGCCAGTTCTACGACCGCGCCAGCGCCTTGGAGAACAACGGGCACGTGGTGGATAAGATCGAGCTCATCATCCTCGGCGGCACGTTTTCCTTCTACCCGGCGCAGTACGTGGAGGAGTTCATGACGGCGTCCTTCTACGCTGCGAACACGTACTACGACTCCGCCCCGCTGCGAGAGATGCGCAGTCTGGCTGAGGAGATCACCCTCAACGAGGAGGCGCGGTGCCGCATTATTGGTGTGACGGTCGAGACGCGGCCAGACTACATCAACGCGCGGGAGCTACGCCGCTTCCGTAGTCTCGGCGTTACGCGTGTGCAGCTCGGCATTCAGCACCTGGATGACGATATTCTGAACGTCATCAATCGCGAGTGCCCGACGGCGAAGACGATTGTGGCGATTCAGCGGCTGCTGGATGCCGGCTTCAAGGTGGACGCGCATTGGATGCCCGACCTGCCCGGCAGCAGTTTTGAAAAGGATATGGAGATGTTCGAAACGCTGTTCTCGGACGAGAACGAGGCCTTCCAGGTGGACCAGTGGAAGGTCTACCCGACCGCCACCGTGCCCTTCACGAAGATCAGCGAGTGGTACGCGCAGGGCCTGTACAAACCCTATGCAGAGTTGGAGAACGGCGCCTACATGGTGAAGCTGCTCGTGTACATCATGGAGCACTGCCCCTACCGCATCCGACTTAACCGAATCATCCGCGATATCCCGACGACGTACATCATAGGAGGCGAGAAGCGGTGCAACCTCCGCCAGGTCATCGAGGAGGAGATGCGCGCACGCCACATACGCTGCAAAGACATCCGCGAACGCGAGTGCAAAGGCAGCCCCATCGATCGCGCGAACACGCACTTCTTTGTCGATACATTTCGCGCCAGCGATGGTACTGAGCTCTACCTCTCCGTCGAGAACGGCGACCGCACGCAACTGTACGGTCACCTTCGCCTGCGCCTTCGCGATGATGCGACGGTCGAGGAGCGCAACATTCTCCCGGTGCTGCGCGGGTGTGCCCTCATTCGGGAGCTGCACACTTACGGCAAGCTCATCGCGGTGAGCCAGCACAACACCGGGCACGAGACGCAGCACGTCGGCGTCGGCACCCAACTTATGCGAGAGGCGGAGCGGATGGCCTCCGAGCACGGCTTTGCCCGCACGGCGGTGATTGCGGGGGTGGGGGTGCGCCGGTACTACGCCAAGTTGGGCTATCACCTGGAGGAGACGTACATGGTGAAGGATTTGGGCTGCACGGCCACGGCGATCACGGAGGACCAGGTGGTGCAGGACGACGACAACGAGAACTCCGCCTACCAAGGATTCGTCAACTCGGTCAAGTCTTTCTTTGGGTTCGGCGCGTCGAGCAGTCCGCGGAGGTAGACGCGATCCAAGAAAGGGAGGACGTGACGCTCTGAGAAGAAGAAAAATAATAATAATAGTTGATACGTTGTCTCCGCGAGGTGTTCCCTTCGGCCAACATGCTGCTGCTATGGTTCTTAAATACATAACACTATATATATACCTTAGTGCAACGAAACTGCACCGCTTATTCAGCTTCTTTTTCCCTCCACCTTCGTTTAATAATAAAAAGGGAAAAACATTAAATCGAGGAAGTTCGTTTCCAGATTAAGCTTTCTGCTTTGCCTTCTGTAAGGGAATACCTCGACTGTGAAGTTGAACACGACCATTGTATATAGGTAAAGGGAAATACGTAGACAGAATTCAGTTGAATACACACACGCATTCGAAGCAGAAATGCAGCGCTCTTGAACTCTTCCCGCTTGCCTTGTTTGGAGAAAGCGACGGCGCTGTTGCGCGTCGCCGTCTCTTGCGGGGCGATGACTCTTACTCTTCCTCTCCTCTCCTCTGTCCAGCGTGTCGATCTTCTTTTCTGTTGTTCTTCCTCCCTTTTCTTTTTCTCCCTGTGTCAATTCGAGTCTCAACACACTTCTGTGACATCAGCAAGTTGCGCCGCTTCAGTCTGCTCCACGTACGTGCGGACAAGTAACGCAAACTAACAATAAATAATAAAAAAAGAAGAGAGGGCGCCTGGTTTGTTTGCCGGCTTGTAGCTCGGCAATCGTGCTCTTCGCAATTCGAAGCAAACCCTTCGCGGTAGGTCAGGCAACACATTACTGTAGCAAGAAGAGCGTATTACCGAATTACTCTTGCTGTTTAGCACCATGAGACGCGGCAGCTTTGCACGTGCTGTTGTAGCGCAAAGCACCGCCGCCACCACCTCCTGCTTTCCTTCGCTCATCCCTTCCACTGCCGCCGCAGCCGTTTGCGCCGTTCCTTTGCACACCGCCCGTCGGCACAAGTCCTTCGCCGAGAAGATAACACGACATGACCCTCATGCGCATGGGCAACGCGCACGAGCCGCGGTCCTACACCTCGAAGGATGCCGGCGGGGGCCCTCAACGAGGTGCGGGTCACGACCCGGTCTTCGCAGCCTACGTGGTTAATAAGCTGACAGGGCCGCTGAAGCGCAAGATGGGCAACCAGCCAGAGGATTTCCTCAACGTGGATGAGGCAAGCAAGTGGATGGACGCGAAGCACGCGGCGAAGGTCCTGGGGATCAAGGAAGAAGACCTCCCGAAGCTGAATCGAGAAGTTTTAGAGGAGAAGTGGCGCAAGACGTACAAGGAGCGCACGAACGCGCAGCAGGAGGAGGTGCTCATTGCGACGGAGGTGCTGCTGGAGTACCTCGATTCGTCCGTGTTTATGAAGAAGAGCCGACAGTACTACCGCAAGTTCATCGACAACGCCCGTGCGGAGGTGGAGCAGGAGCTGACGACGGAGCGCAGAAACCGCAATCAGTCGCTCATGTGGCTCTTCGGCTTCGCCATGACAGGTGCGTGCTTCGTCGTGCTCTTCGTGGCCTTCTCCCGCCGCTACGTTACCCGCAAGGATGTGCACAACATCGGTGCGAAAACCTCTGAGTACTTCGTCATGACCTTCTTGCAGCCCAAGAACCCCGAGCCGAAGCCGGACTACAACACCCGCTACTTCAACACGCCGACATCGATGGAGATCGATCAGAAGTCTGGGCGATACGCGAATCAGTTCATGGGCGATGAGGCAGCCCGGCATGCCGCGGAGGCTGCGGCGTACACGGAGCGGGAGTCGGCGGAGGTGTTGAAGCTGTTCAACGACGAGCGAGAGCGCGGGGCGCGGGATACGCAGAACGAGTTAGCGCGTGAGAGTCGCGTTGCTGTCTACCTACCGGAGGAGGTGCACCACGGCGAGCCGCGACCCGTCGCACGCGCCGATACGCCGACGGCGTTTGAGAAGATGACGTTTCGCGATTTCAGCAACATGCTGGCGAGCAACTTCGGTGGTGGATCTCGCTTTCAACGACTGACGGAGGAGACGTCGGCGCGCTCTGACAAGCTGTACTCCGCCCGTGAACGTTTGGGCGTGTCGTCACCCAAATCAGACGAGCCGTAAGGCGGCTTATATATATTTGCACAGAATGGGGAAGGAAGCTCTTCATCACTTCAATGGAAATAATTTGTGTGAGCAGCTTTCACTTGATTGGAGAAAGGAAAAATGCCTTCTGAGTATTGTCGTCACATCTTCATTTTTGTTCTTTTTCTGTCGTAGGTGGGAATCGCATCGGCGCAGTGTTGTGAGCGCCACTTTGATTCTTTTCTTTTCTACAAGGCACACCTGACAGGATCACGCACCCCCCTTCGTGCAATATACCCTCCTGCTGCGCCGTATGTACCGGCAGCAGATACATATCTGGACACGCATGACGGCCGCTTTAACCAGAAAGTCCTGTCTTTTTTGAGATAGGGCGACGCTCACAAAAGGTGCCTCAGATGATGGGTTCGCTTTTGGAAAGCGAAGAGAATACCTGTGCAGTGCTGCACGCGGCGCATCCGTGACCGCAACTCCATCTGTTTTCCGACGAGCACCATGCCGTGAAGCGCTGTGCTTTCTCGAACTCCAGCAGCCGTCGCGGATCCCATTTCTTGCTTGCTGTCGCCCCTATCTGTTCTCCCCTCTACTCGTTTTGTTTTCAACGTCCAACTCGTACCCGCACGCAGCTCGCCCCATCAAACACACCAACTACAGCGGAAGCAACTCCCTGTGAGGCCCACTTACGCTTCATCGTGCGTCACCGCTTCTTTACCTGTTTCGCTCAAAAGGATAGTAAAGGGACATTCGTGAGAGCTGCTTTTGTTTTCACGACACTCACCGTCTCCACGTCAACTCCGACTTGACGGTCGTGCTTTGTTGATCTGCATCTGTGTTTCATATCTGCTTTAATAAGTATCTCCTTTGTCAAGAACAAAAGAGACCCCCCCCACACACACCTTTTTTCTTCAAAAGAGGAAACTAAATACTTCGCCATAAGCTTCAATACGGCTTTCCGGTTCGTTGTTCTTTTAATAAGTGCGTGACGTAGTCAGCTTTTTCGAGTTCATTTCTAACGTATACACACCTTTTTCTTTTCATTCGAAGAGGCACTACTTTTTCTTCTTTCCTAAAAGTTGTTTCTGGCACTGCCATCTTTATTAGTAGTAATATTTCTCTCTAAGAGAACACCCTGGTGACCTGGTAAAGAAAAAGAAAGACCTTTCTTGCTCTTGTACATATCCGTTGCTGACTTGCGTGGGTTGTGTGTGCGTGTGTGTGTGTGTGTGTGTCGGGGGGGGGGGGATAGCCGCTGATTGCTCCTGTGCTCTTACGTAAGCCCGTGCCGCATCTACACAACAAACGGAATCGCAGCCCACGCAAAAGAAAGTATCACGACGGTCTCCTCCTGCATTTTTTATTCGGTGATGTATTGAAGGCTTGATTCATCGTTTAGCTCCTTTATTGTTATTATTATTATTGCTTAAGAACACTCATTTTAACTTTTATTTCGTAGAAAGGAGGAATGTTTGCGCAGTCCGATCCTTCTGAACTCGTGCATCGACGCGGCGAAGGCGCTGCATCGTACCCCGCCACCACCTCTGGATGGCCTAGCGCGTCTTCCACCGTAGCTGGCCGCAAGGCGTCTTCAGTACCTTCCCCTGCTCTCCATGCACATACCACCACGACCGCTGCTGAGACAAGCAGCAACACGCTGTCACAGCAGAGGCATTCTGCAAGGGAGCCGTACGCCGATGCAGAAATCACCGCGATAGCGTCGTCCGCGGCGGCGGTGCTCACCAAGGCCTTTTTGCACCCCCTGGACACGCTGAAGTGCCGCATGCAGCTGCTGCGGACGGACGTGCCGCTGCCCAACAGGAATTACCCCCTTCGACAGGGATTTTTCCACACTCGCCTTCGCCAGCTACGATATCAGTTCGCCGGCCAGTGGGCGCCGAAGTACCTCTATGGGGGACTGCCGGTGAAGCTCGTCTTTCTACGTTCCGTATCAGGCCGTCTACCTCACCAGCTACAACTTTGCGCAGCGCACGCTGCAGAGTGACAGCGGGGAGAAGCTGATGGATGGCACGCAGCGCAGGCCCGCGTACGTTTGGCAAACGGTGCTCGCTGCCGTCTTCGCAGAGACCGCCACCTGCTGTCTGCGTGTGCCGATGGAGACGATGAAGATGCGGGTGCAGTCGGCCGCCACCACCGGCTCCCTGCCGGCGATGATACAGATGTGGCAGCACGGGCTGCGCTCGAACGTGCGCCTGCTCATCCCGCACACCCTCATTCACGATATTCCCTACTCCGTGATTCAGTGGGTGGTGTATGAGACACTACGACCGTGGACGCAGCAGTGGGGGGCGAAGCTGCACGCACCACCGTCGTCGTCGTCCGCCGACGGAGCGCTGACCTCCGCGAGCTTTTTTTCACGCTACGGTGCGGAGCTGGCGCGGACCTTCTTCTCTGGCGGCTTTAGCGGCCTCTTAGCCTCCACCATCACGGTGCCACTGGATAACATCCGCACGCGCACGGTGGTGGCAACGGCCAGCGACCCCGCGTTGACGGTGCGGAAGGTGGTGCGAATAGCGTACGAGCGCGAGGGGCTGCGTGCGTTTGTGCGTGGCGGCGGCATGCGAGTGGTGTGGGTGACGATGAACATGGCGTGCTTCTACCCGCTGTTCGAAGGCATTCGCTCTGTCTTGCAGTGCCGTGCGCAGGCAGCAAAGAACGGACCATAAGAGCGAGCGAGGGAGAGGGGGAGCAGTTGAACTCGGCCGGAGACCGCGGAGGGTGCTCGCACTCACTTCGACTTGACAACCTGCGTCATCGGCACAACTCCACAACCACGTACGATGAAGGTCTGCTGCTGCGGTTTCTGACTCCGTTGGACACTCGCCGATTTCAAAAAAAGAAGAGGATATCCCAGCAGCTACAAAAAGACACGTGCAAAGGACAACGTGCGTTGCTGCTTGACGTGCAGTCAGCAGGAGTTTGCGCATCAAACACAAGCAAATGTAATTTAGTGCTGCCCGACCGAATTGAGAGCAACGGCCAAGTGCGACTCAACATCTGTTGTTGGTCGTTCTTTTTTTTTCAACTGTTTTTTCAACTGCCGAGTTGAGTGCCATTGCCGTCTCTTGATTCTCCGCCACTTTCGTCTGCGCGCTTGTTTTGATTGTTTTATCTCTGGCAGGAAACACGCCTTCTAGTCAACAGCACCAATAACTGCAAAATAATAATAATAATCTCCTGCATGGCGATTCCTATTCACGCGCGCTTGAGCATGTCGAAGCGCATCAGCGAGGAAAAAGGTACCGTGTAAAGACAGAAAGGGAGGCGTCGGGCACTTCTTTCACGTGCGATCTATAAACTATTTTTGCATTTGGCCTAACCAATGCAGATTTCGCCGATTCAAGATACCTGTTTCTTTCTTCCTTTCTTTCTTTTTCTTTTCCTTTTCAGTGCGTATTGTTGAATCGCACGACTCAGTGAGTGTTGTACCTCTTCTGTTGTCGCGTACACGTTTGCGCACGCATTTGGGTGACTGCGAGAGTGAAGTGCACGCATCTGCCACGCAGCAGCAATTTACCTCGAGCTGCCTTCGGCGAAGTGCTCTTATTATTTCTTTCTGTATGTGATGCTCCCTTTTTTGTTTTTTCTTGAAGTGTGTTTACTTGTCGCTTCTTCCTTTATTCCACGATCTTCACGGCTGCCCGAGTTGTCGGTGTATCACCCGAACGCCAAGAAACAACAACTGAGGAGAAGATCGTCGTTGTTCGATGAATGGGACGGGAAAACGAAACAGTAATGGGTATTTCATTGCGCTCTCTCGTTCCATGCAGTGTTCTCCTAACCACCTCTTTTTTCGTTTTGGTTAGTAAGGTTTTCGCTTTGCGGTGTTTGTTTACTTATTAATCCACAGCTGCTGTGGAGTCAAAGTTACGCCCACGGCAAACGAACAAAAAAAGGAGTAGAAGAAAATGCATAGGCCTACAACTCTCGGTGCTGACGCACTGCCACAGGAACACGCACACCCATTGGTTGCTTCCCTCGAGCTCGCCGGATCCCTGCCCCTCTCTCCCCCCCCCCCTCTCCCCTTGGCGGTCAGACAAGCGATGCGGCACGAGCTCCCTCATCAATGTGTGCCAGCTTTATGCAATGGCATGCTTTCTGTTCTGTGGTTTTACAGCTCGTACGGATTCACTGCAATGACGCCACCTCACTTCTTCTTCTCCCATTCTCCCCTTCGGTCTTTATTATTAATGCTGTGTGATTTCCTTTCGCCAACCGTTGCCGTTGCGCTACGCTGGCTAAACGGCGAATTCTCCCCTTCATCTTGCACATTTTCATACGTGTGCTGAGTAGTCCTATATTCTTAAATTTTCCCCGTTTTCGCTGTTGACTTTTTTTTTGCTTTTCTTCATCTTGTCGCACGCCCTTTTTTTTTTTTCGGGAGACGACGGCGACGTTTCGCGTCTTCTTCTGATTCCTGCTGCGCAACGGATATTTTTCTCTTCTCTTTTGCGTTTGCCAAGTTGCTGACTTTTCTTTTCTCTTTATTTTCCTTCTGGTCTTCTTGTTGTGCTCCTCCGGATCGGTGAGGATAGTGCGAGGGCTACCTGTATACGTAGTGGATGTAATTTTTGTTTTGTTCTCTGTGTTTAATACTTTCCCTGTAGTTTCCTGTTTTGTTTACCAGCTCCTCGTGCTTCGTCTTTTCTCCTTTAAAAGCGTTCGATCTCCAGTGCCGCTTGTTTTTCTGTCCTGCACGCCATCGCTTATCCGCACCGACGTCGTGCGCCAGACGCGTCTGGTGAAGGACCCCTGCGAAGGGATCTCGCTGAGCGCGACACAAACGGAGCAGCGAAGTCTTCTATTTTTGCACATACGCTCACAAACGAAATTTATATATCTTCAAGACTTGCCTTCGAGAAGGTGAAAGGAGAACCTGCGAGGGAGAGAGAGTGAGCGTCCTTGTGCGTGTTTAATAGACTGAATACAATCAAATAGCTGCGCGGCTGCAGCGCCTCTGTCACCGACAGCGAGAATCGGAGAAGGGAGAAGTCGTCGTCGTTTTTTCATTCTTCTTTTTCCAAAGACGCGACTTCTCTTTCCTCCCTTTTCTTTGAGTAACAACGGAGCTTTTTTTTTCTACTTTTGGCGTTATTTATTTTCTTTTTAGTGCGGTACTTGACCGTCGGCGTGTGGCTTCTCTCGCGTAACTAACCGAAACACTCGATAATAATAACAATCGCCTCCGCCTTGGGACTCTTCTTTTCTTCTTTAGGGCTAATACTTCTCCCGATATTCCACCAACCTCCACGGCAGAAAAGGAAGGCGGTCTCCTGACCCCCTCCCCCCTCCCCTTCATTCATACAACGAGAAACATAAAACGCTGCGAAAGCTCCCAGCTCCGTATTTACACACCTCTTACCTTTTTTCTCTCTCCTGTTGTTGTGGGACGTGCTGAACGGCGGAGGCTGCACCCGCACCCGCACACACGCACGGTGGAGCACGCAAGGGAATCAACAAGGCGTGCTTGCAGACCCTCTAACACCCCACTCCTCGTGACTCTTGCACTTCCCTCCATTCATGGACTCCACGCCCACGCCCACGCCCTCCACCGCCCCAGCGTGGGCGGAGTTTACGCACGACATCTGTGAGCAGCTGAACTGCAGCAAGTGCATCGTCCTGGTCGGCGAGGCGGCCCTCATCGATCCGGTGAAGCAGCTCGTGGATGAGGCGTGCCGCAACGCCGCAGTGGTGAAGGCCTTCACCGGTGTAGCGAAGGGAGGCGCCGCCACGGAGCAGTGCTGTGCGCCGACAGACATGCCACACGTCACCTTCACAAGCGAGGAGAACCAGCAAATGGCGCAGAAGTGCATGGCCGTCTTTGGCCGCGTTCCTTTTCTCGCCGTCCTTGACATGCGCGACGACGACGATGAGCACTCCTTTGTGATGGACTTGCAAGGGAGAATCAGCGCTGACATGCCCGCCACCACGGCCGCAGCCCTCACAAAGGCAACGGTAGAATTTTTGATTCGAGTCGGTCGTGGATCGGAGCCGCGGTGCCGCCAGGGCGCAGCTCCTCCGCCACACGACGTATTTGAGCCAACGCACGGTGCGGTGCTGTGCGAGGGACGTGCCGCAGTGACTTCCACATTTCCACGCCTGATTGGAATCACGCAGGCGGACACCGCCACGACGTCAGGGCTCGGAAGCTGCAGCACCGCCACTCCTACCTGCGGTGCCCTCTGCGTCTTCTGGAGCTACCGCTGCCCTTGCTGCCCCGGTGTGTTGATGCTCATTGAGGCGCTGGTGAACCTAATTCGACTGGTGGCGGCCCGTCACGCCGAGCACCCGTCGGGCAACGTCTCTTTCGCTTTCCCGTTTGTCGCTGCAAACATCGACGACAACGACTTTACGCAGGAGGAATGGCCAGTGGCGGAACGGGAACAAGTGGTGCCGTCCCTCGTTGCCTACCCTCCCCCCTCCTACAAGCCGGTCGTGTTCACCGGGGAGCGCCTGCCAATTCGGCTGGTCAGTTTCATCTGCCATCACTGCCTCCCATCAGGTGAGCTCGTCGCGTGCACGCCGCACATAATGGAAGAGGTCTCGAGCGTCGCCTCGAAGCTGTCTATCGACGAGTTAATGACGGTGATGGAGGAGGGCAGCGAGGGCTACGAGGCGGCCACGCAGGCCTATGCAGCGTTCACACGCGCTGACGCGACCGCCGAGGCGCGAGAGAGCCTCTACGCCTCCTTGCACGACGCACGAGCTGCGGCGTTGCCCTTTTCGCTAGAGGCGGAGGTGCGACGGATGGCTGCCGAAGGCGGAGCGGCGGCGGCGGGGTCGTTGAGTGACGCCGTGCGGGAGAGCGAAGATGGCGGGGAGGAGGTGGATGAGGAGGATGACGCGGCGGAGTTGAAGGGCGGTGGCCGGGCGGCGACGGCGGTGGCCACAGCATCGGCGACCGCAGCGCCTGTTGTCACGGCCGCCAGTTCCTACAAGCGATCCCGTGAGTGACGAAGCGGGGGAAAGGGTGAAGAGGGGGTGGGGTGAGGTGGGGAGGGACGCTTCTGCCGCTGCAGTGGAAGAGACGGTGAAAAACGAAAAAGATACGAGCTCGAAGCGGCACAAGCGATGCTCTCCTAGACTTGATTTCGCCGCTGCTGCTGTGCACTTCCGCCGTTTCTCTTTTTTTTTTCGTTCCGCTTCGATGTCTACGTTGTCCTCTTTGACTCGCCGCGCTGCCGTTTGGTACGACCGTCCCATCTTTCTCTTTTCGCTCCTTCATGGTTTGCGTCGTGTTACTGTTGCTAGTAGTATTGTGCATCTTCGTTAGCACTTCAGCGTCTGCGCGCTGTCGACGAGAGCGACGGACTGGCTGCTGTTAACTGTAGCTGATTTGGTCAGCTCTCTCTCTTTTTTGTTTGTCTGTTTGCTTCGACACCTGCTCTAATTCTCCTGTATTTATATATATATATATATATTTATGTATTTATATTGCTTTCCTCTTACTGTCAGCCGTCGCCATCGGCTGCTGACCCCCTTCTTTCTTCTTCTATAATTATCTGCTCTGTCCTTTCAAAAATGAATTACCTTTTTCATTTCTTTGCTTTGATGGTGCATTAGGGACAATACGGCAAATTCGTTGGTTGCATGTACGTATGCTGCCACCACGATTATGATGATGATGCTCGGCTCCTCTTTGCTCTACATGTCGGCCTGCGAAGCGGGTCTTGGCGCCTCCTCCCGAATCGCTCTTGCGTCCTCTGCGGCTGATGAGGGGACTCGACGCGCGTGACTGAGAAGTACTTTCGAACGCGAGCAGAGAGAGCGAGGGAGCGGGGGAGGTTAAACCCCGTAAGACGCCCTCGCACATACACCCGCTGACGTCCGCCGGGCTGCGTGCTCTGCGACGTGCTTGAACTCCCCGCAGAGCACACGAGTTAATCGTGGAGGAGCCTGATCAACTATTAAAAAAAAGGAGATTACTGACGTGAAGTGCCCGACTCCGCCTCTCTCAACTCGATGTCTATGACGAACAACAGCGTCACCTCAAAAACGCGACCTTTTCGTATTGAACTTCAATGCACTGCCGTCTTTTCGAAATATTCATACAATGCTTTCCTTGTTGTGGTATGTCTAGTGCTTGTTTCTCGTTTAACTTGGTCTAGCCCAATGGTATTTTTTTTCCTGTTTGGTTTCTCATCTTTTCACTTTTCCTTGCGTGATAGAAGTATATCTGCATTTGTTGTTGGTGCTGCTTAGCACTTCAGTTTAAGTACGTGCGTGTGTGTGTGGCTGCCACACATGAGTTGATCATTACCATCATTGCTTCGGTTTCTCCACATTTCATGTCGCCCACTCAATGCGGTGCGGTTATGTTTTTCAGAGGCAAACATATGCCTCTGCACCTTGATGGGAAAAGTGGCATGCCTTTCTTTCTGTACTTAAAGTGGCGTAGCGCATGTGACCCGCGTTTTTTCATGTTTTCTTGCTTGCCTGTATGCGGCGCGACCGCCGTGAGTGAGCGAGAAGGGTCGTAGCGGAACTGCAAGAGGTGGAGAGAGGGAGGGAAACGAAGAAGGGGGAGAGAGAAGGACGAAGAACGGATGTGTTCTTCCTCTGTTGTGTGTCGTCTCTCTCCCCTTCTCTCGTTCTCTCAGCGGTTAAAGGAGTAAAGTAAGACGATAAACTCTACAACGACAGCAAAGGCGTGGCAGTGCGCGTGTACATCCGTGCTGTGGCCTATGCGCTAGCGAATAACGTCGTTAAGGGAGGTGGGAGAGAAAGAGTCAGTGCGGTGCGGATAACTACACGCACAAGTCCGTCCACACACACAGACACACACACACAGTTGAACGGTGACCACTGGATGAAGAAAACTCTGATCCTTGACATCGCATTTTCCTCTTCTTCTTTTTCCCTTCAAAACCTTCTCTCTTTGTTCTTTTCTACTTGTTGTCGCAGGCTCAACAAAAGGTGTCGGCTGTTTTTTCTTTCTTTCAAAGCTGGACAGTGAGCCGTTGCGTTCCCCTTTCTATTTCTTTTACTGCGGGATAATCTTCCGTCTTCTTCTTTCCGCCTTGTGGCTTTTTGCGCTCTTTGTGTTTTTCCTCTGTTTCTCCTTTTACGCTGCTGCCAAGAAAGGCTGCAGAGACGTACAAGCGATCCGAAGATGTGGATACGGCATGCCGTTCTTGCTGCTGCACGCACGAGCTGAATGCAAGACCTCTGGCGGAGAAGGGAAGAGGAACTGGAACGTGTATGTCATGTGCGAACTGCTTCCGGTTTTCAGTCCGACTATTAGAAGATGTAAAGCAAGAAGAAGTCTCTCAGCGTCAACATCGTGCGCTGACTTCGCTGAACGCAACTCGCAGCTGCTCTTAGGCGTACCACCTTTCTTTCCCGCTTGATCTCGTTCTTTCTTGCCCCCCCCCCCTTTATCTTCCTCTGAAGCGAATACACAGTCATACATGTACGTTACGGTTTTTCGGCTGCCGCCTGGCTTAAGCAGCGTTCTGCCGCACATTTCCACTCTTAATTCGTCTTCTCTTTCTCCCACCTCTCTCCTATGGTCCGAGCAGCTGGAAGAGGAAGGAGAGTAGGTTTTCTCACTTGCGGTTGTGTTGAGCCGCTTGTGGACGTTTCTGCTAAAGAAAAGCAACAGCTCTACGGTTCCTCTGCTTCTTTTTTTTTTAGATTGTGTTGCTTTAGAGCTGAAAAACAGAAAGGAAAACGGGAAAAAGCATTCCCCCATCCCTGCACAGCGCTCCGAGAATGAAAGTACAGAGGCAACTGGCACCCACCCGCCCGCCTGCCCATCACACACGTGAGATCTCATTCCATGCTTCTTTCCACCCGCCTTGCCTCTGCAACGCAGCACGAGAAGGAGTGATATACGGACGCACTTCTAGCAAATCAACAACAAACACCATTTGAGTGGGTCTCTACGCATTCGCCTCTCTTTTTACTGGAACCCTTTTTTTTTTCAGAGAAGTAAGTGCTGCAAGTGCCGCATTTTTCTTCCTTGTTTTCCCTCTTTCTGTTTTCGCGAACATCCATCTACAGACGTATGCAATCACGCATCGTGTACATCCTAACCAGTTAGATCCCATCCCAAAGAAAGAAAAATAACTTTGTGCGACGCTGACCCACCATGCGGCGCACCGTCGTCGCCACCAAAGGCTTCCACGCACCACGGCCCAGCGGAGGTCACGCACCACCTGACACGACAGCCTCCTTCACCGCAGCCGTGGCGTCGGCTGCCTCTCATACGACCGCTGCTCGTGTGAAAGGGCGGCGATCGGTGCCTTCCACGACAGCTTCAGCCGCCGTTGCGCCTGAATCGACGCAGCAAGCAAACTCAACGCTGAAGCATCGAAAGTCCTCTCCCCGCAAGTCGACACAGCGATGCACCTCCACCGCGAACAGCGATAACAGCACTACGGGGTCACCGGCACAGACGTCAGCGCGTGCCAGCACCGTGCATTCGATGCTGGCCCACAGAGGCGTACTCAGCGGGCACTTCAGCGCCAATCATCTGCGCCGTGGATCTCGCCGCGACGACGGTAGTGGCGGGGGTGACTTCTCTGTCTCAACGGTGCCCCCCACGAGTGCCGCTGCCGGAGCAGCATGCAACAACAACGGGAAGGCCACTGATTCTCAGGTGTGTGCGATGTCGAATAGCTTTGCGCCGGCCGGTGATGACGACTACGTTAGCAGGGAGGTCTCACACAAGCGCTCTCGATCGCCTTCTATCCATCAAACCCCTATAGTAGAGACAGCTCCGCGACACAGCACACCTGCGTCTCCTCATCGTGCAGGCCTGACGGAGACACTGAAGGAGGAATGCGCTCATCTGACGTCACGCGCCGCACGTCGGCTGTCGTCGCACACCGCCGCCTCGCACGTCACCCGTAATGTTTTTTACCCGCCACCGGCTGAGCTGGCTGTGGCGTCTCCACAGACCTCAGCTAATCCGGTGCCGCCGCCGCTATTGGAGTCAGCACCGCACATCGCCAGCGCCAACTTCCCCTCAGCGGTGGCGCACGACTACTGCGGGGAGTTCGCCACACCGGGGGTCAGGGAGCATGGATTGCTGGCAGTGCCGCCTGCGTCACACAGGCCAATGGCCCGGCAGGAGGTGTCACCTTCAGAAAGCATTCCCTACACCACCGACTTCCACACACGAGAAAGCGAAATGGCGCCGATCTCACGCGAGGGGCAAATCGCAGACGCCGGTGGAAGTAACTCGCCCCCGCGTGCGTCCGCCGAGGCGGAGACGGCGTCCTCCTGGGGCACCACCTCACAGCCTCGTACGTGCTTCCTCTCCGCTTTGGCGCATCAACAGCGGGAGCAGCAGATGCACGTCTCTGCTTTCACGCCCGCTGCGCTGAGCAACTCTCCGTACACGGAGCCGTCGCTGCCTTCACTTTCGGCTTTCTCGCACGTCGCACCGACACCGCCTGCAGCCTCCTCGCGTCTTCTCCTTCCGCTACCGCCACCACAACCGCTGCAGCTGCGACAGGAGATGCCATCGCACGAGCACTCTGCCGCTTCGCCGCGGCCGCCTCAACAAAAACTGGACTTCTCGCAGGTCTCCTCGAGTCGGGAGCGCTCGCTGCTTCCGAATTCTCCTGGTGCTTCGCCGCCGTTGTCTCCCGCAATTCCAATCACAGCCGCCCGCGAGACAACAGCCGTGCGGTCCGCGGGTGGCGGTCGTGGTATCGGCCCTGTCGCCAAGGAGGGTGACCTAGAAGTGCCCACCGCAGCGGACTTCAACGCAGCAACCGAAGCGGTGCCGCACCAAGGCGGGGTTGAGCCACCACGGCCGTCTATTCCTCCCCGCTTTCTTCATACTGCCACCACCACCGCGTCAATCTCGTTTTGCTCAGAAAAGAAAGACGCATCTGCGCCGTGCAGCTTCACTGACGCGCGGAGTCGAAACGACGTAGGCGTATCCGCAGCAGGGGTGGGTCTCGTGCTCCCGGCTGCGGAAGACGAGCCGCCCGAGTCGGACGAGGCGTTGCAGCGTGAAATAGAGGAGGACTGGCGCCTCTCGATGGACGTCGCGTTTACCCCCTCCGGCGCCGGCAGCGGGGCACCGCCGGTCTTCTCGCAGTCGTCGCTGCTGCACGAGGAAGAGGAGAGGGAAGTAAGAGAAGGCAACGGAGGCGACGGCGGTGAGGTGGGGTTGGGGGTGGGACACGAAACGAAGCGTAGCACCGTTGCGGTCGATTCTTCTCTACCGGGCTCCACGGCGGTTCACGGCACAGATGCCGCTGTTGGACTCCACTCGCGCGCTGACATCGCCTTCGTAGGACCACCACTCCCGCCATCGCCACACGCTTCCTCCAGCAAGAATGCCGACACCCCTGTCATGGACCTCTTCTCGGAGCTGGCGTTCAACAGCAGCAGCACCGGGGCAGCGGATCCTGCGTATCTTCCTCCCCCACAGCAGTCCCCCTCCTCGTGGCCCATCCTCGCAGGACCGCTTCCGTATGTTCCCGCACCTCTAACGAAAGACAAGGGGGAGAAACCTTTGCTGGCCGTGGCGGCTGCGGGGTCTTCTGCTGGAGGAGGTCGGCATCGGACGGTGTTTTCGTTTTCCTCTCGCACCGCCGCGACCGTTGCTTCGGTACCCCTCGCCGAGAGTCCGCCGTCGGCTTCTTGCCCATGTTCTGAAAAGGAAGAGAACGGACACGCCGATAGGATTCCCACTTCTAGTGCAACCCCCACCTCCCATCCTGGTGAAGACGTGGCGCCTCTTGTTGACGCGGACCTTCGTGAACGCGCGGTGGTGCTGCCGACGCTGTTGGGGGTACCACTGCCGGACTCCGAAAACACAGAAGGGCTCGTGGAGACGTGTGCTTCGGAGATGCCAGCGAGAGGGGAAGCGGCGCATGAGACGCCTGCGACTGCGCCCGACACGTCGGCGGGCCCCACCGCCCCCGCAGCTGCAGCAGCGTCGATGGAGGACGGTGGACACGCATCCACGTTGGGGTCCGTCTCCGGCGGTGCTCCCCCACCTCCTCCTCCACAAACAGTGGCGGACGCACCACCCGTCTCCACTTCTGCTAACGCATTCACCACCCCACCGCCACCGCCGTTCTTGCCGTCAGCGAAGGCGACGTTTGCACAGGTGGGAACCTCGCCCCTGCGACTACTCCCATCAACGACGGCGCCGCTGCGGCCGGCTCGGACGTGCTTCACGCTTCACTTTGGGCCCTCTGCCGCGTCAACGACAACGGCGGCACAAAGCACCTACACAAACCCACCCGCAACGATGGACAGCAGCAGCAGCAACGGTATTACGTTGCCTCTCAGTCAGAGTGCGGATGTTGCGCCGCTGACCAGCAGTTCTGCGACCACGACGTCCGTGGCGGAGTCTTTCGTGGTAACAGGTCTGGTGCCTGCGGTGGCCTCAGCGGCGCCAGCGCGGCTTCCTCTTTGCGCGTCTGCGCCACGGAGGGAAAATGCGCGTTTACCGACACCACCGACCTGCGAGACCTTCCCTCCTGCGACGGCACCCAGCGACGTGGTGCGCCATCTGCCCTACCGCCTTCCAAGCGATCTACCCGCCACCGATCTTGCGCAGTTACACGGGTGCGCTGCGCCTCCACAAGAGGGCAACGCTGCAGCCGGCTTTGACGCAGAAAACAGCGGAGCGAACACAGAGGAGAGCCACACGGAGCATTCTCTGCCGCTTCCCGACCCTCTTCCCAGAAATCGCATCATTATTGGAAGGGACGCGGGGCCCTTGCACCCCTCTCCCCTTCACCCTCCCGCGGCGACGACCGAATGCTCCTTGACAAACTCTCCTTCCACTACCAACGTCCAGAACAACAGCTACACCAACACTACGGGGATGCCCGGTGACGAGGAGCACAGCTCGGCGGCCCAATCGGCCCACCTCAGGGGACTTTCTATCCCCCTCCTCCGCTCTGCGCCGCCCGTCGATCTCTTCTACGACCTTCCCCGCTCCGTCGGCGACTTCTACGCAGCTCGGCGAGGCGTGCGGCAGCTATACGACTGGCAGCACGAGCTGCTCAGCGAACCCGAGGTGCGGCGCGGCCGCAGCTTCATCTACAGCCTTCCCACCAGCGGCGGCAAAACCCTCGTCGCAGAGCTCAGCCTGCTGCGGTGCGTGCTGAACCGTCGTCAGTCGTGCTTCCTTGTGCTGCCCTTTGTGTCGCTGGCCGAGGAGAAGACCCTGGCGCTGGAGCCGCTAGCGGCGTTGTTTGATTTTCGCGTCGACGGCCACTACGGCAGCTCCGGCCGCTTCCCCCTGTGCGAGGCCCCCGCCATGTACGTGTGCACCATAGAAAAGGCAAATTCGCTGCTCAACTACATGCTGGAGGAGGGCCGCACGGCGGAGATCGGCGCGGTGGTGGTGGATGAGATACACATGGTTGGCGAGTCTCGTCGTGGGGCAACGTTGGAGCTCTTCTTGTCGAAGCTACTCATGATAGATGAAGCACGGCAGATGCAACGCGCAGAGGCGCAGCAGCAACACCATGTCAGTGACCAACATGGGACAACAACCTGTGCGGTCACGCCTGCTGAAGCCTGGACCGAAAATGCTGGCACGGCGTACGATGCTGAAGATGATGGTGTGGAAATGACGGAGCAGCAAGAGAGGGGACAGCAGGCGGGGGAAGAACCTTTTGCGGATCCGGGCCCACTGCAGATCATTGGCATGAGTGCCACCGTCCCGAATCTCAGCACGATCGCGAAGTGGCTGCACGCCGCGTGCTTTGAGCGCGACTTCCGCCCTGTCCCGCTGCGCGCCTACAGCGTCGTCGGTGGCCTGGTCCTGCGTGACGGTCAACGCAATGAGCGCAACTTGAGTGGCAGCAGCGTGCAGCAACACCTGCTGGAGCTGGCGACGGAGGAGCCGGATGCGTCAGTGCTAGTCTTTTGCGCGAGTCGTCAGCAGTGCGTTGACACAGCGAAGGGGATTGTGGGTTTTATGAGAGCGCAGGCGATTGCAGGGCAGCAGCTGCCTTCGCTCCCCGGCAGCTCCCTCCCTCCCGCGGCCCCGCCGTTTTCCGTTCTTGGAGTGCCGTTTCCGGATGTAACGACGAAGTCTGCCGTGTTTTCGGTGCCGGCGCAGGGCTCGTTGGCGATGAAGAGTCTCCTCGCTGACTTGGCGGCGCTGGCGCACTACGAGGCGTCGCAGCTGAGCGAAATCGTGCCGCACGGAGTAGCTTTTCATCACGGCGGTCTGCTGGCGGAGGAGCGGGAGTTGATTGAGGCGGCCTTCCGTCGCAAGCACATACGCATCCTCTGCTCCACCTCCACCCTCGCCGCGGGCGTCAACCTGCCTGCACGACGTGTCATTATAAAGACGCCGTACGTCGGCCGTGACTTCTTGACCAAGGCGCGGTACTTGCAAATGTGCGGTCGTGCCGGCCGCGCGGGTTTGGACCCGTATGGGGAGTCGTATCTGCTGCTGAGTAAGCGAGACCAGTCCCGCGGACATGCCTTGATGCGCGCTGCGGTGGAGCGTTGCTGCAGCCAAATATTAGAGGACGATCAGACCCTCACGCGGTCACTGCTGGAGTGCGTAGGCGTCGGGCTCGTGACGGACTCTGCCAGTGCACGACGGTGGAGTTCGTCGCTGCTGAGTACGCACGCTGTCGGACCGGTGGACGGCGTGTGGCGGAAACATGTGGCCGCTGCTTCTTTTCAAGATGGCGTGGGGGGCATCACCTGTGTTCCTACAGCACCATCCGCTGCCTTTGCCGATTCCGCCGCAGGCACCGTAGCTCATCAGACGGTTTCTACCACCGATGAAGAGTCAGAAGGCAGTCGGTCAGTACCGGTACCAGCACCCAGTACATTGTCTACGCCTCTCACCGCGGTGCCGGTGGCTGCGTTGGAATCTATGGTGTGTGCTTCTTTGGACACGCTGGCGCGTTGCGGCTTAGTGTCCGTGACGCAAGCACACGCGGCGGACGACGAGGAGTACGCGGAGGGGGAAGGAATAGGTGGTAAAGGTGCAGTGGTTGACGCGGCACATTGCACATCAGCAGCATCAGCAGTGGGAGAAGGACGCAACCGTGATGTGCAGGTGCGCGTTACGCCCTTTGGCAGCTCCTCCGTGCGGTCCTGCTTCAGCGTCGAGGAGGCGCTGCTGCTGCGTGAGGAGCTGGACGAGCTGCGGCACACCGGCTTAATCCTCTCCGACGACCTCCATCTTTGCTACTTCTTGACGCCTCTCCGCGAAGTCGGCACGTGCGATTGGGAGCTGCTGCGGCTGATGATGTCCCGCATGAGCGACAGCCGGCAGCGCATCGCAAGTCTTCTCGGTGTCGACCCGTACTTTATCGATCAGCAGGCAATGGGGCTGGGAGGGCCGATGCAGGCGACGGAGGAGGGCCGCCGCCGCCTCTTCACGGCGAAGCGCTTCTACGTGGCGCTCATGCTGGCGGATGTGCTCGCTGAGGTGCCCATGGCTACGGTAGAGCAGCAGTACAACGTGAATCGTGGCCAGCTGCAGAATCTCATGCGCTCCGCCTCCATGTTCAGCAGCTCCATCACCAGCTTCTGCCACGCAATGGAGTGGTACTCGTTGGAGGCGGTGCTGTCCTCGTTTGTAAAGCGGCTCGGCTTCGGTGTGAAGCCCGACCTGCTGCCGCTGATGGAGATGCGTAACATGCAACCCCCGCGTGCGCGTGCGCTGTGGAATGCGGGCTTCAAGAAGCTTTCGCTGATTGCGGCGGCGGATGCCGATGATATGGTGGCAAAGGTGAAGCAGATGAACCCACCGGAGATGATGTCAGCAAAGTTCTTCACGAAGCGTTCTGCCCTAATGGTGATTCGTGAGGCGCATCTCACTTTACAGTCGCAGATTAAAGAGAAGAAGGGCGAGCTGCAAGAACTTGTGCTGCGGGGCCGCGCGACGAGGTAGGTGCGTGCGGAGCGCGTACGTGCAAACTTCTTTAAAGCTCTTCCTGCGGTGTCTTTTAGTTGGGGTGCAACTGCTGAACAGATATCTTCAATGCTACGAAGCACACGGTCGATAAAAGTGAATGAAGAACGCCTGTTAAGTATGAATTCTACCGAAGACGACACCTCGGGCTTATTCCGGCGTTGGCCAGTGAAGCTCAAAGCTTTTGATGAACAAAAGCACATGTGGTCTGTCCTTTTTTTTTTAGCTGTAGAGCCTGCTACCGTTAGAGTGAAGGTCTTCAATGTGTTCGTGAGTATGTGTCCGCCTCATCGCGTCGTGCCAAACGCTGACGTTCCGCCTCTTCCAGTATCTCCCTTCTTTCCTTCTCATCTTTTTCTTTCTTCTGTCATCTTCGTTCACTCCGCAGCAAAGTAATCCGACAAGCCTTCTGCGTACTTCGTGTGTTATCTGGCGCCTCGCGCGTAAAGGCGAGCCGTAATGCCATCCTTTCCCACTCCGGCGCTGCTGCTGGCGAGCTGCCTCCTGTGCTTTAGTTCCATCTTCGCCTGCGCGTATCTCCTCGTTGCCTTGATGGCGTCGTGTCGGACGGCGAATATCGTGCGGCACATCGCCGTCGCCGTCACCCTTGTCCCTGTCGCCTTCGTGCTATGCCTCTTCCTCGTCTTTTCATACAACAGCCTCGGCGAGACGCTGCACACCTTTGCAAAGGAGCACCAAAGCGACCTGCCGCCGCCGATCGTGTACGCCGCGGCCGCCGTGCGACCGCTGAGTGGTCACTTTAATCTGACAGAGACGATGTGGATGGCGTGTTTGCTTTTTACGGCGTACGGCGTCGCCATCGTGTGGCACCATTTGATTGATATCACACGGTTGTTGAAGGCGTCGCGACGACGTCTCTTGTTGTCCGACATGCAGGAGCAGCGTACGGAGGAGGCGGCCGCCCCAAAGGCAGGGAAGAAGCGGTGAGAAAAAATGAGCTGCACCCGCATCACGGTGGCGTGTGGATGGGACGGGGGTTGGACGCTGCGACGGACGGACCTCGCTATTGTTTTGTTTCTTCTCGCTGCTGCTGCTGTGGTGGGCGACAATGGCGATGGGAGCCAAACTTTTTGGTGCTGCTGCTCGAGCACGAAGCTCCACTTTACTGGCCATGTTACCAGAAGAACCAGCCGAGCATCAAGCAAAGGGAGAGCGTTTGTGCTGACGACCGCCAAGTGCCAGAAAATGGCTCAGAAGCGTCGTTGGACGCAGTCGTGGGGGCACCGCGCGCTCCACACGCTTCGAAAAAATACCTTCTCAGCAAAAAAAGGAAGAAGAAAACATAGGAAAGGAAAGCGGGAAAGATACGCCCACGTGCGGCCGGCTGGAAGCGTCGACAAGAAGAGTGCGACTTACCGCTCTCCCTCAACTGGACACGCCGACCTCCCGCCGCCCTCCTCAAAACCACACGTCTTGCTTTCTCCGTAGCAGCGGAATGAACTGCTCTGCTGATCCGACTTCAACGGTTTCTTTCGTTTTTTCCCTTTTCTTCTTCCCACAGGAAGTCTACGAAGAAACGAGATTTGTTCGCCTTCCGGCACCTGCTCACGTCACACCTGCCTTTTCACACAGCGCCTGCGGATGCCTGTGGCAACGCACACCGTGGAGCTCTACGGCGGGGCCATGCGTGTCCGCCTGCCCACCTCCATGACGGACGCCTCTGATTTTCGTCAGGTACCCGACAATCAGGAGGTTTACACCGACGCCGACACCGGCGCCTCGCTCATTGTCGAGCTGCTGAGCCGTCAGCACAACGTGGCCAACGCGGACGCAGGAGCCTTCTTCTACCACGATCTCGCCAAGGATAACGGGTGCCCGCTGGACCAAATTGAAGGGGAGGCGACGATCGAACTCCCACCTAACGCCTACCCGCTCCTGTCAGCATCGCCGTCCGGTTCGAGTGGGGCACAGCGGTGCGACTACGCGTGCCTGACCACGGGGCTGCAGCGCATTTCAAAGTACACGAACGAAGCGGGAAGAGAGAATGACGTCTTCGTGGGTCTGGCGGTGCTGCGCTTCACGGCGCCGCTGTCCACGGAGATACTGGTGTCCTTCTCTTGTCCGACGCGTGTGCATCCTGACAGTTCCGAGGCTAAAGTCGTAAAGAGACTTCTTACCGAGGCGGAGCGACAAAGCACGCTGCAGCAGGCCATTGCCTCTCTAGAGGTAGTGGAGTGGGGACTGTTTGTGCCGGAGGAATGAATGCGTGAGGAGACGAGCGTTGCGTCGTCTTGGCGCCTGAGAGTAGGCGCCGACTTTGCCTCTACTACAGAAAAAAAAACCCTCAAACATGATCCCTTTTTTTTTTCCACAGCTTCTATGCTGTTTCAGCACAACCGGCTGTGCCTACCACTCATTACCTTTCTGCACTTTGGTGCTGTAGCTCCCTACACGGCGATGCTGACGAGCTCAGCGTATTTCCTGCGCCGGAAAGGAAAAGGATAACCTCGATGCGTCAGCAAGAATGAATAAGTGCGGCAGGTTTTGTATTCGGAGGGTGAAGGCACCTTTTTTACTGTTGTTGGTGCCCGACCCGGACTTTTTAGAGTTCTCACCGCGTAACCTTCTCTTCCCTCCGCCTCTACTTTCCTGCTCTGCTTTCCAACTATCGCCGTGAGCGGAGCAACGCTATCGCTGAAGGACGACGAAGCCCAATTGATTTCTCTCTTTCATCCGAACACACACGCACGCACACTCTCACCTGCTGTTCCGCGCAACTGGGAATACAGTTTATCGTTACCACCTACATCTTTCAGCTACTACTTTTACCCCCCTGCCGACGCCATGCCTTCTCTCAAGGAGCAGCTGGACCAGATGGTGAAGGAGGTGCAGCCGCAGGTCATCGAGTGGCGCCACCACATCCACGCCCACCCGTGCCTCAGCCACCAGGAGGGCCCCACCGTGGCCTACGTGCAGGCCGCGTTGGAGGCGATGCCCGCAAAGCTGATCATCACGAACCCCACCAAAACAAGCATCCTGGCGGACCTGAAGGGCGGTGCTGGCGAGGGCCCGATGATCGCGCTGCGTGCGGACATGGACGCGCTGCCGCTGGAGGAGCTGACGGACGTCCCTTTCAAGTCGCAGAACCCCGGCGTGATGCACGCGTGCGGGCACGACACGCACACCGCCTGTCTGATGGGTGCGGTCAAGGTGCTGTGCGAGATGCAGGAGAAGATCAAAGGCACCGTGCGCTTCGTGTTCCAGCACGCGGAGGAGGTGAGCCCGAGCGGGGCGCGGCAGATGGTGGAGGCCGGTGCGATGCAGGGCGTGGACATGATCTTCGGCCTGCACAACCGCAGCCTACTGGAGGTGGGCCGTACTTCATCCCGCGCCGGCATTGCGTCTGGTGCGGTGATCGACTTCGACATCACGGTGCACGGCAAGGGCGGCCACGCCGCTGACCAGCAGCTGTGCATCGACCCCATCGTGATCGCCTCCGACATCGTGATGAACCTGCAGACGATCGTGTCGCGGCGCATTGCTGCGTCGAAGGTGCCGGTGATCAGCGTGACGACGTTGCATGCCGGCACGGGCAGCTTCAACGTGATCCCGGACACCGCGAACATCCGCGGCACCATTCGTGCTCTCAGCGATGAAGGCGAGCGTGACGCGCCGCGGATGCTGGAGGAGACGGCGAACGCCATTGCCGGGCTGTACGGCGCGACGTGCACCTTTGACTGGCCCGAGGTGGTTTACAGCATGCGCCACGCTCAGCACTGCTTCGAGATAATGCAAAAGGTGTGTGTGACGAAGCTGCCGGCGGGGGAGGCCGGGTTCGACGTCATCACGGACCCAAGCTTCGGCGCGGAGGACTTCTCGGAGTATGAGCGCGTGGTGCCGGGCTGTTTCGCGTACTTCGGCGTGAAGAACGACGCAATTGGTGCGTGCCACGGCGCCCACACCTCCCTGTTTAAGGTGGACGAGACCGGCTTTGAAACGGCCGTGCGCATTCATGTCCGGCTGATCGAGGAGCTTTTGATGCCTGCCTAGAAAGCAAGCGGAAAGTGAGGAAGAAGGCCGGGGGCTAAATGAAGAACACAGCCGACGCGCCGCACGCACGTAGTAAAAACCGGCGCAGGATCTGTACTTCACCGACCCTTCCTCAGCAGCAAACGTACCGTAAATTCTTTTAAAAATCGCACTTTTGTTTTCATCAATATAAACTACTCCGCAGGGCCGACACACGCGAAAGAGGAGGGCAACACCTCGATAGCAAAGAGAGCACCCCAAGACTGATGGGGAGGCGCGTGAACCTGCCCCTGCTCTCTTTCTTCTCCTTCGGAGTCGTGCATTCGTTGCCGCGTTGGGTATGTGCGACGATGCCAACGGCTCTCACGTGTGTCTGCTAAATTGATTCTCGTTAAAAAACATATTTTTTTTTTACCTGCCTTTCTTGTTTTCTCTACTTCTTAATGAGTTTAGCGTCTAAGATGCGTGGAACGGAGTTCGCTGTTGTGAAACCCACCTTTTCTAAGGATCTGAACTTTCCGTTCTTCCATTTTAACAGCTAACCAATTTTCTTTCTCAGATTTTACCTGTCAGCGTCTTGATTTTCGTGTTTCTGCCTTTACTGATAGCGAGCGCAGTGAAGCTTTCAACATGTGGTGTGCCGGCTGCCGCCCTTCTTTGTGCTCCCATCGAACACCTGTGCCTTTTCGTACGTCGCGGAATCTGCGACTCTTCTTGTGGTGTTCCCCTCCATTTCTTTTTTTTCCTACTCGCGTGCCGTCTCTGGGGAACACCGGTTTGCCGCCGACTTCTGCTGGGGAAGTGCGATGAGAAAAGAAGGGGGAGTGACATGCTTGTTTGAGGGTGCGCTCCGAGTTGGGGGTTGTGATGCGTTGTGTAAGGGAAATCAACGTTTGGGATAAAGGGATGCACCGCACACTCACACTGACGAATGCTTCTCATAAATAAATATATCTATGAATATATGTTTAGCCACTTATTATATCTCTGAGGAATTGATCAAACAAGTTCTCGAAGACGTATGTCGGGCATTTAACTGCATTGCCACGGACGTCGCCACACCCTCTCTACAGACCTTCATCTGTCAGCGCCACTCCGCCAGTGCGCTTCACGGATGCCTGAAATTTGTAGACTCGCGCTTCGAAGTTGCATTCATCCATGTTTCTACTTCGGTTTCTCCAACACGCGTTTAGGACTCTCCGCGCCTCGCGGATTCTTCTTCCCTCTCTTTTCCATGTCGTCATCACTCGTGCCCGCCCTCTTGACTCTTCCTTTGCTTCGCATCTCCGCCTCCTTTACCAAACATAATTCAAACACGCGCAGTTAATCGTAAGCGTCTTCTTCACGGAGCTCAAATTGATATCCCCTCAAAACAAGGAAAAAAAAACACAGCAAGCGAACTTAACTACTTAGCATCTCTTATCTCTTCCCTTTCTGATATATATATATATATATATATTCTTGTTTTTTCTCCCACACTTAGGTCTTCGATCCGGCCTTTTGCCTCGGATTTCTGGCAGACGAGTTGACATCAAAGAAGCCAAAAAAGGCGTCCAATTCGAACTCGCACTGCGTTGTTAGCTTTCTGAATCATAATACAAATACCGTTCATACCTACTGCGAATTAGAGACTCTTCTAGCTGAATCTGCGTAGGTGCCGGTTCATTCATCTCGTTGTTCTGTTGTGTTGTTCCTCGTCACAAGGGCGCCCTCTCTCTCACATATTCACACACACACACACACACACACACACACCCAAACATCCATTCAAAGTTCGTATATCCGTTGCAACGATGCTGCGCAAGGTGGGCACTCGCCCCTACAAGACGATGGTGCGTCGTATGGCGGCCACCGACGCCGCTGCGGAGGTGAACACCAGCAAGGCCGTTCTTCAGCTCGTCCGCTTCGACCCAGAGACGAACTCCTCCCGTGTGGAGAGCTACGAGTACGACAAGCACCACGACTACATGGTGCTGGACCTCCTGATCGCCGTGAAGGCCCACCAGGACCCCACCTTAGCCTTCCGCAGCTCCTGCTGCGAGGGTGTCTGCGGCAGCTGTGCGATGAACATCAACGGTATCAACTCGCTCGCCTGCATCACCTTCGCCCAGCACGTCACGACGATCGGGCCGCTGCCAAACTTCCCGGTTATTAAGGATTTTGTCGTGGACCTGCGCTACTTCTTCCAGCAGTACGCGTACATCCGCCCTTTTGTGCGCAACGCAAATCTGCACCGTAGCCAGGTAGACGGCATCGTAGACCGCTACAACAGCATCGCTCGTGCGCTGACGGGCGTGAGTCCGGCGGAGGGGCGAGCGATGGATGAGGCGAAGCTGGTGGTGGCCTCGACGCAGAAGTCGGAGACGACAATTGCGGCCCTGCTGCGCATCGCCGATGCCGCCGTGGATGCTGGCAACGTGACGCAGGTTCTGTCGGTGCTGGAGCGGGTAGAGAAGCTGGGCACGACGCTGGACGCAGCGAAAGTGACGGAATTGATTGAGCGTGCGCTGAAGAACTACGCAGCCAAGGCGAACTGAAATGGAAAAGGAAAGAGGATTTTAGGTTTTAGTTTATTGCTACGAAGTGTTCTAGGAAAGCGAGAGAGGTACGTGTTGGTGATGGAGCCTGTCATCAGTTTACGCGACGCGTGGACGACACACATCGAACAACGCGTAACAGCTGACGGAGTCTCTTCGACACATCTGTCCTATCTCGCATTTTTTCTTTTTTTTTCTCTGTATTTTTGTAGTAGTTAGCTGCACACGCGTTGTGTGCAACAACAACAGGAAAACATCAAGTACACACACTGCAGCGTCATGCGAGAGCAGGCTGTGGTAAAGCACATTTGCCAGCATTTCCAGATGTCTGCGAGAAATCCCATTTCAACTGTGTCGCTTCGTTGTGGTGTAAAGGGTCTGACTAGGTTTTTGCAAGTACTCGCGTGAAGATGAGCGGACCGTGTCAGCGCAGCGCTGCCTCGAGGAAGCGCCCAAGAAATCCTGCTGCTGAATTGTTGCGGTTCTCAGGTGGAACAGCGATGGTGGCAGCGGCCCAGTGACGGCCGCCGCAGCCTTTACGGAGTACGGCGGAATCCGTCCACGTAGTTCTGGCGCTTTTGACTTTGAATCTCCTTCTTCCGTCTTTCTCTCCACTATTTTTCTTTTTTTTTCTTTTCTGTCACAGGTGCTTTCCCTCACCCCCCCCCCCCTTTGTCCGCGCTGCTGCCGTGAAGTAACGCACTTTGAAGCTGAGAACTGCTAATTCATAATAACAGCCTCCAGCGCATCCCCTCCTCTCTCTCTCTCTGTATTGTAGCGTAGTTTCTTGTGCGCAACGTCAACGGCGCAGTAGAGGCGAACTGCGGCGGTGTGAAAGGCCTGTGCGCGTGTTCTCCTTTGTTTTCTTCACCTCATCCGGTTTGCGGATCAATAATTGTTGTAGGCTGACTTCGTGTGGGTGTTGCAGAGCAGGTGAGCGACAGCGTCTCCCGCAGTTCTGCCCCAGCTGCGCCAGCGCAAGTACTTTTTGAATTAGCTCCTCGTTTTCTCTTCTTCTCGAGAGCTTCGCACGCAGCTTCTTTGCCCGACTCTTTTCTTCTGTACATGTTTTAGGCTTTTGGCAGCATTGGCGCCGGCGCTGCATCTCATCGAGAGCGCTGCCTTTCCTTTCGTAATTGGCGAGTATTTTGAAGGAATTCTTGATATGTGCGGCGGCTCTGTGCACACCGTGCGCCCACGCACCTTCTGCGGGTGGTGCGCGCTCTCTGCCGGCTACATTCCGTGTCTTATTGCTGTTGGGCTCATTGCGCTAAACGTGCTGCCCTTCCACCTGTGCTTCCTGCCGATGCTCCATGCGGCCTGCGTGGTGGGCAACGCGTCTATTTTCTATTACTACTACTCCATCGTGATAATGGTCTTTGCAGAGATTATGGTGTATGGCAACCTCTACTGGGCAATCTTTACGCCGCCTGACTTTGTGCCGCACGAGCCATGGGCCGAGGCACCCGTGTATCAGGGCCGCGCCGTGAGCGAGAACCCGTACGAGGTGTTCGATCTCGACCGCACGGGTAAGCTGCGCTACTGCGGTGCGTGTCGTCAGTTCAAGCCCGATCAGGCCCACCACTGCCACATGTGTCACCGCTGCGTCTACCGTATGGACCACCACTGCCCGTGGATCAACAACTGTGTGGGCCGTGGCAACTGCAAGTACTTTCTGCTCTTCGTCGGCTACATCCCGGTCGGTGCATTCCACATCGTCCTCTCCACGTTGTACAGCTGCGTATTTCACTTCCCCGACTTCTTCGGGCAGGCCATGACGGAGGAGAAGATCTTCTCGAGCCTCATTGTGATCCTCTCCATGGTCTTCTCCACCGCAATGGGCCTCTGCTTCCTCGCGTTCGCCATGCATTTCGTGTGCATGGCCTACCAAGGGCAGACCTCTGTCTCCCGCATGATTGCGTCGAAGAAGCAGGCGGATGAGCTAGAGCAGCAGCGCAAGCGCGCCGCGGAGGACCGACTGTTTTACATGTTTGACCTCTTTGGTGCGGATCAGCGGTGGAGTCGCATGCTTTTGCCTTTTAAGCCGGACCACGACGTCCGTCGTGCGCCGCCCGGTTACGCCAAGCGCTTCGGCGGCTCTGTCGATGAGTACATAGTGAGCCTGGTGTAGTGGCGATGGTATGTGGTGTCAGCATCGCTGCTCGGGACGCAACACGGCGGCACCATCACGATTTCTTTCTCTCTCTATCTGTTTGCGTCTACATGGCGTGTCGGGCAGCTGCACGGTTGGAGGGTGTTTTTCCGCTGATTTCGCGTGATGGTGTCGTCTTTGAACATAAATTGCTCACCTCACTTTTATTTATTATTATTGCTGTTGCTGTCCCCTTTTTTGTTGTTGTTTGCGTTGATGTCCACAAGACGTGATTGCACATGTGGTGCGACACAGCGTGTGTCCTCTTCAAAGGCGTGTGCATCAGCCAAAAAAAGGCTCCGCTTCATAGCCGTCACTATTCCTACGAAGACCTCCAGCCACAACAACGGAAATGAGCAGCAGTCGAAGCTGCACCCCGTGACGAACTGCACTACTCGGAGGCTGAAAACAACACCTCCTTTCTGTCCGTCGTTAACCGCAATGGCACGTGTTGTGAAAAACCGGAAGGCATGTGCTGCTGATGAAATGCTAGCTGTTCTCGCTGCTTGGCTGACCCACTCCATTCTTCCAGTGCGTCTTCGGAGGAGCGGTGCAAGTGACAATAATAATAATGATAATAATAAGCCATGACCCAGCAGTGTAGGCGAGGAATGTACGGCGCTTTCTGCGAGCGGTATTCAGGTTTTGATTTTGGTTGAGTTCAACAATTTTTTTTTCTTTTGTTTTCATTCAAGTTCTTCATCTTGTGCTCTCTCTAATCTCTTTTCTGCTTTGTGGGGTGAGAGGAGGGCGAGCTGTTTGTGTCGCTCTGCACCACCGTTAACAGAAGAAGCCCTCCTTTAAGCAGCTGGCTTTGTACGGCGCCTCAACAACAAACACAGCAGGAACACGCCGTAGATATACGAACCCGCGTACGCACCTACGTTCCTTTTCTTTCCTTTTTTGTTTCAGTTTGCTTTGGCGTCTTGTAGTTTTCGCTCACCATGACGGAGTGTCGGTGCCTGAACAAGCACTCGCACCCTGCGGCGACGAGAGGGTGTGCGGAGGGGTGCATGATGTGCTGCGGCTACACCACGCCCGCCGTGATCGGCTTCCTCATCGCGGGCCTCGTCGTTGCCAGCGACGTGTACAGCATCATCCTCATCGCACGCAATCCGCACAGCGCGTGGTGCGTTATTGTCTGCCTCATTGTATTTCTTTTTACCACCGTGATCGGGGTTGTCGTGTGCTGGTCCTACTACGCCATCATTTTCACCCCACCGGGCTTTGTACCGCACGAGACGTGGCAGTATCCACCGGCGTACGGCGGGCCGCCGCTGCCCCAAAGGGACCAAGGCAGAGGGCAGGCGCGCTTTCCGGCTGGGGGCGGCGGTGGGGAAGGACCTGGGGCTTCGCAGCCGCCCCAGCCAGGCGGCCCGGCACACACCCCGCCGCCGCAGCAGCAGCAGCAACTGGCGCCCTCCCTGTCACGACGCTCACCAAACCACTCCGGTGATCGCACCGACCCGTCCAGCTACCCGACGCCACCACCGGGTCCTCCGCCACAACTCCCAGCACGCGCAGCACCGACCACCTCGGCAAACCCGCTGCAAGACGGCGAGGACGCAGCCCCCCGCAAGGCGACGAGTGACGCCGGCGGTGCCGCTGTTGTTGCGGCCGTCCTCTTCAATGACAGCGACGACAGTGGCAACGGCGGCCCCCGAGAGCGGCCGCGGCAGAACCACGATGACGCGACGAAGCTGGCAGAGGGAGCAGTGGTGACTGGTGGCGCTGCTGTCTCTCCGGCAGGTGCGCAATCCGGCAGTCACAGCCCCTACTCGACGCCACGCCTTTCACTGCGCCTCGCCCCTGCAACGGCAGCGGCGGCGCCCCCTTCAGCACCTTTACTGAACCCGTACACCGTTCATCAGGTCCACCCGAACGGGTCTCTGCGCTACTGTTACGCCTGCCATCAGTTCAAGCCCGACGACGCCCATCACTGCCGGATGTGTGAGAGGTGCGTCTTCAACTTCGATCATCACTGCCCGTTCGTGAACAACTGTGTTGGCCGCAACAACTATAAGCTGTTTGTCGTCTTTCTGCTGTACAGCGGCGTGGGCGCCACACTGGGGGGTGCGTTGATGGCGGTGACGCTGTTTGCGGTGGACAGAGACGAGATGATGTCGAAGATTGGTTGGGCGGCGGTGCCGGCCGTGGACGTGGTACTCGGCCTCTCCCTCCTCTTATTCTACGTTCAGCACCGCGTGCTGCTGTGCAGGGGCGAAAGCACGCTCGACAGCATCGCACGCGGCGACGACACCTTCCAGGGATGGCGGCAGGCGTTCACACGCCCAAAGCGATCGGCGGCGGAGAAGGAGGAGCTGAAGCGGCAGAAAGCGATACGAGTGGAGCGGCATTACCGGGCTTTGTTGGGCAACGAGTCGCCGTGGTGGCGACGGTATCTGCCGTCACCGGTGCGCACGGACGACAGGGCAGATGATACCGTGTCGGGAAATGTGTAGCGGGAGGCAGCTTCTGCAGGTGATAATGCGTACATGTGTGTATCTGTGTGTGTGTGTGTGTGTGTGCTTACGCCGTCTCGCCTGTCGTTTAGACAACTGAGGTGCTGTGCAGTGGTAGAAGAAGAGTTATTGCTGTGGAAGTTGTATCACTAATCCAATGTGTCAAAGGCTTCTACTCTTTTACGGTTCTCTTTTACTTTTGAATCTCCGGCTGCTCGCCAAATTCGCTGATGTTTAGGTCAACAGTTGAACTTTTCCTCTCTGCATGGAGAAGAGGCGTTGTGGTGCTACAGCTCATTATTTATTTTTATATTCCTTGCCTGCTATGGATCCCCCCACCCTTCATGTGTCGTTCCGTACGCGCTGTGCTCGACATTTTATCTTGTATATGTTAAACGAGCTTCCGCTGCTGCTCACTCTATCCTTTGCTTTTATTATTATTCCTCGCCTCTCGGGTTCCCATTTTCTTGTAGATCACCATTAACAGTCGCAAGGATTCCCCATGGAAGAAGCAGAAGGGGTCACTAGCAATAATAGTAAAAGAACTGACTATGTTATCTGCGACTCTTCTGTAAAGCACGGAGGGGCAGCATGAAATGCGACAACGGCGAACTCAACGTGCAAACGAAGCGTACACGGCACCAACCGCTCTACGAGCTTTCGCGTTAAATGCGGGTGGTGCTGAGCGTTGTTGCCGCAGGTGATTGAAAAGTGCCTCTCTTTTTTTGTTGTTGCATCGCTGTTACTTCGCTCTTCCTCTGTTGTACCTCTCTCCCAATACCTTATCTTGAAAAAAGAAAAGTACTGTTGAAGTCGCCACGCTTCTCGTTAAGGGAGACTTCTTCTTCCAAATAGCCTTCGGCAAGTATCACAGTTTCAGTGTCTTCCTCCTTACCAGGGGTTTCTGCTAGCGTTCTCGTTCTCGTTTTCCTTCTTCATTTCCGCAGCTTCAACAGAGCTGCCGTTCACTTTTTGGATAAGTATCGAGCTGTGTGCCTTCTCCTCAACAAGAGAAAAGTAGCCGACGATAGAGAAGAGTCGTCGCCCGCGTCTTTTGCATTGCTTCTAAGTAGTTGGATATGTAAATATTTACTCAGGTACACAAATAGGCACATCGCTGCTCTCAGCATATATATGTTCTTCAAAGAAGCAGCATCGACTTCTTTCCGGATCTGTTTGTGTCTTTCTTTCGTCCTGCATTCTCATAATGGACATCCCTAAGCTCCATCCGCGGCTCTGGGCGCGCAAAGTATGGAGGCTGCTCTGCCTGCTTGTAGCCTACTACTTGCCGCTGCTCATTTTCGCGTCCGCTGTCACCCTAGCTGTTGGTTACAACAACCTTTTTATCGATCTACTGCGCGACGCCGCGGATACAAACTCGCTTATGCCGAAGGTTTATGAGGAGTTTAACGCCCTTCAAGCGGAGATATTCTGGCTCAACTACCCTGCCACGAGGCGCTTCTCAATTGCCGCCCTCTGCGTGGGAGACACGTTCTTTGCCCTGATGTTTGTGTCCTTTCTCCGCGCCGTCTTCACTTCCGCGGGCCACGTATCGCCTGAGCCATGGCTGTCGCCGCCGAGGGCCGACGCGGCGCGACAGCGGAGTTTGCATGAAAGTTGGGTCCGTCAGCAGGCGTGGATAGGTGAGCAGGAGGCATATGCACAGCAGAAAGCGGCTCAGACACGGCAGCTGCTTCAGCTGCAGATGCAGTGGATTGGAATGAGCGAAGATGAATCGATGCTTTTGTCGCACACAGCGCTTTCCAAGTTTGCGGCGGTGTCTCCGCATCGCAGTGAGCGGCAAACTACTTTGTTGAACAGACCCGACCCTGCGTTGAGTGACCCTCCTGACTCTTCTGAGAGGAGCAAACCAGGTCTTCCTCCGGACGGATTTACGGGAGAAGGCGACGACATGGATGGACAAGTCCGACCGTCGCCATCAGCGACGCTTCAGTTACGCACAGCACATCCACCCACTCCAGCATCGCTCTCTCAAGTCACCTCAACCGGCACCACCAACTCCAGCGCAGCCGCCGTAGATCGGTCAGTGGAGGTGGTTGATCCTGCTGCGCCGTACGGGCGGCAATGTATCCCCCCCACGGTGGAAACCGTTGGACTGAACCCCAACACCGTGTACGAGTACGAGGCTGACGGTTCGCTTCGCTTCTGTGGGATCTGCCGTCAGTACAAGCCGGATGGCAGCCATCACTGCAGCAGGTGTCGGCGCTGCGTCGACAACATGGACCATCACTGCATATTCCTCAACAACTGCGTCGGCCGGCGCAACTACAAATTCTTCTTCCTGTGTCTCTTCTACTCGACTCTGTGTGGGACGGTGAACTCCGGCCTGTTTATATTCGCCTACGCAGGAAGTGCGGTGTGCGCAGGGTGGGAAGCCGAGTTTAGTCTTGACCCAGAGTTGGGGTGGTCAATCGAATGGCGGTGGTGGGTGCCAGCCGGCATGACTGCCATCGGCGTCTGTGTCGCGTATCTCTTGGTGCAACATGTGCTTCTACTGTGGCACGGCATAAGCACGTTGGACCGCATGAACCAGCTATCCTTCGAGCGTTTCCTTGCTAGGATTTCCGCGGCACCGCGACCGGTCCGCACCCGTTGTGCGCTTCTCAAGGGCTGCTTTTCGACTCTGCGCACGTGCGTGGGGGCGGTGACCCAGGCAGTGCAGCTAGTGTTGGTCTGTCTGCCATGCCCGGGGTGCAACAGGTCTCCTCCGCGGAAATTAGGCCTTCCGATGCAGATGGCGAGTTCCACGGATGCCGCACCCACACAGGCCGAGCGGCGTGCGCAGCGCATTGAGCTGCTCTTTGGAAAGCCGAAGCACTGCTGGGAGTACTTGTTACCGATTTCCCCTCAAGGTGGCTGGTGCAAGCCATGTGGGAATCGAGGTAGCCGTGCTGTCGTTGAGGCGGTGTGACGAGGGCAGCCCGTGCACCCACTTCATCACACTGCTTGCAAATCGCTCCTTCAAGCATATGTATACTTTGTTCTCTACTTTTTTGTGCTACGTATTTGCCTTGTTTTCATTGAAGCAGCAATAACTGCAAACATTCTAGTTATTTTCCTGATCGAGGTGGGCACACTGTGCTCGCGCGTGGTGCGTCTCCTTCCTCCCTGTTCGCCCACGCCGTCATTAATGAACGTCTTTTTCTTCTCCTTCTGCTTAAGAAGCGGCGTGCTGTCGGGGGTTTCCGCTTTGCTGGAGTGCAACTCCACCTTCGCTTCCTTTTTGCTGCTCCTTTTCTTTTCCACCACTGCCTGCCTGCTGGTTTATTGACGATTGCTGGCTGCTGATCAGCAACCGGCTCCTCTGTTGAGAGCCCGCGTTAAGTGTTGTGTGCACGTTGTCGTTCAGGAACTCGCGCTGGAATATCTAACTGCCGCTGCTTCCCTTGTATCTTTTCGTCTCTCACTTGTGCGTCACAGCATCCGTTAGTCTCAAAGAAAGCGTGGCCCATACATGTATATACATATACACGCAGCTTTATCTTTTTCCACACCTTTCTTCTCGTTTTTATAAAAATTTATCTCTCCTGGGCTCCTTATCAGCACTCTCCGTCGACCTAACCGTCCAAGAAGGGCCACTGCAATGCAGGTGGCGGCACAGGACCAGGGACAGGCAGCGAGTGTGCTGCCGCCCATCACACAGACCACCGGGGGCCCACCGAGTAATAGACCTTTCTTATCGCAAGGGAGCCAAGACGGGCCGTCGACGGACATCGTTGTGACGACCAGTGAGCAGCGCAGTCCTGCGTTGACGTTCGGCAACGATCTGGGCAGCACCGCCATCAATGAGAGGTTCGCCAAAACAGTTCAACTGCCGCGACCCGCGCCGCCGTCTTCACCGCCACACGGCTCACTTACCCCACCGCCGGCCCAGCAATTTCTCTCCGGCGGTCGCACCCCACCCGTCGGCCGTAGCCGCACCGCGCCGGCGGACCCCGACCGCCCGAATGGCTTCACCGCCTTTGCGGCGCATGACGAGGAGGCGGAGCTGCAGGACTTAAAGGCGCTTCTCATGACGCAGTCTTCCCGCCTGCAGCGCCGCTCCTCGGCGGGCTTCGCAGAGGACGTCGAGTACGAAATACGACCGTCGCTGAGGGCGGAGGAGGCAGATTCGCTGTCGGCTCATCCGTCAGCTTCAAGGGACACCCGTTCGCAGCCGGCCACGGTCCTCTCGAGGGACGAGGCAAAGGACGGAAATTACCGGCTGCCTTCGTCGCAGGTGCCGGAGGGGTGGGACAATGCCATCCGCAAAGGCATGCGCTACGTTCGCCCAGACGACGTGGACGGCGACGGCGGCAGTGTAGGACGACGCGCAGATCCCCAAAGAGTGGAAAAGCCCTCTGGCGCAGCAGCAGCGGAGAAGGAAGAAAGCAACGCCGAGGCGGCGATGCTGGCGGCGCTGGAAAGGGAGAGCGCTCTGCGCGAGACGCGGTTGGAGCGCCGGAGCAACGACCTTCGACGCTCCTGGGGGGCTGGGCCGCCGTCCACCGCGAACAGGATTATCTACCCCGCTCCCCCGCCGGTGACGCTCGTCGCTTCGGACGCCGAGGTGCAGGAGCGTGCGCTGGCGGCCGAGGACTTCGCACGCAGCCAGGCACGCCAGCGCAAACGCTCGAAACAGAGCGCATCGACGGCGGCAGGGGCGGCGAAGGCGAGCCTCAACAACGGTGACCCCGCGAATCCACAGAAGGCATCGCCTCGAAAAGAAGAGCTAGCCGCTGATGAAGAGGCCTCGACAGGGTTCACTACTCCCAGTTTTATGAATGCGAAGGGTACCGCAGACAACGTAAAGGATGCTGACGCGGAGGCCTTTGCTTCCCCGTATCACAGCCGGGGGGGCGCCCACTACCCCGGCCACGGGGCCCCTGAGCCACGCGAGTTGGACGAGATGTCGATGGCCAGCCTTGCTTTTGGTCGCATGTCCATGATCTCCAGCAGTGTGGCGAAGCTAACCGACAGCACCCTAGCTGTGATGGAGATGCTGTCCAACCGGCCGGATGTCATTCTGCCGTCGCCCGCGGAGACGACTATGGTGCGTAAAGGCGACGTGCTCTCGGCGAAGCACATCCTTGTCCGGGACCTGGAGGAGGCCCTGCACGAGCGGGAGGGTGCAACCGGGATGGTGGCCGGGGCGCCGTACTTTCGCATTGTGCCAAAGCTGAACATTGCGGGCGTGGCACAGGCCAACGCGAGCGCAGTGCGCACCATCGTCAACGAGCTGCGCCGCGCGCACGTGGAGGGCCCGATCATTTGGGTGAACCTGCGCGAGGAGCCGATCATTTACATCAACGACACCTCCTACATCGTTCGCGAGCGTACGAACCCTTTCAAGCCGATCATCATCCCTAACGTGACGGGGCTCAGCATTGAGGCGATTGAGCGGAAGCTGAAGCAGGAGGTGCTGCAGGAAGCCTACGAAAACGGCGGCAACATCAGCGTGCACCTGGAGAGCAAAGGAGGCGGGATGGAGGATCAGTGGACGTGCGCGGAGCGGCACGAGGTGCTGACCATCGCAGAGGTTTTCCATCGGCTTGACAAAGAGACGGATCACCAAGTTATGTACTTCCGCCGGCCCGTCACGCAGAACATCGGACCGCAGCCCGAAGACTTCGACTTCGTGCTGGATGCGTGTCTAGAGGAGCCAAAAGCGGTCTTTATCTTCAGCTGCCAGACCGGCCGCGGACGGACCAGCTCGATGATGCAGATCGCCAACATCGTCCGCTTCTATCAACTGTGTGTGAAGGACGTCACGGCGGATGTGCGCGTGCTGCGTGGCAAGGTGAACGCGCCGTCGTACCGCACCATTCAGAAGCTTGTCTCCTTATTCCCCGACGGCAAACTGCACGAGCGCCGACTCGTCATCTTGATGGAGGTGGCCGACAAGGGATACTCCATTGCAAATCACATCAACGACGCGTTCTCGAGGAGCGACGTGCCACCTGATCTGGCGAAGATGCGGCTGCAGATGTACGCGTACTTCCTCGTCTTTTCATACTACTGCGAGCAGCGCCTGTGGAATTACTCCACACGGCTCTCATTTGTGCAGTGGCTCGACGAGAATCCGGAGCTGAAGCTGCTGATCGCCAGTGTGCGAGAGAAGCTGGACGACCAGCTCAAGTCCGAGCGCGTTGTGGCGCCAACGGCGAGCGGGCCGGAGGCGGAGGCCATTCGAATGATTCGGCAGCGGCACGGTAACGTCCTCAGCTCCGGCCGCATTTTGTGTAGTCTGCCGATGTGCGACAAGAGCAAGGCACGAACTGGCATTGTGGCGCTGCGTCAGCTCGCGCCGGGGGTTCCGATTCTCACCTGCGGCCGTCTTGACGGCAGCGCGCGGGATGAGCTGATCGGCGACATCCGCTCCACCTTCCCTCGTGTGCAGTCGATTCACTGGGTGAGCCTTCGGGCGGAGCCGATGGTGATGATCAACGATGTTGGCTACACGCTGTCCGACTACGACAGCACCCCCGATGCCGCCGCGCACGGCACGACGATGCACGCCTCCGTGCAGGCGATGGAGCAGATTGAGGACCGTCTCCGCCGCGACGTGCTGTTGGAGGCGCAGGACAACGGCGGCTTTATTGTGCTGCACCGCATCTCTCCCTCCGGCGAGCGTGAAACCCTACGCATCAAGGTGGTCTCCGTGCGCACGCCGCGCAGTACGATGGAGGACTTTGTCGAGCGGTCTGGTGTGCGCTACTCCCGCATTCCGATGCCCTTTTCTGGGCAGCTGCTGGCGAGCGACGTCGACCCGCTCTTTCGCTACCTCACGCAGGCGGGCATCACGGCCGACGACGCGATCGTCATCAACGACTCCGCCGGCACCTCCCGCACGACGGTGGCGCTGAATATTTTCACCCTGTACGCGGCGAGCCAGCTCGGGGACCTGCGCGCCACGCAGACCCCCGAGAAGCTGTCCGAGCTGCTCTCGAACGACTCCAGCGACGTGTTGGTGCCGCATGCGCAGGTGGCGGCGACGGCGGACGTGCCGTCCCAGGACGTGCCGGAGCACCACGTCGAGCTTCTCCTCGCCTCCACCATCTGCCAGATGCTGACGGCTGGCAGTCTGCTGCGCACCGTCGACGCCGCCATTACGCTGGGTGGCCGCGGCCGCCACTGGAACATTCTGCACGAGGTGGATTACCTGAAGCGGCGCATCAGCGTCATTGGTAGCAACAAGATGCAATGTGTAGTCGACGCCCTGCACGGGCTGCGCTGCTACCTGCTCGTGCTCCTCGCCTGTCTCTACTTGGATGCGCAGCATGAGGAAGGCTTCACGGTGGAGAGCAAGCGGTTCAGCGACTGGGTGGTGGAGCATAAGGAGGTGTCGAACATCGTCGAGAACCTCGAGCACCGCGGCGAGGCGGCGCTAAACTACGTGGCGGCCGACAATTTGATGAAGGCCGACCTCACGCGTCGCTCCGGCGATGTCCTCACGGCAAACTTCTGTCTCAAGGCGGACCACTTCCCCGGCTGCCAGAAGAAGGGTCTGCGCCCGGTGCTGTGCGGCGCACCGAACTTCCGCAAGGTGGACTTCGTGAACGTATACGGCGTGGCCATCCCCACCCGCATCGGCATCCACAACGTGCTGTCGCTGCTAGGGGCGTCCAACGAGCCGCTGCAGACGTACCCCGGACAGAGCAACGACTCCGAGCTGTGTCTCGGCTTTGCGGCACCGCGCCTCTTCGACCCGACCTTCAAACCGGAGGAGCTGCAGCACCCGCTGCGGGGGTCGGTGGTGTGGGTGAACCTGCGCGAGGAGCCGATTCTCTACGTCGGCGACCGCCCGTTTGTCTTCCGCGATCTCGCCGCGCCGTACGTGAACGTGGAGCTGACGGGCATTCAGACAGAGAAAATCGAGATTGTGGAGTACGAGCTGAAGCGGGATGTCCTAAAGGAAGCGAGCGAGTACGACGGCAAATTTCTCGTGCACGACGAGGGCAACCCTGGCGAGCTCGTTGGTGTGTGGGAGTCTGCCACGGAGGAGACGGTCAAGACGCTGCGCGAGGTCTACGAGGAGCTCCTCGTGAAGGCCTTCCGCTGCCAGATGCTTCGCCTTCCCGTCACGGACGAGCAAAGCCCTGACATTCGGGACTTCGACCTGCTCGTGGACGCGCTGCTGCCCCGCATCGCGAAGCACCTTGATCGCCGAGAGACGCTTTCCTTCGTCTTTAATTGTCAGATGGGCCGCGGCCGCACCACCACCGGGATGGTCATCTGCTGCCTGCTGATTGGTCTCGTCATCCCGGAGTACTACGATGAGCTGCACAGCGCCTACCGCGACCTCCTCGACGCGCCGTATTTGTCCGACTTCGCGCGTGGCGAGTACGCGGCCATTACCCAGCTCAAGCGCGTTCTCACAGAGGGCCGGACGGCGAAGTATCAGGTGGACCTGGTGCTGGAGGCGTGCTCGAAGATGCAGAACCTGCGCGGCGCTATCGAGTCCTTCGCGGTCGCGTTGACATCGCCGGATACGACCGAGGTTGGTCGCGCGCGGGCGCACCACGCCGGTGTGCACTACCTGAAGCGGTACTTTAACCTCATTGTGTTTGCCGTCTACTTGCAGGAGGAGTACGATCGCATGTCGAAGCGTATGCGTCGCACCTTCGTTGAGTGGTTTGCCTCGCACCCGGAGATCACGGCGCTGTTGAACACGTGCGCGTTGAAGTAGGCCGCGCGGTCGGTAGGGCAGTCGCGGCGAAGCGAGCACGCGGGGAGGAAGCAGTAGAAACAAACCACCTGTGGCAGTGGCCTATTTTGTTCCTCCGTCACGTCTTTGCCGTTTTCGTGCTGATCTCTGACGTCTCCTTTACTTTCGGTTTTCTTCGTTTGCTTTTCGTTGAGCTTTCGATGTGCACAGACGACACTCCTTTGTTGTCCACATCCGCAGTGGACGGACCTCTCCCATCTATTTTTTCTTTCTTTCCTTCCTTTTCTTTTAAAAGCTGCAGGAGGAGGAGAGCCGCGTTGCAGCGACGCAAGCTGACGGGAGATGAGTGTTGTTTTCCTGGTAAGAATAAATGTTGTCTAACCATGTATTCCACTGTCGAGCCTTCTTTGCCCCTTTGGGCCGATGATGTATATATTAGAAACCTTCCTTAAAAGTCACCGCTTTGTCTTTCTTTCTATTATCACCAAAAATTTACTTGTACAACGGCGTAACACAACAGCAAAAAGAGATCCATCCTTTCAACTGAATCGGAGCTACGTGAAGGAATCGATGATTGCCTGCTTCTCGCAGATGAGCCACACTCCGGAGCGGCGCGGGTGTGTGTGTGTGTGTGTTGGGTGTGCGTTGGGTGTGCTGAGGGTAGCCGTCGCACATGCGCTGTCTTTTTCTTCTTCTTTGTTGGAGGTCGAGGCAAAACAGCTAAATCGAGCAGCGCTTTGAGAGCGATAGTGGAAGCGACGATCGGGTTTCTTTTTACCGGTAAAGCTGTAAACAACCTGGCGTGGAACGAAGGTGCTCGCCGCCCCATGATATGCTAATGCCATTATTCCCCGCCGTCTCGCTCCACGCACCCTCTTCTTTCCTTGTCCCTCTTGTTGCAGCCAGAGACGAAGAACGTCGATTTGCGCACAGCTGAAGAAAAAAAAAATACTTGAAGGAAGGTGAACGAGAACGATTGACTCGACGCATTGCGATCGACACTCCCCCCCCCCTCCCCCCTCCCCTAGCACCTCCCTGCACCATGGCGGACTTCGCGTTTCAGTGGGATGACGGCAACTTCATCTCTCCCTTTGTCGCGGCAAGCGAGGGGGACATGGAGATCTTCGCCGGCTGGCTCGTCGCCCGCTTCCTGACCACCCTCACTGCCTCTGCCCCGAAGACTGCGGCCAAACGGCTCGAAATGCGTCTCACGGACCTGGGCTGCGGCGATGCGACGGCAATCCTCTCGCTGGCGCAGTACGTGCGGAAAGGCTGGCGGGAGTTGGCGACGACAGTGGAGGGCTCTTCGCAGAGCTTCTTGCACCTGCTGGTGACGGGCGTCGAGCTCGACGACGCGCTGCTGGTGAAGGCGGAGGACAATGCTGCAGCCTTCGCCACGTGCATCGCCTCTCCCACCTCCTCACCCGTGTCGGTCGAGACGCACTTTGTGAACGCGGATATTCGCTTTGCGGACTTGGATGTGTACTTCCCGCGTCACGTGGCGATCCGTAGCTCCACTGCGTCAGTGCGAGCTGCTGCTCCCCCGCTGACCTCGCCGCCCTACGTGCTCTATATGTATTTGCTGCCAGATGCGCTGGAGGTGCTGCTAGAGAAGCTGCTGGAAGTTCTCCGACGAGGATGGATTGTGGCGTCGAACCGGTGGCCCATTCCTGGTCTGGATCACCTGCTGAAGGAGCGCGCAGGGCACGTTCACGTCTACTATCAGTGAGGCAGTGGAGTCATTGGCTTCTCACATTTCCGTAAGCATCCTCTACCGTGTCACCCGACGACGAGGTATCCTCGTGAGGGCACCGTATCGGCTGCGAAACTGCTCGCCCAGGCGAAAGGCACGTGTGCGTGTTACTACTCAACGTTCATTCGCGTTTTCTTTCGTGTCCGTGGTGAGCGGTGGGTGCATATTATTATGAATAAAAATAAAAGTAGACGCAAAACAAGGAAAAGCGCTTGTCCAGGGGATAAAAAGCTTTCCCATCGATGCGCAACTATTCGTGTTTGTTTGTGTTCTTCCTCAGCTTTGTTGGTCTGTTTATCTGAATGGAAAGGGCTATTGCTGCACGTGTGCGCGTGCATGTATGCGGACTTCTGTTTCTTTCAGCTTGTCAAACATGATGAGCGAGGGCCCCATCACTCCGCTTCCGTGCTACTCCGTTTGCAGAACTTCCGAACGCGTCGTCCGAAACGCTCTCCTGGCGCAAACGCTTCTTAACTAGTCTCAGGGCAGCGACGTGGCCTTTGCGCTGTATAACAGCTAATGACTTCGCATCATGCATCCTTCTCAACTCCCCTTCCTCGGAACTGCTCTGTATATCGCACGGTGTTACTCTCCGCGCAACTGGTGTGTGTGTGTGTGTGTGTGCGTGCGCGATGTGCTGAAGGGCGCGGCTGCATGACAATAGAGAAGCGCCATTCAATTGATAGCTTTTGAGCACGTGAGTTTCTCTCTTTTACTCACTTGAAAACTAGCGCGTTTACACGTAGCGGTCTTTTTCCCCTTTATTTTCTTTCAACAGAAACTTTCTGGACTCGCCAGCCTGTGAGTTTTATCTGTCGTCGTGCGACGGAGACAAACATGCTACGGCGCACGCTGCCCTTTTTGGCGAGCAATCGAAGTACACGTGGCGGACCTCGTTCATTCGGCGTGTTCTTCTTCCCTCTGACAATCCTGCCGTTGAACTTCTTCATTAACTCCGTGCAGGTGCGTGGCTGAGAGTTCCTCGCTCTGTACAGCACTCTCAACACCTGCCCTTTGGTACCCCCTGCGGCCCCTCCGCGCTTCCTCCAATAGAACTCTGTGCGTGACGCGTAACGACGTAGAATAGAAAAAGCTCTCACATGGACTTTGTGCACTTCCTGAAGAGTCAGCGCTACCGCTCACGCGTGCCGCTGCGTCAGCTGCAGTTCACCGTTGCCGTCTACCGCGCCATTGTCGTGGAGGAGGCGAATGTGGAGCTGCTGGCCGAAGTCACTGTGCCGTGGGATGGAAAGGTCTGCTCCCCACGCGAGACCCTCGACCTTTACAAGGACCTCACGCACCTTACTCAGCGGCCCACCAACTCAGATAGGGAGTTGAGAGCGGGCCCGCTAGCGGAGACGGCACCAGCGGCCTCCACGACCGCACTTGGGATGGGCCCGTCCACGTCTGGCGCCGCGGCAGCTGTAACAAACGAACCGTCCTCGGCCCCCAACGTGCTGGCGCTGCCTACCCCCAACGAGCTCATCGCAGAGCTGCAAAAGCCGCCGTCGAACTTCTTTACCCGACCCTCGCGCGAAGACTTCATTGATCGCGCCGAGGAGGACTTCCCGGTCGACCCCCCGCAGGGCCCCAGTCTTCTTGCCCCTATCATTCTGCGCCAGCACCGGCGTGACCACCAACCGAATCGGAAGATGTTTCTCATGTGGGCATCTGGTGACGTCGTCGTACCAGAGAAGACGACGAGCGCCATCGCACCGGTTGATGATGTCCGCGCTGCAGAGAACGGCACATCAAGCAATGTCGTCGTTTCCACCGCAGCACTGCCCCTGTTTGAGGTGGACGCGCTTACCTGGAAAGGAGTCGAGCGTGTGATGTGCACGCTGACCGCCGAGCCGGATGAGCACGTCTTCACGGCGAGGCCAAACCTGAACGACGCCCACACGCTCTTCGTCGACGCTGCGCACATCTACACGTTTCGTGTGACGGTGTCTAAGGCAACGTGGGCGGGGGGACCGCCTCGGCGCACGTCTGCAGGGGAGATCCCGAACGGCGCCTTGGATGCCGTGTCCGCCCCCCTGGACGCGGTATTGGCAAACGTGCGAGAGCTGGCCCAGTACGCCGAGGAGCAGTACGAACAGCTCGACATCAGCAAGGATGTGGTGGCCCGGCGACTGCTGCGGCAGGCGGCGCTGCTGGTCCCACCGGAGCGCGGTCGCACCGGGCCGCCGATCGTGGCCGCCTCGGGTGCGGCGGCTCCCCCCGCTGAGGAAGGCGGCGGCCGTGCTCGCCGTGCGTCCTTCAACTACAGCGTGTCTGCCGGAGCTGCCGGGGAGCGCGGGGCGAGCGTCGTGATGGGCGGCACGAGTATGTCTGCTGCGCCGCGTGGGCCGGGGATGAGCGGGGTGCTGCTGTCTCGCTCCTCCGTCATGCGCACTGGGTACTCGTTGCCACGGGGGCTGTGCCAGTACTACTTGTTTGGCACGGTGGACCGCTGCGTCGGCATCGCGGAGTCGACGCTGTTCCTGCGCTGTCAGCTTGTCGAGGACGGCGAGGCCTCCACGTGGATGTACGACGGGCTCGCTGCCTCTTCGCCCTCCGCGGTGTGCGAGTTCAGCTCCCAGCTGGCCTACCTCAGCACCTTCGTGGAGCACGAGTGTGTGCTGGACGTGGACCACGTTTTCAACCTGCCTTTTGAGTACAACTTCGTCGGCGCTGCACTGCCGCGCAGCCCGCTGCGGTTGGTTGTGTCCGCCTTCACCGAAGGCGCGGCAGCGGCGGGTGTGCAGTCCGCGGTGGCCTACGCTTGTCTCTCCCTGCCCGTTGCGACCCCCGGGCGACACACGATGACGGCGGCGATGTGGGCGCCCCACAAGAGCGGTGTGGAGTTCCTTCGATCGGCGCTGCTGGGCGGGGCACCGAGTCTGGTCGATGCTCGCCAAGCCGGCCCCCCGCCCACTCACCGCACGGGGATTAGCGTGAAGGAGGGTCTCTACGCCGACAGCGTAGGCCGCGTGCACCTGACGGTCAACATTCTACATCACAGAAGTCACGACAGCGCCTGAGCGGGTGCCGTTCAACGAGAGAATCTCTTCCCCGGAAGAGCAGTGAAGGAAACGCCGCGTTGGCTGAGGGGAGAGAGGCGAGTTTTTGCACAAGACCAACTGTTTTTTTTTTCTTTTCGACTCTTATAGAATGCGATGCAATCTCTCATCGCCCCATACATCAATTTTCGAATGCACCCGTTCTTTTGCTGAAATCTGCCACGCGAGGCAAAACAAAGGAGACGTCACCGAGGTGCATGTTGGGCCTGGCAGTCGCCTTCTTTAATTGAAGAGGGACTCTATGCGAGAAGGAGAGATCACGCTTCACTGCTAACGTGAAGTGGGGAGGTTCACTGTCGAGATAAAGAGCACAGATGCATACGAATGCCTTCATTCTGTCAACATATGATGACTTTCCCTGTGGTGTCAAAACTCGTTTTCTTTGAGACATCTCTTCCTTCTCAACACCCTTTTTTTGTTTTGCTTTGATTGTACGGCGGCATTCGTCTCATCGAGCATCACAACAGTGAGAGGGAAAAGGAGATACGTCCACAACAGTCACAACAATACGAGTGAATCATCGGTGCCTTGCCATTTCCGTGCAATAGGCCGACGCTGGCTGGCGGTTGCTGGTAGAGCATCTCCTATACCCTGCTAGGGACCCCTAACGAACAGCAGCAGCAATAGTAATGCAACCTATTACCTCTTCCATAGCGGTGGACTCGTACACCACCCCGTCCGTCAACGCAGCCTACAAACGCGCAAACGGAGAGTCCGCCCTCTCTAACCACGCAACAACGGTGGTCCTGCCAGCACTGTTGCGTCCCCAGCTTGTCGTTCTGTCCGATGACGACTTGCGGGGGCTGGAACGGCGGATGTACTACGAAGACCGTACGGCGCAGCGCAACGACCGCATCGAGGAGCGTGTGTCGAGGGCGTCTGCACAGGCACGGGCAGCAGCAGAGCAACGGGAGGTGCAGCTGCGGAAACGTGCGGCTCGAAGCGCCAAAGCGGCGGGCGAGCTGCGTGTGAGGCAGATACAAGAGGAATATAGAACGACCGGGATGCGTTAGGCGTAGAAGGTGTCTCTCCTTAGTTTCCTTTTTTATATAATCCCTTTGCACCTTAGACAATGCGTCGTGAAGGAGAGAAGTGAATGCGCGCGGTGCATAGAGGCACGTAGAGTTGTTTTCTGCTTCTAGAAACCTGCGCTTCCAGACGCTTAGAGCACATTCCGCATTTTTTTTTTTAATATGCGACTTTGCGTGCAGCGAGAGTTAAGCGTGGCGACAACATGCCTGTGCGCAGGCGCAGAGAAGCTGCGTCGTTTGCGTTTGCTTTTCTCTTCGTCCGTGCTGTCTCGTTGGGGTTGTTGTGCGGCAGCGACGTGTCCTTCATGCCAACTGCTGCCGCCACGTCAGCGGTGAAGAAAGCCAGCGATGAATGCCGCAGCGCGGAGATGGATGCTTTGGGGCAGCTCTCTTCTGTTTGTGGGACGTTCATCTGCATGGTGCGCGTACGGAACGTCTTTTTCTCTTCTTATTTTTTCTTGTGAGGGGGGGGGACGGACGCTCTTCACCTGCTATCGCAGTAAACATCGACCCCTCTCCTCTGACGTTTTAGGCATTGACGACGTACTACTCTTGTCTTCCCTCTCAATTCTTCATCTGCTCGTGTGTCTGTGTGTGTGTGTGTGTGTTTTGCAAAGCAGCTTTGGAAAGAAACCAAATTGCGGCAGCTTTGGGCTACAGTCACCAACCCAGCGGACAACCCCTACATTGAAACCCACAACAGCAAACAGCGATTCCGCTTTCCAGCGCTGGCCGCGTCTGCGGTGATTGGAGATGAGCGACCCGGCAAACATCGATCACTACGACTCCCGCGCGTACACGCGTAAAGGCGCCACACAGCGCGTCGTCGTGCGGGAGAAACCGTTGCTGAAATCCCGCCTGCAGCGCCTGGCCGATTACCTCCGTCCCACGACTCGCCACGGTTTCAACGTCGTCTACACCTTTGAGCTGGCCAAGGTGATGGCGTGCATTGTCTTCCCTGTCTTTATGTTGCTGTACTGGAAGCGGGTACAGAAGAATCTGCCGGACAGCTGGGAGCAGCAGTTCGGTGGTCTGCAACATCGTCAGTTCCGCGAAGATCAGCTGCCAGAGCAAGACACCGATTACTTCAGCATCATGGAGAACTTTCAAGAACGTCGAGAGACGGCGCTGAAGAAGAAGCAGAAAGATGTGGCAGACAACAAGATTGTGTAGGGAGAAACACAGCAGCCCGAAGAGTCCCTCCCTTTTTCAGTGGTAGACACACGTGACGTTGATTCCTCTTGCGTGTGGTGTTGTCGGTGTTTGTTCCTCAAAGCTCTCTCTCCATTTTATTTTTCTTTTTTTTCTGTTGTTGCCGCGATGAATCGGAATGATTCTTTGCTTGTTGATCTCCTACGTTTCAATGAAGCTGCAAAGTCGCTGCATCGGGGCGCGTGGCCTCTTCGGTGTTGTTGTGCCTCCTGGGATCAAATTCCCCCTTCTGTCTTTTGTCATCGCTTTGTGTTTTTTTTTCCGAGACACAATTCTTGTTTCTCCCTTCGTTTCCACACGTCTCGTCGATCCCCATCACAATTGTAACAGCTAATTCAATCGCAGAAAAGTCATCTATGACGTGCTAGCTCGTCAGAGGCGGCAAAGGGAGAGAAGCGATGCCTTTCCTTTAAAACCGGAAGTGCCTCGTATACATATATATATATATATATATATATTTATATTTATCTTGTTTGTCGTCCTCACTCAAACAGTCAGTCATGGCACAGAACGGTCGATGCAAGGCGACGGGGGAGGTTGAAGACCACATGCTCGTCCTCTAGTGACGACGAAAGGAACTTTATATATATGTTTTTTTCACCAGTCAACTCTTTCTTCGCCTGCGGATCGAAAGAAGCGTGTCGTCTTTGCAATCGCGCCTTCACTTTCTGCTGCTCCCTCTTTCTCTCCTCTTGTATAGTTTCTGCACACCCGTCGGGCGCCAACGAGGTCTCTCCTACAGTGTTTTTCCTCATTGGAGACTGGTGTTAGCGAGGAAGCGAATTCGAATTTGGTGTCCCACGTTGCGTTGAACGTGTCAGTTTTCTTTTTCTTATTTCGTATAAAAGTAGACCTTACCACCGAGTGCATTCGAAGCATAAGCTTTAAAAAGCGGCTCTACTCTTGCACCAGCGACGCCATCAAAGTTGTGTTCAACGACTAGTCTGCTGACTTCATCACGGTGTGTTCTGTTCTGTTTTTTTTCTCGTCTCTTCACGGTACGCACTCCGCGTATTCACTCGTACGTGGCGCCGCACCTTTTCTGTATGTATCTCCCCCCTGTTTGATTGTTTCCTCATTACTGGAATAAACAGGGATCAGTGCAGGCAGAAGAAAACGCTGAGGGCGTCAAGTCACGTGTCAGGTTTCAACACCGACCGCGGTGCTTCACCGTTTCAAAAGGAAAAAAGGTTGTTTTGGCCTCTGCGCCATTTTTCTTTCCCGTCTTTTTCCACTTCAATATCTTTTCGCTGCGATGAGTGGGGACGGGATGCCGAAGCGTAACAGGGCCGACTCACCTCACGGCACACTTGCGCGCCCAGCAGATGTGATGGGCGTTCCCGACACCCCTCCGACTTCTCAAACGCCGGATGTAGAGGTTGTGGCGGACACGACCTCCCCGCACGCGGACCGTGACCCAGTCTTGGAGCAGCAGCTGGATACACTGGACATAGATGAGGACTTCCGCGAGTCGATACGCGCCATGACGCCCAACACGCGGCGGGACGTGCTGAACGATATTATCCGCCATCAGCAGTACGTCGGCGTTGAGGAGGCCTCCAACACCTTCGGCATGCCCGTGAACGCTCTGGGGGAACCAGTCTTTGTGTTTGCTCCCGACGGCCCAGGTGGAATGGGCGGCGAACACGACGGCAGCCACGAGAACTCCGACGAGCACGACTGGATGAACGACGAGGCAGAGGAGGAGGAGGACGTGCTCGATCTAAGCGACGATGCCCGCCACCACGGCGCCCGGCCTCTCTACCCAATGCGCCCGCTCTTCGCCTTCAGCAGACGGGTTGCGGACTCGGAGAGAGACTTTCGTCACCCCCGCTCCCACGCCTTTGGCGAGCATCGCGACGGACCCATGAACATCACCGACTTTTTGCAGCTGGTAGTGCAGCACATCGGTGAACATCCAGGGGAGGCGCTGGGGAGGCAGGGGAGGGCCGCTACCGCGCAGCAGCAGCAGCAGCGCTCCGCACTGGAGGAGCGTGTGATTAGCTTACATAACCTTCTTGGGATGCTGCAACAGGCCAACACGCTGCAGTCCATGGGCCTCGATCGAGACATCGACGACATGAGTTATGAGGAGTTGTTAGCGCTGGAGGAGCGCATCGGCAACGTGAGCAAAGGAGTGCCACCGGCGCTGTTGGAGTCGTGCATGACGCGCGTGGAGGCCCCAGCGCCGGATGAAACCTGCCCGATCTGTCAGGAGGAATTAAATGCGTCTGCCTCTGACGGTACAGGGACGGCGCCGCCACCAGTGGGCGCAGACAAACTCTGCGTCAAGCTTGTGAACTGCCCTCACATGTTTCACACGGCGTGTCTGAAGCAGTGGCTGGCGCATAACAAGACGTGTCCGGTGTGCAAGCAAGAGGTTTTGCCGCAAAAGTGACGTCGTGTCTTCGCAGCTGTGTGTGTGCGCGTGCGTGGCAGTTTTTTTCTGTGGCAATCATTTCTGTTGCTATCTTTGTATGCGCCGTGACCCCCAAAAGGACGGTGAGGATTAAGTGCCGCGTATATTCTGCTGGCTTAAGTCTCTCTTCTCGCTAGACAATTGTTGTATCTCCACCTCTCCTTTGGCCACCAGTGAAAGCATCTGTGTCTGTCGTTAACCGCTGATGTGTTTTCCCTCTTCCACCCTTTTTCTTTAAATCTGTATTTTGCTCGACGAGGGACACGCGGACCTCCTCGCGCTCCTTCTCGTGGACGCACCGTTACGGTGCTACTGTGCTCTCTTCAGCTGTTGTTTGCGTGGTGGTGTGGAGACTTCGCCTTCTTCTATTTTTCCTTTGGTTCTCTTTGCACGGCGCGAAGAAGAGAGCAGCTGTCAACATCTTGTTTTTTGTATGTTTTGCTGACTGCGCCGCGTGCCGTTTCGGCGTGAGTTCCGAGTTTACGGTTTTCCTTTGCGATGTCATATGCAATGCACCGCTGTGAGTACAGTAAGTCAACAGAGGAATACGAAAAATAACATCCACACGCATCGTGAAGCCCGGCTGTTTCTGTGAGTACTATTCGAGCGCAGTCGATCCTCCTTAACGTCGTTGTGTATTCTCAAGGAGACGCAGCGTGACATACCAGAAACGAATTGCCGGCTGCGTGGCGGCTGCGTGGCGGCTGCGTGCGCATTGACAAGGAACGGACTCGTAGCTGTGAGGCTCTTCAGCTCGCGGCCGGGATGAAGGATGCTGCTGACCGAGCAAATATCAAAGGCATCGCCTCTTTGCTTTCGACAGAAAAAAAGAGAAAAAGAACGGGTAAGGTCTCCGTGCGATGAAAACTGATTGCGGCAGATTTTCTTTCCATAATCTCTCTTCTTCCACATTTTACTTCGTGCTTAAGAAAATAGCCGTAGTGTCGGTGGAGAAAGCTGTCTCAACCACAAGAATGTCTGGTCTTTTTAATTCCTACGAGGAGGACTTCAACGACACCGTCCGCGGTCTTCGCGAGGGCTGCGAGAGGCTGCAGGGCGGCATCGACGCGCAGAATACCCACGTAGGCGATCCATCACAGGTTTACCACCCACCCCCGGCCACCGGTCCCCTCAGCCGCGCGCAGCAGCTGCAAGTCATTCAGCAGAGCCTCTCTCACGCGAAGGACTTGCTGACCAGCATGACGTACGAAATGACCGACGTCGCCGCGGCGGAGAAGGCGGCGACGAAAGAGAAAGTGGAGTCGTTCCGCAAGGTGTGCGGTGGGCTCGACAAGACGGTGGCGCAGCTCCGACAGTCCTGCAACGCGGCGGACCGCGCTGATTTGCTTCGCTTCGGCGCGAATGCCAGCGTCGGAGTCAGCGGAGGACGGGACGCCTTCATGGATGAGGCGGACTCGGCGACGCAGGCGAACCGTCTGCTGTCGCTGCAGACGACGGAGAGGCTGCAGGGTGGAACGGGCACCCTGCGGAAAGCGGAGGCCTATCTCGCGCAGAGCAACGAACTCGGTCGGGAGAACCTGAGCGTACTGCGCACGCAGACCGAACAAATCTCACACATTCACGATACCACGCACGATGTGGATGCGGAGGTCTCGCGGTCGCGGCAGATTCTCAACCAGATGCAGCGCACCGCGACGAAGCACAAACTGTGGCTGATCGGGATTATTTTGGCGCTCGTTGGCTTTATTCTGCTCCTGTTTTACCTGCACTGACTCTTTTTATTATTTTTCAAAATCTTGTGCAGTGCGAGTAGCACAGAGGAGAGGAGAACGATGAAGACGGCGAGAAAGGTTTTACTCTTGTCTGTTTTCTCCTTTTTGTTTTAGAGGGCGGTGATGCGTACCGGCGACCGCGGGCAGCTGAGTTGCGGTGGGCGGGGTTCGGGGTGGTCTTCTTCTTTAAGTCATTGGTGCATGTTGATTTTTTTGACGTTTCGTTTTTGCATCGATCCCGCTTTTTATGACTTTTACTTTATCGATTGAGAGTGCAGTGCTCTTGTGTCTTTCTATTTTATTTCTCCCGTTTTAGCAAACAAGAGTAAACGACTTCGGCTTAAAAGCGGAAACGGAAGCACGGTGCTCCTGCATCGCAGTGCCTACGAATCGATGAATCGCAGCTGCGTTGCATCGCGCCCTTGCAACGTTGTTTTCTATTTATTTTTGAGACTACCTATTTGGTCAGCTGCAGCGTCACCCTGGCGGTTTCCCCCGCGGCTGTGAAGCTCGAGCAAGTCGCCTCTGGCGCAATAGTAGAGGCGGTGCGCATTTACGCAGCCGGACAGTTGCTCTTGGTACGAACACGATGCGGGTTGATTGGTCGCACGCACGCACGTGCACACGAGGTTCATCTTTGCTTTCTCTTTCCTCCTCCTTTTTCCCGTTTCGCGCCTCTCATACTCCGGTAGTCGCGTACGCAAGCCCACGCTAGTAAGCTAACAAGCCGAGTCTCGTACCAGCTTTGGCGGCTCTGCTCTTTATCCGCTTTGCCCGCCTCGGCGCCACATCGCTATATCAGCACTGCACGCGGCAGTTAAACGACGGGAATCATTTTCGGGACACGACAGCAATGACGACGCTCTTTCAGAACTACGAGGAGGAGTACCGCGAAGGGGTTCGCACCATTCAGGATGAGGCGGCTGCGCTTCGTCAGCTGTGCGATCGCAAGGCGGCCGCTTATAAGGCCCCACCCGCCACTGGCACCGGCAGCCGCGTGCAGCGGGGTGCTCACCTCACCACGGTGCTCGCCCAGGTGCGGGAGCTCGTGAACAGCATGGAGTACGAGGCGAACGACCTACCCGCGGCGCACCGGCAGACCGCCAAGGAACGCATTGCGGAGTACCGGGCCAACCTGCGCTCCCTGGAGGAGAGCATCGCCCGTGTGAAGGCGGACGCCAGCGCGGCGGACCGCCTCGATTTGATAGGAGAAGCAGAGAAAAGGAAGACGGCACCGGCGGCGGGGGATGGCAAGGCGGTGCCAGGCGATTTGGACGCGGAGACACGCGATCACCGCATGACGATGATGGACAACACGGCGAAAGTGAAGGACGCGTCGCACAAGCTGGTGCAGGCGGAGCGGCTGTTGAATGACACGGAGACGGTCGGCAGCGAGGCGCTGACAAACTTGCGAAACCAGACGGAGACGATGCAGCACATCCAGGAGACCACCATCGCCGTGGACGAGGAGGTCTCCGATGCACGCAAGATTCTCACAGGGATGCAGCGTCTAATGGTTAAGCACAAGTTGATTCTGATTGCAGTGATCGGCATGCTGGTTATTCTTATTATCGTAGCTATCTACGTCAGCGTCAGCAAACATAGCCGCAATTCCTATACGCCACCTCCGCAGACCACCGTTGATCCCATTACCGTGGCCCCTTCACTGCTGTGGTAGAGGAGCGAAAGTATTAAAAGAGGTGCGACGCCTCATCTCCCTCTCTCTGTGTGTTTGCTGTTGTGTGTGTGGGAGGTGAGGTGCCTCGGATTTAATAGGATGAAGGCGTTTGATATTTGAGATCGTATAGGCCCGGTGTCGTGCGCGTGTGCCACACCTCGGTGTGTTCTTCTCTCTCCCTTCTTTTTCCTGTCTCGTCTTGTCAGCTGCACATGTCCTCACCGTTGTTGATGATATCGTTGACTGCTCGCCTGAGCGCCGGTCTTTCCGTTGACTGTTTGTTTGTGTTTTGCGTCGTATATTTCCTCTTGTTGTTTTTTACGTAGCGTATATTGCGGCGTACTTGCACAGGTGGGTAAATCGCCGCTACAACTTGTCTTTGTTTGCTACCATTTTTTCAATTATATTCATAGATATATATTTGTTTATTCCCCCCTCCCTTCGCCGTGTTCCCCCGTCGTGTTCTCTCGCGCATTAAAATCCGGCAGCGCCACATAAAAAGACCCCATCACACATTCGCACACGTGATGCGTGTTTTTCCAAAAAGGGACTTTTGAAGCAGCGCATTTACGGCTTCGTCGTCTCTGTGTCGTTGCGGCACGCGACGCCGCGCCTGCATGAGGGGGAAAGGACGTTTCTTTGCTTTCTTTATTCCGTCGTGACTGATCCGGCCTTTTTTTTTCTGTACAGAACGGTGCTATAATCTGCCCTTTTAGAGATGAAGAAAGCAACGCGTATGACTGTATTGCATGGCTGCACTACTCCTCATGTACTGGGGAGGGGACTAGTGCAGCACGCCATGCGGACTGATGGTTGTCACAGCTGGCGTGCAGGACGCTGAGACATACCTCTTCCCGCTACTTCCTTCTCTGTACCCCTGCATGTCTCCTTCACTGCCGACTCAACCATTACGCCTGTTGCTCCAGACACAACTTGGGGCGGAGACACTTGCAGAAAACAATAACAAAGGATATATAAACACTCTATTGTATTTTGATAGGTGGACTCCGAATACATTCCTTCCGTTTTCCGTGAGGCAAGATGCCGTCAAAGACCCTCGGCTCCGCAGGCGCTGAGGTGGACTCCGCTGTGTCAGCGCGCAGCAGCCCACGGGAGCCGAATGCTGCGGCGAAGGCAGTAAAGGAACAAGGCGCGGTCCTGTTTGCCCTGCACACCAACCTCTGCAAACATCAGAAATCAGTCAATCAGGCCTTCACCTCACTGGGGCAGGCGTGCCGAGCGCTGGTCGCGTCTGTTGTCGCGCACCAATCCACTGAGACCAGTCCCCCAGAAATCGCTGCGCACTCTGCGACGTCAACGGACACGTCGGCAGACGACCGAACCACGGCCACTTCCGCCGCCGGCTCCGCGGCACGCCAGTTCGCACAGCTACTGCGGCGTGTGGAGGCGCTGCATCAGTTTCTCTTCACAAATCTTTACGTTCATCAGCGGGAGAGTGCACTGCAGCTTTTGGTCGGGGTGGAGCGTTTTGTGCTGGAGGCGGCAGACAGCAGCGACGTCGATGAGGCCTCGCGCGACGCTGCGGGGTACGCGGAACTGCGCTCTCAAATAGCACAACTCCGCTACCGGCTGTCCAACGCCTCTCATGCCCTCGCTGCCACGGCATGCGATCCATTTCTTCACACCTCCTGCAGCGCACCAGTGGCCGCGTCTACCACGATCGCGCCCGCTCCTTCCTCCTCTTCTTTGGCCGTGACGAGTCCGCCGCGTCTCTTTGCCCTCTCCTCTCATTTTCTCACTTCGGGCGAGGAGGGGCAACGAAGCCTCCTCGTTGTCCTGCGCGCTGCGCAGCGCCGCTTTGGCATACACGGCGTTGTCCTGAGCAGCACCGGCTCGCACGCCACGCCGCCCATGCACGAGGTGCAGCTGGCGAGGCAGCTCGGGTGTCTGTGTCTGGTCATCCCGCACCAGTGCCGCAGGACGTACCCCGCACCCTCCCCAATACCCACCCCGACCGATCGCGACGTGCTGACGTACGACCGCGCCTGCGGCGACCACAACGCGGCGGCTCGGGGGACCGAGGAGGACGATGCAACGGGCCGCCCGCCGTCCGCCACCCCGCCTCCGCCCCCGCCCCACCCATTCAATAGCAGCGATGACGAAGACGAGTTGATGAGCGGCGGTGCCGACGCGCGGACATCGGCGCTGGAGCAGCTCTTCCTCTCGCTGGAGGCGGAGATGCCGGGGCAGGGTGCCGAGTTGACGCCGCTCTGGTCGCCCACCGCCGCTCTAACAGGCAACGCGACCGTCGACAGGGTGGAGTGTGCCGAGGTGGTGCACCGTGCGGCCCTCAAGCGAGCGGGACGGCAGCCGACGCACCGCCTGAGGCGCCCTCGGCACGACTCGCAGCACAACCCACCGTTGTCCTCCTCCACCCCTGCCACCGTCACCCCCGCGTCGTCGGCCTCCCTCGACACGATGGCCGAACCGTTTCGCCGTTGTGCCGGCTCAGCCGTGTGCCCATCGCAGCCTGGTGAGACGGCCGACGACGCCGTCAGCAACGGCGAGCACAGCTCCCTCTTTTCGCCACACACGATGGAGTCCCAGCACATCGGCGTCACGCAGTACGGCCTGCCTCCCACGTTCTCCGGCTCCGTCGAGTCTGCGGGACACACCACGCCCCTCGCTGTGCAGCCGGAGGTGGCAGACGAGGCCTCGGCGGTGGAGGAGGCGCCTGCCCGTCCTCCTCTCTTTCAGATCAGCAACTCGGTGCGCTATCTGAAGCCGCAGCTGATCGAGGCGGTGGAGCAACTGGGCGGTGTGGTGGACCTCAGCTCCGGCTACAGCCCCGGTTGCCGCTTCCTCATTGTGGCCGAGGGCATCACGGAGCGCACGGAGAAGTACCTCGGCGCGTGTGCGGCGGCGGCCTTCATTGTGCCTCCTCGCTACGTCTTTGACTCTCAGCGACGCGGCTACTGGCTGGCAAATCGCGTACACGAGTATGACATGAGTCCGCAGCGGGCGATGGCTCACCAACCACGGCCGCCGCCGATCTTCCGCAACTGGCGCGTGGTGCTCATCACCTGTCGCAGCGCAGCCGCGCGAGGGATTCGTGCTGCCCTGCTGGCCGGTGGCTGCACGCAGGCGACGGCCTTCGTGGTGGACCTCACGGCGGAGGCCCCCATCAGCGTGAGCGCCCGCACGCACGTGTATGACGAGACGAGTGCGGTGGAGGGCGTCGTGGAGGGCGTGTGCCCGACAAGCGCCATCGCCGCGACCACGCTCGCCGCCGCCACCCACATCTTGGTGGAGTGCAGCAGTGTCACGGCGCAGGGGTGCTTCCAACTGCCCGACTGGGTGCCCATCTGCGTGCGTCGGCCCGAGTACGCCAGCCGCGTCTTCACACTGGAGCTTCTCTACTTCTGCCTCTGCACGCACCCCGAGCGCATCTTCAACGACGAAGGGCTGCTGTGCGATGAGGAGGCCCTCACACCCGCGTGCAGGGTGGAGCCGGTGTGAGGCAGCAGCGGTAAAACGCGCTCGACAGAGGAACGAAGTGTGGCGCCTTCGTTCTTTTGTTTGTTTGTTTCTGTGTAGGCTGCAAGGAAGCGGAACGAAAGCGTCTACGTGCCGTTCCCTTCGTCTTCCTTCACAACAGAAAAAAAAATGAGTGTTGCTGCGTGGCCAGAGTTTTCTTTTATTACTATTATTCGTTTTGCTTGATGGAGCACACATCGGCACACATATACACACACATGGCGGCAGAGGTGCTACGAGGGTAGCAAAAATAACGCCGCGCACCTTCTTTCCTTCCCACTTCACAGGCCGTCGCTTTGAGCGATAGGGAGGTGCACGTCGTTTTCTTCCGCTGATGCAGAGGCACCACCGACAGGCGGCTTCCCGCTCTTATCGGGAGTCCCACCTGTCGTTTCGGATCCTTCTCATTCCACAGATTTCGAGTGCGGTAACAGAGTAGGCGCATATACATAGATACGCTTGTATAGATTTCCAGCTCATTTTGAGTCGTTCATTCCGCAGCGACATCAAAGACAGCCGAGTAAGCTGCAGCTGGCAAACAAGCAGCAGCAGTAACAACAAGAAAAAATCTGATGCGTGGAGAAGTCTGACATGCAGCTGCTGTCGTACTTCTTTAGAAACAAAAACTTGGCGTTGTCTTGGTTTTCACTCCTGTTTATGAGCCAATGGTGGCACTAAAAGAGAGGAAGAAACTTCTTTGCTGCTTGCAGAGAAGCCGCCATCAAACAGGTCAAAGAGCTCAAATATGTCTTGCTTTAGAAAGTCCGTACTGTGCGCAGAGATGCTCTGCTCGGTAGTGCTGATCTTCGCCTTTTTACTCTTGAGGCTTTTCTCTTGTAACTTCCTCCTCTCTTCCTATCCAATACCAGAAAACCACATCTGGAGCGTTGCGCAATCGTGGGAAACAAACGCTCTATCCCGATTACATCGAAGAACATGCCCGTTGTCGTGCACACAGGCTCACGCGTAGCCCCTGGCGATGCCCTCTTTACCTCGGCAGCTGCCGTTGCCGCTCCGAATGAAGGCACCGCTGCTGCGCCGCCTGCGGACGAGGTAGTGGGCGAGTCTGAGGTCATTCCTGGCCAAGGCTGCGTCGTGCAGTACGTAGAGGAGCCCGTCGACGCGGCAGCCGGTGCACCGCAAGATAGAAACTTGTCGCGCGTACGGCGGTGCATCGTGGCCACGCGCCAGGGCGTTGCACAGTGGGATGGCCGCCTCGTGTCGGTCTTCGCGGCGACGCCCTCATCGACAGCCGGTACCGCGTACAGTACACCGCAGCTGCAACTCGCCGCCTCACGCGGCACCGGCAGTGGCGGAAGCTTGGCCGGCTCATCGGTCGGTGCGACGGCCTCGACGGCGGCGGTGATGGGTCCACGCCCCGGCGACACGGTGCATCTCCGCGTGACGCGCCTCAACCGCCTCTTCGCGTTTGGCGAAATCATCGCCGTGAACTGGCGCTGGTGCAGTCACCGCAGCGCCGCTACAGCCGGCATCAGCGGTGTGTTTAAGGGAGTTCTACGCCAGGAGGATATTCGACCGTTTCGACCGACGAAAGATCAGCTGCTGCCTCCAGCTCCCGCGTTGGCGTTTGCGCCGGGCGATGTGGTGCTGGCCGAAGTCATCTCTCAGTCCGACGCACATCAGTATCAGCTCAGCACAGTAGGCGAGGGCTTCGGCGTGGTGGAGAGCTACATGGCAACCTCGGAGGAGCAGTACAACGGGCGCGAGAAGGTCAAGCTGCAGCACATCCCAGGAAGGCGAGATGCGATGATGGTGCCGTCGACGGGCAGCGTAGTTCCGCGGTGGTGTCCACTGCTGCCGTAGAAGGCATTTGCGTCTCGTGGTTGCAGTTCGGGCATGGCCATTGTGAGCATGTGGAACAGACGCCTTCTTTTAAAAAGGGATCTGCTTTCTTTTCTCTTCCATTTCTTTTGGTCTGCCGCTTCTTTCCTCTGTTGGGATTTCTGGATGACGACGCGAACACAGTGGTGAATGCCGCGGTGACTGCCGTAGATTCATCTTCTTGTAAGACTTGAAGTTGCACGCTTTTGTATTTGCGCGATTACCTTCCGCGGTTGGTTGGGGTTTGTAAGCGTCATGTAACACGATTAAGTTATAAATTGTATATCTTTTCCTTTAGAAGAAGAAGGAGGACGGGGGATGGGTGGAATCCACGGGCAAATCGAGCGGCGTCCAGTTGGGTGGTCGGCAAGTGTGTCACGAAGGTGCTTCCATTTTTTATTTCTCTGCCCCCTGTCGCGTCGACTGGAGTGATAGGTGCCGGTGCGTGCTCGATGCCACACTAAGAAAAATGCCTTTGCCTCGCGCACCTCTTCTTTTTTTATTGTGGTGCCTCACGTTGTGCAGCTCTCTTCCCATCTCCATTGGCTGCCTTTTTAGTCCTACTATTTTGAGATGCGTTGCGTTGTGTCATCAAGCAGACGTGAGAATGAGACCCCGAAGCGAAGCGAGAGGACGACGACGCTTCGCTGTCTTTGGCGCACTGAGAGAAGCACCAACTGAATCGCACGGCAGCCCACGATGCCCAGAAGGTCCTCATCATTGGCGGTGTGTGCTTTTGCACTTGACTGCCGCGGGTGGGATCTCAAAGAGTGCGATACATTTCTCCCCGCTGGTACTTCATTGACTTGAACAAAGCGTGCAAGCACATGCGGAACACCGCCGCCCTTTCCCCCTATGCTTTCACCGATGGGCAGTTCTTTCATTTCTCTATCCTTCCACTCACTTTCTCTTGTAAGTGCAGCTGTTGCTCCCCGCTCTTTCGGTCACACACACACACACACACACAAACTCACTGCGTTGTAGCCCACTGCCAACCCAGCCTCAGCTCGCTTTCTTCTACTATATATACCACCCCGCTATTTCGGCGTCCGCGCGGCTCTTCAGCCTAAAGGGTAGTTGCACCGGTCCCAATCATCACCGCACGATGCAGTCGCAGAGCAACGCGGGCGTGGAGAGTCTGATGGGCGAACCTCTTAAGGCGCCGGAACGCAAGGAGGTGGCAGCTGCTGGGCCTACAGACGAAGGACACATTTTTGTCATCCCCTCTGCAGCGCCCGCTTCTCAGAGGTGCGGGAGGGCGCTTGGAATCTGTGGGTGGATCTCAATCTTCGCGAACGCGATCAACGTGGTGCTGATGGTCGTCGCGTGCTACGAGCTGCACGCCTACCTCATCGCACACCACCCGGACGATGACGCGTACGCCCTAGCTGGTGTGGCGTATTTGATTGACGTCCCGTCTCTGCTGGTCAGTGGTTTGATGGTGCTCTTCGTCGGTTACGTTCTGTATCACGAGTACTACGCCGCTTCTGCTTCCTTTGACCAAGTGGAGAGAGCCATTGTGCGGCTAAATCGTCCGCGGTACGCGTGCTACGCCGCGATCTGCGCGGTACTCTTTCTTATCTCGTGCTGGCCCAGTGGCTTTGGACTCGTTGTGTTCATGTCGCAGCCTCGAGCGACGTCGGAATTTACGCTCTCCGAGGTCAACTTCGAGGCTGCCGTGTGGGTCGCGGTGTCGCTGACGTTTGCCGTCTTTGCGGCTATCCTGTGCGTCCAGAAATGGCCGTCCAGACACGCTTTGGATTTAGAGCAGGCGTAATAAGCGTGGCAGTCAACTGAATCGCAACCTGCTGATTTTTTACTGTGTCGCATACGTGCGAGAGGAGACGCAACGTCGCTGCTGCTTTTCCCCATTTTCACCTTCTGCTTTGTCCCTTCACTCCCACGATATTTGTTTCTTCGTACGCGTAACGCAGTACTTGGCCTCCCCCTGACAATGTGCCGTGGACGCCGCTTGTCGCTGGTGGTGCCTCACGCTGTACCGGCGGCGTCGTTTGCTCCGTTGCTTGGTGAGTTCATTAGCCGCCTTTTATTTTTAATGCCGTAGTTGCTTTGCAGTCCGTCCTCTTAATTTTTTTTTTCAATCCGCGTGTGTTCAATACTTTTACTCTCCTTCCTCTATTTTATGTTCTCTCCTTTGCTGCGTTGTACCGAACGACGTGAGACGACGCCACCCCCACGTGGTCTCTCCTCGCAGGTGCGGGTGAGCTCCTCCTACATGCGCTTTCGTGCGCATCCGGCCGACAAAGTTAAATGAAAAATGTTTGCTTTTTTTTTCTGTGAAGAAATGAAAGAAACGGTTGGTGGGTCAACTGTATCTGGAAGCTGCTTGTCACGGTTGGCCTCCACGTGTCCGCCGAAACTACGCGAGAGTCTTGCCGAAGCGCACCTAGGCGACAGACACCATTTGCAAGAAGACAATAAAGCGTTGGAACTTGCCATAAAGAGAATAGGAAAACAACAAGGGTACGATTGCACACGTCGGGAGGTGGTGATTTCTTTATGTATTTTGATTTGACGGTGGGGGTTTTCTTCCGCCTTTCGTCATCGCCTTATTGAAGCCGTTTATCTCACACGGTATTGCTGTTGTCAACAGTAAAAGAGGCATACGCACCCGATGCAGCGTAAACGCACGGCTCTCACGCCCTTTACAAAACTAAAGGCAACGGCGTCCACCACAGAAAGACGTCGTAGCGCGCTTTCCGCGTCGTTGCTCACTTCTCATTCTTTTCTCGACGTTGTCTCTGCGCTCTCCATCGGCGCCTCCTTCTTCTCTTCTTAAATTCACTTCCACAGTCATCTGGGTAGCGCGCTTCCTAGCTGCATTTATATCTGTATTACGGACCCTCCTCTTTCTGTCTGCCGTCCGGTTCCGGAACTTTTTTTTGTTCTTGTTCTACACAGAAATACACCGCCACACCGATTTCAAGATGCCCCGTGGCCACAACGCGGCCTCCACCATCGAGGCACGCCAGCGGCGCGAGGCCTACATGGAGAAGTTCCACGCGGAGCAGGCGGTGCAGGACCGCCAGACGCACACGGTGAACTGGGAGCTGAAAGGCAATGAGCGCTTTCAGCGGCAAGAGGTGCTGCAGTACATGGACGAAATACAAGCACAGCACAACGACGTCCTCGTGGCACGGCGGCGCCGCTTAGCGGAGCTGCTGAACAGCGAAAACGCTCTGCACACCTCCATGATGGCGAGTCTACCAGAGACGGACGCGCAGCGGCGGGAGCGTCTTATTCGCAAAGCGCAGGAGCTGCGCGCGAAGCGGGAGGAGGCAAAGAAGGTGGACAACGGCGCCCGCCACGACCGTCTCTTCCGCGAGAAGATCGACTGCCTCCGCCAGGCAGAGAGCCGACTGCGCGTGATGCAGGTGGCGGATGCCCGCTTCGATCAGATCGAGGCCGCCGCGACCCGCAAAAAAGCGGAGGACGAGGAGGACAAGTTTTTCTCTCAGCAGGCCGCCGATGCGCAGCGGCTGGCGACGGAGCGGGTGCAGCGCGATTTAGAGCTGCAGTACAACCGCACGGAGCGCATGAAAGGCGACCTCGCTGCGCAGGTGGCCGGTAACCAACAGCGCAAAGCACAGGAGAAAGACGAGGCGCGCCGCGACGCCGAGGAATTCTATCGGCTGCTCCACGAGGAACAGGCAGCCGAGGCGCAGAAGAAGCTGGCGCGGCGGGAGAAGAACCGCACGATTGTGCGGGAAATGATGGAGATCAACGATGAGCTCCAGAAGACCCGGCAGCAGGAGTACGATGCACTGCGGAAGGAGGACAAGGAGCAGCTGGACGCCATTCTTGCCTCCATCAAAGCAGATCAGGAGGCGGAGCGGAAGGAGAAGCAGCGGCGCATGGCAGCGGAGCAGCTGCAGATGCGCGACCTGCAGCACCAGATGGCACAGCGCAAGGACAACTCTCACGCACTGGATAAGATGTGGGAGGAGGAGAACGAGAAGCAGTGGCGCAAGCGCGAAGCCCAGTGGGACGCCGACCAGGCGAAGCGCGACACCCTCCTTCGCAACATCCTCATCGCACGCCGGCAGCAGATCTTGGACAAGCGCCAGCAGGCCGCGAAGGACGCGATGCAGCGCAAGTTAGAGGACGAGGAGTTCCTGAAGTCGCTGGCAAACGAGCGCGACATCGACGCAGAGGAGCGGGAGCGGCGGATGCGTCTGCTGAAGGAGACACAGCAGTACTTGGAGATGCAAATACAGCGACGTGCCGCGGAGCGAGAGGCGGATCTGCGGGGACGCCGTAGCGAGCTGACGGACCAGCAGGCCTTAGAGAAGCAGTACGAGGACCGAATTGCGAAGGAGATGGCGAATTTAGAGGCTGCGAAGCCGTCGCGCTACAGCCATGTGCCTCTGCTACCTTCGAAGAACCGTCTGCATTAACGCGTCGGAAGAGCACGAACGCACACGCGCAAAAGAAAGGTATACATCCACGCTCACACGCAAGTGCGTAATTTTGCTTTATGAAGTTCGAAGAGAGGCGTGTCACCTCTGCCCTTCTGGCTCTCGCCGTTGGCTTTACTGCGGTGTTGTGCTGAGCGTTTCACAGACGTGAGCTGAGTTCTGATGCAGAGGGGAAGAGGCGACGTGGTGCAGTTTTTGTTTTTGCGGAAGCTGTACGAAATACAAAGGCTTTGCAGAGTGCTGCCTGCCGCTTTCTTTTATTATTACCTAAAAGCGACTCCTCGGTACAATTTATAGGCGGCGTTTTTGTTTGTTTTTGAGGGGTTTTCTTTGCTTTACTGTTGCTGTCGTTTGCTGTTTCTAGAAAGGTGCAGTTTCAGTGAGCATCGCCGCGGACTCGCTGACCGTCACCCTTCTGCTCAGTGTTTGAGTGTTTTCTGGCGTACCTTTTACAGATGTAAATATGCCTGCCACGCCCACATGTATAGAGACCCCTGTTTAGAACCAATCCCCCCAAATATATATTCTCGCACATATTCTTTCTGCCGCTTGGGTGGAAGCGTCGAGTACCAAAGCAACGTGAGGAGAAAGACGAGACAGGGTGAGCTCCCTTTCCTTCGCTGCTCTTCCTCTTTTGTTTGTCTTTACTCCGTGCGTTTTCGCCGCAGTAGAGGTTAACGTGAGTGCAAGGACATCTTTGGAAGCACCACAGCGTTGTGTGTTGGACGATGCGGCTTCATAGGAGAAGAAGCTGGGGCTATGTTCTACTGCCTGCTCCGCTACGCTCGGCTTCTTCAGCAGAGCAACTTCTCCAACACAGGAATTCTGCCGCTCATCTGCACGCAAAAGAAGAAAAGAATCTCTTGTATTCGTAGAAGCGCGTACTCGCTTGTTTTCAATTTCACTGCTTCTCCCGTATCGATACACCTGATGGAAACGTTTGCTCTCTCTCCACCACAATGTTGGCGCATGTTGTGCTGCCTTTGTTGTGTCGTCGTTTACATAGCGTCGTCCTCACCGTTGTTTTCATAAGCTGTTTGAACCGGAGATCGAAAACGTCAGACGAAATCCAAGTCGTCTCTTTCTTTTTTATTCCTAGAATACAGCTTTACGCTTCTCTTCAATATATATTTTTCGAGATGTCCTCATCAGCCTCTCGTGCATGGCAGCGGAGACCGTCGGTGGCGGTTTTCTTCGTCGTCGTCGTTCTCACGCTCGGCCTCTGCTGCAGCGCCGTGGCCAGCGTGGCGGCCCTGCCCGAGGGTCCGCGCATGAGCCCCATCGTGCAGTGCGACGCCGACTTCCGTGAGATCTGCGATGATGCTCAGTCGGCACGGGGGTTGTGGGGGTGCATGATGAAGAATGTGGACCTGATCACCAATGATGTGTGCAGGGAGTACGTGAGGGGCTTCCGTGCCTGCACGCGTGACGCGGAGAAGAAGGGTAGCTGCGTGTACCCCGCAGCTGACTACGCCACGTCCGTGCGCCGATGTCTGCGCAGCACACCGGAGTCGAGCATCTCGGAAGAGTGTTTGAACTCACGCTTTTACTTTCCCATTGCGGAGGTGCGCAATGCGAAGTGGTAGGCACCCGACGCGAAAGCTGTCACCTGTATGTGCGCCTCTCCATTGAGCCGACGGAAGAAAGAGAGAAGCCATTCCAGACGATCCTGCTATGCTCTGCATGTTTTTATTAGAAGAAAGAGCCTGGGAGATTTTCTTTTCGTTTCTGTGGAAAGTCGCAGCGAAGCGCGCCTGGCAAGATGACGTGACGACAGTGATGAGGCGACAGGAAACAGGCTTTTCATTTATTTTGAGACTCTCTGCGAGAATCAAAATACAAAATGCGCTGCGGGCGCACCCGAAAGGTTTTTTCCTTTCTAGATGCTTTGCCACGGATTCAGTGTTGGTCCGGTGTGCGCCTTCTCGTCCCCGTGTGCATCGTTTTCTATTCAGCTGTTCTAGCTCCTGTTTTTTAAAGAATCCGAAGCGGGGACCTCGCCAACGAAAAATACAACGACTATCTTTTCTCTATTTCTTACGCGGCCTATTCGTATTCCACGCAGTGAAATGTGAATACGTTAACTACTGTTCTTCATTGATGCGCTCCCTTTCAGCGCGATGAGTTTGTGTTGTTCTTCCTCACCATTGTCAAGAGCAGTGATCAACGCCGACTACGTCTTTTTAATCCTGTTTTTGAATTTATCATCGACCTGTGTGCTCAGCGGTAGCCGATTTCTCTTGCCACTTCTGTTTTCCCAGAGCAAAGATCTGCTGAGAGGGCTATTTTCTCTTATTCCTCTTTTTTCAAGTGACGTTCATTCCAGTTTTTTTGTTCTTTTGAGTTCACTTCATGAGATGATCTCAGGTTTTATGGTGCTCTCATGTGAGTCGATTGTGCAACGTGCATGGATCAATATCAGAGAGCAGCAAACATTGAAAACCATTAAAACACTAAAAAGAAAGGACCCCCTCCCCACTAGACGCGATAAGACGGCGCCTCATCAAGCTCACCTGCCGAAGAGACAACTGCTCTCTTCTGATGATATCTCTCTCTCAGCTCCACTCGCATTTCTCCTTTCTTCTTTCGTATTAGAATATCATAGCCACATAAACACACACTTAACGGGGTTTCGCTGCATCGCCTCCCCAGCGCCCCACATCCAGTGCATTTATTTATGAGGAAGATCCGGCAAGGGAACTAGCGGCCGTGTTCGCCACCGCCACGTCTGTGTTTGCTGCTTGACTGATTCCCTCACCTTCGTATTGTCTTCCCATTGCAGACAATTTCGTTCGCTGACTTCCCATCAGAAGCCAGAGAGTTCGTCGAGCACTCCCCCCCCCTCCCCCTTCCCCTGCTCTCTGTCTATCAACCTCATCATGACGGTCGAGGTAAGCCCCGCGCCGGTCTTCCAGACCAAGAAGGAGATGTACGACTGGCTGGAGAAGCAGACGACCTACCTGGTCGAGGACATGAGTAAGCGCTTTACGCCTCAGGCGAACCTCGTAATCGGCCTCAGCAACGTCGCCGCGCTCTGCTTCTACGAGCTGAATCGCTTCTGCAACCCTGGCGCGGCGCTGGAGGAGTTGAAGGTGAACTGGTTTGGCTTTTACCTTTTCCAGGCACCCGGGCTGCTCGCCTTGGGGCCCTTCCAGGGCCGGCCGGCGTGCACGGAGATTCGCGTTGGCCGCGGTGTGTGCGGTACCGTGGCGGAGAGCGGGGAGTCGCTCGTCGTGCCAGACGTCCACGAGTTCCCCGGCCACATCGCGTGCGACGCGGCGTCGGCAGCGGAGGTGGTGGTTCCGGTTTTGATTGAGAACGGCAGCATTGTCGGCGTGATTGACGTGGACAGCACGGAGCTGAGTTTCTTCACGGAGGAGGACAAGGAAGGACTGGAGCGGGTGGCGGCGGTGCTGGTGCGGCACCTTGAGTTCCCCATGGCGCGTGCCCTCGCCTTGAACCCGTCACTGGGGCTGCCCGGCTACTCCGCACTGGCCGGAGGGGAGAGGGCTCTTCAGCAGCCTAGCGATGCGCAGGAGGAGCAGAGGACTGCCGAAGCCGCATCCCCTGCCTCGCCCCCCACCACCACCGTCATACGCATTCCGTACTTTAAGGTCGAGGCTCCGGTGCCCGACGTGGCGACGAAGTTCGTGGGCGGCTGGCAGTTCACCACCACCAAACTCGACCGCATCATGGCGCAGGAGGAGGAAAAGCAGATGCAGCAGCTCCTGCAGATCTCCTCTCTCCCTGAAATAGCGTTTCGCAACAACACGCTCGCGATTGGTCCCGAGTCCGACCGTGCGCACCCGTGGTTGCTCTTCGACGTGGAGGGCCTCATGCGCAGCGCCTCCAGCTACTACCACACCGCGGAGTTTAAGAACGTTGTAGGGCCGCAGCTGAGCATCCCCGTGTCCGAAGGCTGGCAGACGTCCGAGTACGCGAAGCACGACCCGAATATCGACTGGGCGTGGAGGAACAACTTTTTTGGACTCAAGGAGGACCAGGTGCGCCTCGTGCCGCGACCGGCCGACACCCCCGGGATCAACTGGGACTTGCTCAAGAACAACATCCCTCCCGATTCTCTTCTACGGCAGCTTCGACCTGATCGAGGACGACCTGCACGACCACGGGATGCTGCACAGCACGGTAAAGTACCGCGTGATGGACAGCGCCTTCTTCGTGCTCTTCCGTCATTTCATCCGCATCGACAACTCCGCGGCGTGGATGCGCGAGGTGCGCGTGTTTCACGAGTTCAGTCAGACGAGTTCGACAACGGGTCTGCCGCACGTGGTGCTTCTGGAGCAGCTGCGCCGCGTCCGCATCGAGGAGCCGACAGAGGTGGACTGGAAGTCGATGTCGCCGGATGCCATTTCTGCCCAAGCCGCTGTTCTGCTCACGCGTGAGTGGGTGCTGGAGAAGGTGGACAGCGGGGTCGCAGGGGATGAAGATCAGCAGTGAGCGCTTCGCCCACGTCTTTGAGTCCCGTTTGATTTCCCGCAAAGGTGGTTGTGCGCTGTGGATACTGCCGTGGCTCCTACACACTCAGAAGCTATTTCTATGACGACTATTATTCTCCTCTTCTTCTTTATACATGTGTGGGTTTTTTTTTTTGCACGGTATTCGTCACGCGCCAACGCGATAGTATAACATCGAGAAGGGAGAAGCGCATTTCCAGGCCCGAATCTACGCCGAAACGGCCGCCGATGATTCCCGACAGCGCACTTTCTGCTGCTGTTGAGCAAAGCGCGTGATGGACGCACGGGAGGACGTGCTGCTCGTCCAGTTCTCTTTGTGACCCTCCGCACATTCCGGTAGGTGCGAGTACGGTCCTTGTACACTTCATTAGATCTCGGCCTGTTTGTTTCTTCCTTCCTTGAGCGGGTCCCTCTTCACATCAAACTGCCGTCATCGTTCATGTTCTTCTTTCTGGTAGTGTTGTTGTGATTCCTATCTTAAGGCTTCCTTGACTTCATTTTGAAAGCGCGCACATTGTTTTCTGGCCGCTGATCTGGAACTCAAAAGCGCAAATCCCAACTCCCCCCGACAACATCTGTTACAACAGACAGGTCACATATGGAGATTCTCAAGAAGACGGCCGCTTTTCGTGTGCAGAAGCAAACGGAGGGGAAGACAGATGAAGAGGTGACTAGTATTTCGCTGAGCGGCGTGCCGGCGCTGCCGGAGCTGTGGTCTCGCTACGCACAACTCACTCACCTGCTGCTCGTGTGCATGAAACCCAAGTTGGGCGGTCTCGACGCACTGGGCCTCGATCACCTCCCCGCGCTACGCCTGTTGGATGTGAGCGACAACGCTGTTTCAGTCTCCGCTGCGCTGCCCGCCGCCCTTTCCCTCGCGCGTCTGCTCATGCCGAACAACCGGGTGGCCACCATGACCGAAGTGGACTTCCTCGCCGCGAGTTTCCCCAACTTGGAGGTGTTGGACTTAGTCGACAACGACGTCGACACGCCGGCGCACTTCACGGCGGTGTTCGCGAAGTTTCCAAAGTTGGTCGCCCTCAACTCGCGCATGCGGGACGGACGAGAGATCGTCGTGGAGGACTCCGACGAGTCCGACAGCACAGAGGAGGAGGAAGAGAGTGAAGAGGAGGAGTCGGAGGAGGGCTCGGAGGACGATGAAAAAGGAAGCGCAGAGGCGTCGGGCGAAGTCGACGTGTCAGAGCACGAAGACGGCGGTGAACCACCAGCGAAGAAGTCGCGGCAGGAGGACGGGCACGAGTACGGCGGCGCAACATAGAAAGGGGAGGGGAGAACGATTGAAGAAACCCGAAAAGATAAATGGAGCGTGAACAAGAGGCTTTTGTCTTTTCCTTTTGTAACGCGTTCACTTCTGCTCGCTTTAACGGTGTGAGGAGCGGTGCGGTCTCGCAAGCCTTTCATATCACTAAAGAAGACTGTTTAACACACATTAATTACAGGGGTGCCGCCCCGTAAACGTGCACGATCCGATCCATACGCTTTGGGGTTGATGTGGGCATGCTCCGACTGCGCGCACCAGCTTCGTGTCTCGTGTAGTAAGGTTCGCCGCTCTTTTTTGTTCGTTCTTTCATTCGTTCTCAACTTTTTTTACTTCCACAATGCTTTCCGCGTGCATTGACGTGCGGTGCGCACATCAACTTCCTTGCCACACCGCCACTTCGAACAGAGCAGCATTTTTATCGTTCCCCATCAACGCCAGTGCGCACGCGTCTTTGGACTTCCTCTATCTTCTTTCGCCCACCGTCTGAACCTTCCGAAGTCGTCGCCCGTGAACTCTGAAAAAACACTCCCAAGAAGAAAAGCGAAGGAAGACGTTTCGCCTACGCAACTCCCTCCTCCTCCGTCGAGCCATGTCGGCGGCGCGATACGACGTGGCCAGCGAGCCGACCGCAGAGGTGCTGGCACAGAACTACAAATCGTTGACGGACGCCATCGCGCAGGAGAGCGCAGGTCGCCGCGTGACGCTGGTGGCGGCGAGCAAGACGAAGTCCCCCGCCTGCCTGCGCACGCTGTACGATCTCGGTCACCGCGACTTTGGCGAGAACTACGTGCAGGAACTGACGGAGAAGAGTCAGGAGCTGCCGACGGATCTCGTCTGGCACTTTATCGGTCATTTGCAGGGCAATAAGGTGAAGGAGCTGCTGGAGGGGGCGCCAAACTTGTGCGTGGTTCAAACCATCGACAGCAGCAAGCTGGCCAGCAAACTCAACGAAGGCTGCGCCAAGTACCGCGAGGGACGGCCGCTGACGGTGTACATTCAGGTGAACACAAGCGGTGAAGAAACGAAAAGCGGGACGGAGCCGGGGGAGCCGACGGTGGCCCTGGCGAAGTACATCGCACAGGAGTGCCCGCTGCTGCAGCTGAAGGGGCTGATGACGATCGGTATGCCGGACTACACAAGTCGGCCGGAGAACTTCGAATGCTTGACGAAGTGCCGCGAGGATGTGGCCGCGGCGGTCGACGTGCAACCGGCGCAGTTGGAGCTGTCGATGGGCATGAGCGGGGACTTCGTGAACGCCATCCGCATGGGGTCGACGACGGTACGTGTCGGCACGTACATTTTTGGCACTCGCTACTACCCTCCAAAGTAGCAAGGGAAATATGATAACGGACTTGCTCCCCGGCTTCATTGATGCGAGCAGCGTTTTCGCGTCCGTTTTCATCAATCGTCTCCATGGGCTTCGTCCTACTGCCAAACGTGGAGGAGACCTCGTCTGTTCCCTGTAGGCGGGCTCTTTTATTTTACCGTTGCTGAGGCGGCCTCGCTACCTTCAGCTGAGAGCGATGATATCTATTCTTTTTTTTCCTGTTCTGTGTAGGACGCACTCATCTGTGGTGCAGTATCGGAGCACCGCTGGCGTCGTTCGCTGACGACGGGCAACTCTGATGTGGCAGATTTCTTGTCTGTGAAGAGCAGCAACGACCAACACGTCGCCGTGCTCATCGGATAATTTTTCTCTGTGTCTTTTCATCGCGCACGCCGAGTCTTCTCGATGGCCCCTCTCCCCTGCCCTCTCCTTAGTGCGGAATTCTACTGAACGTCTCCTCCCCCGTCGACCCACTGTCTCTCTCTCTCTCCCTCCGCAACTTCGTCATTTTACGGCACCATCTTCAACGTTGCCCAGGCAGATCCCACGAGAGGCAGCAGCATCACACCTCCGCGGAATATCGACCATCATCGCGCAGCTCTCGCACCGCATCTTTGCTGGATGCCCACCTTCGGATTTAAGTTGAAAGGCAAATAGACGCGGGAAAAACCGACCGACTTGTTGCTGCAGCCTCCGCCTCCATGGGCGGCGCATCGTCGAAGGAGCGCTTTGAGCGGGCGGCCACCACAGGCACCCTGACAGTGGATGACAAGAGAATGCGGTCCTGGTCCCGACTGATGAAGGGGTTGGTTTCGCTGCCCAAGTTGCGCTCCATGACAGTGAGCGGCACCCGCCTCGATGCCCCAATCCCGCCTTCGTTCGTGAAGTTGTCGTTGTGGAGCTCGTTGGCATATCTGGACCTGTCCCACAATAGACTTACCTGCGTCTGCGCTTTAGGCGGCGTCGCTTGTCTTTCAAAGACACACGCAAAGCACGCGGAGGACTTCATTCGACAAAGCTCAGACGCACCGGCACCGTCGAGCGCCGACCCGCTTCCTCTAGAATCGTTGAACCTATCCGGCAACGTCTTACATCTTTTGCCTCCTTTCTTGTCGCGGCGCTTTCCTCGCCTGCGCCGCCTTGTGTGCGCCGACAACGCGCAGCCCCTCGTCATCCCCTTCTCTTTAACCCACTGCTTGGGCGTGAGTGCCTCGCTCGAAGCCCTCGACCTGCGTAGCAACGGATTGGAGAAGTTCACGGTGGCGGAGGACACCGTGGAGTCGCCGTTTGAGGCACTGCGCGAGCTGCTGCTGGACCACAATGAACTCGGTGGGACGCTGACGCTGGGCTTAAAAGGCGATAAGGCGTTTCCGATCTTGCCTTCCTTGAAGCGGCTGAGCGTCGAGGACCAGCAAGGCAAGCAGCCGCTGCAGGCGGTCGACCCGACCATCTTCGTGCACTGCCCAGGACTCAACTCCTTGTCGCTGCGAGGTAACCGAAACGAAGAACAAATTCGAGCCGCGTTGGGTGCGTTAGACGTCTACCGCCGCTGGCAGGAGAGGAACGCGGATATCATCAACAAGAAGATTGGCGCCGGTGGAAGCGCAGAGTTGATGCGCTAACCATGCGAAAGGTCGATGTGTGGTGGCGGGCCGTAGATGACCGCTGTCTGAGCATTCGCGTCGTGAACGTCGATTCTCCTTTTTTTTTAAAGGAAGGAACCTCACCAGCGATGGAGGTAGAGGAGCGGACTTCGTTCGTCGTGCTCTTCCCCGACTCCTTCCTACGTCCTCCTTTTCATTGTCCAGGTGCAACGGAGAAAGGAGACTGTGCAAAGTACATCTCCAGCACACACCGTTGCCTTTTCTCTTCTCCACAATTCGTGTCTCTGGTCACTTCGCTAACGAAGAAGAAGTCCACATCCGTACCGCACCGGACACACACTCGGTGCAGACATCAACGCGCGTGACGTCAACAGAGTTTCTCTGTGGATGCGTGAACCGTTCTGCGCGCGCGCTCTGCAAGCCCACCATTTCGCCACGATAGTGAATGAAGATTGGCGTAGAACTAAAACAAGAGCCACTTCTAACGTACCAATGCTGTGTCTCGTCGCTACTCTCCTTGAGCTCCTTCTCGCACGTTTCTTCTGTTTGCGCCTCACCGTCACGGCGGAATCACACTCGCCGCCTTTTTTTTTCCGGCCTTCCCTCTTGTCCCTTATTAGACACGTTCTTTTAATACCTCCTTGTGTCGAGGCACAACAAGGTTTTCCTCTCCGCACCACGAAGAAGCAACAGCTTCGCAGTATCCTTCACAGAGCTACCGGCGCAGGTAGGGGGCTGCTTCACTCCGTCTCTTGCTTGTCTGTGCACACGTGCAGCACACACCAGCCGATGATGCCGACAGAGCACGATGTTAGGCACCTCTCCGTGTTTTTCGACTGCCGCCGCGGCGAGGGCAACGATATGAAGGGATATGAGGCCTTTCGTAAGGTCACGTATGAGCAGTGCAGTCAGCTGCTGTCGATGGCCTCCTTCCACGGCACGCAGCTGTCACACTTGCGGGTCAGCCTGTACCTCGTCTCTCACGTAGACATCCGATCGTATCAGCATCCCCTGACCGCGCTCGCTGACGCTGCCTATCATCCCTGGCTGAGCGTGGTAGAGCGGATGAACAGCGAGGCAGTCCATTCGCCCGAGTTTCCCAGTGGCACGACCCGCTCCGCTTTTGTCAACAAGATGGAGGTGGTGAAAGCTGCTATCCATAACGTGTTACGAGGCGCGCCGCACAGACACCTCGTGCTCTTCTGTTCCACCTTTGTAAGTCTCACTGAGGCGACGCACAGCCTAGCGGACTTGCAGGCCGGTCCTCTTTCGCAGCAGACCTGCTGCGTCCTGCCCGACTGGGCGGCGGTGCGCGTGACGGCGGCCCGCCTCCACGATCGTCTTCGTCTGTACCGCTGTCCGTTCAACCCTACACAGCTGCGGTGTGCACTGCAGGATGTATTGCGTCCTTATCTGCTACCGGGCCTGCCTTCCGCCCGCCGTATTACGCTGCAGCTGGGGAGCAGAGAGGTATCGTGCAGAGCGACGGTGCTGCACTACGCCGACAGCATCCGCCGGTGCTGCGCCTTGAGTGACTTCGCTCCCTCACACGTGACGCCTTCTGGTGGGTACTTTGCTGGGCCGCTGGTGCAGTGTTGTCCGACGGAGTGCGTGCGGCACGAGGCCGTTGCACAGGGAGCGCAGGCCCAGCCTTGCATCCTGCAGCTGCGTGCAGTGTTAGAGGCGGATACGGTGGATGAGGCGATGTTGTTTGGGGACACGTGGGAGCTGACATGGGACGACGACTCTCGTGGCGCCGCAGCAGACTCCATGACGGCTAGTGCGCTGGACGCCTACACCGCCTTCCACGCCTTCCGTGCCGCCTTCAGAGACGATATTCTCGTCTTTACAGGGGATGCGCGCGGGATCGTCTCGTCCTGCCACCTTGCCATGCGTCTTCACCACTTTGTCGCGTACGACTGCGCCGACAGAACGATGCGGCTGCGCGAGGTCGTACCGACGGAGCTGCGCTTCGTGCCGCTGATGCCGCCGCCGCCGAGCGGTGGTGCTAACGGCAGTGGTGGTGGCCGCACACAACGGGATGCTGCGCTCCAGAGACAATTTGGAAGCCTCCGCCAGCAGCTGGCAGCGCAGTGCCGCTCTCCTGAGTTCTCGCTGGACGAGCTCTTACGTGCGGATGTGTGTGCGGTGGCGAGGGAGGTGCGTCCCGACACGGTGCGTGAACTGCGGCTCAGCTGCAGCAACCTTTTGCACTGAGTGCAACAACATAATACATTTTTTTTCTCTAACGTTATTTCTGCCCAGTTCTGCTGTCTCTGCTTTTATTGCCGCTATCCAAAGAATGCTTGTTTATCTCCACTCTGTACTTTGGTCCTCGTGCAACTTAATGTCCTCGGCTGTCGGCCTTGCATCGTCTCCTGCCTGTGTTCTTCTTTGCCTCTGCGAACGTGTTGTGATGACCGGGGCGCGCTTGCTTTCTTTTTCCATCTTCTGTATTAATGCTGCGGGGTACCGCCGTATGCCCATCCCCCCCCCCCCTTCCCCCTTTCGCTGGAGGCGGCTTCATCGCGGTGCCACAAAGCCTTTCCTTCTTACTACTTCCTCCTGTACTTCTTTCTTCATGGGATCGGGTCTCGTCGCGAATTGGCTGAGACTCACCCGCTCCGTGTGGGCTGCGTGCTTCAACTCGATGCAGTGAACAGCGGTTCTTTCAACACATTCAGAGGACGAACTCCTGTGCGTTTAGAGAAACCAAACGACGTAGTTAACTTAGTGCAGCCAGTCTTTTTGTTTTATTTTCTCCCTCCACTCTGGTTTTCAAGGAAAGGAGCGATTTTGCGTTGTCGATCCGCCAGCGTGTCTCCGCCCTCCTTTTCTGGTGTAACGTCGCGGTGCAGCAGCCCGTGCTCTGTTCGCGCAGGCGAGGCTACTCTGTGCAAGTGCGCGTGTGCGTGTGTGCATTCACCTATCACGCACACCGTCACACACATATTTAAAAAAAGTACGAAAGGAAGCAGAGCCAACGCAGCTAGCCGCTGTCCGTCACCATGCCGAAGGAAGCGTGCAGTGGTCTGTGGCGCTCGGAGGACATGGTGGTTCTGTCTCTCCACATGCAGCGCGAGGTGGCCCACGATGCCGTGCTGAAGTTGGGCGAAATCGGCATGTTCCAGTTCCACGATCTGAACAAGGACTTAAGCGCCTTCCAGCGGGATTTTGTGCAGGAGGTGCGCCGCTGCGACGATATGGAGCGGAAACTGCGCTTTCTGCAAGAGGAGATCGACAAGGCCGGCGTGGCGACCATCGTGGAGGGCGGTGCGGAGAGCGAGACCATGTCGTCGTTGGAGCAGAAGATCGATGAGGTCTACTCCGAGGTGATGGAACTGAATGAGCAGTACCAGGCGCTGATCGAGGAGCGCAACCGCTCGAAGGAGCACCTTGAGATTCTGTCGCGCGACTTTGGCGGTGCCACCGGCGACGGTCTGATGATGGTCACCGGTGTGATTCCGAAGGACCGCATTCCGCTGTTTGAGCGGCTGGTGTACCGTGCGACGCGTGGCAACTCCCTCATGCGCACCGACGACATCGACACGCCGTTCTACAACATCAACGCAAACGAGTCCGTCTACAAGAGTGTCTTCGCTATTTATTTCTCGGCGTCGCGGCTGCGCGAGAAACTGGTGAAAATTGCGGAGGCGAACGCCGCGACCGTCTACAACTATGCCGACTCGGAGCAGCAGCTTAACAGCATGCACGCCTCGCTGAAGCAACAGGTCGACACCATTACGCAGACATTGCATCAGTCCGCGTACCGCCAGCGCCAAGTGCTGCTGGGCATTGCCGCCTCCTGCTACGAGTGGCGCCGTGCGGTGGTGACGGAGAAGGCGGTCTTCTCGACGATGAACATGTTGAAGTTCTCCGGCTCGACGGCGATCGCGCAGGGCTGGGCGCCGGTGCGCGCGTGTGAGGACATCCGCACCGCGATTGCCGAGGCGGAGTACCTCAGCGGCGCGCAGGTCGGCACGATCATTGAGGAGCTGCCCACCAAGGAGGCGCCGCCGTCGTACTTCAAGACGAACAAGATCACCAGCTCCTTCCAGGGCATTGTGGACAGCTACGGTATGGCGCGCTACAAGGAGGCCAACCCGGGCGTGTTCACGATCATCTCCTTCCCCTATTTGTTTGGTGTCATGTATGGTGACGTGGGTCACGGCATCATTCTCACCCTCCTCGCCGCCTTCCTCGTGTTCAAGGAGAAGAGCTTTGAGGGCCAGCCGCTGAACGAGATCTTTGCGATGATCTTTGGAGGCCGCTACCTGCTGCTCCTCATGGGCTTCTTCGCCGTGTACATGGGTCTGCTGTACAACGACATGTTCGGCTTTTCGATTGAGATCTTCTCCTCGGCCTACAGCTGGCCGCAGCTGCCGCCGGAGGGTCCGGAGGGGATCGTCTACCCGTCCTTCCCCAACGGCCGCCCGAGCGTGAAGCCGACGAGTCCGGTGATCTTCGGAATCGACTCCGCCTGGTCGGAGACGGAGAACAAGCTCGAGTTTTACAACTCTATCAAGATGAAGTGCTCCGTCATTATCGGCGTGGCGCAGATGATGGCCGGTGTGTTCATCTCCCTCACGAACTACCTCTACTTCAACGATCGCATCAAGGTGTGGTTCCGCTTCGTTCCTGAGATCGTCTTTCTCTCCTGCACCTTCGGCTACATGTGCCTCCTCATCATTGTGAAGTGGCTCACCACGTGGGAGAACACGCACAGCGCGCCGTCGCTGCTGGAGACGATGACAAACTTCTTCCTCGCCCCCGGTACCATCACGTCGCCGCTGTACACTGGCCAGGCCGCCGTGCAGCTGGTGCTGCTGCTTGTGTGCGCGCTCTGCGTCCCCATCATGCTGTGTGTCATCCCGTACATGGAGAAGAGAGAGCACGACCACAAGGTGCAAGAGCGCGCCGCCCACCCGCCCGCGGAGGGCGAGGAGGAGGAGGACGACGACTTTGAATTCAGCGAGATCGTCATCCATCAGATCATTCACACCATCGAGTACGTCCTGGGCTGCGTCTCCAACACCGCGTCGTACCTCCGTCTATGGGCCCTCTCCCTGGCCCACTCCCAGCTGTCAGAGGTGTTCTGGAGCTTCGCCTTTCTCCTCACCGTCGGCCTCGATGGCGGCTCGGGCTTCTTCGTCTTTATCGGCTTCGCCGTGTGGATGGCGGCTACGATCGGCGTGCTGCTCGGCATGGAGTCCCTCTCCGCCTTCCTGCATGCGCTGCGTTTGCATTGGGTGGAGTTCAACAACAAGTTCTACCTGGCCGATGGCTACGCGTTTGAACCTTTTGATCTGGCGGAGTCCCTGAGCAAGATCCGCTAAACGGAGAGTGAGGGATCAGGGAAGAAAGGTTAGCAGGAGAGACCGTTTTGCCAGCAGTGAAAGCGGCCATCGGCGCGGCGTCTCGCTCGCGCTTTCTCATTTCACGTCTGCACCACTTCTTTTACTTTGCTGTTTCGGCCACTCGTGTTTTGGCCTGTTTGCTAAATAAAGGGCTGCGGGTGTTGTGCTCCATTTTTTCTCCCTTCTTGAATGTTGTCGTTTTGTATTTCAGCGCTTCTGTTTGTATCGCTTTTGCAGGACGTGTTGAATGCTGCCCGCTGCCCTCCCGGTTTTTTCTTTTTGTGGCCTTTGGTGGTAGTAGTTCGTTGATCAGCGCCTCCTTCAAAACGGAAGAGAAGCCTTTCGCCGTGCCAGTCGTTTTCCGCGATCGATGCGCACGTGCGACTCGGTGTGGTAGCGTGGTTGGTTATCTCGTTCTCGGTATGAAACTGCGCGGGTTTTTTGTTTTCTGCCTTTTTTTCATTTGCTTGTGTGTGCGATTTTTTGTCTCGCCATGACTTTTCTTTTTGAGTGCTGTCGTGCTGCAGTGCGCTGCGCTGGCACCTATCGTTTCGCGGTGGCGTTGATGAGTGAATTTTGTGTTTCCTTTTGGGCGAGTGCAGTTGTGGAGGCGCATCGTTGGCCCTGCCACATCGCGTGGTTGTTCTCCCGTGCTGAATTAGTGGGAAAGAAAGACGAAGCAAAACAGACGTTAAGGAACGAAAGAGATGCAGCGGTAGCTTCTCTTCGAGAACAAGAGGAGAGGGCCAACCTTAGCGCGTGAAGCACTTCCCGCCACATTCAAGTTGAAACTGTTAGGCGAAGCGCGATCGCTTGCAAGCGGCGCGCAGACCCCACAGAAGCACGGTGCCAAAGCCGGCTTCTAGCTGGAAAGGGCGAGCCTTTGCCACCCCGATTTATGAGGATACACCTTTCACCCAGCGGCACATCCGCTGCCTCACACACGGCAATAGCATTGCTTTTGTGTTGGGGCTCAATCGGGGGAGGTGGAACGTATGTATGTGATGTTACGGTAAGTTGCCGTTTCGACTCACTGTTTTGAGAAATGCTAACCCCTTCAACCCCCGTCTTCTATTCTTGATTGGCAAACAAACGTTGTTTCAAAAACTGACTCCGAGATTGGTTGCGCACCAGTGAGGGTTTTTCGTGAGAGCGCGTTTGTGAAAAACTCATTCCTTAGCATCCTTAATTGTAGTACTAATTAGCTTGAGTTCGCACCAAGACACGCCGTCACCTCTAGGTCTGTACAACGAAAAAAAAAACGATAGATTTCCATCAACGAAGATTTCTTTGCCAATTCCCTCTCACCTGCCATGCTACGTGGAACACTGGTGCGCCATGCGCAGCTCTTCAAGCTCACGCAGCGGCGGCTGCAGATGGGCACCTTCACGGCCTGCCCCTACCACCGCGCCAAGGAAGGCGGCACCTCCACCGTGATGGCAGAGGAGGTCGTGGAGCACTGCCCTGTTGTCGGCACCACCCCGCACATGAGCTGCCCGGTGGAGCACGAGCTGTTCACCCGCAAAGCGCCCACCCTCATGGCGATGACGTCGACGATGGGCAAGACGCAGCTGTCCGCCTACGTCGCCGCGACGGCCCTGGCTGGGTACGTGATTGCGGGTGGCATGAACCCTTTTATAGCCGCTGCGGTGACCGCGGGAACGATGCTGCAGTCGTGCTCTGCCAACACGGCGAACCAGATTATCGAGGCACCGTACGACAAGCTGATGAAGCGCACGTGCCGCCGCCCGCTGCCCATGAAGATGATCACACCGCAACTCGCCTCTGCCATCTCCGGCACGGAGCTGGTGCTGGGCACTGGTCTGTTGTACTTTGTCAGTCCCCCCGCTGCGGCCATCGGCGTGTTTAACTGGTTTCTCTACGTCGGCATGTACACCCCTCTGAAGCGTGTCTCGGCCCTCAACACGTGGTTTGGGTCCATCGTGGGCGGTGTGCCGCCGCTGATGGGCGGCGTGGCCGTGTCGGGCGTCATCGCTCCGCCGGTGTGGCTGCTGGCGTCGTTTCTCTTTGTCTGGCAGATTCCGCACTTTAACGGGCTCGCCTTCCACTGCCGTCGCGACTACGAGGCGGCGGGTTATAAAATGCTTGCTTTCTACAACCCCTGGCGGGCCTCGTTTTACGCGGTGGCGCTGTCCGTCGTGATGGCCTTCCTGACCTTGGTGTGCCCCACGTTAGCCGGGATGGAGATCGAGGGGCTTTGGTACTACCCCATGACGGCCGCGGCAAACGCGGTGATGATTTATAAGTCCCTCCTCTTCCACCGCGAGCCGCAGCGGCACTGCCGTGGATGCTTTGTCTTCTCGTACGTGTACCTTAGCATTGTGTTGGCGGCCCTCATGCTGAATCACTTCCAGCCGATGCACGTGACGCAGCATGCGGTGGAGTACGTTACCGCAGAGCTCGCTGGGGTGTCGAAGGCGTCCGCGATGTCGAAGACCGGCGTGGCATCTGCAGAGGCGTAAGAAGCGGGTGCGTCTCTTCTTCTTTCTTTCGTTTTCTCCTTCCTTTCTCGGACGCGTTGTGCACGAGAGGGCACCTTCCTTTGCTTTTCGCTGTTGTAGCGCGTGTTTGGTTTTATACCAAAGAAAAGCTACACCGCAAAAAATCTGGTGGTGGTGTGGGCGGACGCAACTTCTCTGCGCCTCTCTTCTCCATCCTGGCAGGAGAGAGCGGTGAGAAGATGCGGATGCGACGACAAAGGAGGAGGGTAAAATAAAGACAGAGTCGCACCAACGATGGTGGCTTCAAGGAGACATATGACTTCAGTTAACTTAGTCAACTTAATGGGCGCGAGTGTCTGTATTCCATGTGCATGTCTGTGTGTGAGTGCGTGTGTGAAAGAGGCATGCCGGCAGACGCGGCACGGCGCGTGTTAAATTCATATTCATGAAACGTAGGATAATTTCACTTATTTTAGGTTTTCCCTTTTCGTTCTTTTTTATATTTCTGCTCAGGATGAAAGGACACGGTGAAGTACGCTCTTAAAACACAAAGAAAACATGAGGGGACTGTGTGTGCGCTCTTTTCTTCCCTTTTAATTCTTCCTGCACGCTCTTCTCGACGGCGGCGTTGTCGAGATATATTCTTCAAAATACGCGCCATCGCTTTTCCCCACCACCGCGTGCTCGTCCTTCCACTTTCGTCGCTTTGCCGTGTTCGACGCGTTTTATTTCTTTAGATGTTTTTTTTTTGGAGGGGTTTAGGTTTGTAGCAACACCGAATAGCGTGATGGCACCGTTTGTTTTTGTGCCGCTTCTGCCGGCGCGTTCAGCGGAGCAGCAATGGAGGGATGGCGGTTGATTGTGTGGTGTGTGTAGAATCGGGATCAGCTGTGGTACGCAAGAAGAACGAGTAGTAGCGGCGGTTGTTCTCTCGTGAAACGCACGGTGGCGGTCCGTTTCGAACACCTCCTCTTTGCTTCCCTTCTGCGTGGCGGCGAGTCAAAGGCGACGTGCAGGGGTAACGCACGTTCACGCATTTCTTCTCAACTCCGTGTTTTTCCTCTCCGCCTCTTCGCATTCGGTGTATTCTAGTAGGATAGTTTTACCTCTGGTTGTTGGTATGGGATCGTCATCCAACACAAAAGTGATTGCTGCTGCTGCAGAGCAGCATTCGCTCTCATTTCCTTACCTTTCTTTTTTTTCTTGATCTCGTCCCCCTTACGGTATTTTTCTTGATCTTCAGTGTTCACAGACAGTAGTTTGCGTTCGATGTTGGGGAAGGCGGAGGAGATGCGGGCCTGTGGCCAATACGATATTGCCAAATTCACTTCCAACAGAGGCACATCAATAAAGAGAAGAGGTAGAAGCGACATCATCGGGGTGCTTCCCCGGGGCGGTGCCGAGTTAAACTGAAGCAGGTGCTCGATTTTTGTTTTTCCTGGTTTCTCTTATTTCTATGTTATCTTTATTACAAACACACATCAACTTCACAATCGAGTTTTCAAGTAACTATCGGTGATATAAAAAGTCCGTGCAAAGGATACGGCAGATCCGCTCCTAGGAAAGAAGAGAAATCCGTAGGGGCTCAACACCATCGAAGCTGCGCTCTGCAATGTTGCTTCGAGCGGGTGCGTAGGAATCAGCTCAAGAGTTCGAACTACGTTCCCGTACCACACGCCGCTTTAATCTTTACCGGGATTGAACTCTCCGACGATGCTGACAACATGGCCTTGCCTTTTTCTTCCCCATTTTTATATGCGATGTATTCCTCGCCCCTCTCCTCTTCCTCGGTCTCTTTCTTTTCATTCCGGCAAGCGCTGGCTGCTCGTCATCAGCTACGCAATTCATATTATTATTATTAGCGCCCCCTATTTCCTTCCTCCGCTTGAGTAATGTCAACCGAGGTGCCAGATCACCTCGCTGTGCCACCGTCGTGGGTGCACGTGGATCTGCAGAAGCTGCGCACCCGGCTGGAGATACACAACACTGCAGAGCGCCTCAATCAGCTGAAGCTCTATCAGGGCGCCATCGCCTCGCAGGTGTCAGACTTGGAGAAGTCTACGACGAAGCGTCAGCGGCGGCTGGAGCGGCTGACGATGGAGTTACAAGAGCTTACGACTGAGCAAGATGCGGAGCTCGGCCTGCATGACAGAGGCCGTCGTGTCCTCGACGGCACGAGAAATCAGGTCTACTACCAGAAAGGCACCAGCAGAAACTATCTCGTGCCATGCTCGTCGTCTTCACCTGCTGCAGATCCGCTCGAGTCACCGTGCCCGCTGTCGTTGTACGGATTCTCTGTTTTCTACAACTGTGTAGGAGACTGCGCACGGCCTCAGGAGGACAGCGTTGCCGCATTTCTCAAGCTTTGTGCGCCGCTCTTCCAGTGGAGCGCTGAGGAGCTTCTCGTGAAGCCTCCGTTCTTCTTTGATGAGCCGTGCTTGCTGGAGTGTAGCGCCGAGGAGGCAGCAGCGATGTCTTCTTCTTCCCATTCTCCTTCACCGTCCTCGCTCACCATGAAGGACCCGCCCTTACCGACGGAGTGTCGCAATGCCGCATGCGCCTATTGGCACCGTGACCAACTCGCGCACATGCGGGTCATCGTTCAGTTCTGTGTAGCGGCCCTGCGCGGGATGTGCGTGAAGGATGAACGCCTGTGCTGCGTGCGCCGCCTCACCTCACGGCTGTCCCGCCAGGCCCATGAGGCGGAGTCCGTGTCCGTCGTGTGTGCGCTGGTCTGTGAGGTGCTGCAGACTTTGATAGGGCTGGGGCTTCACGTTCACCTCGTGAAGGGAGGAGAACTCGCACCGGCCATGGGGGCCCCGGCCGTAAACGCGGCGGACGTGGAGCACACGGGGCCGCCACGTGGTGATCTGATGTGCGATGTGGTGGAGAAGCAGCGGTGGTCGGAGCTGATGCGGCGCCACGCACAGTCGCCCTCCGCATTGATGTCGTCGATGGCGGCAGAGTTGTTCCAGGTGCACTGCGATGCCCTGTCCTGGCGGTGCCTGCTGGCATGTGTGCCCGACGCGGCGCAGCGGCAGTGGCTGGCCCGGCAGGGCATTCAGCTCTTTCCCAGCTGCCCTCAACTGCACTTGGAATACGTTCTGAGCTCCATGAAGTCTGCTGCAACGCTTGAGCAGGTAATGGAGGCCGGCCAATCGTCGTGCCGCACCCTCTCTGCGCAGGCAGCGGCGGCCGTCGTCGCCGGGCTGGACCTCGGTCAGTACGGCACCACCGTCGCGCGTCACGTCGGCTACATCATCACGGTGGTCTTCGTGCACTGCGCCAAGACGGACGCAGGAGCCGCACTGCTTTTCCTCCAGCCTTTTCTTTCCACCGATGCAGAGGCCGCGCTGGCGGTGCTGTTGTCCCCCATTGCGCGGCAAAACTTAGCGATCATGTCCGTCGCCCTCCGCCGAGCCGGTCACCTCCGCGGAGTGGAGCATCTTCCGCTGGCGGCGGTGTCTGAGCAGGTGATGGAGCTGGCCAGCCCCGACGGCGCCAATCCAACTGAAAACGGCCGAGACGTCATCTACGCTTCGCTTAAGCTGATCAACGCCTACAGGCGCGATCACTTCGAACTGCAGCTCACCACCGCGTGCGCGGGTGCGTTGCAGCTCAGTCTGCTGCGCACCTTCTCGCATCGACTCTCCTATTTGGAGCGTGTGGCGGAGAAGACGGTGCCACAGTCCGCGCTGAGTCAAGGCGTGATTTACTGCGCCTACGTGAGCACCATCGCGCAGCAGCAGTCCGTGCCGGCGGCGGTGCAGGTGGCGGAGTCGCTCGCCGCTGCCGAGGGAGCCACCTGCTTCTTGAATCTGCTCCTCCTTTCGCAGATGCGCACGTGGGGCTGCACCTCTCAGTTGAGCGCGGCTCAGGCCGTGGCGCAGCTGTGTGCATCCGAGCAGCTGCCTGCAGAAACGCTGGACAGTGCGGAGCGCGTGCGCGAGGCGGCGGCGAAGCGTACAGACGTGTCCGCAGTGGAGTGGGTTGCCGCCTACGCGTTGCACATGCGCTGCGGAGAGGCAGCCGCGACAACCGTGGAGGAACAATGGACGGCCATGCAGCACTTCCCGATGGAGGTGCTGGCGCAGGACACGATGGCTGCCGGCCTTTATTTTTCTCTCGTGTTGCAGCTCAGCGGTGCGTGCCGAAACGCGGCCAAATTCTACGCCACCGTGCACCGCTGCCTGGGCTTCTTTCTGGGGGTGCACACGCACACCTGGAGCCCGCTGGACGACGCGTACGCGGAATTGGTGGGCCTCCCGCACTACGTGACTTTGCTCGTTTACGAAGATGTGCCGTTGCTGCTGGGATCTGCAGCGAAGGAAACGTACGAGTGGCGCTGCCTTGTGTTGGCGGCTGCAACGGAGCTGGGCGTGGTGCACCCACTGTTGATGGCAGACGCGTCCACTGCATAGAGACAAAGAACAAAGACCCAACAAACAACAAGCAAACACATGATGGCTGCTAAAGACAGCAATAAAGAAGCGGATTCCTTTTGTATAAGGCGCTAGGGAGGAAATCAATCTTTCTGCCGCTGTAACGCTTTACACCGGTGCCACATACTGCCGGTGTTCGTTGCATTCAGGCGCTGCGCTTTCGCATCACGCGCAGCAAATGTGCTTTCTTTGCTCTGCCGTGTCATCTTCTTCCTCTCCCTTCTTCCTTCCTTAGCGACGTTGTGCTCCCCGTGCTCGCACAGCCCATCGGCAGACCGGAAGTGGAGCGTGGGTGCGTATTCCTGTTCGACCGCATAGCTCAAAACCGAAAGAGATTCTCTTTCTGCAGATTGGCGAGGAAGGGAGGAGAAGAGAAAACCGTGTTCTCAACCAGTTCGCTTGCTTTACCATATAGACGGCGCCTGGAAGAAATCCTCGTTGCTGCTCTGTGTCGTCGGGTTTATCTACATGCCCGCTCCCTCTCATTTCGACCCGCCCGTCGTGGTGGCGCTTTTCCCATCCTGCGCGGTGCTCTCCTGGGAACCTCCGCGCACGTCAGCCATCAAATCCTTCGCCGAGCACACTTCATGGGACTACCGTGTCGAGTACAGCTGCTCCTGCAGGATGCGACATCAGCCGTATGCCATGTCCACAACTGACACGTACGCCCTACTCGCCACTGCTCATCCAGGCGAGACGTACTACGTGCGGGTGGTGGCCCGAGAGACGTTTGCGGGGTCTCTGGCGGGTCTCGTGTCGGCCAAAACGTCCTTTCAGGCGCGTAGCACCATGTCGATGCCATGGCCGACCGCCGCGGCTTCGCCCTGCATTTTTGATGGGCTCTACCTCTGTGCGGCGAACGCGTGGGACGGCGGTGCGCTGGCCTCCGTGAGTGACAGCCGCCGAAGATCACAGGAGCACGGATGCCTGCTGGACAAGAGTTCTTCTGCGTGCGTCATGGACGCAGATGCGGAGTTTCGCTTGTACCGCGTCACGTACGACTGCCGTGTCCCTCCCGCCAATACACGCACGGTGTACTACATGGCTGCGACAGGGCGTCGCCCACGCGCGAGTCAGCGCATGCGCAGCAAGGAGGTCGCGGCCCTCTTGAAGCGAGACAACGCCGCGCTGGTTTTTTGTGGGGTGGGGGACAGCGGCCGACTTGCAGTGAAGGCGGCGCACGCGCTTCTCTCTTCCTTCATGACCTCCTGTCCAGCGCTGAGCCTTTCAGTGTTTTGCATCACGTATGGAACCCCCCGATGCTATCTCAAGGACGGACCGCAACTGCTGATTCACACCTTACCGCTGAGCTATCACTTTCTGCACGTCACACAGCTGTCACGGACGGATGACGGTTCTTCTTTAGGAGATGACCCTGTGGTCTCGCAGCGGGGCACGGGTGATGGTAGTTCTCCTTTGCGTCTGACCGGCTACTCGGAGGGGTTTTACGAGAACACCCTTCTCGGTGCTCAGTGCCGCGTTGCGCATGACGTCAACGACGGAGACGTGCTGCAGCTCTACACCTCCGGCCCTGCAGTGCCGCTGACCGCTGCGGAGGAGACAGAAGAATTCGACGTGGAGCGTGCGCTTCAGCGTCTGTTGAGCGTTTTCTTCCCCTCTTCCCCGTCCTGGCTGGTCCCTACGCTGTTGTCCATCCACTGCCGCTCCACCGGTCCTCTGCTCTACGTGACTGTGGAGGGCTCCAACTTGCACTACACTCCACGGCTTACCCTTCTACCACAGCAGCAGCCGCACGGTGCAGCCTTTCCGTTTTTGATTGAGTGTCGCCCTCAGCAGCTGACATGTGTCTGCTCCCTCCTTCCGTGGATAGAGGAGTGCGTCTCTGAGGGCGGCGCAGTCGTAGGCAAGAGATGCTCTGCTGATCTGTCGCTCTGCACTCTCGTTCAAACGGCGTTCGGCATGTGTGCGGCCTGCCCCGACGAGGACGTGCCCCTTCCACGGGATCTGACAGAACTCTTTCAAAGCACCGCAGAGATGACGGCACCGTGGGTCACGGCGGTGCCGTCGGAGCTGCTCGAGTGCGCGTTGCAGACGCAGCCACTGTATGCTCTGTGCCGGGGTCCGTCATCTGCTACCGGAGTTGACACGGCGCTGAATCCCCTCGCGCAGGTGCTGTGCAGCTTTGCCAGTGCTGCCGAGACGGTGCTCGCGGAGCAGACGCGCGCTGGCACTGCGGGCGGAATGGCTGCCGCTGGATCCGTCTTTGGGTTCATGAGCAACGTGGCAGCTCGCTTCTCCTCTGCGGTGTCCAGCACGTCTGTCGATGCGGCGCCAAAGCTTTCTGTGCCCGGAAAGGAGGCGGCGTTTCTCAAGAATGCGTTGAAAGAGTGGACGGGAAATGCGTCTGCGGGCATCGACGTGTGGGGGCTGCGAAGTGCTTCGTGGAAGCAGCGCGTCTTACATGGTCTTCCGTTGCTGAGCGACAGCTCATTCCGCTCCACGCTCACTCGCCTGCTGAGGGTGTTTGACCTTCACGTTGACGCCTACGAGGGCGCGCCGCATGCATGGTTGGAGGCGCGGCTCTACGCGCACGTGCGGCGTCACGTCACGCTGCGGCTGTCCTCCAGCTTCAACATGGAGGAGCTCCTCTCCACGACCGTTACCCTCAGCGACTTCTACGCCGCTGTTATCGACGTCTTCACTTCTGTACTTCCAGCTTCGGCTGCAGCGCCGCTTCCTTTTGTCGAGGACGTGCTGCTGCTGTGGTGTCTGTGTCAGTGCTTTGAGCTGCGGCGTGAACTGTCCGCCACTTTTTTCTGCTGCACCGTCGGCTGCCCGGGCTGCGGGGGGTCAACGCTTTCCGCCACTCTATCGACGTTGCTGCAGTCTGAAGACGCGTTCTGCTACCCGCGCTCGACACAGCGCCGACGCGTGCCGGCCTGCCGTCTTGCCTCCTCGCGTCTGTCTGCGCTCTTTCTTGCGATGAGGTCCGGCGTGCGTCTCGCTGTCTTTCTCGCTGGGGAATTGCCAGATATTGTGCGGCCACAGTACGCCTCCATGAGCATGCGCATACAGGAGAACTTGACCTTCGAAAGTCAGCACTGGTTCCGCGTCATCACAAAGGCTGATGAGCATTTGCCCCATGTACGCGGGTTAGGTGGAGCGCCGTTGTTGGAGACCTCAGCAGATCGCTTTCTCGAGGAGGCGAAGAAGGAGATGCTGGGAGGCGACGTTGTGGAGGAGCATCGGCTGGTGATCTCACTCGCCCCCTCACCTCCCTTTATCGGACAGATTCTCAGGTGCAGTCAGGAGAAGGCGCATGCGTTTGCAGCCTCGCTGAGGGCCGCCTCTCAGAGGGCCCTTCTTCCTTGTCTCCTCTTGAGTTTACAACAGGCAGATGCCACGGCAAGGCAATAAAGCGCCTCTCCCCTTTATATATATATATATTTGATTCACCTCGTGTGCTCCACAGTTTTGATCTCTGCTGCTTCTGTTTTTCCTGTTGCCTGTTTTCTTCCGTTGGCTTCGCGTAGCATCTACAGAAAGAAAAAGAATTGTGATCCAACCACAAGGATCGTATGCGTGTCGTGTGCTTGTATAACACGCTGCGTTGAATGGTGACGATTGTGCCAAGAACGGCTTTTTCGCACCTCACGCATGCCAGCAGCGCAGAAAGTGTGTGAAGCCGAAGCTGACAGTATTCCCCTAATGATTCTTGCTTTCCTCCTCTGTCTGTTCTTCCTCTCGCTGCCTCAACGCGACGGCGTCCTCTCCAATCATTCGTTCTGGATGCTAAACAGTCCAGGTGGACTCCACGGCGTTGCGTGCATCGTCGAGATTTTCTTTTCCTTATTTTGTATATTGAAGTGCGAGCGACGCTTCCGTGTCCTCTCGAATCGTCGCAGCCGAGTTCGTCTTTCGGTTGCCTGCTCTTCGCCGCGGCAGTCGGTGTTCCCTCAAACACACAAACAAAGAAAAACTGCGAGAAGGATGGACAATGACGCGAAGGTGAACGCACTGCAGTGGGAGGTCGTGAAGGACACGACACCGTCGCCCAAGACGTGGGTGGAGCTCGCACGCACGACGGCAGCGGTGACGTCCGCCGACGCCGTGGAACGCGCCAACGCCGTGACGTTGGTGTACGAGCGGGCGCTGCGGGCCTTTCCCTCCTCGTATAAGCTGTGGATGGCGTATATCCGCTACCGCCTGCTGGAGACCAGCGAGTTGTGCAGCCCTAACGAGTGGTTTCAGAGTGTGCGGGAGGTGTACGAGCGTGCGGTGGCGGAGCTGCCGAGCATGCCGCTGATCTGGCTGGGCTTCATTGAGTTTGTGATGGGGTCACGCGTGCCGCGGGTGACGATGACGCGCCACATTCTGTCTCGAGCCCTCGCGGCCCTGCCGGCTACGCAGCACCATCTCATCTGGAAGGTGGCGAAGAAGTGGTGTAGTACGCCGGCCGTGCCTGGTGCTACGGTGCGGGCGGTGTGGCGCGTGTTTTTGTCCTTCCAGCGCTCCCTGCGCGCCAAGCGGGAGTACTTCAACGTGCTGGTGGAAAAGAAGGACTTTAACAGCTTTTTGCAGGAGTGCGTGCATCTCGGGCTGCCGCAGGAAAAAGTGAAAGGCACTGCCGAGGAGCGCGAGATGTTGCTGGCGGATGTTAACTTTTGGGAAACTGTGCAGACGGCGCTGCAGGCACGAGGGTGGCGCTTCACCGGAAACGTGGCGGAGCTGAGGCAGCTGATTGAGCTGGGCAAGTCGCGCTGTGCCTCGCCGATGGAGTTGTCCATGGCGTTTGCTGTCTTTCTCTACGGACAGGGCTACATGCGAGAAGGTCGACAGGAGCTCCGCCGTCTGCTGGATGAGTCACCCGAGGCGCACACGCTGACCACACTCTACCAACTCGCCGTCGAGGTCGAAGATCAACTTGTGGAGTCGTTTGCGGTCGACCCTGCCATTCGCCAGCTCGACGACGCCGCCTACGCACGCGTCGTGCAGCACCTCTTCGGCTCCGCCGACCCCCTCACCCACCTCTCCTCTTTAGCGCGCGAGTTTCCCCTTTTGCTGAACCAAGCACAGCTGCGCAACAGCCCTTACAACGCGGCGCTGTGGCTCAAACGGGCAGAGCTGGTGCAGGAGAACGCTTACGCTGGTCGAAGCTCGCCGCAGGATTTGCAAGCGCTCTATCGACAGGCCATTCAGCAGTGCACGTCGGGTATGTCACGCGTCGACGGCGCCGCCGCGCAGCTCTTCCATTCCTACGCCCAGCTGCTGCTGCGTTCGAAACGGGTCGACGACGCGGTGGCGTTGCTGCACGAAGGGGGCTGGTGCGTTCCCTTCACGAGCACCGCCCTCAACGTTCAGCTGCTGGGGTTTTGGGTGGAGGTGCAACTGATGACATCCACCACCCCTGCTGCCGTGCGGGATGCGCTGGCAGGGAAGCTGACCAGTGGGCTGGCGGCGTCTAACGGAGGTGGGGCGAAGCGCAGTCGCGCCGGACTTCTGCAATCATCGGTGGCCCTTCCGGAGGTGGTGCAGCACGCGCACGTGTGGACGCTGTGGTGCGATGTGTGCACCACGTATGACTCTGCCAACGAGGTGGCCTGGCGGAGATTAGTGGATGCGCTCGCCGGTTCGAAGTCCTTCACGGCAGAGTTGGCGTGTTACGTGGCGCGTAGGGCGTACGAAAGCGGACACGCGTCGATGGCCGTGGCGTTGCTGGAGAGGGGCGTGGCGGCCCTGCGTCAGGCTCCCACCGCGCAGTTGTTTCTCCTCGAGCAGTACCTCTCGCTCCTCTGTGTGCAGCACGGCCAGCAGGTTCCTCTGCATCAATTTCGAGAGCTGTACAGTCTCGTCCAGCAGATCACCCCCGTTGCCATTCGAGCGACGCCATCGGCCGTCATGGATCTTCATTTTAGCTGCGCCGAGCTGGAAGCCACAATCGGCCTTTACGGGACGGCGGTGCGCATGGCGCAGGCGGTCACGATCGTCGCCATCACCGCGCTGCGCATCAACACCGATCACCTCCGTCTCCTGCAGGCCGCTCTCGAGCACTCCATTTCGTTTACGGAGCGTCACAACGGCTACGACGCGGTGCGCGCGTACTGTGGCGAACTCGTGCGACACCTCCAGCACCCGTTGCTGTTGCAGCGCGTTGTGCTGCATTGGGCCGCCATCGAGAAGCGCACCGGCAATGCGGCGCTGGCGCACACGATTATGGACGCCTGCAGCGACAGCCAGGACCCGGCGACGGAGCACGGAGAGGTGTACTGGCGGCTGTGGGAATCACTCTGCACGCAGCGGAAGGAGTTCGAGAACGTGGCGCGTCGCCGACAGCAGGCGTCGATCCGCTTTGCGGCGAACTCGTGATGGACGATGCAGTTTTGTGCGAGGGCCGTCTTCTTCCTTGTGCGCGCAGGGAAGGTGGACTGCATGTGGTGGGTTGTTGCCCTGGTTATGCGCAGCCGTGGCTTGTAAACCGGTGATGACCTTCTCGCAGGCGATCGAAGTTGCCGGGAACTGTTTGTGGTCCTGATCATATAAGACAATAAACGGGCAATCCAATCAATACGGATGCTGGATCTATTGGGAAAGCGATGTTTTTTTTTGTTAGTGGTACGAGTCTGTGCCAGTCTCTTCACGGGATTTCATCATATGCAGCTACCGTAATGTTGCTGCTCATTGCTTCACTCGCCATTGCAATGGCTGCTCTCGTCCCACACGCGCACTCGACGATGTGTCCACAGTTCTCTGGCTTTTACGATCTCTCCCTTCGTTGTGCATTAGTATCCTTCCAGTTACGGCGGAGTGTCAGGGGTGCGATTCCTTGCCCACTCAGAGCAGCTTCATTACCAACCTCATCCTTGTGGCGCAATGAATGCATCCATATAACCCCTTCTTCATTACTTGATCGTTTTCAAGAACACCACCACGACTGGAGGAGAAGGGGGCGTTTAGCTACACGACTTGCGTCTTCTTTCAATGCCTCCTTCCTCCATTCACTTGCGTGCCTTCGAGCTGCGCGCAGGTCCCAAGACGGCGCGGCTGGTGACGGTCAGTCTTGACAGGTCCATATCAGAGGTGTACACCCACCTGTGCAGGGTGCTGAAGCTGGACGCCCCGCTGAGTCAGGTGACCTTTCACAAGACATACAACAAGAAGATTGTCACGACCCCCCTGTCGATCACCGCGCCCATCGGCTCTCTTGGATTGGCAGATGACGATATATTTATTCTCCGCCACGGCCCCCGCTCGCGATCAGCCGGGAGAGAAATCGGTGGCAACGCGCAGAGCGACGCGGGATCAGTGAAAGTGCTGACTGCGTCACAGCGTCGTCGGCAGCAACTTCGAAGCGCGGCAGCGCTACCGATACTTCCAGGGACTGAGGGGGGGCCCCTTCACGTAACACAGGCGAGTTCATCAGCGGTGGATACTGAAAAGAAGGAAGAGATTACTGGCGCGCCCATCACGGCAGACATGGAAGAGATGATGAACGTCCATCAAAATAACGTTTGCATGGTAGCGGATAGGCAGCGCATGGAAAACTACCAGCAGCAGTTTGCCCAGTACAGCTGCGTAACGCAGGTCTTTGTCATGAAGCTGTTTCAGCTGCTAGCGGTGCTCTCCTGCTCGTGCCCAACCGCGCCAGTCCCCGCACCGCAGCTCGGGCCAACGCGCTCCACTGTGTCGGTCGCAGTTCTGCATCGCGAACTCCTCACCGACTTTTGCCGCCGTGCCCGCGTGCCTCTCAGCCGAGTAGAGAGTCTCCTCGACAGCGGCGCGCGCAACATCGACGCCGTGTACGAGGCCCTTTACTACTACGCAGATGTGACCGTTCAGAGCAGCGTGATAGCGGCAAAGGTGGAGGAGTGGCTAAAGGAGAATCTACCGCCGCTGCAACCCGCTGCCCAGATGATCTGCATGCTGCATGAAGGACAAGAAGCGGCCTATTTAGAGCTGGCACTGCTGCGGCTTCGCGGGCAAGTACCAACGGCAATGACGTGGCTGTGTTTGAAGGACGCCGCTGCACCGGAGAAGCGGTGCTGCTACTATTCTGCTGTTGTGCGGTTTAGTCAGTTCGCTGCACCGATGCACGTAAACGCGGCGGAAATAGCGATGGTGGAGAGTGGGTGGCTGGACAGCTGCTGTGTTGCATGGGGGCTCAACAACTGCCCTTACAACGGCCATTTGCTTCCCTTGTCGTGCTGGATGTGGAGTCGTTTGGTGGCGGCGGTTATGACGTGCCGCGACGGCGCCGCTGTTCGGTTGACTGAGTTGCTGAACATGTACAGCGAGTGGGAAGCTTCACTGGCGTGGGTAGTTTGATCGGCCTTCGTGTTTTTCCTCGTCTTCATTTCGTTTCTCTGCTAGAATAATATTTTGCTTCTCCCGAAGCGCTGGCGCACTTGGTGCTTAAACAAGGAGAATATAATCTCGCGCCCTCCTACGGCTTACACCGCATGCACGAAGCTCTACGACGACGGCAACAAAAGTAATGCTATTGACGTTGATGGAGAATCGAACACGGGTAGGCGGAAGCTTGTTTGCCCGCTATCGCTCTTGACAAAGAAGCATGAAGGCGTCGTGCACCCTTGCAGGTTACGTTTGCCGGCCCTCTCAGATCTTCTTCTTCGACATTTTTGGCTGCTTTTTGACTGAATTGTCCGCCCATCTTCACCTTTGTGGCGTCGCGTGCTTTCCTTCATGTATTCACACCCACACCCACACCCACACAAATGTATCCGATGGCAAAGACACATCGTTGCTCCACGACATATTCCCGTGCGTTGTTGCTTAAACGCGGCGTTCTTCTTCCCATTTTTCTGCTTCAGAAATGTGGGCCCTCAATGCGGCTCCGATTCAGTGCCACGAGGCTGTGCAGCTCCTCTCTCGTTACAGAAAGCAGAACGGCTTTCAGAGCGGTCTGTGGCTTCTCCCGCAGCATCTGACGCTGTTTGGTGTGCGGGAGCTCTACACGGCGCAGCTGCTGCTGCCCACCGACGGTCTGCTCTCCGGTCCTCCCCGAGCAGTACCCTTCTCGCTGCTCCACCCCTCCACCCAGCGCGGCATCCTCAACGACTACCCGCCGGCGATAATGCCGGCGGGCCGCTTCGCTTTTCTCGAGCGCTCCCCGGCAACCACGCAGTGGCGGGCGGCGACGCTGATGGAGTGCTTCGAAGCCGCTTTTCTTCAGAGCAACAGGAGTTGCGGCCACATGCAACTGCTGTGTGCGCCGAGCTTCGCGACGCGCATCGCGGTGCCGGAGGAGGTGGCGGTGCTCAACGCGCAGGAGACGAGCAATCCTTTTCTGGTCGACGCATCTCTCTGCCACCGCAGTCTTGTGACCGGGGCCGCCTTGCAAGACACCGTCAGCAGTGCGCTGACCACCATCGCGGCGCAATTCCGTTACACCTCCTTCGACTGGGTAGAGGCGGGCATGGTGGAGGCGGCGGGCCTGCGCGTGCGTCCCTCGGCCACACCGCATCTCGTAAACTCAGTGGAGAGCCTTCAGGTGGCGCACGTGTCGCAGCTGCCCATGGAGCGGCAGGAGGAGCTGGTGAATTTGGTTCCGCGCTACGTGCTGCTGAAGAGCATGAAGCTCTCCTATGTCTACCTGCATTCACGCTGGCGAAACGCGCACGAGTTGGAGCTGACGAACCGCCTGCGGCACAGCGACATTCCTCGAGTGGAGGGTACGAGGGAGTCACCGGTGCAGCTGCTGCTGTGGGTTGCGGTGAAAGCGGAGGATGATTTCTGCGGTCCCGTGACCGTGTGTGAACGCAGTGTTCGTCGGCGCTATTACAACGCGCAGCAGCTGGAATAGCCCTGCTGCTCTCGAAGTATTTCTACGTGTCCTTCAGTGCACGTGTTTCTTTCCTTCGGTTTTCCCTCTCGCTGCTCCTGCGCTGCTGATTAAAAACGCTGAATTGATAAATGCGTAGTTGTTCTCCACTCTTGCGGAAGTGGGCACGGAGATGAGCGAACAGGGAGGCTTGTGTGCATGCCTATTAGGGTGATTAGGGTGGCGCATCGTGAGAGCTGCTTTTCTGTGAAGGTAATCACAGCCACTCTTCTAATGATCCTGCTCGTTCTGACGATGCTCTCCATTGCGTATTAAGCTGCTCTCTCTATCTTCTTCTCCTGCGCTCTGTCTGTTGTTGCGCGGTGCGTGTGGGCTTCTCCGTTTGTGTGGGTGGCAATGATAGTGCTGCACGTGCCCTTACTGCTTCTCTGGACAAAAAAAAACCGATGCAGGTGCGTTAGCAATTAAAAAGAAATAATAAGAACAGGACAGAATACACGAGATGTGGGCCGGTGCGTCCCGCATCTCGCTCTACTGGCTCGACGACCACGAGTCCTACCTAGGAGAAGGGGAATGCACGCGCCCTTCTACGAGTTGGCTCCCTTTTGGCGGCGAAACAACCGGCACGTTGAGTTTGGCCACTTCCCACATCTTCTATGACGACGGCAGCGACACCCTCGTCGTGTTTCCTCTGCGCTACATCGAAAACGCCACCGTGCGGGAGTCGGGCGATCAACTCGACCTTTCATTTTCGTGCCGGCGCGCAGTGAAGCGTGCGGTGCTTCCTCGCACAGATGGGCAACAGCCCGCCGCGCCTGGCGTCTCGGTGCCGTTTCCCAACGCCGAATCGTGGCGGTTTCGCGCATCGCGTGCATCGGAGTGGTTTGTGGAGGCGCTGCGGCGTCTCGTAGAGCATCAACGGATGGAGGAGCTTTTGTCGCGCCGTGAAATTGCACTGCAAGCTGCGCCGTCTTCTGTGAGCTTTCGCGCACGTCGTCAAGTGCCGATGCGTGAACAACGCGGTGTGCTGCACATCACGGCGGCGTGTGCTACCTTTGAGCCGCTCTTCGCCATGGCGTCTCACGGCGCCGTCTCGCTGGCAAGGAGTGAGTGCGTTCACAGCTTTCCTCGCTGGATCGCGTTTGAGGCGGTGGGCCTGGACATTTACACGTCGGAGGCCCTCGACCACGCCCCGGCGCTGTCCCTCCTATTCAACAACGTGCAGGAGAGGGACCAGGCGAGGGAGCTGCTGCTTCACCTCCTCGGCGTGCCGCCGTACTCCATCTCCCCACACGCCAAGGCCGAGGCCTGGAAGAGGAGAGAGCTGTCCAATTACGACTACCTGCTGCTTTTAAACAAGTGGGCGTCTCGCTGCTTCAACGATGTCTTTCAATACCCTATTTTTCCGTGGGTGCTCGCGGACTACACGTCTGCCCAGCTCGACATTTCCGCACCGGCAACTTTTCGTGATTTACGCAAGCCCATCGGCGCTCTCTCGCCCGATCGTCTGGAGATGCTGCGGGAGCGGGCCCAGTTTTTAGGTGAGGCGGAGGAGCGCACCTACCTGTACTCTACCCACTATTCCTCCGCTGGCGTGGTCGCCTATTACCTCGTGCGGCCGCACCCCGAGTTTCAGCTGTGCCTGCAGGGGGGCATTCTGGATGTGGCGGAGCGCATTATGGAGTCCGTCCCTCAGGTGTGGCGCAGTGTGACTACCAACACCAGCAACTTCCGCGAGCTCATCCCTGAGTTCTTTAACGGCGACTTCCACGCGCTCTGCGGGCCGCCGCGGATTGCGCTCGGCTCTCACGGCAACGGCAGACCCGTGCGCCCGTTTGTGGAGCTGCCCCCGTGGGCCGCAGACGCACACGAGTTCGTGCAGCTCCACCGTGCAGCGCTCGAGAGCGACGACGTCTCCCACCACCTGCACCACTGGATAGATTTGATTTTCGGTGCTGCGCAGAGCGGCGAGCTGGCGCGGGCGGCAGACAACCTCTTTCACCCGTTTTCCTATCGACAGCTCGCACGTAAACAGGTGAGTGTGCCGGGGCTGCATCTCTCGCCGCACGACTACGCAAGGGAATTCGGCAATGTGCCCATGCAACTCTTCAGCGATGTCCACCCCTCCCGCAACGACCGTGAGCACAGCGTGTTGTGCACCGTTGAGGCAGTCGAGGCCTGCGGTGGATGCGACGCGAGCACCTCGCCAAATGACCAACGCATTGCCCAAATGATTGAGACGCTGCGGGCGATGGACGAGGAGACGGAAGAGCCGCCTCTTTGCGCCGATCTGAGTAGGATCGAGGGTAGCCACTTTTCTTCGGAGTCTGCGTCGCTGGTAGAGGTGGCGACTGCCACGCTCGCGTCCACCGGTGCGCGTTTTGCGACGCTGGGTTTTGCCAATCGCACCTCGCAGGATGCCGCGATGTCTGCCGGCGCCGTTCTGCTGGTTGTGGGAGACGATGGACGTGTTGTGACGCTCTTCAGCGCCGTGTCGGGCGAGCGGCTGCGCGCCTTCCCCGACTTTGACGGTCGAACCACCTCCACCGCCTATCATGCAGGCAGCGTGTTTGTGTTCACCGACAACAGGACATGCTATGTCATCTCGCTCCACTCGCATGCCGTCACGCATTGCTTCCTGGAGCTGACGAGTGCTCCCGTCGTGCACGCCTGTTTTCTTCCTCATGCAGTATTACTGGCGGACACAGAGGCACAGGTCATGTGGTGGGCGGCGCAGCGGGACGACACGGCGCATCTGACTTTCGACGCTCCTCCGTCTTCGACGTGTGAGGCGTCGTCGCGAATTCTCTGCCTCGGCGGTGCGGCGCGTATCTCAGCTGCTGTTGCGGTCAGCACGCACCTTGAAGCGTTTCTTTTCCACGATAGTGCGTGCGAAGAGTGTACGCTCCGCACAATGCCCGACGAACGGGAGATCCTGAATGCTGCAGCCGCCGATCAGGCGCCGTATTTTTGGGTGTTCTTCCGTGCTGAAGCTGTGCTGTACGACAACGGAGGATTGTGGCTGCGTCGCGTTCCGTTCCCGGCCGCCTCTGCGGTGATTTGTGTGTGTTTGGAGCAGCAGCTTTGCCCGCTCTGCCTGTACACTTCAAGTTTGCCGGTGCGCGTACGCTTACTGCAACACGCACGCGAAAACGTGGTGCAGCTGCGTTGTTGCACATCGGTGCCTCTGTGCGTTTCGTACGCAGATGCAGCTCTGGTACTTGTCAGCCGCACTGACGGAGGGGCAGCGTCATCGCTTGTCCTGACCTTAGCGGAGCTGAGGCTTGCGAAGACGGAATAGTATGTTTTTGCTTTTTTGTTCTTGTTACATATTGTAGACCGCAGCATGCACAACCGCTGCAGTTCCGACTCCTGCTATGTAGCTTCGTGGAACCACAGTTTTCAAACCAAAAGAAACCTGAAAACAGTCGAGAAGCTTCCTTTTTCCGCATAACCTCAACTGGCCGCTGCACGGGTGTGAGCTGCACAGCGCCATGCGCGTTGGCAGCAGGCCGTTTTTTTCTTTAACCGTCGTAAAACACGAGCGTTATCACAGTCAAGTACCACAGACTCTCGAAAACCAGCACGTGAGACTCCAAACCGAAGAAGAGTTTCAGCCAAAAACGCATGGAGTTTTGTGACACACACGCACACTCTTTACCGCCAACTGCAGTTTCGCACCCTTCATCTTTTCCTTGACGCCTCTTCTCTCCTTTCCACGCTCGCATTCTACTTGAGCAGCCGACGATCTGTTGTACTATTCGTTTTCGTCAAACTGCGCTTCCTTTCCGCCCTCAATTCTTCCGTCATGACGACGAGTCCGAAGAAGATTTACATTGCCGGCCCCGCCGTCTTCCTTAAGGACCACGGCGAGGCTTACTTCAACAAGGTGCGCACTCTCCTGAGGGATAACGGCGTCGTGCCTCTCGTGCCGATCGACAGCATCGCGACGGGTGCGCTGGAGATCCGCAACAAAAACATTGAGATGATCAAGGCCTGCGATGCGATCATCGCGGACCTGTCTCCCTTTCGCTCTCTTGAGCCAGACTGCGGGACGGCATTCGAGATTGGCTACGGCGCGGCGCTGGGGAAGGTGCTTCTCACGTACTCGTCCGACACGCGATCGATGGTGGAGAAGTACGGCGGAACGGAGGCGCAGGGGTGTACTGTGGAAAACTTTGACCTACCGTTCAATCTCATGCTTGCCGACGGTACGCCGGTGTTTGACACGTTCGAGGCAGCTGTTTGATTACTATTTGAAGCACCACGTGCTGTCTTCAAGAGAAGAAGTAACGAGGTGATGTGGACGTGAAGACAAACAGAAAGAAGAAGCATATTGACAATCTTTTTCTCCGCAATTCGCACGATCACAGGAAGATGGGTCTTTCCTGAGCCGGTGTGACGCTTGTGATGTTTGGGAACCGTTCTTTACCGTGGCGCTGCGACGGTAGTCTGCGCTGTTGATTTCGAATAATGGGTATCGCATTAAGGGACATGCAAAGCAGTACCGTATAACGGCAAGCGTTTTATTGCCATCAACGTTTCCGTTAATCTGCAATGTCGCACGAGAAAAAACATATATATCGTTTTTTCTCGTTGAGGTCGGCCTCGACCAGCTCCACATTTCGTTGACAGCTAATTAAAAAAATAGTCACAAACACAAGAGTGGAATAACTACCCTTCTTTCCCTTTCTCGGAGGGCATCGAAATACACTGCGTTAGGTGTTATCATGTCCTTCTTACGAGTTTCTTGAAGAAACCACAGGATAGAAAGACAACAGCAGCGAAGAGGCCGTGCGCTGACCCCATACTGCCACACTTCCGCTCTTTAGACGTACGATTTATGTCGTGAACCGCGCTCTACCACTTGGTGACGTATTGCTCTACCCCTTCTTTGCCTTTTTTCCTTTTCCTTTCAAACTGTTTCTCACACGTGCGTTTTCAGTGGAAACTCGTATTTCCTGCATTTCTTCTTTTCTTTTTACCCGCTGCGTCCTCTCTCTTAACGGTTCTTTTCTTTGCGCGACTCCCTCGTGCTTCGTGGTGTCAGCTCTACATCACGGGCCACGCTCTTGTCGTCTTTGTTTTTTTCTTGTCTCCTTCCTAGCTCACACTTGATCATGTCTATGGCAGAGGAGGTTTACGCGGAGGGCCGCCGCAGCATGCAGGAGACGCGGTCCTCGCAGGCGCAGCGCTTTCTCACCAACCGGCCCGTTTCCATCAGTGAACCGAAGCGTTTTTTCATGCTCCTCATCGGCGTCTACGCGTGCATCTGTGCCTCCACCGGTTACGTGTACAACCTCTTCTCCGGTAGGCTCCAGGAAAAGTACGATTTCACGCAGAAACAGATGTCGGTTATTACGACCATGTCGGGTGTGCTCAGCATTGTGGTGTTCCCTCTCGCCGGGGTGTACGACTACTACGGTCCGCGGTCGCTCTTCATGATCGGGATGGTATTCTTCCCTATTGGCGGCGTTCTATTCGGGCTAGCCTTCGCAGACGCAGTGGACGGCAATGTGGCGCGCTTTACCGTCTTTAGCGCCTTCCTCAGCGTTGGCACGGCGATGTTCGACATTGCCGGTCTCATGACCATTCTCAGCGTCTTCCCGAGCAGTCGCGGAGCCGTCATTGCGGTCATGAAAACGTTCATTGGCATCGGCTCCGCGATCTTCGGCGCGTTCCAGCTCGGCTTCTTCGAAGACGACATCAGCGGCTTCTTTTACTTTATGTCCGCCTTCGTCGGCGTCGTCGGGCTTTTCTGCGTGCTGTTTGTCGAGCTGCCGCCCTACCAACTCACCGGCTACGAGGAGAGGTACCTCACCGAGGCGGACAAGGCGAAGCGGCTGGCCACCAAACGCGTCTACCTCGAGAAGGTGCCGTCGCCGCGGCGCTTCGTGATTGGCTTTGCGCTTGTATCGGTACTCATCGTCTTTTTACCGGTTCAGAGCTCGCTGGTGGCCTACTTGAAGCTCGGCCATCCCTATAAGTTGGGCTTCGCACTCGCCACTGTGGCCGTCATGGTGCTCTACACCGTCATGGCGGTGCCACTGCGTTGGCTAGACGTGGGCAGCACCAACATCGTCGAACAGCTCCCTGACGAGGATGAGGGGGCGGAGAGTGTGGCGGCTGCGGCCGGGGGACGCCGCATGACCGCCTCGCAGCGCCTCAGTCGCCGCATCAACTCTGCTCGCACGAGCATAGCGGAGCAGGCGATCTTCAGCGCCGCTGCTATCGATGAGTCGGCGCACATTGCCCCGCAGTACCAGACGACGTTCTTTGAAAGCGTCTGCACACTTAAGCTGTGGGCCCTTGCATACTCGCTCTTCTGCATCTTTGGCACCCAAACGGTAATCATTGTCAACGCACGATTTGTGTACGCCGCCGCCTCGGAGACGAAGATGACGCAGGAGGTGGCCTCCCTCCTGACAGTGTTCAACGGCGCCGGCAGCGCTGTGGGGCGCATTGTGATGAGCATCTTTGAGGTGTGGACGCAGAAGCGGAAGCCAGAGGAGCGCATCCCCCTTACCATGGCGCTCTTCATTCCGTCGGTAATTATGCTGGCCGCCTCAACCATGCTCCTCTTTGTGCGCAAAGAGTGGCTCCTCATCCCCTTCGGATTGACGGCGCTGGGCAACGGCTTTTCAGCTGCCACGGTGGTGCTGGTGATGCGCACCCTGTACGCCAAGAGTGTGGCGAACCACTACAACTGCATGTCGCTCGCTTCTCTCGTTGCCTCAATTTTGTTGAATCAGATTTTATACGGCGAATGGTACACGAAAGAGGCCAAGAAGCAGGGCAACAGCATCTGCATCGGCCGCCAATGCATTTTTGTGCCGTTTGTGATTATGAGTGTGCTGGTTTTTACAAGTCTTTTCTCTAGCTTGTACGTGCATTTGAATTACAAAGCGTTTTGCGAGGAGGCGCTGGCCGAGCGCGCGCAGTTACGCTGTGAGCGTGCGCGTGTGGCGAACACGCACTCTCACAACACCGAGGACGAGCGCGAGCCGCTGTTGGAATCGCCCCATTAGCGTCTTCGGCTCTGCATTCACTGCTTTACTATTTTTACTTTTCTTGTAAGACAGCGCGGCAAAGGCGAATGAAAGAAGAATAATCTAAAACCAAAGTTTTTCCACTGCTTTTGTTCGATAGCGATAGCGATGCACCGTTTCTTTCCTTCGCTCTCTGCATTTTTATTAGTTGCTTACATCTTAGCACATCTTTTCCTGTAAACCGCTCTCTGTTTCCTGTTGTTGTCGTCACCTTCTATATACACCTCTTCTCTTTGCCTATGCGCTTAGCGTACAACTCATGAACTACTTCTTGGGACCGTGGTAGCGGTGCAGGTCTGCCCTCTCTCGCAACGTGTTACCGTGCAGGAGTCCCGGGCGCTGATGAAAACGCAGTGATGCTTCTCCACAGCGACGTAAAGGGAAGCTGTTCTCTTGCTGCTGTGTCTTCGGTGGCGAGGAGCCGACCCCTCCTCCAGAAGGAAGGACCCATCCTTGATAATCGGCTTCCGGCGCGTTTACAACCATCACCTTTCCATTTTCCTTTTCTCCGTTTTCGTTCGCTGTTCGCAACAATGTTTTCTTTTTACCCGACATCAAGTTTTATGAAAGACTCGCTCTGCGTTTCAGCTTTAAAAGGCATAACACGAAACACCTACATTTACACTCCTCGCAACAACGATGGCCAAGGGAAAGCGTTCCGCTGATGCCAAGGGCAGCCAGAAGCGCCAGAAGAAGGTGCTCCGCGACAACATCCGCGGCATCACCCGCGGCTCCATCCGCCGTATGGCCCGCCGTGGTGGCGTGAAGCGCATCTCGAGTGAGATCTACGAGGAGGTGCGCCGCGTGCTGAAGGCCTACGTCGAGGACGTGGTGCGCTCCAGCACCGCGTACACCGAGTATGCGCGCAAGAAGACGGTGACGGCGTCGGACGTCGTGAACGCGCTGCGCAAGCGCGGCCACATCCTGTACGGCTACGCGTAAACGGAGCCTGTCGTCAAGCGTGGCACGCACCCTGCTGCCTCGCACATCCCCTATAGATTCTTCTTTTTTTTTAATGGTTCTACTGCCATCCTGCACTCCTACCCCGAGGAGAGACGATAGAGAGAGAAACACGCGAAGCGCAATGCATGTTAAGCCGATGTGCTGTGGGGGCGAGTGTGCGGATAATATACCAATGTCAATCGGAAGCGTGAAGGGAAAAGACACCGCCTTTTTCTTTGCGTAGGACGCGTTGGGTACAACAACAATAATGCGGTCGCCTCTTGCCTGAAGCACTGTCCTACTCCACTGAAGGTGTAACATCGCTGTCCCTCTCCCCCCTGTTTTCTTCGTGTCGTCTTGTCCGTCTGCATCTTCTACCCTTGCTTTTCTTTGCAACTTTTTTTTCCTTGAAAACACAACGATCTCTACTTCTCTCTTCTTCTCTTTGTCTATGGTGATTCAAACAAGAATAGCAAAGGTTCGCAGCGGCAACTGCGAAAGCACGCAGACATAACGGACGGATAAACACATACATAATCTTTTTTTTCTCCCTTCACTTATCATGCTCGAACTCGCGAAAAACCTTGAAGTCGGCAAAACCTTACAGCACGCGAACGGTACGCCGCCAAAGCTGTTTCCACCGCCACCACCGACGGAACCTGACGATGACGCGGTAACAATCACCGGCACCGTCCTCGGTGCACGCGTTGACAGTGACGATCTGTTCAACAGGCCACCTCCCCTTCCCACTCCCCCTCCGGGACGTCCAGTACCCCATCGCGGCTACGTGATCGCGTCGCTGGCGCTCACCGCCGTTGCGGGTGTCCTCTCCCTGGGATCCATCATCATTGCCGCCGTTGTGATAGACCGCGAGATCAAAGCAGATCCGGTGGAAGACGAATGGCTTATGAGTGGGATTATTGCGATATTCTTCATCGTCACTATTGTGGAGAGTGGCCTCTGTTTCATTGCCATGATGGCGTGCTTTGGTCTTCTCCTCCACAAACAACAGCATCGCGTGCTCATTCGCAACCCTTCCAACGGCGCCTTCGTCTGTCTCTGCGTTTCCGTCTTTTTCCTTTTCCTCCTCTGTGTTTACACCATCGTAATGTATGTTATCTGTGAAATATGGGACCCGGAGAATGTGCCGTCTGTCGGCCTGTGCGCCATACCTTGCGTACGAGCAGTTGCCCTGCTGTCTTTCTTCGCCGTGCTGGTCGCCAATTCGAAGCTACGACCACGTGATCCTCTGATGTAGATATGTGCCGCGCTCCCCTTTTTTGCGCTTTTTTTTTCTCTTGCGATTATAAAAAGAAGAAATAGAATATACCCGCTGTTGAAAGTTTTTCTTTCTCGGTTTCACATTTTAATCTCCTCAACAACAACGCGCGTGTCTGTTTTCCTTATAATTTTCTCTCTTCCGTTACTATTCCCTTTCATGCCCTTATAAGATAATCAGTAAAGTGCACTGTGTGTCTCTCCCCCCTCTGTGGCGTCCAACATAGCAGTTCATGCCCTCAGTTCTGCGCTGCTGTATGGTATGCTGTGCTTCCACATCGTATAAGTGCAGACATTCCCCCAAAAAACTCTTCTCTTTTGTTCACCATGCAAACGCGTTAACACTACAGCGATGTCAGCGTTCGTGTAGTTGAGCAGTCTTATCGTATCGTCATGTTGGTAGGAACGCAAAAAAAAAAGCTTTGATTTCTAAAGCAGATGGTCCTCTGTTTTTCAGCTTTGCACGCTTGCATTGATTTCTAAAATGATCTGAACTTGACTTCGAGAGGAAACAAAACGCCCATAAAGTCTTAGGGTATATATAATACACCGGCAAAAGGTCACATTTCAAGCTCTCACAAGTTCGAAGGCAACGCAGCACAATCACATCGCAAGTAAATAGTGTCCTGCGGTGACTTTTCGTCTGCACTGTGAACGCATGTAAGCGTCAGAGGTCGGTGCTGCTGAACTACTGGTGACGTCACCTCTCTCGTCATTCTACTTTCTGCAATGTTGTCTCCCCACTCTTCTCCCCTCCAATCTTGGTCTCTTTTCGTCTTGCCCTACGTGCATGTCGCCCTTACAGCAAACTGCCTGCACGAGCGCTTCGAACCCACAGATGAGCCGTGGCCATTCACCTACAACGGCTGCTTAGCACAAGTGGCTCGGTGCTACAACGGTAGCGCTGTCCTTTCCTTGTCGCGTTAGCAGGCAGCGGATCAGCGCCATAAGATCATCGAGCAACTCTGCTCTCCTGGTACTTCGATTTATTATCCTTCCAGTTGCTGAGAGATGCCTAAAGAGGAAAAGGGTGGTGCCACAAAAGGGGATGGTAGATGAAAGGAAAAGCTGGCTCCTGCGCATCGAAGTGCTTTGCTTCTGAAAAAGGTGGAAACCAAACAGAAGTGGCTCGAACATGCCAAGTGCAGCGTCTCAGTTGTATCACAGCTCCTTCCCTTTTATATTTCTTGGTAGTGGGTTGTCACTGCCGCACTCTCAGCACTGCTTTGCATCCTCTGAAGAACAGGACAAGAAGAAGAGGGCGGAGTACGAGCATTCTCTGGCCAGCACGTGAGTGGATTCAAGGAGACCCAGGGGCCTTTTTTGCCGTCTTTATGATCCGCTTTGCAAAACGCAACGCTTGATTGGCTGACAGAAGAACGGTCTGTTGTAACGTTGCCAGTCCTCTTCCCTGTAGCAATAGAGAATGTCGGAACGGTTGATCTTCCGAGACTTGAAATCTTAAGAAGCGAAATAAACATCTGAAGTGAGGCACTTGATACGGAGAGAGAAGGAGATGACGATAATTGATGGCAGGCATTTGTGATCAAAGAGGAGGGAAGCGGAAGAAATACAAGACGCACGAGACCACACAAGAGAAGAACAGCTACATATAACTGTAAAAGGAAAGAAGATGCGATTGAAAAACGGAGTGGAAAGAGGGAGAAGAAATTGAGATAAAGGCGCGAAAACAAGAGAAAGTAAAGCAGACACGACAATGACTCTGATTGCTGAGAACGCCAAGTGGCTCCCGCTGAGCAGGTGCACCGTCAAGGCGTCCTCTATCTTTCAAGCATTGTCGTGGAGCATTGCGTCGCTGGAGCGCTGACGAACCACCGCATCTCGCGCAAGAACTCCTTCTGCGAGGAAATTGCACCGGCGCCGTGGAAGAGGCAGAGGGCGTGGCCGTGGTGGTGTGTGGCGGGCTCTTCGGGTGCCGGACGCGGCGCTGTCTACCGCCGCGGCACCACTCCACCGTGGCGAGGGGCCAAAGAACGTGCGGCAGCTGCCCACCAAGAAGAAGCAACTGCAGCAGCAACGGTGGCTTCCTGCTGAACGGCGGAGTGTTGCAACGCCGCGTGCTCAACAGTCGGCACACCGCGCCAGCTCGGACGTGATGAGCCCTCCACTTTCTCGGCGACCGCACGGCAACAGGCAGAGGAGACGAGCAGGAGCGAAGAAGGGGTACGAAAGGGAGCTGACTCTTGCCGGGAGTTTCTTGAGGGACAGGCGGCCGCCACCACGATAGCGGAGGAGAACAGCACACCAGTGAAAAAGAGAGGCATGTCACGACGAGAGCTGCGACAGTTGCGGCGATGTCTGTGCCAGATGTGGTGGTGGTCGACTCGAGGGCCTGGCCACGCCGAACATAACACGGCCCTCTGCACGGCATGAGAGCCGGACACTTTACTGAGCCAACCGGCAGGCGAGCAACGTGTACAGGGAGTAATGGTCCATCTGTGGGCTGTCACCTTGCTGGAGACGTGTGACGATGGCGATTCCCACGGCTTAGGGGTAGCCGCTCTGGGAGTGCTGGGAGTGCGGCCCAAACTGGGGAATCTGCCGCTGTGCACCGTGCGGGGGACGCTGACACTGCTCCGTCTGGTGCGTGTGTGTGGCCTGACGGTGAGTGGCTGCGTGTGGTGTATGACTGGACGGGTGTGCTGTGGGGTGAGCGTGCTATAGAGGGCTCTCTGCTGCTGAGTGTGTGGGGCTGTAAGAGACGGAGGGAGCAACATAGCGTATGCACATGGTGGCGCGGCGTGCACAGCCTGCCGTCTTGTGCTGTCAGCGTTGGTGCTGCTGCGGTGGTGTAAGTAAGGGTAGCGGTAAGGGTAATGGTAAGGGTTGTATTACCGAGGCCGAAGGCCGAGGTCATCGAATGGAACAACCCTGTATGTGTGTTGAGTTCCCTGCTGATTGCGGTGAACACGTATGGTCATGATGGTATGTGGATGGCCGGTGGCTGGCTGGGCGTATTCGTGCATGCTCTCTCTCGCTGTTTGTCACTAGTCCCTCTCCTTCTCTCCCTCCCCTCTCTCTCTCTCTGCTGTTCGCTGCTGTCGTACAACTGCACACGTACGAAGCAGCTACGCTTCGGTTTGCTGAGACCCGCGTTTGTATTTTCAGAGCCCGCCCGCCCGCCCTGTATGTTTGCTGCTTTCGCGGTGGTGGATTTGCCGCGCAGCTACCTTGTTGCCCCCGACTGCGCGTACGATGTGCGCGAGCGTGGCGAACTTTACTGTGAGCGCACCGGAGCACGGAGGTGATAGCGGTAGCAGGAGAGGGAGAGAGCAGTTTGTGTGGTGTGGTGGATGAGGTTGGTTCTCTTGTTTGTTTCCTTTTTATCGGCATCGGTGGCACACGAGCTTCGTTTTCGGTCTTTCGGTTTCACTTTCCTCCTCTCTCTTTTTATTGTTTTCGCTCCTGTACCTCATTTCATTTCGCGTCTCTCTATAAGTCTCAGTAGATATAGCTCTATTACAGTTCTTCCGTTCACGCCTCTGAATGCTTTGTCCCTGGGCGGGCCCTGGACCCTGCCGGTCCTCTGGGCAGGGTATCGCGCCGTGGGCGTTGTCTCACTTTATTCTGTCTTCCTTAACCCCCTGCTCGGGGACGGGGTGGTGACCGGCACGATCGGTGCACCATCGGCCGTTATCGTCTGAGTGATCTCCGTTGTGCGTCGTGTACCTGGTGGTACTTTCCGTTGTTTTTGCTGTACTGTTTTTTTTTCTATTTTCAGTCTTCTCTTTCTCTTCTCACTTCCGAGTCGGCGCCTGCGACATGGCTCGAGTGTTCTGTTTCCTGTTTTCCTGTCTTGGGCGTGTGTGCATGTGTGAGCGCAGCTGTTGGGCTTTCCGCCGCGTCGCACCACGCCATCCACCCAGTAACGTGTTCCCTGTTTTTCTTGTTTTCTCTGTGTGCCCCGTTCCGTGTGTGTCTGTTTTCTCCTTTGTTTCTCTCTCTCCCTGCACGTCCGTTTGGCGTGCATTCACCCAGTGTTTCCTCCCGGTGCCTCCGGCTCGGGTGGCTCCTTGCTGCAGTGTGCGTGTGTGGCGCGGCTGGGGGTCCTCCGGGCCGGGGGCCAGCCATAAGAAAAGAGCACCAAGCTAGTCATCCTGACGTGATGTGCCTCACGTGACTGGTCGCGGTGGGGTGGCCTGCTGCAACGCATGTTGTTGCAGGCGGCGAGTGTAGTTGCGTGCCTTCATTGCCGCTTAGCCGACATGCCCTCGGCTCCGTACGTGTCCCCTGGTTCACCACTTCTCACCTGACCACCTCCACCTCACTCACTCACTTCCACAGCGACACCTCTCACACAGGACGGTGGCATTTGTCACGGAAACTCTTTGCATCAAACTAATGGTGCTGCTACAGAAAAATAACATTAGGCAGACACCGTTTTCTTTGCTCGTGGTAATGGAAACTATTTTGGCCGATCCCTCTACTCCATGCTAAGAAAAGGAAAAAGGAAAACAGACGTTATATGGAGTTACGTGTCAGGACACGGTCCATACCAGACAACGCATCGGTCCACCGGAAGCATGCTTACTTAGGGTGCATGTCGGCGACCTGGTCTGTTGGCCGTGGTCCGTCCCCGTGCGCACCGATTATGGGGAATAGATGGTGGTGGTAATGAACACAGCAGGAAAACTACCACGCACTCACCGTTGGAGTACAGGTGAAAGGTGTGCAGACACTGCTGGACGGACGTGGAGGAGATCGCCTATGTATAAACTGGTTAATTAGCATAATAGTAGTAAAAATGACAGGAGAGATGCTACCGCCTGGGACCCACCAATGGCCCTCCGTGCTGACTGGGAAACAACGTCAGCAGGAGGGTAGCCTGAAGCTCACAAACAAGGAAAAATACCAAAAAATGCACGAAATGCGGCCCACCGCAGCAGAGCGGTTTTACCTGCCTTCCCGAGTTGGTCCCGCTGCGCGCCTGCAAAGCGTGTTCTTTTCGACGGGTGGGTCGGGCGGGACGAAAAAAACGCTTGGACGGACCCTAAGGCTCTAGGCTTTACGGTTTTCGCCGTAGGTAAGGAGTGCAGGGAATCAGTCGAGGAAAGTGGGTAATTGGTTCGAATCCTGGGAAACTAGTTCCTGTTTGGGCACACGACCCCATGTAGAGGCGTTTTGCAGGAAAACGTGTGGTGTGTAAAAACAGCGTTTTCTGCTCCCGACTTTCACAAGACCAAAGTCTACAGTCCTTTTATAGGGGCATCTCGAAGAGAGTACCCCTATACTAGTACTATGTTGGCTGACACGTGTTGATCTCGTGGCTTGCGCCACTCGATATCCCTCTCCCTCCCCTAACCCTAACCCTATCCCCAACTCCCTACCTACACCACCGCAGCAGCACCAACGCTGACAGCACAAGACGGCCGGTTGCGCACGCCGCGCCACCATGTACATACGCTATGTTGCTCCCTCCGTCTCTTACAGCCCCGCACACGCAGCAGCAGAGAGCCCTCTATAGCACGCTCACCCCACAGCACACCCGTCCAGCCATACATTACCTTGCTGGAGACGTGTGACGATGGCGATTCCCACGGCTTAGGGGTAGCCGCTCTGGGAGTGCTGGGAGTGCGGCCCAAACTGGGGAATCTGCCGCTGTGCACCGTGCGGGGGACGCTGACACTGCTCCGTCTGGTGCGTGTGTGTGGCCTGACGGTGAGTGGCTGCGTGTTGCCGCCCACAGATGGACCATTACCCCCCTGTACACGTTGCTCGCGTGCCTGCTCGCTCAGTAAAGTGTCCGGCTCTCATGCCGTGCAGAGGGCCGTGTTGTGTTCGGCGTGGCCAGGCCCTCGAGTCGACCACCACCACATCTGGCACAGACATCGCCGCAACTGTCGCAGCCCTCGTCGTACCATGCCTCTCTTTCGCGCTGGTGCTCTGTTCTCCTCCGCTATCGTGGTGGCGGCCGCCTGTCTCTCAACAAACCCCCGGCAATAGTCAACTCCCTTTCGTACCCCTTCTTTGCTCCTGCTCGTCTCCTCTGCCTGTTGCCGTGCGAGAGTTGAGGAAGCGGTGGGCTCATCACGTCGGAGCTGGCGCGGTGTGCCGACTGTTGAGCACGCGGCGTTGCAACACTCCGCCGGTCAGCAGGAGGCCGCCGTTGCTGCTGCAGTTGCTTCTTCTTGGTGGGCAGCTGCCGCACGTTCTTTGGCCCCTCGCCACGGTGGAGTGGTGCCGCCGCGGTAGACAGCGTCGCGTGCTGCACCCGAAGAACCCGCCACACACCACCACGGCCACGCCCTCTGCCTCTTCCACGGCGCCGGTGCAATCTCCTCGCAGAAGGGGTTCTTGCGCGAGATGCGGTGGTTCGTCAGCGCCTTCCGCATCTTCTCGAGGGAATAGTGCTGCAGCGGTTTGTGCTGCTTCGCGATGGCGTCTCGTGAAGGGACACCGTCCACACCGATGGCGCTGCAGCAACGACTGCCGCCTCCACATGACCGCAAACTGTATGGGGAAGGTTTTGAACGTTCTTACGGTCGTCCGCCACGACTTGCCTGGGTGTCTGCGCCTCCTGCTGTTAGCCCCGGCCACACGGGGGCAAAAACAGAGCCCAGCTGCTCCTCCACCACTGGCAATGGCGCCGAGCCGTACGTGGTCAGCACCACCGCAGGCACCCTGTGGTTGCTTTCGGGCTGTTCTGTCAGCACGCCGGCGACGCAATGCTGCATGACGAAGAATAAAAACATCAAAAACTTCACGAATCTTTCCGGTTTCATTTTCTTTCAGTTTAAGAAGAAATGTTCAGCTCTCTGTCGTTGTCTTCTTGTCATGTATTGTTTTGTTCTGATTGTTTCACCGTTGACACCTCTGCTTTGCTTCGTCGTCTTTCTCCAGAACGTTTCACGCACACCTCCCTTTTCTATTCTTCTTCTCCCCTTCCTCTCATCATGGTGCTGTTTACAGTTACTTCATCCCGTTAGATTTGGAATCACCGCCTACATTTTAAAGAAGGTGTCCGCAAGTCACCATCCCACGCCAATACCGTTTTGAGACAAAGCGCGCTAGCTAGACTGCGGAGACACATCGAGCTCTCTCAGTTACAGGCAGTTGTCAAGGCCATCGGGACCGTCTTGTTCACATCAGCTTACGCTGAGGACCTGAAAGCGTGGCGCACCAGCAAGGGCCAGAGAGGTCACGCAACTCTGTGTTGCCAGAATCATAGAGAAGAGGGAGCAGCGGATGGCTCGCTGGATCTGCAAGTAATCCCGGTCCACAGTTGTTGATAATCAGACAACGCAAGCGCTGCGACCCAGACATAACAGACACCTCATCCAGTTGCAGGCAACCGCACTCCGCAAGTTCGCTGACCGACAGCTTTGCTGCCGCACATACGACTCGTTTCACACCAGTAGTAACGTATGCAGCATCAAGCTCCTTGAACTGAATGGATAGTTCTCTCAAGTTGGGAAACGCTGCCTGAGCACAAGGGAAGGTCTCGCAGCTTCTATTGCACGGGAGGCGTGTTTTCTTCACCGCTGGCCGCACTGCGGAGCTTGCGCACCATCGACGGCGGCAGCCAAACGTGCAGCGCTTCAGCTCGCTCTCTCAAACTGTCGGAGAGGGGCGTCAGCACATCGAGCCGCAGCGGCAATCTGAATTGTTCCGCCAGCGCCAAGGCGTTCTCCAGCAGCGATGACGTTCCAACACCACTCACCGACTCACCTTGAAACACAAGGTACATTCTTATTTCCGCAACAAGACAACTCGTTCTGCACCTTCGGTGGCCGTATCACCCGCGTGAGGTCGTTCTCCTGCAGACGCGACAGTCCTACGTGAGCGCCATCATCCTTAGGCGTATCGGGAAGTGTAGTGTGGAGGCCCGCCACGAGGCCTGGGAAATCTGTGGGGTGACTTTTCCATTCTTCAGGCGGGCTCGCGTACGGAAAGCGGTGGGTCGACAAGGAAGGAAGGAATTTGGTTTTAAGTCGTACTAACGATAAGAGCAAGAAGTAAAGGAGAAAAGTGCTATCACCCGCTAACCTCCGCCTCGCTCGGCGTGCTCATCAAACGGACGCTTCAAGCAGCACCGTTCGACTCACAAGAAAAAGCACCAGTAACTCACGAGAGGGGTGTCGAGACCCTCTTGCGCTTTCAGCTCGTGCACAGTACGACCGCCACTGCGGCTGTACCGATGCGGATTTCAGAAAAGGACACGTTCACTACTCCAAAATGCCGTTGACGCGCAGGAACGCCTTCATGTTCGCTCTGCGTCTTGCAACCTTCTCGTACGCGACGTTGGCGTCCATCGAGCTGCCCACTGACAGCACGCACGCACGCAGGTGGTCGCCGTTCTGTCGCGTCAGACCGCCGTTCTCCAGGAACCACTCGAAGCCATCGCAGTCCAGTACGCGGGCCCACTGGTAAGAAGAGTAATCAGCAGAGTACGCTCACTGGAAGATGTGCAGGAAGTGACCGCTGTGGTAGCGCGGGGGGACGGCAGGGAGGTCCACCGCGTAACTCCGCAGCGCAGCCTGCTCCTTCTCCTCCACGCTGTGAAACTCCTTCGCATCGGAGACGGTGTGCTAGTGCATGTCGATAATGGACGCCTTTGTCACTTCAAGGTGACGAAAGCCCGCACCGTACGTCTCAGCAGCGCGCACGCGGCCCACAGGTGCCTGCGTAATGGGCTCCCTCGTCTCGCAGTGGATCGCATAGTCGCGCAGCACCTCGTCGTACATCGCCCAGTGCTCGTTGACCTGCTTCAGTTCCCCCTTGCCAGCGTCGTCCAGACCAGCACCCGCTTTGCGAATCTGCTCTTCGTAGTACACCACGAGGCGCAGGTCCTCGCCGGCCAGCCCACCACGGTCGTCGTACACAGCTTTAGTGCGGTGATAGAGAGAAGAGTCGAGGTAGATCTTGACTGTGTAAGCGGAAAACTCAGCGGCATGAGTCTCCTCCAGGTGCTGCATCTCGGGGTTGGTGTGTGAGGCGCAGATGTTATGGAAAGCGAGGCGGGGACGCACCAGCAACGTGCCCGTCTTCTCTGTACAAAAGCGGGGGCGTCGTGCTCTACCTTGAGCTTATCGAAGGCAGGGTATTAGGACTATAGCGTGCCCCGCACCAACAGAGGATTGGGGAACATCTTTCCGTGGAAATGTGGGTTTAAACGACTGGAAAGGGGAGATAGAAAGGAGGAAAACCTCAGCGTTTAACTGGTAGGAAAACCCTGTTCAATAGCTATGCGAGCGAGGTGCGGTGTAGATACACGAAAGAGCGAACTTGATAGTGGTGAAGAGTGGCGTGTATCACTATTGAAGTCTACAGCACTGCACACGAGAGTTAGTGGCGATGGAGAGGGAAAAATATATGTGAGGACGGAAGACAAACGGAGGTGGAAACTGCAGGGGGTGAGGCGCAACCACGATGCCTAGCTGTACACCTTCTAACAAGTGTACGTCACATTACTGGCCGTATCTAACTGAGAGGCTTTGTACACGTTGCAGCGGCGTTTTTTAGTTAGAACGATATGGCATTTGACTCTGCAGCCGCTTGCTGTGGCTCTCATTTGAGCAGCTCGTTCTGCTTCGGAACTACTACACTTCTTTCTCTGTATGACCTGTTGGCAGAGGGCCGTTTTCTTTTTTCAAGTTCTACGTTCTACGTTGTACGCTACAGCCGTTTGAGGCGCTTGGTCACGGTTTCAATGAAAAGACTGTCCATCGTATCCGCCACCGCCTCCTCGCTCATCTCACGCATCATCAGCGCACGTGCCCGCTGCCCCACACGCCGCGCGTGCTCCGGGTGTTGCAGCACATACCGCATCAGCTCCGCCGTCTTCTCGCGGCTTGGCAAAGCCATCTTCACCCCTTCCTCGTACAAATACGGCATATTGGGTGTGATCTCCTCCAGCCCGTCCAGCGGGATGCGGAAGCACGTGTCCGGTGTGATGAAGCCGCGCAGCCCACTCCACTCCGTGAGCAGCACCGGCAGCCCCATCGACATCGCCTCCGCCGCCGGCAGCCCCCAGCCCTCCGCCTTTGACGGGAACACGAAGGCGTCCGCACTCGCGTACAGCTGTGTCAGTTTCACGCCGCTCATCGGAGGGCATAGCACCACAACATGAGGGAAGTCCTCGACCCCCCGCATGCCGTGCAGATTGCCCATCATTCCCCACGACGCAAGAAAACGCATGAAATTGGAGCACGTCACACCCTGCGTAAAGTACGGCTTAAACCGCACTTTGATCACCAGCGTCGTGCGGCCGCGCAGCTCCGATGGGGCGTGCGGGCCAAAGGCGTCCCAGTACGCACCGAGCAGCACATCCCACCCCTTCCGAGCCTCCCACTTGAAGTTCGAGAAGAACACGTAGCGCCGCAGCCGCTCCTTCGGCGTCAGATCTGGCAGGCTGTCGAAACTGGCCGTGTCGCCTGGAGGGATTGTGATGGGCTTACGCTCGTAGTTTGCCGGGTCGAAGTCGTACACGTCCACCGCCTCCGGCACGACGCGTACCTTCGCCGGATCGATGCCGTTGCGGCGGTAGATCGGGGCGAAGAAGTCCGCCGTGGCCCAAACTTGGTCCCGCGACTCCCGCAGCGGTTGGACCCAGTTGGGTGGGATGTTGGAAAACTCGCTGAGGCTGCGAGCGATCTTCACGCTCACCACACTGCTGTGTTTGATGAAGTGCACGGTCCTATGAGAGATGGGACGCATATGCAGAAAGAGCACGCGTGCCCGCCGTTTCAACTCCTCATGCCAGTACGAATCGTCAGCTTGCGGGTCCACAGCCACCGACAACACACGGTTGTAGTGGCGTGTGCGGTAGGCCGCGTCCAGCAGAGCATCGCCGGGTTTGTGGCACACCCGCGTTGCGTAAAGGGTGCGAATCGCGTACCTCTCCATCAAGGGCCGGGTTTAGCCCATCGCCTCTCGACTGAGGCCACAGCAGGGAGCGATAAAGTCGGTCTCATAGGAGATTACGGCCGGGAAATGCGAAGGGACCGCGGTGCTGTTCCACATTCGCAGCTGCGTCTGGCGGGTGCGCCACGGCTGCCCCACGCGGCGTCGCTGGAGCCCCGCGAGCAGCGGATGCATTCGCCTTCCGTACGCGTCGCGGAGAGAGAAAAGGGCAGAGAAGAGGCTCTGGACTATCGGGCTGCTGCGCCCCGCCGTAAGGTCGTCCCGCAGCACCGCCACGCCGCGGCTGCTCCACACCTGCCAGTCCGGGTACACCTCCTGCATCCGCAGCGACAGCGCCCACCCCCCGCGGTCCGGCGCAGCCAGCACGTGATCGGGAAGCGTACTCGAGGGGTGCTGCGCGCCGCTTACGGAGAGGGCGCCTGCGAGGCCGCCGACGGCGTTGTAGAGGCTGCGGCTGAAGATACCGCAGTTCAGCGACACCGCGTCCACCACCTCCTCCCACGAGGCGCGTTGATCCGTGGCGAGGTACCCACTGAACCGCCGCGCCAGAAAAGGCACCAGCATCGCCGCGTCGTAGGTGCTGCCCACAATGGCTGCCTTCTCCAGCACCTGCAGGCGTTGCAGGTCGTGCGGCGACAGCTCCGCTCGTACCAGACCGGGCGGAAAGAGGGAAGGCGAGCCGGGCTGCTCCGCCGTTGCCAGGATGGTGCACTGCGCCGCCGCCACACGACCGCCGTTGCGCGTCGTCGCCGTCCGCAGCAGCGCATCCAACAGCCCCGTCCCCGCGCGCCGCGCCTCCGACGCATCGTCCGGCTCCGTGTACGCCATCCTCGACGCGCTCAAGAAGGACGGCAGCACCACAAAGTGCGTCCCCGCACCCCCGCCGCGCGTCCGCAGACCGGCGTCCACCAGCACCTCCAGCGTCTCCGCCGGCTCCTTGCCGTAAATCGCACCGCCGTCTTCCACCGCGTGCGCCACCACTGTCACCGCCTCCGCCAGGCACCGCGCACCGCTGCCGTCGCTCGTGTTCGCCAGTCGCAGGGCCGAGCGCACCGACGCAGCACTCACTTCCCACGTCCGCCACCGCGCACCGGACGTCAGCGACCCGCCCGCCTCGGCCGCCGCCACCGCCGACCCCGCCGTCGTCGAGCCCTTCGCCAACACGCCACGCACCGCACTCCGCACCGCAGTGGCCGACACGCGACTCACGACGACGGCGTGCGCCACCACCGGCACCGCCGCCCCGTCGTCCGCGCGGTAGCACAGCGCCGCCTCCGACAGCAGCAGCGGCTGCAGCAGCTCACGCAGCAACTCCACTCCTGTGCTGCTGCTCAGCGGGTAGCCGACGAGCGGCATAATGAGCGCGATGGGGTTGGCCTTCCCGGGCTCCAGCTGCACGGGGTGCACCGGCACGATGGGCGCAGCATCGTCCGTGTCCTTCAGGGGCAGTCGCTCCATCTTTCCGTCTGAAACCGTGACGGTGCATCGACTCGAGTTATAAAGGATGCACATCATAAGTAACGCACCAACTACGATGGAGACAAGCTTCGCATAGTATCCGCGTCTACTTGCGGATAATCTGTTGGGCGCAGCGGGTGTGCGTTTGAGCGAGGGCATCGTCACCCGCGCTGAATGGTCACGATGAAGGCGCTGAAACGGTCCGGATTGTGGGGACGGCACCGCCACCGCCTCGTCATTGCTGACACCCAAAAGTTCACTGTTGTTCTTTCGCATGGTGCCTGCAGGAACGGTTTTAGAAACAGTAGTACCATGCGCACGCTTCAGCGCCAAAGAGACAAGACGGTTCAGAACCAAAGCCCTGGCTGACTGTTTTGGTGAGGCTGGCGCAAAGAATGCGTTGCTCAACGAAAGGCCAGAAGTCTTCGAATCTGCACAAAAATATGTTCCTTTTTTTTTAATGTTTTGAAAATGAGAACCACAACAATTGAGTGGTTGCGTTTTAATACTTTCTTAGGTGTTACGAGATACGCAGTTACAGCTGGGTGGTGTCGGAGTTCAACGCTCTGTCCACAGCACCCGGGTTTTTGATTCTTAAGTGTAAAGAAGCCGAGAACACGTGCTTTAATGCACACAGAAAGAAAAATGGAGCAAATGAAAACGAAGCCTGAAAATACAAAAATGAGATATCGAAGGTATTAATATATTTTAGTTCACGTCATGACTATCAAAAACTCTCGTAGTGCACGCGGAACTGACGCCGTCCCGTTAGAGAGCGAATGTGTGCTGTGGTGGTGTGAAGAAGAAGGAGAGAGTAGTGGAGGTGGAAGGAACGACGTGCCTTGGTGTCTCATGCGAGTTCGCACAGAGGCGGTGTGGGGGAGTTCCGTTAAAGCTGTTCATTTGGTGAAAGATGGAAGCAAGGCACGGAGAGGATACTACGAGCACCGGCAGATGCAGACACCCCTTACATTTCTACGAAGCTTGCAGAGAAGCAGAAACGTGCCGGTGCGCTCTTTGCTCAGAAGCGGACGTTGGTAAGCACGCAAAGCTCCCGCTCATCGGGTTCTAATCAACAGCTACACCCGCTTTGTGCTCTCTTCGCGGCAGTCCGTAAAACCCCAATCACACAGGGTGACCCTCTTCGTTCTTTCGTCTCTTCGATTTATATGACCGAGCAAAACACACAGTAATACACTGTGCTCAGCTTCACCGTCATCGCAAAGCGGAATCGCGTCTTTTGAAGATGCCGTTCTCCATACGTGCCCGCTACGGCGATGATGAAGGCGGCGGTGCGCGATGGAAACAAGAAAAGAGAGCCCCCGGTACTGCCGGGGCGGCTCGAAGACACAAAGGACTCTTTGTTTCATCTGTGCCATTCCTGTCAAAACACGGAGGATATTACCCGTACTCCCCACAAAGCTGTCTCTTCCATTACATGGCACAAAGGCTGTGGCCAAGCAGGGTTGCGCTCAACATCACCACGGCGTAATCGCACATCAATATCAGCGGTTTATCTTACGGTTTTCATAACCCGTAGACACGCGCTTTCGTGAGCCGTATCGAACATGTGGCCTGCTGCAAGTCTCTCCAGCCTATGCACGACCCAGACCTGTCCGCCGCACCAATGAGCGCGCAACCGGACCCGAGGACAGGCTGCGGGCTCTTGGCTTCCCCCTTTGGTGGTTACTGGACCCTGACACCACGGTGAAGTGGCCGGCATCATCAGGGCTCAGGTGAAAGCTGGTGATTCAAAACACACTCGACTGGAGGTCCGACACCTCGCGCTGTTCGCACCCCACGTGAACCCCAAAGATTAGCCAGAGGGCGTCCGCGGGGTTGTGAATCTCGTCAATGTTCAAAGAAAAAGAGTTACTCGCCCTCTCGCAATGCATCCGGCGGCTTTGGGCTGGATGTATGCTGAAGGGCGCGTCGTGCAACCTGCCGCTCTGCCTGTTCCAGGGAACTCTGCATTGTCCATGGGCACCTCCCTGCATGCCACCCATCGTTGCTGCATCATCTCCGTAACGCCCTCTTTCCACCGCAGAATGGCTGCCTCATCCTAAGCGCGGCGCATCACTCTAAAGGCTACGATCGTAGGCGCGCTATCCTTTCGCGGCGTCGTCACGCGAGGTGGCACACCCCATCTATCGGTAGGAAAAACTCTTAGACCGAGCGCCTCGAAGACAAGTTAGTTTTGTGTGCCCGAATGCGTAGCTGACGCTCATCTACGAGGGCTCATCATTCGAGCTGAGAATAAAGAAAAGAGAAGCTAGGAAGGAGGTCAGACAGGAGTGGATGAAGGTGAAAAACACTTCTTTTCCGTTCTCACCGCGCTTCGTGAAGTGACGAGGTAGCAGAAGTCGCCAAGCCACGCCTCTTTGGACAGGTAAACACTGTCAAGTGCGCTGCTTTGGATCGAAACACAACGCCATCACACGCACCGTCAATTCCTTCGCGGGAAAAGAGGATGCGGCCTATTCGTGCTTTCCGCAGAACGTCAGAGTTACTCACAGAGAGTCACCTCGTTCCTTTACCACTCCGTCATTAGCGAGCAATTTTTAAGATGTCTTCCTTTACTGAACCTTCGCGTGATAAGAGAAAAAGAAGAATGCCGCAGCTGCAACGCATCGAGGTGGTGAAACAGAGAAGAGAAAGGAACTCCCATGACGAGTGCGTTGACAGCTGCACAGGTAAGAGGCGCTCGCTTTCACGGGATGCGTCATCGCTGCTACACAAAATAAAAAGAGTCACGCTCAGCTTCGATTATTTCAACCTGCCCGCGTGACGTTGGCGCACAGCAGGCTACAACGATTGTTGCACACACACACACACACACGTCCATCTCCCCACGATTTGTGCCTTTGCTGATGAACTGTTAACCACACTTGATGGAGTACAAACGTCAACGATAGAACGACTACCAGAAAAAAAAAGGTGCTTTAAAGAGAAGCGACACCGACGCCGTCATTTGCTAACAAGGGTGTGAGAAAACCAGAGAAATGAGAATCAAAAAGAAGAACAAGGGAATACCATCCACACAAAGCTGCGATTCAACTACACTTTTATATAATTACTACGCCGAGTCGTGTTTCACATGACGTTGCATGACCCACAACGCGATTCGATGCAATTCGACTCGCGCGGTGCCTCTGCGTCGCTCACAGACGTAACGCTGCTAATGACAGGAGTAATGAACGCCACCTTCTTGGTGGCCGCGCGGGGTGGGTTTGCGGAGGCTGCGATGGGCACCTCAGTGAGGGGGTGGTCCTCCTCCTTTGCCGGCCCTCCAGGCGGTAGAGCGACCGGCGTGGGGGCAGCGCCAACTGTGGCGTTCTGCAACGCGTACGCATTCAACGCCGCTACTCCGTTTAGCGCCTCCGCCGCCGCCGCTACCGTAGTGGGAGGCTGCGGTGCATCTTTGGCCGTGACGGGTGCAGCCTCCTCAGCGGGAGCCGTCGTGGCTGTCACCTCCACAGGTTCGGCAATCACCTCCGTGGCTGCGTCCACAGCTGCGTTTGTCGTGCCTACGGGGTCCTCCGGAACTGCAGCTGGCGGTGTGTCTGCGACCTTCGCCGGCTCCGTGTTTTTCAGCGTGGAGGCGCCTCCCTCATCCGCCTCGATGTCGGCCTCCTCGGGCGGGGGCGTGGAGGTGTTGCTGTCCCCGCCCTTCTTGTTTTGCTTTCTCCGCCTGCCCATCACGGGGAGTATCGATGCAAATTTCGGGTCGGTAGAGTGAAGAAATGAAGAAACTTGTGTCGCACGAAAGCGTTGTATAACGTGCCAGGAATGAGCAGGCGTTCGCGTGCGGTGTTGGAGAGGAGAGAGAGGTAGGAAGAAAAAGGTAGAGATGTTTTCGTAACACACTCACGGCACGCGGAAACACATCAGGAGTTGCACCACCTATATGAACTAGTGTTTTCGCGGTAGAAGGAAGAAGTGGAGGAAGAGCGGGAAATCGATGCTCAGTACAACCCATCTCAGCAAGGGGTGCTGACAGGCCACGAACTGCCTCTGTTGACGCAGTGAGAAACCGACGCACTGAGAGCCGATTCGACCAGTGAAAGGAGAACAATAGAATTGAACAACAATTTGAGAAATCCGTTTTGTGTTGAAGCACACGAGTAACATGCTGGAAGAAGAAAAAAAGGAGAAGAAAGGAGAGAAACAATTAAGACGCGCCGAAACACCAACGTCGAAGTTCAGATAGCCTTTTTTCTTCCCTTGGGGTCCGTCGCTGCTGCTGCTGCGCTGATGAGAAGATGCGATGACTATTGAAGCATTCGGAAAGCGTTTAGCCCACCTTTCCAAACAGCTTCGAAGGGAATGACGTTCAAGTAGATCATCGCAGCAAGGTTGAGCAGCAGCAGAAGACACAGCAGCAGATCCAGCCGCTCTGCTTTCGCCTTCTCCATGGCGAACTCGTCTAAAACAGTCTGGTCATCGGCAGTGAGTGCTTTTTTCTTGGAGGTGCCCGCAGGGCGTCTGGGGCGCTGGTAGCGATGCTTGTAATCGAGAAAGCGCGGGTTCACGTATATGCAGTACGCCGCAGCGACAATGAGAACATTGACGGCGACGTAGTTCAGCAGCAACACCATCGGCACCTGCATGAGTCGCTCCGGCAGCTGGTACACATCAGCCGAAAAACGAACCAAGAAAAAATTGATGAGCACTGTCGATGCGACGCTCATCCAGTCTGTCGGATTGGTGAAGGCGAGCGCAAGCAGCGTGTTCAGCACACAGAAAATGCCCACGAGGTACCAGTCCACCACCTGATCAGAGAGCGGGAAGCTCACAAACAGGAGAAAGATGAAGATGCTCGGCAGAAAGCGGGTCGGGCTTCGCTTTTGGTGCTCCTCGTTCATTTTCTCAGAGATGACATCACGATACTCTTGCTCCAGCTGCTGCTTTTTGCGTTCCTCTTCCTTGCGCTTTAGGTTACCTTCGCGGATACGCTTGGCGATCTCCGCACTCGAGACGGCGGCCATTTTGAAAGGGAGGGGGCGAACGTCAATGAGGTACGCTTTTATCTGTCAGGGAGAACGTGTACTTGTGCGCGCACACGGCGACGCTCTTACCGGAATGCCGAATGTGATGGTCGTGGGCGGCTTTATCTGAGGACGGAGAGGCGAAAACAAAGAAAGCCGGGGAAGCGAACACAAGACAAGCGAAACGCACCTTAATTACTCGGTGTTGATGTGTTTCCTATCCCTACGGATATCGTGACAGTTGTAAGGAAATCGTATTTGTGGGAGGGTGAGACAGAGAAGAAGTGGGAAAAAACAAGTCAAGGAGCACACGGCCATCTTCGGAGAGTGGATGCCGTTGAAATAGAACGTGCATGACGTACAGTGCTTCTCGGAAATGCGGGCAATGGGATGGAACTCTTCTGGATGCCGTTCCCGTGACTACGTTCAAACCTTGTCAAATGCCGAAACGCTTCATTCCACTTTTGTTCTAATTATCTTCGCATCTCTCTTCTTAGGTGTTCAACTGAGTCGCAACTATCCGAAAAAGACCCTCGCGCACATCCCCTGGGATGGCAGCGCGAACTACGGGCAGCACTTCTGCTACAATATCTCCGGCGTCAACGGACTCACCCGACTCGGCGCGTCGCGCCAACGTTTCCTTGATCAAGAGACGCATGTGTGACGTCCACTGAGGCCCGTTGCTGTCCTCTGTGAGTTGATTGCGCAGGTATGCAGACAACTCCGCCTTCTGCGCGTTTGTCATGGCCTCGTAGGCCACATGACCGCTGCTGGCGGCACTATTCATGCCTATATGTCTGCGTGTGTGTATCTACTCGTGGTTGCGATGGGTGTCGTGTACAGAGAGGAACAGGCGTAGGAGAGGGTAAAAATTGAAAAACAAAAATGGTGCACAAGAGAAAACGACGACCAGCGGAGAGGACAGAAACACACAGAAAGTAACCGAAGGCCGTCTGTTGCTGTCCGCAGCATCAAGAGATTTCCGTTCTCCAGTGAACCAACTCCGCAACGGCGCATACTGGGAGCATATTTTCTCTCATACCAGCAGTTGTAAGGGAACTCAATTGCCGACGAATCCTCCGTGTTTGTCACCTTCGCAGTGCTCACGGAAACACTTTGCCACGGTGGAATGAGAATAGGAAACGAAGGGAGCTTTCGTTTGGTGGTGTTGTTGACAGTAGCACTTGCCTTAAAATAATTAAGGAGAAATTCCACCTCGCGATCCATCACGGCTCTTAAACACTTTTTCTTTTCTTTGCATTTTTTTTTTTTTGATGTGCCGCCGTGCGCCTCCCCCGCCCCATTACTGCAGTAGAAAGGAGCCCTTTTGCTGCGAGGCGAACACGGCACCGGAGGAGACTTGCATAATGGCGTCCTTTGCCACCGTGGAGACGAGGGGGAGGCTGTTGAGGGCCTTCATGCCCACCGAGGATAGACCAGGGACACCGTAGGTCAGCTTCTTGATCATCTCCATCCCAAGGATCATTGGGGCGGTATGGCTGAGCATGTGGCCCGCAAACACCTGGCCCACCGCGACGCTGCTGCCGATGTCCTGCCCGCTCCGTATCGCCTGCTCCAGCACCGAGGTAAGGGCGCAGATGTCGTAAATGCCGAGGTTGAGACCCTGGCCGGCGAAGGGGTGAATGCTGTGCGCCGCGTCGCCCAGCAAAATCGCACGCGGCGCGTACGGCGTGGTGGCCACGTTCAGCTTCAGCGGAAAGAAGCCCTGCGCGCGTTTGGTGCTGCCATCGGCGGTGGTTTTCTGCGGCACCTCCAAAATCTTCGGAATGTCGTTCGGCGCGAAGGCGCAGAGGCGTTGGTTGAGCTCCGCCACGAGCTCCTCGTGCGTGCAGGCCATGAGCTCCCGTGCGTGCTGCGGGGTGGTGCTGAACACGATGTTCGCCGTCTCCTCCGACGTGGGCAGCATGCCAATAATCTTGCCGTCGCGGAAGAAGTTCTGGAAACTGCACACGTTGCCGTCATCCACCTTCTCCACGCGGACGTCACACACAAACGCCGTCTGTGCGTAGTCGTGCTGGAGGGAGGGCGTCGAGAGCACGTCGCGGAGGGGGCTGCCGCGGCCTTCGCACCCCAGAATCAGCCCGAATTCCGTGTCCGCCTTCGCATCACCCGAGACGAGCTTCGCGGTGCCCCACGGGCCGTCCATGTTGCCTTGGCTGGGCAGCTTCACATCCTCAAGGCGGTGGTTGAAGCAGAGGGTGTCGTGAAACCCCTCCGTCTCCGCCGCGGCCTTCTGCTGGGCCTCGACAACGTCGATCATGCAGCTGTTCAGCTCCGTATTGAAGCAAATGAAGCCGACAGGTTTGCGCAGGTCGGTGAACTCGAGCAGCGGCTCCGCCGACGTCGCGTTGCCCAGCAAACTCGTCATGAAGAAGGCAGACGAGCGCGCACCACTGCCAAGAGTCGGGCTGTTGACCTGCTCGTGCCGCACCGCCATGCGGTAGTATGGATGCTTCGTGGTGAGTCGGTCCCAGGCGCCGAGGTTGTCGAGGATCTTGCTGGACACCGGCGTGATGCTCACCGTGCGCAGCGTGTGCATCATGTTCGCTGCGTCGTAGGCCGGCCGTGCGGAGGAGTCCACCAACATCAAACGGGCCAGCTGAGAGGAGAGGATGGTGCCGGTAGCGCTGCGATCACTACTCGTGAAGTTCATCTTGCTGCCTTCGGCGTGCAGGCGACTGCGCAGCTGTTGCAGCGACGCTATCATTGCCCCGCCAACGAGTCCGCCACCCGAGACGATGACTTCGTGCGCATTTGCAGACGCCGCCGGCGATGCCGCTCGTGTGGAGAGGCTACGACGCAACATGGAGGAGGGAGAAGAAGGAGGAGGTCGATAAATGTTTCCTCGACAGTAGAGCACAGCAAATACGCACGCCTCAAGAAAGAGATGATAGGGCCGTCTTTTCGTGTGTGTGCATATGCGAACAAAAAAAAATGCAGCGCTCGGCGAAGTACGAAAGAATCAAAAAGAGAAATGACGACGGTAAAGATGCGACGGATGACTGCGCGTCGAGTAGGAGAGTGTGACAGAGGAGAAGGAAGACAGGAGAGTGACAGCTGGTTGCAGACCGCGCTCTGGCATTGCAGTAGGGGGTGAACATCTTCTGATTTGGTTGTAGGTTTCCTCATTATTATTATTTGATGGCGTGGCGAGAAATGAAGAGACAGCAAGGTAACGCAGGAGCGTGCTTTGGATTCATATAGTTTTCCTTCCTTACCGTTCAACTACCGTCAACGTTCACATATGCGTGCATGGACGGACCACCGTACTCGGGCCGCGGGTGCAGCAGTGCTTTGTCCCCTGGCTTGAACGTCCAATGAACGCCGCAGTCACTCGGCTGCCCTTCCAGCCGCTGCACGTTTTGGCTGACCGGCTCTGCTCGGTAGTAGGCACAGGGAATGTTGGTCGGTGGCTGGTAGTACGGGGGAGAAATGATGTCGATGAACAGCGCAGGCCGCACCGCCTCTGTGTTGCGTATCTCGTGGAAGACGCTGCCGTCGCCCTCACCGAATGTAATGAGCTGGGGCGGTGGAATCGCCTCCCCCACACCATCGACGTCGCCGTCAAAGACAACGGTGGCCTGCGTCGCCTCTGCCGTTTTTATCTCCAAAGGCGAAGCATCGCTGACAAAGGTGCAGATGTGCAGGCGGCCGTGCATGACGCGCTGCCACACCGTCATGCCGGGGTGGTCGTGCAGCGGCAGCACTCGGCCCGGGGGGATAACAAACCAGCACAGGGTGACCTGCTCATCCTGGAACAGCGTCGAGCAGCCGAGGGGGTCGGCGGGGGAAGACATCCACGCATGCGGAACGAAACGCGAGGTCGCGCTGTTGTAGCGGCACTGGAGGAGCGCATTCTTTAGCCAAAATGCCTTGTCATCCAGTGGGTAGGTGTTGTCTTGCGTGTAGCGGACGACATCGGTGTCTTTCACGTAAACGCCAAGATCCTTCAACGCAAGCTTGCTGAAGAGCTCCACGTGCTCGGTGGAGGTCTTTGAGAACTGCTGGAGACTGCGGAGTAGACTCCTCATAGTGCCGCCTAACGTCGCCGGAGCCGTCGTGTCGCTTAATGGTGAAAGATAGCCGAAAGAGATGAAGTCAACGAGAGGTGGTGATGATATCAATGAAGAAGAGAGTAATTCAGCAGAAGCGGTAGTGAACGGACGCTCCTGAGGCGTACCATGACGAAAGCACGACGAAACCATATACACCCATAACAGTGCTGAGTGATAGTGACAGAAGATCGAATGAACATTCCACGTCTTCCTTCGTGCCATCACAAATAGATCGAAAGAAAAGGCGCCGTCGAGAGCGCCGCATCGCCTTCGCTCGCCGCATTAGTTGATAGGAAGTGCAGAGCAACAGATATGGGTCGTACGGACAGAGAGGAAAAGCACATAAACAAAGAAACGAATGTTCATGAGACACACAAACAAAATGAGAGGAAGAAGAATAACAAAGACCCGTTCCAGAAACTTTTGAAAAAAAAAACCTGACGGATGAAAGCAGCGAAAGTGCGACGGCCACGCAGAGAAAAAGGTGGAGAAGGGAAAAGGAAAAAGAACATCGGACAGCCACAACGCAGAAGCTGGTTCGACCCTTTTCCGGCGTACCGCAAAAAGTAGAGATGGAGAACGAGAAAAAAACTTCAAAGTGAATGGAGCCAAGGAGCACAGTAAAATAGAATGCAGAAAGGATTCTCACACTACCATAAAAGAAATAAAAGATGGTCACTAATACGCTTTAACATATACAGCCACATCAATGAGGATGGCAGTTTTCTCTGTCGCTGCAGTTAATATGCAGCAAAGAACGGACGCAAAGAATTCGGTGAGGCCGCGTATAGCCTGCCGCTCGACGTGCTCCAGAAACGCGGCGACGCGACGACGAAGTTGTGCTCCGCATTCAACTTCTCCAGCTTGCGGCGGAAGTGCATCTCTCGCAGTTCTATTTTACTCCGAGCCATCAGCTCCGCTGCCATCAAGTTGTCCTGCGCCGTAAGCTCTGCGTGAAAGATGCAGACGAGTGGATACAAAAGTTCAACCTCGTCTCCGTTGTTCGGTGTAGCAGCGGGGGTACTGCGAGGTGAGCGAGAGTGCGCACGCTCCAACAGCGCCATCTCCAAGGCGGAGTAGCGGCGTCTGCTACTCGTCGCGCGTGACGGTGAGGCCGAAGTTGTAGGCGATGCCGCGCTGCTGGGCATGTCGTTTCGCTTGTCCACCTCGAAGAGGAAATCCGGGCGCGGCCGTCGCCGCCGCCGTGACGAGTTTGCAGGGGAGAGGCGGTACAACGGTGTTGTAGGGGATGACACAGCGTGCCTGGCAGCAGACGACGGTGAAAGGATCGGCAGGACCTCGTGCACAGAATCGGGTGAGTGCCACGTGCAATCGGGAGGCTTCGCAGACGGCGTTTTGCTGCTGCCACGAAGCGCACGCGCCGTCGCTGCAAGGCCCGGCTGCGGCGGCACCGGCACCGGCGGAGGACGCTGTGCCGGGGCCGAGAACACTTGTTGCCGCCTTTGTCGACTCACCGTGCGCGATGGCTGCCGGGCCACGACGGTGACGGACGTGTCGGGGGGCCGAACCTGCAGTGCCCGCCGCACCCCGGACGCGTTCCGAGAGCTGGGCTCGCTGTTTATCAGCGCACCACGCGCACGATGTTCCTCCGCGTCGAGAACGGCCTGACGGGCCACGACACGCGGCGTGTTGGCGGCATCGTTGTAAGAGCCGCTTAAACTCTCCTCTCTGCAGATCTGCCCCGCTGTTGTCTTGCGACTCGACGAGGGCGTTTGCTTCAGCGACGGCAGTTGCGGTGTGTTCACGAGAAGGTGCATCGTCTGCGGCGAAGTGGAAGAGGCGGATTCTGCGGAAGCGAACGTCGGCGGCGACACTTTGTCCTTTTCTTGCGTCCCTTTTTTCTTGGTTTTGAGGCGTCGCTGGCGGTGGCGTGCTGCGGCGTGCTGCGGGTGCACAACACCGTTGTTCACCGCTTCTTCCAGTGCGCGCTGCCGCAGCTCGGCAGACAGCGCCAGCGCATCGCACCCGCGCTCGCCCGCCGCGACGTTGAAGGGGTTCTCGCCGGCCTGCTCTGCGAGGGAAAAGACGCCAATCGTCTGCGCACGCGACAGTTGGCACGACCGCAGAAAGCCGAGCCAGCGCTCATCCGCCTGGGAGGTTGTCTTGCGTTCTCTGCGAAGCTCCGTGGCCGACGCAGACGCGGACGCCGGCGAGCCTAATTGGCGATCAAACAGGCGAAGTTGCTCACGAAGGCAGGCAGCTATGTGGTCGTCGAGAGGGCCGCCTTCACCTGTTCCGTCGGCCGGAGGAGCTAAATCCAAGAAGGTGACGACCGGAAGTTCCTCGCTTTGGGCGGTGACGGCGCCGGCAGCGCCGACACGCACTGCCACCCACATGTGATACGGGACGTGGGGAGAGTGACGGTGTGCTAGCTCCCTCACAGCGTGCTCGCACTGCGTTAAACAGGCGTGGACGTCGTCGGCGCAGCGAAGGACGCATGTGATACCGCCGTTGATATTGGGCTCTGTAGTTACGTCGCGCAGCGTGCTGAGGTCCACGGCGGTGCCGTCAACGTAGAGCAGACCCCCGCACACCGTCGCAACCCGCCTCTGCACGACTACTGTCTCAAGCAACCACCGGGCAAGAAAACTATCGTACACGGCGGCAGTCGCGGTGGCCTCGTGCGCCATCGGCGTTATCAGAGACGCGGACTGCGGCGACTTCCCCGATCGGTTGGAGTTAAGCGACGTGGAGGGAGTGATGAGGAGCGACGACATTCCAGCAGACTCTGCTGAGGACGCCGTGCGGGTTGAGGAGTCTTTGGGAGGTCCACACAATGGAAAACGGCGCTTGTGAAAGAACACAACGTCGCACTGCAGAGAGGGACGTGGACCGTAGCGGAAGCACACCACGCTCCTCTTGGAGGCACAAAGCAGCTCTGTGAGGGCCGCCTGTCGGTGTATCTCCTGCGCTACAAAAGAAGCCGACACCTGCGTGCGGGCATATTGCGACGGCCCGCGACTGGTCCACACGCCATCGTCGAAAAGGGCGATGTTGTCAGATGCGGAGCTGTGCTGCGCAGCGATGGAAGGCGTGCAAGGCACGACGGTCAGGAACAGCCTCATCTCCGCCGATCTGCAGCTGCCAGGAGAGCACCGTTTCTACTGTTTAAAAGAATAGAGGACGCTTTTAAGAAGTTGCAGGCAGCAAAAGGAGTGGAGAGAGACACTACTGCATTTGTTTGTTTTCGCTTTTTCCCTGAGAGGTACGAAAGTGCCAAGCGACGAGGAAAGATCGATCGGCGTCACGGCTCGAAGAAGAACCAGCAGAGATGCTTCTTTTCACGGATCGGCCTTCTGTTGTGGCTCGGCCGCAACGCCGCGGCAAACGCCACGGGTCGAATGGCGCCTCCCTCCGCGCCATCAGAGAGGCGGAGTGCGCATGCTGGTGCATGACAATGACCGGTTTTGAAGAGTAGTGTATTGCGGCCTCGGAGTGCTCGCAACAACAGAGAGAAGAGAGCTGTACGATACATGCTAGACTATTGCCATCAAAGAATAAAAAGAGCTATAGAAAGAAGTAGGTGTGCTTTACCAAACTTGCTGGAGTGCGATGATTGCGTTGATCCACTCAGCAGCACTCGACACGGTGACGACACGCAACGTGCAATTGACCATGTAGTGCACACAACTTATATGTTTATAAACAAGATAGAAGCAAGAAATCTACATCGACAGTAATTTCCACGGCTGTCTTTCGCTCTAGTCCCCGCTAGGCGTTTTGGATGTGGACTGGGGGATCCGCTTTACAGGGCGTGCGGCGAGGCGTGCGGTGTGCCCCATCGCCTCCTCCGCGTCCAGCAGCGAGGTGCCGCTAATGAAATTGCTGGGGCTGCGGGTGGTATGGCGGTACACCCCAGAGCACATGAGGGACGACTCCAGCGACGGCGCACCGGGGCTCCCCCGCAGCCGCACGCTCTCCCCAAACCCGTACAGCTTCGGTACGTTCAACTTGCACCGCTGACGCCACAGAACCGACCCGTTGAGCGAGGCAGACAGGACCTGATGCCCGCTCTGGCGAATGGTACGCCGTTCACGCGCCACACGAGCGTTTTCGCGAAGAGAGGCGCTGAAGCTCAACAACGCACGCGTCCGATCGGACGATTTCCGCGTGGCCGGCTCGTAGGTGGGCACGAGGGGCGCGGCGTTGCTCGACGACGCTGCTGCCGCCGCCACGACCTCCCGCCAGTGCTCGAGCTCCTCCATTACGCACCAGAAGTCCGCGACCGCGCCGTCTGCGGAAGCGGCAAATGTGTGTCGGGTGACGGAGCTGCCAAGATGGCTCGTAAACGACGGTGGGGCACACACCAACCAATGAAACAGCGGCTGCTCCCCCTTGCACAACTCTAGAAAATGAGTACGTAGAAGACCACCCAGTTCCCGCGTGAGGCAACACGAGTCGAAGAACCACTTCACGCCAGGCTCCTCTAGCACAGCTGTTGCTTCCTGCGGAGACCGTGTGCCGGCCGCAGCTAGGGTGAGTTCATCCAGCAGCATCTCCAGCGCCGCCTCCGCGTACACGCCGTCTTTGCTATCGCCATCCGGTGCATTGCGCAGCCACACGATGCACGTCTTTTGATCCGTTTTCTGAAGAGAGGATGGTGCCGAACGTGGAGGCGACTGAGGTAGAAGTGGCCGACGCATCCCCCACGTCACCTCCACTACGAGAAGTGAACTGCCGTGGCACTCCTCGACCTGCCGTAACGTGTTCTGGAGACGCAAGATGACGTCGTCAACGGCGGCGCTGCTGTCCACCGTCCTGATCCTGCCGGGCCTTTCGCCGGACGGTTTATCAGCGTCAGCGGCGGCAAAAACATCCACGCAAAATGCCTCGCTATCAACGCCCTCGTAGGCGGAGAGCACGCGACCTCGCACGCTGGTTACCGCGGCGTCGCGTGTGCGCTCCTGCGTGCCGTGTTGCAGCATCTCGCGCAAAAACAGCCAGAAGGCGCCGTCGGCCACGTTGCGTCCGCACAGGTCCTGGAAAATGCATAACGGTGCCGTGGTGGCCGCCTTGAAGCACTGATGGGGCAGCATTGGTGCTTCGTACACCTGCTGACACGACGTCAGAATCGCCCCGCCTTCATTGCGCTCCGCGGAAGGCTCGGTGGCGGACGCCAGATGCGCTCGCTCTGCGTACAAGACGGTTTGACCTTCCGCTACCTCCCTGGAGGCCGATGGCACAAGACGCATGCGGTGCAGCGCGCATTCTCGTCCCTCGGTCCGTGCGATGACATTCCGGATAGCACCAACGACGCGAGGTAGAGCCAGCTGTGGTGCGTCGTACGGCTCCTGTGCTTCAGCGGCTAAAAAGTACAGTCGACCTGCGCCAGCCTGCTCCGATTGGTTGACTGGTGCGCTGGCATCTGCGCTTAAAGAAGGCAGCAGCAGCGAGTACGTGAGAAGCGGCGCTTCATACGAAACGGAGGCGGATGACATCAGTGCATGTATTTAACTAAGTGTATGCGTGTGTGGCGACGGATCGGCTTGTTTCAGCAAACGAGCAAAAGAAAAAGAATGCGAAAGTTCGTCAGCGAAGAGAAAAGAGAGAAGAGCAGCGGCAGCACGAAGATTGAGACGGCGGCAACGAGTTGGGGAAATCGATTTTCTTTAAAGGGACACGAACTGGCCCTTGAGTAATCGCTGCCCGATGTGGCAGCTTGATTCGCTGCATCCAACAAACAATTTCTGCAGTAAAGCCTCCAGCAATTCACAACGTATTGCCCGGAATACTCGCACGAGAACTCTTCGGGAAGAAAAGTTCACACATGAATTCCAAAGGAGGAGCGTAGCAGTGAAGTATACGGCCATTGGTTTGGCTTTTTGGGGGGGAGGGGGGGGGAAGATGATGAAGCACAGGGCAATACACAGAAACAAAAAAACCTGGGAGAGGGGGGAAACAACGAGGTGAGTCTCTTCAAACCTGCTCGACTCGCTTCGCAGCTAAAACGGGCTAAACAGTGATTGCTGGCGAAGCAGGCTCCACTGCACTCTATGATTCTGCCGCTCTATCACGGTCGCGGACAGCGACTTGGGAGCCGAAAAGCTTGAAGAATCCACGCTGAAGCTTCGCACTGACGCGTCCTCCTCCACATCATTCCTTTCATTCGACCGGGAGCGTGAATCGCTGCGGCTGGCGTTGAAAGAGAGACGACATGCCGCTGCGGACGAGGCGACCCGTACGCGCTTCAACGATGTTGCGTACTCTGCGTCGCGATTCCTCTTCCGCGAGCCCGACAGGGCAGCAGGACTCCCCGTACTGTGGGCGGCTGAGGGCGACGTTTGGGCGGAGCTGAGGCCGTCCTCCACGTCATCGTACGCCCAGCAGTGACGCAGCGGTGTTGTTGCGTACGGTGGTGCGACGGACGCACCGAAGGTATTCCCCAAACTGCAACTCGGCGCCGTACTAGCGATGCTCACGCGCTGCAGCTCTCCGTTTGCGTCTTTGCGAAGAAGGTAGGTGGGCATCGGCTGCCGTGTCGCCTCGATGTCATTCCCATCTTCCATCGAAAGCAGTGAGAGAGCGAACTGCTCTCCCCGGGATAGAGTAAAAACCTCCGTCCTCGTAGGCTTCGGCACCGCAAAAGGGAGCGGACTGCGAACCCCACAAGGCAGTTCGTGCGCTGCTGCACCGTTACTGACATGCACTGTCGGCTTCGTTGAGGCGGAAAGCGAGCCGTTGCGACGGCTAACGTGCGGTGTGGCGCTCCGGTCGCTCAGTCTGCCATTAAAGTACGTCTCCGTTTCCTGGATCACACGCGCGTTCAAGTCAGCGTAGCGCACCCAAACAGTGGGGGCGAGGCCCTGGCCGAGAGGTCGGTAGGCGCCACCGAGGCGTCGCAGCTGCTGCATGCAGTTGTCTCTCTGCACTGCAGAGGCCGCTTTCTGATGCTGCCGGAGCAACTCCGCTGCGCACGCGGAGGCTCGCTTTGAGAACGCACGTGGCACAGGAGCGGCGGCCGTGGTGGGTGTCTGGCTGCGTAGCGGGACGAGGCCCAGACTGTCATCGCTGTCGCTGTCCGGCACGAGGATGCGCGGGCCAGCTGGACGGTCCGCGTCTGCTCCTTCCTTCACCGGAGCTGCAAAGCGCTGCGTGGTGGAGTCCTCCTCGTCGTATATGTTTGCAAACATTGACTTGAGTGAGGTGGATGTATGTCTTTAGGTGTATGCAATCTATGAAGATAACTGTATGATGAACGGGGATAGTGCAGGAAAGGATACGCTCCTTATTCGACGACCGTGCGTTACGAGAGCCGTGTGAATACACACGTAGAGTGTTGCTACTCGATACACACTAGCGCTTATGCGTATGCCTCTGACGACGAGAAAGCCAAAGGGAGAAAATGCGGAGAGCGAGAAACCAAAAAGGGAGTCGACATCGTTAGAAACAGCCAAGAACGCACTCTCAGGCCTCACCGCCGGCTGCGTTGTCGCTGACAGCCGTGCTGGGCTGAAGGACCACTCTTCCGCAACGAGAGTTGGGAAGTGCGTAGACACACGAGTCGTAGAGAAGAACGGGCCGGCTGCCACTTTCTTTTGGCTGCGCCGTCGATGATAGCGCTCGTTGCGCTCCGCTTCGCCATGCCCACCATTTGCAGCGCAACCCTGCGCAGTCCACGCGCTCGTGGATCCCTTCTACTATGCACATCGAACGCCGAACGACGGAGGGCCCTACCAGCAATCATAACCTTCATTTACCGTTCCGGATTAACACGACGTTGCGTGTTCATCAACTCCAAACAAAAACCTCATCGCCCAGGGCAAATGTAAGCGAATGAGGAAAAACGGAAGAAACAAGGAATCTACTAGACGTCCGAGAGACACGCAAAGAATTGTGACGTACTGAGAGCACAAAGAAGGAAAGAGAAATTCGCACGTTGATGCTCGGGTGCGAGCGACTGGAAAGCCCAATAGCACGAGTTATAGCAGCGAAGGGTCCGTTCGTCGACTTCACCACGGCGCACATATATATATATATATATATATGTTTTGCACACAAGATCAGCATTGCCGCTTGCTGGACATGGGACGGAGAAACAATTCTCCAACGGCGGATAAGGAGAGAAAAGAACAAGAAAACAACCTTAATACAAGAAATACCTACATGCGTGAGAAGGAGCAGAGAGTGAAGAGAGGTGGCACATCGAGTGGTAGTGATCACAGAACTACAAAAGGAAAAGAGAAGAGAAACGAAAGCATCGTCAGCTGACGATGCCCACTGGTTTGGCAGAATGCCACATCTTCACATGTAGCTGCACATATAAATATATATATAAGAAAGGGAGTCTCCTACAACTCAGAAACGACAGCAAACGCACAAGACGCAGACAAAAATATATTCATAACTCACCATTTAGTTACATCTCTTCGGCGTCCATTTCTTGAGCGAGTTCGTCCGCCAAGCGCAGTCGCCGCTGGCGCTCCTCATCGACGGCCGTATCCGCCTCCTCGCTTTCAAAACTCGACAGCTGTAAGAAAAGGTTCCTGCTCGCATTTGACGAGCGACGATCATTAGCGGGTTGCAGAACTCGGCCGTCATCACGGAAGTCACCGTATGGTGAGCCGCTGGTGGGTCCCAGCGCTGCGTACTCTAGCGGCTGCAGACGACCGCCGGCTGGTCGGGGCGGCAGCGGGCTCGAACTGTTCGATGCGCCGCCAGCGTGACTACCGTGGTAGTTGTACCGTGGTGCGGAGCGGGAGCGGTACGCGCTGGGATACTGCAGTGCCTTTGATGAAGCTCGAGAAGTCGGCGCCGGTCGACGCGCGCTCGAAGGCTGCTCGACGCGTCGGCTCTGATCGGTCGGCGAGTTCGCCGTGCTTGGGCCGTGGCTGGGCTGCCGGCTGTTGCTGCTGCGGCGCGAGCGGTTGGACCGGGGTGAAATGGCGGGGAGATGCACAACGGCGTGGATCGGGGCGTAGAGCGTGGCGACCACCACGTTGGCGCCGCGGGGGAGCTGCTGGGTAGCGCGGTACTCCTCCACGGCGCGTGAGGCCTCCACGTCATAGTCGTAGCCCTTGCTAGGGATGACAGACTCCGGATTTTCCTGGCGCATCTTTGCGCGCTTGACGTCATCCTCAATGCGGGCCATGATGTGGTGGCTCATGCAGGTGGTGTAGCGAAGAGGGTTGTTCATCTTGGCGTCGTTGGCGTAGTAGGTTTTCACCTCGGCGTCTTCCTCCGGTGCTGCACAGTTCACCACACGGCGCCGCTTGGGCTTGCCGGTGACGGAACTCATGACCGTTATATATCGGTCCGCGCTGTCGTCGTGCGAGTACGAGGCCATTGGGCCGATTGATTTCCTACGTACGTACAGTTTGGCGGTGAGGTAAGCGACTGCGAATGAAGCGCCGGGGCACTGGAGCGAGACGGTGCAGGCAAATCTACTAGGCGGCGGAGGCACAAATCGCAAGGAGCACAAGAGGCTCAAAGTCGCAAAAGGGGAAGAGAAAAGGAGAAGAGGAGTGTCTCCTTGTTGTCTCCGTTGTCGAAGAAGCGCAACACAGCTTTATCAGGCAGAAGACGAGCAACCGCACGAGGGATTCGCGGTCAAGTCAACGAAAGATCCACATCCGATAATGGAAAGGAAATGTCCAGAGCAAGAAGTGCAGAGAGAGAGAGACGGCGGAGGCAGACAACTCGCCACACGAGCGCAATAACTCTCCAGCGCTGCGGCGTCCCGCGTGTTCCACTGAACGTCCACAACACGCTTTCCATTCTTCTTCTTCGCTCTTGTTGGCGGCACCGCAGTAATTTCGCTGGAGCCGCTGCAAATGCGGAGACGGCACCAAACGAGTCGAGTGAGACGCGGCGCATAGAAAAGGGCCGCCATGCGATAGAACAGTGGAACTCAAAACAGGCGTGGATTGTCCTCTCATAAAACGAACTCAATAATAATAACCGATTGCGGCGACTCGCACCGCACCCGCAGCCGTAACGAGCGCACAGCGAGAGAAGAGAAACCCAACAGATGCCACACAGAAAGGAAACAGAGGCCTTACATATTCACATTGATGGGCACTCAGCAAAGTGCCTCCTTCACTCAGAAGAGAACTCACAGAACGTGCACGGGGCTCCGCTATAAACATCGCTACGAGAACTGGAAGACGAAACTGTCGATCAAGTAGGACTCGGAAGACCCATCGTACTCCACACCGTCTGGGTAGATGGGGGTGTAGAAGATCGAGGTGGGGAAGCCCTGCACGTTCATCTTCTCAATAATGTCAGGATACTTGTCACCGTCCACGTAGCCCGCCGTGAAGACGTCTCGCAACTCCTTTGACGACTGACTAATGGAGAGGCGGTCCCACAAGGTTCGCATGGTTTGGCACTGACGAGTCCACGTCACGCAGTACAGCACAAAGGTGTGCTTCATGGGACCGTGCACGTACTCCTCGAAGTTGTCGCTGTTCAGCTCCACGACGCGAGAGGCTTCCTTGTGGGCGACGATGGGTTGAGTAGCCACCAACGCCATCACCAGCGCCAGGGCACAGAGGACAAGAAGTCGAAGCGCTTGCATTGGAGAGAACGCAAAAGAGGGAGAGGAGCACAGATGTGGAGGAGAGAACCTGCGAGAACAGCAGTGAAAGCTGTCAGACGTGAGAAGTGCTAAAGAAGAAGAATACTGATAAGAGTGCTCCGGCAGTCGTATCTTGAGACGACGAATGCACAACGCCAGAGGCGCCCACCGTACAAAAAGAAGGTGAAGAGGCGAAATAAAGAGCCGAAACGCTCCGTAGAAAGCTGAGCGAGATGGGCCATCGAGGGAAGAGCGGGAAAAGACGCAAACAGGCTCACTTGAAAGACTGCCAGGCAAACCAACGATCCACGGCACCTCTCCTTTCGTTGATGGGCTGACATGAACTTGAGGCGCTCCTCCATCACATGTTTGTTGTGCCCATGTAAACGCGTCTGGAGGCGGCAAGACGTTGAGGCCACTCCGCGCGGATTCCCGCATGCTCACCTACTGCGCGCGCGCGAGAGAGAGAGAGAGATAATAGGCGAGGGAATTGAATTGCTGTTCAGCAACAGAGATGCCTTTTGAAAACCGTATGAATAGCAACAGGAGAAAAACACAAAAACCAACAACGGCGGAAGCGGGTAAGTTGACGTACACCAAGCAGAGTCCGTCATCGAGCTACACCGCCATCTACAAACTACAAAAACAGATCGACCACAAGTGGACACCATGTGCACCCGCATGGAAGTGCAGCTCAGCAGCGAGGCAGATTCGACGGAAGCTACAAACAGAAACAAAAAAAAGACGGTGAGACGATGCAACTACACAAACAGAAATAGAGAGAGAGAGAGAGAGAGAAGAAAGAAAAATCTCGATCCTTTTTCTCTTTGTGAATAACCGAGAAAGACGCATCGAGAGTTATTCGGTTTATACAGGAAGCACAGCAGACCGCAGGGCAGAAGTAAAAGAGATGGAGGAGCGTAACGCTGCAGGGCATTTAATGCTGGAGAAGGACAAGAAGCTGGAGAGAAACGTCCGTAGATATTAAGAAGCATCTCCATTGGGGCAGCGCCAATAGGCTCAGGCATCAGCCACACAATACTGCTGCAAAGTAAAGAAAAGAGGAGAAGAAATATTAATAATAAACACGTCGTACTGCTTCAACACCCACACACTCACGGCAAGAGAGAAGAGATGGGATCCAATAAAGGAGCGCGTCGTGCTTCGTCCGTCAGCTCTACACATACACACCACGCAAAACGAAAACCTCATCGAAACGGAAGAACACCAATAAGCAAGGATTCACGGGGAGAAGAAAAACAATAGACGATGGAGATGCGCGTTCATGTACTTTTCGAGTCATTTTCCCGACCGCTGTAGTTAAATCGGAAGTCGGCAAACATCACACCGCGCGGGTCCACCTCCCGCACTCGCTGTCTCTTCGCTCTGCTGCAGCGGTGCGCTCAGCTCTCGAATCTCGGGGAAGTAGCGCGTGTCGAGGCGGTTCGACAAGTCCGGGATGTACGGCGCCCTCAGCGTGCGCAGGTTGTCCATGTCCATCGGGGCCAGGAACTCGTGGTGGAGGATCGCGTCGTACTCCATGCGCTCTTCCGGCTCACAAATGAGCCGCTTCATGAAGTCCACCGCGTCCGCAGGTATTTTGTCGTTGGGTGGGAAGTTGAGGTACTCCCGCCAGTTTTTGATCTTGTGGCAGGTGGAGTTGGGGTTCTGAGAGTAGAAGGGCGGAATGCCGTAGAGCATCTCGTACATGATGACGCCAACGGACCACCAGTCGCAGCCGACGCCGTACGGCTTGCGGAGGAGGATCTCCGGCGCGATGTAGCCCGGGCTGCCCACGATGGACTGAAACATCTCCCGACCGCGACCGTGAGCGATGCCGCCCACGCGGTCCTCCACGCCCTGCGCCGCACCGGCCGTGTCGTCGGGCCGAGACGCGTAGGCCGTCGTCTCGTCCTTTTGGACTGCCGGCGTGCTCCCACTCGTGGACGGCTGATCGTTGTAGTCCAGCAAGTTTCCCCGCTTTTCAACGAAGCGCTTCGACAGGCCGAAGTCGCTCAGCTTAATGTGGCCGTTTTCGCCAAAGAGGATGTTGTCCGGCTTGATGTCGCGGTGCACGAAGCCCATGTTATGCACGCTGGCCACGGCGGCGCACAGTTCCGCAATGTAGAAGCGCGTGCTCTCCAGGTCAAAGATACCCTTGTCGCAGAGCCACGAGATCATGTCCCCGCCCGGCATGTACTCCATCACCATGTACAGGTACAGCGCATCTTGAAAGCTGCGGTAGAGGTGGACCACCCACGGGTTCGTCGCGGCCGCCTCCGCCAGGACGTCCTTCTCCGAGCGGACGTGGACGACCTGCTTTTTCATGATCATGTCCGCCTTGCGCATCCGCTTCAGCGCGTAGAGGGCCTCCGTGGCGTCGTTGCGGTACTTGCACACGAACACCTCACCAAATGCGCCACGGCCGATGCACTTGAAGAGATGGAAGTCAGCAAACGTCGGCTCCTTCTGTCGCGGCCCAACGGCGACGCGGCCGTTGCGGTTATTCGCCAGCATGTTTTGATAGTGGTTTTCAAGGAAGGCCTTCGTCGCGTCTGCCTTGTGTCGGGCGTAGTCGTCGGACGTCTCGCCTCGACGGGCGTTGTTCAGGCTCGGCATCGTGACCGCTTCCTCGTTGCGCTGTCGAAGCTGCACAAACAAACGGCAGAGGTGTAAACACTGGAGGGAGGGGGGAGTTGTTGTGAAGGGAGGCGTTAGTCAACGGAGGAAAACCCTTGTGTTTCCGCTGCGTATGAGACGGAGGTACTTTTGGCTTTATAACCGAATCTCGGATGTGGGTGTTCCTGCGGATGCCACCTGAAAACCGAACTGCCGTTCGAAGTTCGTTTAGAAATTTTGGAAGAAGGGAGAGGTGGGCCCCGACGAACGAAGATGGCAGGAAGAGAGAAGAAAGAGGTGGCTGAGGGGAGAGCGGGGAAGCAGCATACAACGACTCTAGAAAGCGGGTGAAGCACGTCAGGTCAAGCGGAAACATACAGACAACAGCATATTCAGGCGAGAGAGAAAAAGGACAGTCCTGGTTCGAAAAACGCCGCGAGTAAACGATGAAGAGAAGGGGTCGTTCGCGATGAAGAAGGCGCGCTAACGCATTGCATTCCTAGGACTACGCGCTTCCCCTTTCCAACTCCGGAAAGACGCCAGTGAGGCAAGCGTCCTGAGGTCGACACAGACGACCACGGTTCCATTTTCGGGGAGGGTTCGCAATACACCGAAATTATAGTTGCTCCTTTCCATTGGTCTGCTCTATATGGAAGGAAGCGCACTTACACAACAAAGCGCGGAAACATAGAAACGAACAGCAAAACAGTCGAGGCCACGGCGTCGTGGCTCGTCCCCATACCTCTCAACTACACCAGCTCACAACAAACGGATTACAAGTTAATTAATCGAAAACACCACGCGCCATTATGCACTGACTTTTTTATTAGTAGTAGAATTGGTGTAGCCGCGCTACCGCTGCAGCTCTCTTGTCGTTGTGCATGTACTCCCCTTGCTCGTTTCATAAAGCCGTAAACAGAAAGGACATGCATCTCAGGCCTCCTCGCGGTGATGCCTCTGGGGATGTACGGAGTATTCCCCCAGTTATTCTCCTTTCCTTTCAAAGTCCGGCTACACGCCTTACTGCGCGCGCTCGCTGAGCCACCGGTAGTAGTCGTTGAGAATATAGTACCGCTGGTCGAAGCGGCGGATCACCATGCGCTGGTAGAACTCGCGGCGGTGCTCATCGCTGTAGATAACCGTGCCGTGCACCGTCAGCAGAAAGGAGTCGCCGCCCTCGTTGTCCGGCAGCGGCTGGGCGTCGACCATGTCAATCTGGTGGCTCGTCTTGGGGAGGGAGGCGAGGTAGGTGCGGACGTCATCGACGGTGGAGAGAGGGTGCCCGTTCCACTCGCACACCATCGGCACGTCGGGCGCGTAGAGGGAGGCCACGTTGGACCGCTCCTGCGGGTCGTCCAGCATCTTGTAGTAGCGGTTACGGAACTCTAGTCCCTTCTTCGCCACGTCGTTGAATGCGCCTTGCTCCATCGTGGTGGAAGCGAAAAGGGAGAGGAGGCGGTGGCGGGGTCGCTTGGGCGAATGAAGGAAGGATACTTGGCTCTGTGTGTGTGTGTATGCGCGGGTGGGATACCGCCGAACGAAGAGGGAGGAGAGGGAGAGGGTTTCAAGTACCAAAGACAAGCGGAGGAGAAGGATGCATCGGCTGATCCATACGCCAGCAACGTCAGTGCGTACGGCAGCACATTCGAGGGGAAAAAAGAAAATGCTCCTCGTTTCCATACGAACAGAGCCGCGAAGCACCAAACAAACCTTTCGGCCAGTTGGATCATCTCGTCTGCGCATTCTGCCTTCGTCCTCACGGAGCGCGGGTTCGAGTAGTGAAAGGATGCAGCGGAGTCCGGCACGTGATACGCCGTGCTATGTGATAACCCCACGGGCGTCAAGAACAGAAGGGATCGTTTTTTTGTGTCTAAATATAAAAGAAAGGCTGAGGCATCTCTCTATAGATCGCAGTGAAGAAAGAAAAACACTAAGTGAAATACGGCCGCATGCAATTCCTCACCTCACTTCCCAAACAACACGCTCGTGAAGGTGCGTAGGCGTGGATCGATGCTAACGCACCGCATGCGTTGACCACACCAACGACAGCTATCCCATTGTGGCTCGTAACCATTCTTCTTGAGAAGAGGACGTTAAGAGGAAATGCTGTGCTGGCAAACCTCTTCGCAATCTCCGTGGACGTAGAGGTCCGGCACCGGGAGGCCCTGCCGCTGCTGAAGCTCCCGCAGACACGCCACTGTCTCCGAGTGCAGCTCCGCGGCGTTGCTGCCGAATAGACGGTGGGCTCGCGCCAAGGTGCTGAGGACACACACCCGCTCCGGCAGACTGAGCCCGGCATCCTCGGCAATTGCGGTGCTGGACGGCGCCAGCAGCCCCTCCCTTCGCATCAACCCCAACCAGCTCCGAATCAACGCCTCCACGTCGTGCGCGGAGACGCACTTCTCCGCCAGCAGCAGCTCCAGATGCACCGCGAACTTATACAGAAGCACGAAGACGCGATGCCCACCGTGGTGTGGCTGCAGGCGCAGAAGGACCAGCTGCGCAGCTCGCCAGTCCCCGCTGCTCGAGTGCGCCGTTACCTGCAGTGCACAGGCCGCTTCCACTAAGCTTGGGAATCCAATGCGCAGGGCAGACCGCTCCGCTCGACGGGCGGCGGCCAAGGCGGCGTTGCACCGGCCGTTGTGCTGGTGTGCCTGCGCCTCCATCAGGTGTGCCGTGAGAACGCCGAAGCTGAAGGCGTATCGCGAGCTGACGGCGAGCAGAGCCTGCCGGGCTTCGCCGGGGATCGACACGAGACCGAGAAAGGCGGCCGTCTCCGCACGTCGGCGCTGCGCCAGGGCGTACAAGAGCAGATTGTCCGGCGGCCAGCACTGCGGCGTCGCTCCACTCGAGGCATCCACATCCGACAGCGTCGAATGCAGTGTGCTGCCGGGGTCCGCATTGCGCCCCTCCGCACCCGCCGCGTGGCCCAAACGCTTCGTCACAGCCGTGAAGAGAGCGTGCGCGGCCGAGACATAGCCGCCGTCCTGCAGCCGGCACGCCGCACAGTAACGCACGACGCAGGAGAAGAACACGTTGTGCGTGGCCGCCTCCACCGATGCCCCGCCGTAGTGAAGGCGAACGGCGTCGAGGGCGGTGCGTAGGCACTGCAGGGCGTGAGCCGACCCCGTGAGGCGGGTGGGGGTCTCGGTGACGAGGAGGTGCTCCTGCAGACTCAACGCGTGGTGCCCCGCGTGACGCAGCACCTCCCAGAAAAGGCTGCGGCTGCCTTGGGTCACGAACAAGGGAGAGGTCAAGGCAGCCTCCTTCCTCACCTGCTCTAATAAGCTTCTTAAAGAAGTCGCATCCACGACAGTGGGCGTTGACACAACACCGTAGAGGGCGCCGATCAGCAACAGCGTCTCGCGATGTAACGCGGCCACCACGTCCACCCACCGACCCTCCACCGGCGGGGTATGGAGCAGCGCTGCCTCCGCACGCAGAACGGCATGGCGGATCGACTGCGCCACGGTCTGCACCGACACAGCCACTCCACCGCTGTGGTTCCGGCCAGCGTCCTCCACGGAACCTTGTGCGCCGGACAGCGCAGTGCCACCGACGCCGTCCTCCTCGCTGAAAGCGGCACCGCCCAACCGCCCAGTGGAGAGCAGCGAGCGCAGCGCGGCGCTGACTGCTCCAGGGAAGAAGAGAAGCAACTCCGCCGCCCCTGCGAAGGCAACGCTGGCCATCTGCCCGTCTGGGTTCACCGCCCCTGCTGCAGCCGCGCTCCCGTCTAGACCTGGACTAAACCCCCCCGTCGCGCTGCCGTCCGCCGCGACGCTCTCCAGGCTGAGTTGCAGCGCGATGGAGATGCTGTTCGCCGCGTCCGTCGGTCTGCCCTGGTGCACCGCGACGACGTGGGCGGTGTAATGCGCCAAGGCCAAAATAGAATTCGAGTGTACCTCCTGCGCCACCTGCAGCGCCACTCGCACGCACTGCCGGGCCACGGCAAGCGATCCAAACGACAAGTAATACTGAGCGTAGAGCAGCATGCCGCTTGTGATGCTCGTCAGAATCGGCTGGGTGCCGCGGTTCGCCAGCTCCCCACGGGACATGCGAGCGGCGATTGAGGGCCCCTGCAAGAAGAGAAGCTTCGCCACGGCGTTGTCGGCCAGATGCGGCGCCCGCTGCATCAGCGCCACCTCCATCAGCAGTTTGTGAGTGTTGGCGTGGCCTTCGAAGACGCCCTCCAATGCGGCGTGCATCGCCTTCAAGTTGGTGGGCAGCCGCGAAAGAGCGGCCGTGTCTAACGTGGAGTCCTGCTGGCTACACCAATCGGCACAGGCTGCGGTCTGCTGCGTCCGATCACGGTAGCGACACAGCTCGCGCAGCCAACGCGTCGCGACGGTCGCTAAACGGGTCTGCCGAAGAAAGGAGGCGCTCGCCCACTCGTAGTTGACCCAGATGTGGAAGCTGCGCGTGGCGTTGCCGGCCTCCATGCTCAGTTCATCATCGAAAAGATCTTCTTGGAAGAGTTTCGCTAAGGTGGCGACGCGTACTGGGGAAAGGGACGAGGGAGACGCAGCCGCGATCGCAGCCCGCTCCGCCGCAGCCGCCGGCGTACCAGGGAGCTCGTTGTGCTCCGTCACGATGTAGACGAGGGCCTCCGCCACGCACCGTGCCAAGGCGGAGCCGCCCTTCTCATATGCGACGTTGATAAACTCCTCTAAAATGCGAAAACCCGCGCCGTGACGTCGCTGCGCATCCCACCCGTTGTCGTTGGCAAGTGCAGAGGACGCATCGGAAGGCTCTGACGAAGACCGCGCGTGGACACGTCCGCTGATGTTCGCTGACGCAGCCGCGGCGGTCTTTTCCGTTGTGGCGTGGCTTTCCTCGCATGAAGACGCCGCTGCGGCCAGCGAGTGGTGAAGTCGGTTAAATGCGCTGGTGAAGTTGACCTCTCGTGACCCGGCGCCGGATGCGTTAGGGGCAGAAGGTCGCGGTGGAACAAAGAAGGGCATCTGCTCCTTGCGCGGACTATCGGGGGCCTCCTCCTCCCCCTCCGCCGCGTCGGGCGGCGCACCCGCGTCGTCATCATTTGGCAACGCGTGAAGAAAACAGACTTTGTGCAGGTACCACCGATGCAGCTGCACTGTCGCCGGATCGGTGGGCGGGAGTTCGCCGCGCAGGTTGTGCAGCGCGGTGCCGCAAAAGAAGAGCGCGAGGTCCACGCAGCGCGGCACCACCACCGAGGAGGCGACGTCGGTGTCCATGCGTACCGTGCTGCTTTCCGTTGAGGTGCAACGTGAAGACTTCGCGGTGGGAGCAGCGAGGAAGAGCAAAAGAGGAAAGATAGCAGTGTCACGCAGCAATAGCGAAGATGTGGAGAGGATGAGACGACACACCAGCCACTGCCACAAAGTGGCAGCACATCAGCATACACACCCCAGAGGGTCGAAGCGCTTCACTCGATAGAGGCGACTGCCACGGCATACAGGCAGGCCCATAATGCGCATCACGAATGATACTCCTTGTCAAGGGGACACCACCGTATACGCCCCTCATCATAGGAAACAAAAAGAATTAAGGCCTCACTGCAGTACTTCATCGGTGCAGCGCAGAAGCGAAACAAACAATAATAATCACCACCCCTCAGAGGACGATCTTCACGGGACAGCACAGAGAGAGAGATAGAAGAGGGGGAGTGCACAACGCCTAGTTTATCGTCAGAGAACACGCTCGTGGCCCTCATACGCTGAGCAATATATTTGCGTTGCAACGCCTCAGTCTTTCAGCGCCCCATCGCGATGCCGCAGCTCGTTCGCCGTTGCCGCCAGACGATCCGCGCTGCGGTTGCTGCGACTCAGCTGCAGGGTCTTCTGCTGCACGCGACGACGCGCGCGAGCAGTGAGGTGCTGCGCCCCCTTCTGCCGCATCTGTTGGTGCGCCTCCGCCAGCACCTGCGTGCCGGTGAGGAAGCACTTCGAACACGCCGGCACACCGCGGGGCACGGCGCACCGGGCCCGTGCCGTCATGCGATACGGAGAAAAGCACGTCCGGCACACGAACGGCAGCTCCGTGTCATCGTGCACCGTAAGGTGGCGCAGCCGTGTGCGGGAGACGTGCCGGCTCACCTCTGCCACCACGTCTGGCCGCTGGATCACCAACAGGTTCATCATCGACTTCTCCTTTCCCGTGCACTGCGGGCAGCGCTCGTGGCGCAGAAAGCGGTTGGCGACCGTGGCGCCGTACTCAAACTGGCACGTGCGACAGCGCCACTGCAGCATCGCTTCGCTCGTCAACGAAATCTCGGCGGGGTCCTGCGAGGGCCGCAGGAGGGCCTCCGACAACAACAGGCGATCATCACGCAGGAAACGACGTGGGCCGGTCGAGGCAGCAGCAGGACCAGAAGAAACCGATGCAGCCCCACGCGACACCCCACGACGCTCGCAGGCAGGGCACACCAGCGCTGCCAGCGTCGCCGATGCAGACGTTCTTAAAGATTGCAGAGCGAGCTCGTAGCGCGTGACGCGGCTCGCGACGGACTCTAGCCAGGGTGTACGGCACAGCGGACATCTCCACCAGACTCGTGTAGAAGCGGACGTATGGACTTCTGTCACACCTTGCAGCACGTTGTTCTGCAAGAGCTGATTGCGTTGCGCATCCCACTGCGCCGCGAGTGGCGGGTGCGCCTCACACAACAGGCTAGACGGACACACAGGTGTGGCATCCGTTGGCTGCTGACGTGAAGAGAGATGCGTTGAGCTCGACGCAGACGGTGGGCGTACGGCATCTCCATAGCACCTCGGACAGCGGTGGGCGTCGGCGGTTTGAGGATTCACGCGGTCCGAGGGGCGAGCTGACCACCGAGCGTTGCACCCCGCGCATCTCCACATCACTTTGTGGACAGTGGCGGCGCTCACGTGCACCTCCGAGGAAGCGGCGGAGGCCGCGCTGCTGTTGCTGCTGGTGTCGCCGGGAGGTGCGTTGCGGCGTAGGTGGCGCAGGGCACGTTGGTTGGCCTCCACGTCAAACTCGCGTTGCAGCTGCGGTGGCAGGGATTTGAGGTTGAAGTGCAGGAGTGGTGGAGTCAGGACGCCGGAGTTAGGCGATGTAGCGATGAGAGGCGACGGCGGAGGAGCAGCTGCAAATGGGGCGGGCGCTGGTAAGGAGGATGAGGAGTAGGACGCGTGGGCCGTCCTCCGCGTCGTTACCAAGGCGACTGCATTCCACGCAGGAGGTGCAACTGCCCGTCGTGCGAGCAGCATCGTGTGCGTGGTGGCGGCACACGAGTTATCTCGACACGTCAGCAAACAAAAAAACACGCAATCTGTTCTCGAGGACAAAGGGAATAGAAGGAGAGTACAGGAGGAGAGTGGGCGAGCAGCAAAAACACCAATGAGAACGCTTTGGAGGAAGGACACAAGAGCGATGCGGAGGCCGCACATCGCTCACGTCGTTCCATCGCAGCATCAGCAAGCACCCCAGCGTCTCCGTTCCACGGCTGTGGTGTACGCGTATGACTTTCGTCGTGTGTGGTGTGACGGACGTGTGCGGAACCTGGATGTGAAAACACAAGCTTGACGCTCCACCGCGGGTGAGAAGAAAGAGGAGTAACCTGAAGTGTTGCGAAGCTCCCCTCCCCCCCCCCCCACACACACACACACGTATTTCAAACGCCGCAAATCTCCACCGTATTTTCTTTCCTTGTGTACGCACTTACGAGCTCCGCCGCCGCGTACCCGCACGAGGCGAGCGCTGCGACGTGGAGCTCCGCTGTGTTTTACGCGTGCCCTGCGAAGAGCGACGGCCACCGCAGCTCTTCTTACTACTGGCGTTGCTGCTGCTCGCACGCCCCCTACTCGTGTCGTTGTCGGCGCGTAGTCCAGACAGCTGTGTACGTGGGATGACGACGGTGGAGCGGGTGAGAGGACGCTGCTGCAGCACGCATCTGAAGACGTCGTCTGGTGCCACCAGAAGCAGTCCGGATTGCCGTCTCTGCGCCAACGCCGCGGCCCCGCCCACTTCCTCCAGAAGAGACTTCCAACACTTCAACGCCGGTCGCTGCTGCGGCATTATCAGCACATTCGCATCGCTCACACGTCGCGTCGCCACCCCACCCGACGCCGCCAGAACGGTTTTCAAGTCGTTGAGCGGCGGGTCTTGCGGCGTCGCCGCCTTGTGCACCCAGAAACGCTGACCAGACAGCAGCTTCTGGCGGTCTTGCGGCTCCTTTGCGAGTGTTTCGCGCAGATCGAAGTTGTTCTCGCTTTCGATGCTGCCAGGCAACTTGCGCTCGCTGTAGCGAAAGCCGTCCAGTGGGATGGCCAGCGAGTGGGTGTGGAGCACCGTGTCCAGCCAGCTCTGTTGCACCACTGTGTGGACAAATGGCAGCACCGTCAGCAGCTTCACACTCCGCGCCAGCGGCGTCCGTGCAACGAGCAGCTGGGCGTGGCGTGCAAAGCGCAGGTGCGGGTTCACCAGCGCGCCAAGGACCTTTAATTCACGCTCTTCCTCATCGGAGAGGCGTAGACCCGTGGTAAAGAGCACGAACTCACTCGGCGCTGGCACAGCAGAGACTGCGGCGTCACTGTCGTCGTCATCGTCTTCGTCTGTGAGGACCTCCAGACGAGATCGCCGTGCATTCGCCGGTATCGCGGATGCCGGTTTCGCGCTGGGCTTCGCCGATTTACGCCGCTTTGAGAGAGGCGGGACACGATCGTTGTGCGCGTCGTCAAGGAGCGCCTGTGCTGCAACGGTCTCTTCCGATGGGCTCTGCAGGAGTGGCTGTCGGTCGCTGACCTCTTCGCCCTCTCCGTCGCTCAGCGCTACCGGCTCCGAAAGGTCTGACAGCGTGGCGAGTACGACGGTGCTTTCTCCAGTCATGAGAGAAGTGGTGGAGCTACGGGTCAGCGCGGCGGTGGGGCGGTCTCGTGTGGCAGGTGGCGGCTGCCGCGGTGGCGGACGGTGCAGTGCGAGGCTTCCCAAAGCCCGCTCCTGTGCAGGAGAACCGTGCTTGGAAGTCGATGGGCCTCTCAACGCCACATCCACGGAGCACAGCGGCCCCAGCTTCAAGGTCACGACGCCGTCCGGGCAGCAAGACGCGTCCTCTGTGTGCAGGTGATATCGATGGTGCGGATGCAGCGGCACTCCATTGAGAGAGGTAGCTGGTGAGACCGCACAGACGTCGAATGACTGGCACCGGGGAGACGTGGGGCAGCAGCGGCGGCGCTCCGCGTTGTCGCCCGCCGGCAGAGTAGTCGATCGATTCGCCCGCGTGAAATTCAAATGCACCGCGCAGTGGACGCGGGAGATGGACGCTGCCGCCTCTCGCACCACCGCACGCTCTTCGCTGCCCAATCTATCACTCTCCGTGGCACAGTCTGTTAGTGCAGACCGGCCGATGCGCAACTGCACAGTGCCCATCGGGTGCGTCTGCTGTGCGTGCACGCCGCTGTCCAGACCGCCGCTGCTCGGTGTTGCCGTAATGGCCGTGTGCGTGTCCGCGACGCCGCCCGCACTCGAAGAGCACAGTGCCGGGAGAGAGGCGGTGTAGGGCACCCACGGTGATGCCCAACTCGCTTTATCCGCCAGCAGCGAGGAAGGGTACGCGTGCCAGCGAAGGAAGATCACGGCAGCATTCGGATGTGCATCGGCCCATGCAGGCGCAGACGTAGCAGAAACAGCCGTGAAGCCGTTCTTTGACTCTGCAGGGTTGATCAGCTCATTCCAGTCCTGTGCACGTCGCAGCTCCGGCACCGATGTGAGATGGTGCTCTGCGCGTCGTCGCAGCTGCTCCTCTGGCGCATTCAAGCGCCACGCCGCGTCCTCTGAGCAGCTATCGCGTAACGGTGGTGTCGATGACACGGTGGAGCCGCTGTCTTGAGAGAGAAGTTCGACCGTCTCTGCATCATCGAGGTTGCTGAGAGAGTCGGTAAATCGCCGCTGAGAAGGATCCATTTGTGTGTCCATGTGTGTGGCAGTGCTGACGTGGGAAGAGACACAGGCGCCTAAGCTGTAGAGAGTGCTGTACTGCGCCGCAGACACGGATGCTTTTCTCGTCTCTTTATGGATTTCTACGCCAAGGTACACGTGCGACAACGTCTTGCCTGCACCTCTCAGTCATAAGATGCGGCCCGCTGTCGTCGGTGCTATCGCCTTGTTTCGTTCTTCTGTCAAGGCGGTGCAGTTGCAGTTGCTGGGATGTGTCACAGCGAGGAAGAGGAGAAGGAGAAGGCAGCGATGCAGTCGTGGAGGTCACGCGGGGGAGGAGGGGGAGGACGCGTGGAAACGCCATCCAGCAAAGGAGAACACAAAACGCGTACATGTCCCTTGCATTCAGCATCGTCTGCTTTGCACCACGACGGAAACACAAACACACACACACACACACACACACACATACACAGAGAGCGAGAGAGAGAGAAACCTCGCAGGCACCACGCTGTGGCTTGCTTCGTTCGGGGAAAAGCTGCCCAGCTTGTTGGGCACGCCTGATATACTTTTGATGATCAATGAATCTATGGTCGCAAAAATAAATCTAAACACCACACCTTCACTCAGCCAGAGGACATGAGCCGCAGCCGTCGCACATCGTAGGACAGCAGGGCCACCACGCCGTGCGTACCGATCATCGCCACGCCGGTCAGCAGCTCATGCGAAACGTTGCCGCGCGCTACGCACACACGATCGGGGTCGGTGGCGTTCGCGTCCCACACGAAAATGTGGCCGTCCTCCGCGGCAGACACAAGAAGCTGCCTCGCTGCGTTGTACGCCATCGCGTTGATCCATCGCGAGTGCGCCTGGATCACGACCGCGGCTGCTCCGCTCTCTCGCTCCACAATCTTGATCTGCCCGCCACCGTACGCCACCGCGACGCGGCCGTTTTGCGGCAACCACTTCACGGCCGTGACGGCATCCGTCGTCTCCGGTGGCGATACGGTGAGGGTTGGATTCCAAGCCCGCCACAGCACTACATGACCTGCGCTGTCCCCCGACACCATCTCCGCCGCCTTCGAAGAGTCTGCCGTGGAGATGTTCACGTCAAGAGCGGTGATGCTGCAGTGCTCGTGTGCCTGCACGGGCACCGATGGCGGTGTCGTAGAGATGGGACGGCCCTGCGGGGTGCATCGAACTGTGTCGATGGAGCCCTCCGACCCACCAAGGACAAGAAGGATCGCCTCCGTGTCTGCTACACGCGTCATCGCGGCGCAGGTGTATGTCTCTGTCACCCCACTCGTGTCCACCGAGTGCGTCTGCTGCCCGTTCACGACGACGATGGCAGTACGATTCGACAAGGCCGCCACAAGGGTGATGTTTTCGATAGCGGGGTCCGTCACGCCGGCAAGAAACTGTGCGTAGGTGCCGGCGGGCAGCTCCAGCGGAGGGAAGCACGGCGCACCGGTGGCGGTCTGCACAGACACCACCGCGGTGGGCGACGCGTAGGACACGTAGTCGCCGTCGCGGTGCACCACGATGTTGTTGTAGAGAAGCGCCGGTGCGGTGGGCAGCGCGACCTCTTGATAAACGGTCAATGAAGATGATGACATGCGAATGGTTTTCAAGGGGGTAGAGGTAATTCCTTTCCCTATAGGTTGAATGGGTGTTTAGTTCGACGGTTAGCCAATGCCGGAGACGCTACGCTTGATGACTCGCCCAGGCGCTAAATACGAAGCACGACACCGTTCATAGTATGCAAGACACGCAGGAGGGGGAAACGTGGATCAAAACACAAATAAAATGGGGGGAGGGAGTGACCCCAACAGCCTTTCGCTCGCACGCACGCATCACGAGTGGAAAAGACATGAGCGGCGGAGGCAACGGTCTCTTATAAGGCCGGTGGCGTCCAACAGCTATCGGGGCGCCTACAAGCGCAAAGACAAACCGACAGGTACTCGCCACAGTTCATCGGAAAACCTAAAAAACAAAACAAAAAGGTCTGCGGAGGAGTTCGCTCTCGTCCCCCATGCTGATTGTTGCGCTGATGTTGTTGGTCATCGACTGCACACAACACACGCACACCTCTGTTAACACCAAAGACAACGAAGGATAACGAACACCCGCGGAGTACGCTCGCACCGAGAGGATCAACCCACAACAAATAATCCTCAAAAAAAAAAACGTCGGCGCCGGTTTTAGAGAGGCAGGAGAACAACGACAACACATAATGCGACATTGCGGTGGTGGGAGACGGCGTCTGCTGGTTCCCCCCCCCCCCCACTCCTGACACCTAGCGAATGGCTAGAATGACGATCACCGCACCCGCTAACGAGCAGCCCCATCAGCGCGTGGTACACATACGGTAGGTCACTCAGCAACCCCACGGGCAACTCCAGACAGGTTTGATACAGCACATGATCACGCAAGGAGGACTCCGACACGCCGGAGGAAAACGGCTTGCCTCCGCAACGAGCATCAGACGTGCCAGTCAGCTCTATCTTTGGTAAACACCGGTGCACGTAGGCCCCCTCGCCCAGCAGGAAGTTCTTCAGCGAAAACGGCGTTGTTGTATCGAGGGTGTCGTAGCGAGAGTGGATCGGAATGACGAGACGTGCCACCGCCGCCGCGGACGCCGTGGCATCTGCGCCTGCTCCGGCATTTCGTGCTCCCAAATACGTGTCCAGCGCCGTCGTCTCGGGCAGCTGCTTGAAAGACAGCGTGACGTCGTTGGTGGCGTAGGGAACCTTAAACACGGGAGCTTCGATATCGAAGAGGAACTGCGATGTCATCTGCAGAGGCGTGTAGGTGCTGGTGATGTCCTTCACAGGGACGGCAGCCGTGCCACGACGATCGGCAGCGTCCGAAACGGTCTCCATCCGGTAGAGCTGCTCCGCCTCCGCCGCATCGATGAAGAACGACTTCGGCAATGCGAAGGTGAAGGTGGCATCGTGGGCCGCAACGGGGTACTCGATGGCCAGCTGCATGTGGAAACCCCCGCCGATGAAGGTGTAGGAAGGTGGCGAGGCGAGCAGCGCACAGCTGCGGCTCTCCGCCACGGCGCAGACGGCGGCGAGCGTCACGGCGGCGCAGAAACCGGCATAGAGACAACAGGAAAACGACTTCATTGTCACGTAAACGTGGTGTGCGCTGGTGCCGCGGAAATCGACGTAGAATGGAAATTCAGAAAAGCGGCAGACCGGGAAGAGGGAGAGGGGCGTGTGACGAAGACTCCAACAAAGGGCTCTGGAGAGAAAGGCATCGCATAAACAAAACTGGGAAAATGGTCACGGCACCACCACCAGGTGGGGCCACTAATTCAACCAACGAACCTCCGCAGACGTGCTGTGAGGTAACGCAACGGCGGAACGTGCGGCCTTCGTGGGTATGTGGAGTTCTGCACGAGGGTGTAGTTGGCGCAGCTCGTAGGGTCTTACCATCGCTATGTCGACACACGCACATGCACGTGGAGAGCACCATCGAACGAATACACAGCATTAATTTGCGTTGACGGGGAAATCAGCGCGACAGAGAGATGCACACGAAGACGCGTCGAAACGCCAATAAAAACTTTCTCATCGACCGCATCCGCCGCGATCACAACGATGACACGTGGAAAGAACAAAACAATACTTCATGCATCGCTCGCTACGAGGAATAGGTCGCCTCAGCGAAGGCGCCGATGTCCCAAAATATATAAAAATAAAGGAGAGCCTGGCTGTCGTATCGTGGAATCGGAAGGAGCGGTGTGGCTTAGTCCGCTACACCTGTCTGGGAAGGTCGCCGCAGCATCGGCGAACACTCCCGCTCCAGCTCCTTCCACTCGCGCAGCATCTCCTCCAAATTACGCAGCTGCGCCGACAGCGGCTCCGGTGAGCGCTGCGGCGTGATGTCGTCCGCTGACGGACCCGCACGCGCCGCCTCCAGTGGAATCCGCTGAACTCGCAATGCAAACTCTCCCTCCTCGCTATCCGCCGCACAACTCGGCGCGCGCACGATGGGGTCCTGCGGGGGTGTCTCTCCGCGCAGCTCGTGCAGCAGGCTGCGGCCGTCGTGGCAGGCGAGATCGACGGAGCGGGGTAGGCTTCCCTGGCGCAGCATCGGTGCATCTGGCGGGGTGGTGAACTGGGGGAAGTCGCGGCGTCGCGCTGCATCGTCTTCCGCGACGTCGAACGACTCCACGAGCACACGCTGGGCAATCTTCTCCGACACGTTGTTGATGCGCGGACGAAAGGTGCACTCTTTAAACTCTTCTTCCGCCTTTTGCAGGCGTAGCTGCTCCAGGTGGCGGCATTTACGCTCCTCCGTCCTCTGCTGGTGTTCGTAGAACTCGGCCCCGAGCGAGCGACGCGCAGGCGTGCTGGGGGATGCCGCGGCCACCGCCCGCGCTGGTTCAGTAGCCACGTTGGACACTTCAGCGCTTGTGGTGGTGCCTTTGGTCGCGGCTGACGTCTGGTGCGGCTGTTGGGGCTTCTGTGGGTGGCGACTTCTCTCCTCCCGCTGCCGGCGTTGCGCCGGACGACCGATAGCCACCTTTTTCGCTTCATGTCGCTTCACTTTCTCCGCCTCTTGGAGCTTCTGCTGTTCTTCCCGCGCGCGGTGCCGAGCACGGGCCCGCTCCGCCAGCTCCCCCGTCTTGGGATTCAACGCGGGGTGGCGCAAAGACGCCCTTTCGTCCTCCGCCTTCAACGCGAGCTGATGCTTTGTCCAGCGGGTGCGCCGCTCTGCCTCGCGGCTCAGCATGCCGGCGATGTACTGCGCGATCTCCGCCTCCGATTTTTTCACGTGGACGGCAGCGCCGTCGGCTGTGGCTCCTGCGTCGACCGCTTCGCTGCTTGCTTCGCCCTCCTTTGGATGCGTTCGCGCGGTCTCAGCACATCCGGGGTGCGCGGACGCTGCCCTCGCGGAATGGCCTTTCCGTTCCACATCCGCCGTCTTCGCCGGAGAAGGCGAGGGGGTTCGTTTCTTGGAAAGGGCATACAATTCCTCAAATACGTTACGGCTGTGGCCGTGCGGTGGCGCAGGCGGAGCTGCCGCTGACCCCTCTTCCACCACAGGCGCCGCGGCGGCGGTGATGCGCTGTGGCACAAAGGACGGTGTATACTTCAGCTCGAGCTGACGCAGCCGTGCATCTCGCTGCGCCGCCTCCTTCACTAGCCGCTCAAACACAGAAGCGTTTGACTCTGAGCTGTCACCCGGTGCGCTGCTCTGCGGCGATGGCGATGTCGCCGCCGCTTTGCCTCCGTCGAACACATTTGTGGACGTCTGCGAGGCCTTTCGCGACGCCGTGCCGGTATTTACCGCAGAAGGGGAGCGACGTTGATTGATGCGAGGAACGTAGGTGCAGTTCCTCACCTCGTCCCTCTGGCGCTGCTCCTCCTCCTGCTCCGCCGCGGTCCGGCGGGCGTGGCCCTTCTGCGCGAAGGCTTCGTACCCGCGGGGCGGCGGCAGCAGCGACATCTTCCGCGGCCGCCTCGCCCCGCGCACATCGCCGGCGCTGGTAGGGCGGTTTTTGTTCGCCAGAGGATGAGGCTCCCCAGCTGCCTCGGCGGCACGCTCCAGGTAAGCCCGCTCCGCCGCTGCACGGCGCTGCTGCCCAATGGCGGCACAGAGCGCAAACCCAACCGGGTGCGTCGCGTCAGCGTTGTCGTGCGTTGGCTTCTCATGAATAGCGGTGGTCACCACTGCGGCGGGCGGCGCAGCAGCGACACGGCGGCTGCCGCCGCTGTAGTGATCAGGAGCTGCTACCCCGTAGGTGGAGTAGACGTCCCTGTACGACGAGAGGAGGTGCGACGGTGGCGAGCGGAGGACCGTCGGCGAGCGCTGGGCGGACGCGGCTGTGCGGGTGGCGTAGGGTTCAACTTCATGCACCACACCGCCGGGCAAAGCGGCAGAGGGACTTGGACACGCCGCTTGCACCGACGCGGTGTTGCGAGGCGTGTGTACCAGCGGTACGCGGTCGTTCGGCCGCTTCATAGCTGAGTCCTGTGGAGGAGTACGAGAAACACTGCTGCCTCCCGCTCCGACGCCCTCGGGTGACACACGCTGATGTCGAGGTGGTGCTTCGGTATGCACGCGCGTTGCCGCCTCCTCTGCCTCCACTCTTCGATCCCAGTCATCCCGATCGTCATCCGCACCGTCGCTGTCATCGCGCTTCGCTCCCCTTTCTTCTTGCTGCGGCGATGGCGGTGCTGCGTACGCATGGGGTGCTTCCTCTTCTTCCTCGAGCTCATCGTAGCCCAGCTTGGACCAGCCCGCCGCCTCTACCTGTCTCGTCTTCGTCTGCAAAGGCCGCACCTGCCGTAGCACGTCCACGGTGGTCATGTTCGAGAAGGCGCCCTTGACCGCTAGTTTCGTCCGCGGCGGCACCTTTCTGTCTTTCCAGTTCACCTTCGCGTGCGGCGCCGGTGCGGACGTCGCCGTGCCCTTCGACTGGGGAATTCCTTGAATAGGCGGCACCACCATCCCGTCTTGCGTCACGTGTGAGCCGCTGACGGAGCTGGCCAGTGCGACGGTGTCACCGTTGCGGCTGTACGAAGCACTACCAGAGCCTTGATGCGTGGCGGCGGCGGCTGCCAGCGCGTCCGATGCAGCCCCGTTAATGCCAGCAGCACCGGCGGAGGTAGCGGCGGTGTCGGTGCCGTTCACAACATCCGCCTGATCCGGCGAAGAGAGTCCGTGAGGTGAGGGGTTCGTGCAGCTGCCCGGGTGGACGTCCTGCGAGGGCGACTGCGGTATCGTCGTGCGCTCCGGACTAACGGAGAGGGAGAAGGGGGCAGCGGCGGGCCAGCCGCGCATGTCTTCGACGACGCAGTGACACGAAAAGGACGGCTCAGCGGACGTCTCCTCTCGCTCCACGGGCGACAGGGGCACCTCGCGCAGGGGACTGAGCTGGATTTGCGCGGTGACGTCGGACATGGCGATTCCCCTCCCGGAGAGAGAAACTTGTAAGTGAGAAAGTCGGTGCCAAGTGCTTCGCTGAAGCTGTTGAAGTACGCGTGAAGAGCAACGCGTACGCGCAGCAGAGGCAAAGGAATCTCGCTGCGGCGAAGCCCCAAAAGCCCACGGCCGGCAGCAACCACAACCCGCACACGGACACACGGACACAGAGAGACAGCACGCTTGATGGAAAAAGAGAGGGCCGAATAATCAAAGCAGCAAAAACAAATCAGCGGTATTTTTCTTATTTTTGCCTCTGAAGGCCCCACGCCGATTTTTCTTTTGAAGGAGGGAAAGAGAGAGAGAGAGTACGAGGTGAAGATGATATTAGCAACGCAATCGAATGAATAATAAGAGTGAAAGGAATAGTGAAAGGACAGAAGAGCTGCTCACCTGTACGGAGAGGGGGAAGAAGGAGGAGTGGAGACGCCGGGGTGGGGTGGTGCGAGACAAAACTCGGCGCGCGAGAGAGAAGACAACTGTTTAGCACACAAAGAGAAACAGCGGTGATGTACACCGGCTTTATACCAGTGGTGTTCAAAGTGGTACGTGAGTTCCACAGGCGTGCACAACGGTGAATGAGCGTTGGAGAACGCCATACAGCCAGAGAAGGAGGGGGGAGAAGTTGAGGAGCAGAAAAAATGAAGGAGCTTCGTATTGCTGGACGACTAAAGCTCACAGCCATTGTTGCGTACAATCAACAGAGGAGAAATGCCGACACTCTACCATAAGACACAGCCGGATGATGCTCAAGAGACGCTCAGCCCACGCAGTTAATTTACATATTTCTTTGTAGCTTTCGAGTCATTCCTCACCAGTTCACAGCAGCTTGCCAGTGGGAATCACCCAACAACAGCTTTTTCTCAAGTACAACGCACGTTGACTGCTCTTCGTTATCGTTTTACTTTTCGAATTGGGTGAGACGGATTGTGAGCACAACAGATGTTGCCTATCCCGCCGGAATCCAACATTTTCACCTGGTCGGCGGCGTGACAGCCAATAAAAGAAGCAACCGCAGTAAGAGAAAGCTCGGATGAAGAAAGGCGGTGCAAAGGAAGGCGCAAGCGAGAAGAAGCAGCGGTGGTGTAGCTCTTCTTTAAAGAGAAAAAAATTGCTCTCACGCATACTAAACTCCCCTCTCATGTTTATATCACGCATTTTTTCTAACCAGTTCTGCTTTCAGTTTCGGGAGATCCATCAGCATCACACGCGTCCGCAGAACGAAAGGATGTGTATGTAGGAGATCGAACTTCTCTGCGTGGGTGCCGTACTGAAATCTCCTCTGACAAAAGAAACCGCGCGCTCCCTCCCGCTTCTGTGCCGTCTCACTTCTGCTGTACCACAGCGGCGAAGTCACACGATACGCGCCCGCACACCCACACAAAACCTGTGCCGTCCCCAAAAAGGAATAAAGAACTCCTCCAGCTAAAAAAAGAAGGAGAGGTTATAGTTACAAAGGTAGTCTATATTGTTATGAAACAGAGAACAACGTCACCGGCATGACGCTCGGCAATGCCACCGACGCCTTCAACAGCGCAACCCGTTCCTTCCTTTCTCTTCCTCCTCAACGTCGTTCGATAGGTGCAGATCAGCCAAACCCTCTCCCCCCTCTCGCTCTCACCTCACCTGCACCCAACGCAGGAGAGAAGCACGGCATTAGAAAAGGAAAGCGCCGCGGCTTTCTGGTAAACCATTCTATTGGAGCCGAGCTGCTCTCACACCCAAACACACACAGACAGACACAGACAGAAACACGTTCGCCACTCCAACCACTACGCAGCGGCCGTCGCCTCAGTCCCGGACGGCTTTGCGCCTTTAGTGGAAGTGTGGCGATGACGGTGTGCCCTCGCCGCATCGCCTGGGTCGCGGCTGACGGGCGACGAGGCGCGGCGCGGACGCATCATCGTGATCTTACGCATCGCGCCCATCACCTGCACGGCCACCATGCGGCCCGGTCAGCACGCCTGCGATGTTGCCCCAGTACTCTCCGCGCTCCCCACCGACGGCGCGGCCTACGCCTGCACCGACGGCACCTGTCAGCGTGACGGTCACGCGCAGCGCCACCTGCTTCGCGATTGCATCCAGCGGACGCTCGACGTCCCTGCGAATAGCAATGCGGACGGTGTCCATCGTGATGTCGCCGAACAGCGTAATGACGTCGCGGCGGAGGCTGTCCTCGAATGCGCACACACCAGATACGCGCGTTTCCAAGAAGGCGACGTCCGACGTGGCGGGGCGCGGCCCGAGAAGACTGCTGACGAAGGCCGGCACTCGCAACGAGCTGAGGACCGCGCCGACGTAGCGCTGGTGCAGACGGGGGTAGAGGTCCCACAAATAAACGGCCGTGTTGCCGTATTCCGATTTGCTCTCAATAAAGGCGCAGGCGAGGCCGGTCTGGCAGGCAATACGCGCCAGGCGATCCGCGTACATCACGGCGGCCCGCTTGCCAGAGGCGGCAAAGATCTGCACGAGCTCCTCGAACGTCACGTCCGTGCCGGCGTCGACATGCTTGTCTAACTGCCTGTTCACGTCGTTCAGCGCGGGGAGCAGAAAGCCGACGGTGATTGCCAACGCAGACGTGTTCTCCATCACCCGCTTGCGAGCCAGCGACGACAAGGAGTAGCCGTGGTGCGGTGCCGCACGACCGCCGCTGAGGGGGAGCGCGTAGCTGTTCGTGGCTGTCTGCAGCATTGTGAAGGCAAAGCGAAGCGAGTCACACCAGCTGTAAGACGAAAGGCGGAAGAAGATAACACGCACCGATCGAAAAAGGCGATCGAGAAAGCACGGACAGAAAAACGCTGAAAACACCTTTGCTGTGGGCCGGCGGTGCACGGGTGTACGTAGAGGAGCGGGGAGGAGTAGAAGACGACGGTTTAAGCAGTAAGAGGAAGACAGACAAAGCGGTACTTCCCGGGGCGACACCTCTCACAGCACACCTCTTGGCTTTGCTTTCTGTGTTTTCATCGTCGTTCGCACCTCCGGCGATTCGGTGCTCGCACCGTCTACTTCGAAAAAAAAAACCCCAAAGGAGGAGGGGAATTGCTTCTCCCTCTTCGATTCTCACGGTCCTTTCATTTCTTCCTCCGATGCTTCGTTGATGACAGAACAGAACAAGAAAAAAGGTGGATAAGCGCGCGGAGGAAGAAGGCAAAGAAAAGCGTCGCCTCCGATGCCCTCCGCAGCGAGACGTAACGACAGTGAAAATCGCACGGAAGCGCCAAAGCAACACCGAACCCCGCGTAATGCAGGAGACCGCGCATTCTCTTTCTCTTATCACACAGTATTTAGTGGTGTGTGTGTGTGTCTGCGGAGGTGCTATCCAATGCTCTTGTCCCTATCTCTACCCCACTCTTGTTCTCCGAGCCTGCACGCCTTCCTCTTGATTCTGGCCAAACACGACTCTACTTATACAGAGAGGGAAGCAAACAGAAGCAGCGTCTTCTATGGAGTGCTACACAAACGCGTCCGCGAAGCTGTTCATTCTATGGAGGCTTCAACAGCGACACCGTCCAGTGATGACAAACAAAGCAAAGGAAAGAGAAGCAGTACGTGTACACGCATACAGGCAGACAATACATATATGTATGGATCTATGTTGCTAATTTCATATTCATGATTGAATTTCAATAGGTTGCATGGAGGCAAACGAAGACGGCGTGCTGCCCTCGGTGGGAGGATTGGCCTTGGTCTCTGAAGAACCCGCAGGTGTGGAAAGAGAGCCGCCTCTGCCGCTGCGGTCCGCCTGCGACATGGGAGACCTCACCCCACCGCTGGGCGGGATGACCGTAACGCGACCTTCCCTGCCATGCGAAGGTCTCGTTGCATCGTGCGGTCTCACCGCGGCTGCATCGTCATCATCGTCAACGTCGTCGGAGTCGTCGGTGGAGGGAAAGACAAACCCCTCTCGCATGCCGAGTTGCCGCAGCAGCTTCTTAATATGGAGGAGCTCCTTACGGTGCTGCGTCATCGCACGCATGTTGGCGCCGTAGTGCTGCACCTTCGCCTGCAGTTCCTTCTTCTCATGCTCCAGCACGCCTAGCTTTTGCTTCAGCGCCTCATTCGTCGTCGTCAGCTCGTCCATCGCCTTTTCTACCAGCACATACGGACTGTTGACGTTGTTCAGCGCGTCGCGCGCGCCGTCGAGCGCAACTTGCAGTCGAGCCACCTGAGCCTGTTTGAACTCCAGCTCGTGCTCTAATGATGAAACCTTATTTTCCAAGTAAAGACAGCGTTTTGTGACGACGAGAGAGTGGGCGAGCTTGCGAGAGCGGGGCAGGGCAAGCCAGCTCTCGTACGCAGAGGCCCGCGTGCCGAGGCTGCCACCATCTGCGCCGGCGACATCGGCCACCGAGCCCCCGAAGGCCAGCTCACCGTTCGCGGAAGCCGCTAAGTTCGAAATAAAGAGCTCCGACTCCATCTCGAGGTCGCCGAGCGTCTTCAGCTTCTCCTCGGACGCACGCAGCGCGCTCTCCAGCTTCAGCACACGCTGCCCGTAGTCCAGTTTCAGCTCGTAGTACTCCGCTTTGAGGATGTCGAGCTTTTGCTCGGAGCACTCCGCGTTTGCGCGGTAACGTTGCGTGTCCATCTCTGCCTCCTCCAGCCGCACCGCAAGTCGCGCGACTTCATCCGTCTTCACCTGCGCTGTCAGCTTGGCCGAGAGGTACTGCTCCTGGTCCACGTACATGGATTTGTTCTTCGCCTCTAACGAGCTCAGGAGGCCCTCCAACTCCGCCACGCGTGCCTGCTGACTCGCTAACTGCTGATTTCGCTTTTCGGTTTTTTCCTTCTGACTGTCCCCCTGCGCCTCGTACTCGGCGAGGCGCACCTTCAAGTCGGCATTCTCTTGCTGTAGCTGTGCGACGGCGGTACTCAGCTCCGCTGCGCGTTGCGTGGCCGCCTGCTGCGATGTACGAAGGGAATTCAGCTGCCGATAGATGCCGAGTTTGATGGTGTCGACGAGGTCGCGCTGCGGCTCCGGCAGCGCCTCTATTCGGTTGTATTCTGCCTCCGCAATCGGGTTGGACAGCTGAAGAAGAATCTGCGTCTTTATGTGGTCAACCTGGTTCTGTGTCGCGTTGATGCGGTCCTGCAGGTACACCGTCAGCGACGACACCTCCACCTCGCGTGACTTTAAGGCGGTGTTTTCGTTCTGTAGAAGTCGAATTTCCTGCTGCTGCTGCTCGAGGCGACGCAGCAGCTGCTTTGGAGAGCTCGGCAGCTGGTGCAGCATTGCGCGGATATTCTCATCCGTGTAGCGACGGGACTGCTGGACAAACGGGGCGTCGTGCTCCTCGCGGTCCTCCGCGCCTGACGAGGACGCTGCCCCGGTGCCGGCAGGCGAGTTCGACCGGGTGGTGGTCGTGGTGGTCGCCGTCGTGTGCCCGCTGGGTGAGGGTGGAAGGTCACCACGCGGCCGCCTCGCTATTTCCGCCTGCCCCTGCGGCATTACTGCAGCACCCGAGAACACGAAACGAAAAGAAAAAGGAAAGGCAGAAAACGGTGAGGCTCGGTGCACTCGTTGGTGAACAACCGAAACGACGCGTACGGCGTACGAAGCGCGTGCAGCCGTCTGCAGTCACGGGAAGCACTCGAAGGCTACAGGCAATAATAGCAGCAAAAACAAATATAGAAATATATATATATATGCAGACAGCACTTCGCTTTACCGCTTCGACGCTTTTCTTTTCGAGAAGGTGAGAAAGTGCAATAAAAGAAGAGGAGGGGGGAGACAACGCAAGTGAGGAGGGAGATGTGGAGGACGAAAACAGTGAAAAAAAAACTCGGTTCGTGTGACAGCGGTCTCGTTGATATGCGCCACGGGAGAGAGAGAGCGACGAGCACCGCTCTCCCGCAGCGCCGTCCCTTCGTCCTGCAAGAAGCACCTCCATTTGGTCTCGAACCTTCAACGGTTTCAGCTGGTCACCCAAAGTCTTACTTCCGTCCGCTCCCCTCAGATGGAAGCCAAATCATTCTTCTCGGTTGATATTTTTCTTTCTTGTTTATTTTTTAGAGGACACGAGATAGAGAGGGCGAGAGGCCTTTTGCGGTGGGATCGATGACCGACGCAAACCCTGACGTGATGGAGCCAAGAAAACGAAGAAGAAAGAAAAGACTCGCTGAATGGATTGGGTGACGCGGTGCACCGTCACTGCAGCGACGCCACATTGACACGAGGACGGTTTGGGCTCACTTGGACCGCGCACCTTCACTGTCTCTCGGCCATGAAAGAGGAAGCATATAGAAGAAAGAAAGCAAACGAGGAAAGAAATCTATTCCAGACAACCGGGGCTACGAGAACACACCTCGTACGTCGGTTATGGAAAGCACAACGCAAGAGACACGCCGTGCGGTGGCTGCGACACCCTGCGTGTGGCAAGTTAAAAGAGAGAAGGACGGACAGTGCCACGAAGATGTCCATGCGGCACCACATGCAGACTGGGAAAGCTCGTCGTTCGGGTGGTTGTTGTTGATGGTATTTTTCTTTGTGGGGGATGGAACGAGGGGCGCACGAATGAAACTAAGAAAAGAGTGAAGACGCGAATGAACACTTCAAGGGGGAGCGACGTGGCGACGCACGAGCAGCGGAAGCGGCATCACGAACTTCTACGTCAGCAGCGGCAAACGAGAAAGGCCACGGACACGGCAAGCAGGGACAACAGTTTTTATACACAGGCGGTACGAAGGACGGAGAGCGCCAAAAACATATCCACAGACGAGCATTTGGAAAAAACACCAAACATAACAACACGGGCACCCTCTTCATGTCTTGAGGAAGCCGTTGGGGCGCGCTCTCCTACCAATTCCCGCAGTCCGAAATCAAAGAGTCCAAAGCGCCACGAAGTGAAAGTAGAGCGAAAAAAGGGGGAAAAAACAGTTGCGGAGGCGCCAGCGCCACAAACTCCGTAGATGCATTCTCTTTGTGTGGAGCGACACGCAACGTGAAGAGCGCTGGAAACAGCTGGGGAGAAACAGAAACAAAAAACAAGACGATAAATATGTAAATGCGAGACGCGAGTTTGCCGCCCAATGAGCGCAGCGAGCAAATCAAATAATAAACAAAAGCAGAAGCGCCAGGGAAAGATCGAAGGAAACAAAAAAGAAACCCTAGAGGGGCTTGCACTCACGGCACGAGCTGTAGCCTTTCTCCAACGCCTCGGCGATGGACTGCTTGCGCAGGTTCTGCGGTCGCACCTTTTGAATCGTAAGACAGTCCGGGTTATGAAATGCAATCCCGTTTGGCGTCGTGTACACATGCCGTTGGAGGTTCGCCTTCCTCCAGATGTTCCGCCTTCCGGCAATGGCGACCTGCATCGCCTTCAGCATCGGATCCTTGTGCTCCACAGAGCCGCTCGGCTCGTAGAAGACCGCCAATCCTTCCTGCAGCAACGAAATATTCACGCACATGTAGCCCGGTTTGCCAGCGACGGGGTTGGCGATAAAGACAAAGGCCAGAAGACGGTTGTAGCGGTCCTTCTTCTCGTCGGCTTGGAAGCGCAGCCAAACCCTCGAGCCTGGGGGGCACAGCGACTTCACGTAGTCGGCCGCCTCCTTCGCATACGGCTCCTTCGCCTTCAGCTCCGGCGCGTCGATGCCGAGCAGCCGCACCCGAGCGCGGTTCTGCTCGTGAATGGTCAGCGTGTCGCCGTCGTAGACGTGGTCGATGGTGGCCTCCTGCACATCAGACGGCAGTGAAGAGAAGAAGGCGTAGTTCACTTGCTCCACGTCACCGTTCTTCTTCCCCGCCGGGTGCGGCGCGTCGCGGCAGCACGTATTGCCCATTTCCACACCTCTACAACGAATGGTACGGAGGGGTCCACTAGAATCCGTTGAGCCCGCACCGTTGGTGCAGCAACACCAAACTACAAGTACGATGTGTGATGGGGCACCGCAAGGCAGCAAACTGAGATGCGGTCCGTTGATCTGTCGAGGAAAACGTGCACGCGCACGGTGCGATGAGAAGGCGGAAAGCAAAGAATTCAAAAGAATAGAAAAGAGCGTGCTCATTGAATACCTTGAAAAGCCGTCCACGAACGGTGCGGCGGAGAAGCCACGCGGGATGCTGTGCCGTACTCCGGAGTAATTCGTTCTTTGAGAAACTGCCAGAGGAAATCCGCCTTTTGAATACGACCATTGCACAAAGACGGAAAACATCAAAGAACTTGCTCTATACACGACACTCCTCTCTTCTCCTTTTTGGTTTGTGTAACTCCACGAAGATGCACCGTGTCGCGCACCCTCTAACAAAGGCAGAAAGGTCAACACCGCCAAGGTGAACTACGGTGCAGAAACTGCATTAAAACTGGATGCATCTGTCCTTCTTCACCCCCCTCCCCCTCTCCCTCCTTCCTCTCACGGTGCTGTCGCTTTACACGTTCGACGGGAAGGAAGAGAAGTCGTCGAAGTAGCTGAGCGGCAGCGTCACGTCGCCCAGAAAGCGGCGCTGCTCCTCGCGCAGTCGAGTCGCCACAGCCCGCGAGTCCGTCAGCTGCTGCCGCAACGATTCGATCTCGGTTGACATCAACTCGACCAACTCCGCCTCCTTCTCTCGCCGCACCAACCGCATCGGTCCCTCGCGAGCCTTCTGCAGACACGCCTGAATCCACTCCAGCGAAAGGGCCGTCTGCGTCTCTGCGTCGGCGCGATCCGCGGCGGGGCCGGTTCGTGTGCCTGCTGCGCCTCGTGCGTTGCTGAAGTCTTCAATAGTGCTGCCGCTGCCACCACCGCCGCTGCGAGCCGCCGGTCCCCGTCGAGCCGCGGACATCTCTTGACTGCCGCGTGCGTTGGAGCTGATCACTGAACTCACCGCCGGTGCATCCACTGGACGATGGATGAGCAGCCCCGCGGTCCACGGACGACGACTCGCAGCCGTCATGCTCACCTGCTGCTCCAACTCCGCTATAGCGTTCTCTAAGGTTTGAACCTCAACCTCGTGATCCGCCTCCAGCTCCTCCATGCGCCGCTCTGCCTCTCGCCGGACCTGCTCGACCACGCGCTGCTGACGTGCCACGGACTCTCCAAGGCGCTTCTCTGCCTGCTGCGCCGCCTCTACCTCGGCCGCTACCGCACTGTGCTCCGTCTGCAGAGTGGCGGCGAGTGCCTTCAGCACCGTCGTGCACACGAAGCACACGTCGGAGTCGGTAGTCAGCAGATTGCCTTCTGCTGAGGGCACGGCGGAGTTGGTGGAGAGCGGCGGAGACGCCGTCAGTCGCGCAAACCGACGCCACTCTTCTACGGCCGCTTTCAGCGGGTTGGGACTGCGCACGGGAGCTGCACGAGCACCATCCTTCACGTCCTTTCCGCCGCTGCTGGTGACGACTTCAGCCACCCCACTTCGACGTGCGCTTAGTCGCTCATGCACGGCACTCAACGCCTCCGTGAAGCCCAGGCCGTCTTCAGATAAAGCGCGGCACAGCCTCTCCAGTTCTGCTCGTGCCACCTCCTGGCCTTCACTTCTTTCGATAGACGACGGCGAGACGGGAGACGAGGCTGGCGGCGACGGCGACAGCTGCACGTTGCCGTCGCCGACGTGTCGGTCCAAACGGGCACGCTGCCGCTGCAGGCTTTCAAGCTTCCGTTTGAGCAGCGCAACCTCCGCGGAGGCCTCACGCAGGCGCTCATCTGCCTCGTTGCCGCCTCCGTGAGCCTCGTGTGCGCTTGGCGCCGACGCAGCAAACGCCGTGCTGTTCGCCGGAGTGGAGTCGGCGGGCAGCGGGCTCGTCGCGGCGGTGCCGGCGGATTCAAGTCGTTGAAGCTGTTTCGTGAGTATCACGTTGTCGGCGTGCAGACGCGTGCGCCTCGCCTCGTTGTCCCGCAGCGCGGCTTTGAGGCGTTCCAGTTGTGGCTGCAGTTCGTCCTCGACGTAGCCGTGGTAGCGTCGCAGGAGGTGCCGGAGATGGTGCTCCTTCTCGCTGCCACAGTGCGACGGGCTCGCATTCCGCCGCGCACTTCCTTTGCCGAGCTGCGGTGCGGTTGAAAGCGGCGCTGGAGTAGACGTCAAGCGTCGCGTGCTCCTTCGCGGACGGCTGCCGCGGCACGCGATCGTTGCCACGAGTAGACGTCTGCATTGGCGAGGACGCCAGCGAGGTACCCGCATCTTGGCGTGCAATTGCAGAACTCGGTGAAGCGGCCGGTCCGACGTCCTTGTCGTCCCCACTTACCCAGCTGGGGTCATAGAAGAAGAACGCATCGTCGTTCGGGTGTGATGCCACGCTGTTCGTCTGCTCCTTTCCTAAATGACGTGTATTTCGCAGAGTGGCTGACTGCCGCCCGTCGTGATATCGTGCCGCCGTGCGCTCGGTCGCATGAATTGCATCCGCAGAACGGTGAAGCGGCCACCGTGATGCGTACACGCCGCCATCATCATCATCATCAACGCGGTCGTCATCGCGACGGTCGATGCTCAAGACATTGGTCGGGGATGGAATGCGACGAGAAGGCCCTCTGTAATACAAGAGCTTTCCTCCAGAGGAAGAAGACGACCGCGGCTGAACAGAGGGAGTGTGCTGCGCTCCCCCGCACGTCGGAGACGCACGAGTACTCATTGAGAAAGGAGGGAGAAGCTTTAAAAAAAAAAACAGGAGGATGATTCAGCACCTCGCCGCGGCAGCTACCACAAGGTGACTGCTTTAGGTTCTCGCCCTGCTGAAGCGCGAAGGGAGCCGTCAGTGTGTCAGAAAGTGGAATAAAGAAAAGGGGAGGGAGGGAGAGCAATGGCGCATGAGCGATGAATGAAGCACGACGCACAGCTGTGAGGTAAACAACAACGAATACTCAGCTCAATGTGAGTAATAGCGATCGCTAGAACTACAAATGCAGAAGGCGCGATGCTTCTTCATCGTTGCTGGCTGCTCGGTAGCACAAAGCGGTCTAGAGGCTTGGAAGCATGGAGGCCGTTCACCGTTGCGCTGACGTGCATCTTTCCCTGCCCTTTCACGTAATGCATGTCACACTACGCAAACAGGATGGTTTGTTGCGGCTTCGAGAGCACTCTCATTTAGCGTGGTTACCTTGCCGTCTCCGCACACGGTTCGATAAAGACTGTACCGACATTAAGAACAAGTTCACAGTCTTGAAGAGCTGCTGCAGATGTTTCCTTTCCCTTTGTTTTTTCTCTTTTGAGTCGCGCCACCTGCTCCCCGTGGCGAGTTAGAGGGGTTTAAAGTAGAAACAATATTAATGAAAGAAATGGTAAGAGAAAGCATTCCTCTCGTGGCGACGAAAGCGGCAGAAGCCAACGCTCTCTTTGTTCTCTGAAGAAAAAAAAGGGGGAGGAAGGTGCTTCCGGTTTCGTCCAACGTTGTGTGGAGGTCTCTCGGTACGGTTAAGGCACGCATAAGGCTTTACAGAGAGAGAGAAAACAAGAATTAACACGTTCAGGCGATGTTAGCGTGGGGCCGAAGACGCGCATCCGCAGGTGCATTTGAACCCTGGAGCGAGGAAGAAAAAAAGATATGTATAAATGAAACGGAAAACGCCGCGGGTGCACAACAATGAAGACGACCTGGTCACGCCGCTCCGTTTCTTGTCCCCCTCGCCGCTGCCGCAAAGACGAAGAACTTCGACGGGCCCTACAAGTGCTGACGGATTTCTTTTGGAAGTGCATGCGTCTTTCAAGTTTTGAAAAAGGAAGGAGAATAATTATCCTTTGCGTATACAGAGAGCGTATATGTTTTCATTTCTCTTCAGATCTTGGACACAATCCCCATGCCGCTGCTCGTGCCGATGCGGCTCACGCCCGCGCTCACGTACTGCGCCGCCGTGCTGCGGTCGCGGACGCCACCCGCCGCCTTCATCAGTGCCGCGTTGCCCACCACCGCCAGCATGATGTCCACCACCTCCGGGGTCGAACCACGCGTGCTGAAGCCCGTGGAGGTCTTCACAAAGGTCGCACCGGCAGCAACGCACAGGATACACCCGTCGATGATCTCCTCCTCCGTCAGCAGGCAGGTCTCGAGAATAACCTTCGACACCGCCTTGCCCGCCGTGCACACATCGCAGACCGCCTTGATGTCCTCGAACACGTACCGGTAGTCCTTAGACTTCATCTTGCCGATGTTGATCACCATGTCCACATCATGCGCGCCCTGTTCCACCTCCTCCTTCGCCTCTGCCGCCTTCATGGTGGAGGTCATCTGGCCAAGGGGGAAGCCGCACACACAGGCCACATGCACGCCGGAGCCCTTCAACAGCTTCGCGCAGCGGGCCACGTTGCATCCATTCACGCAGACGGCCTTGAAGTGAAACTTCTTCGCCTCGTCGCACAGCTGCGCGATGGCGGCATCGTTGGCGTCCGCCTTGAGCTGGGTGTGGTCGATGTAGTCAGCCAGGTTCGCATTCACCGGCACGGGCTTGCGCCAGGAGCCGTCCGTCACCTTCAGGTGCGGAAACTTATCTTCCAGGTTCGGCAGGTCGAGTTCTTTCGAGAGGAAGCGGATGCGCTCCAGAATCTTGCCGTTGAGCTGGCCGGTGTAGCCCGGGCGAGCAGTCATGTGAAGGTCCGTCATTGTCGTCGATGTTCTTTGTTATGTTTTTAAGGTTGTTGTCGTTTACTTTGCGGATGTTTATTGCTGTGAATGCTGATGTTTTGCTTAACGAAGGTGTCGCTGCTAATCAAAGGAGAAGGATGCAATTATTTTTGATGGCCGTGGTGGGAATGGATGATGATGATCTACGCTCGTCAACGGAGAGGTGATTAGGAGAAAGCGAAGTGGGGGATGCATAAACGAAAGGTCCGGGAAAACGGACCTGCGGCGCAGCACCACAACGTGGAAAGAAGTCATCGACCGCGGGAAAGGGAAAAAAATATGGCGTGCAACGCGTGGCCACGTGAGGCCAGATAATTGTATTTTCGTACTCTGAATGTCATGCGCATTCATCAACCGCAGAAGAGAAGGAAGAAAGGGCAAACTCAAAAACGGCCCTCGTATCGGCAAATACGAAGCGGCAAACGTTGAACATAGAAGAGCGGCTTCGGCGACGCAGCGTAAGCGCAGAGCAAATAATAATAACAATCAAACAGACCTTTTGTGGTCGATCCGCCGGCGTAGCGCTCCGCGCATTCCGTTCACTGTGCTCCTTCGCATGTGTGGGGTTTTTTGCGCACACGCTGCCTCCACCTGCACGTTGGGGTGACTGAAAATGGAAAACGCGTCCGGACAGAAAGAAAGAGAGAAAAAAAACGGTAGCTGCGAGGGAGTACTTCTCCGCTGGCGCGCGATGGGATTAGAAGACGTCAACGTCTCTCCGTTCGCTATTCTTCTTAGCAGTACGGCACGTCACGAAATGGTGCAGATGGCGACACCGGCGCTCGTGCCGATACGCCGCACACCTGCGCGCACGAACTGCAGAGCCGTGCGGCGGTCTCGGATGCCGCCGGAGGCCTTCACGAGCGCCGCGTTGCCCACCACGGCCAGCATGATGTCCACCGCCGCGGGTGTTGCGCCTCCGGTGCTGAAGCCGGTGGAGGTCTTCACGTAATGCGCGCCGGCCGCCACGCACATAATGGCCGTGTCGATGATCTCCTCCTCCGTCAGCAGGCAGATCTCGAAGATGACCTTGGTGGTCACGTGTGGCGGGCACGCCCCGCACACCGCCTTGATGTCGTTGTAGATGTAGCGATAGTCCTTGTTCTTCAATTCAGCCACGTTCAGCATCATATCCATGTCGAGAGCACCGTTGTTCACCTCATCCATCGCCTCGGCCACCTTTACCGCCGTAGTGGTCTGGCCCAGCGGGAAGCTGACCGAGCCGCCAACCCGCACGCCGGAGCCGGCCAGCAACTCCACACACCGCTTGACCTGCGCGCAGTTTACCGCAACGGCCTTGAAATGAAACCTCTTCGCCTCGTCGCACAGCTGCACGAAGGCCGCGTGCGGGGCGTCCGCCTTGAGCTGGGTGTGATCGATGTACTCCGCGAGATCGGCGTCGTCTGGAATTGAAGCTACCCTGCGCCAGGAGCCGTCCGTCACCTTCAGGTGCGGAAACTTATCTTCCAGGTTCGGCAGGTCGAGTTCTTTCGAGAGGAAGCGGATGCGCTCCAGAATCTTGCCGTTGAGCTGGCCGGTGTAGCCCGGGCGAGCAGTCATGTGAAGGTCCGTCATTGTCGTCGGTGTGTGCTTCCTTTACGAAGTTGGTGGCTATTACTTGGGGGTGTGGTGAAGGTACGACGCAAGCAACTGTGGTGCGTGCGTGTATGTATATATGAAAAGACTCTTCGAATGACACGTAATCCCATCGAAAGAGAAACGACAAAAGTTGGGAAGAAAGAGAAGAAAAAGTGCGCGATAAGCGGAGGAAGTGCGGGGGAGCTGCTTGAGTGGCTTTCGCCGCACGCAAGGCCTCGTTGCACACGCGCACACACACACACACACACACACACACACACATATATATATATATATATATATATATATATAACTAACTAACGTACGT